TTTTTGGCTCGACGAAAATTGTTATTCCCCTGGGGGCTGTGGAAGAATCAAAGCATGCCCTGAAAGATGTTATGGATATTTCGGAAAACGGACAGCCGGTAACAATGGCCGCGTTATCGGCGCTCTAAGGCCTAAAATGGGGCATGATCAGTCTGATCAGAGGATGACAGAAGCAATACGGAACATGACAGGCAAAGAAGCGCTTCAAGCAAAGAGCCTTTGCTTATTTGGTTCAGGAAAGGATACTCTGGAAGCGAGCAAGAGGCAATAAAGGACGTCGACGAGTGGTTGATGATCCTGAACACCAGAGGGTTATTATCAGATCTTTTCATCAAGAATTAGGACATCGCGGACGTGACGCCACTTACCGAGCCGCGACAAGGCAGTATTTTTGGAATGGGATGTACGCCTATATCAAGAAGGCACTTGCTTCCTGCGCACCTTGCCAAAAGGCTTCCGACAACAGGGAGGTGGAGAGTCATCATTTTCCCCGGCCAAACGAGATCTTTGCTATATGGGTAATGGAAGTTCAATTCATGCCCACCGATAATAGCTACATTGCAATTGCAGAGGCTCGCTGTGAATTAAGCGGTTATCTCGTGGCGAGAGCAATTCGAAAAGTAGACTCGGCAACTATTCGGGACTGGATCTGGGAAAGCATCATTCTCAGTTTTGGTGTTCCTTATCTGATCAGAGCAGACGGAGGCTCAGAGAATCGAGGGCTGGTTACTGAGCTGCTTAGAAGTCTTGGTTCTAGAGTTAGGATTGGATCAGCTTATCACCCACAGTCTCAAGGAATCATCGAGGTAGGACATCGACCGATTGCAAAGGCGTTGATGAAGCACACTGAAGGTACTGGGACGAAATGGTCGAAGCACTTGGCTGCTGCCGTTTTTGCAGACAGGGCTACTGTTCGAAGCCCGACTGGACTATCCCCTTTCTATATGGCTTTTGGATTCCATCCAGTATTGCCTATTGAAACAACAATTCCGACGTGGAGGATTATGAACTGGGATTCCAACACATCAAGGGACGACCTGATTTCAAGAAGGATTCGAATACTTGAAAGGCACGAGGAAGACGTCAAGCTTGCTACGAGAAGACTAGCAGAGTCGAGGAAAAACGCTGCTCTGAAGTCTGATCAGAGAGACAAACACAAGATGAGGCACACACCGCTACGAGTGGGCGAGCTGGTATTACTATACGATATACCGAGGCACATCGACTTATCCAGAAGTGTGAAGTTAAAGTACCGTTGGCGTGGCCCCTATATTGTTCACAAGATATCACCGCTTTCTACTTGTCAACTGATGGAAGTTGACGGCACAAAGTTGCAGGGGACATACGCTTCAGATCGTCTCAAACGCTTCAGACAAGACAAAAGAGGATTTTGGATGCCTCTTGACGGACAAGAGGACGACTGGCTATCGTATGGACTAGGTCAAGGAAACAAGAATGGATATAAAGGACTCACGGATGAGGACGTGGGAGAAACCTTGGTTGAGAAGCAAGAGGATTGGCTTGTTGAAGCCGACAGGGAGCCAGTGACTAACGTTGAGGTTAGACTTCCGGATAAGAGGGTGGATGGGTACAGTAAGATTGACAATGATGGGTTTTTGGTTTGATCAGGCGTATTGTTTTCTTGCGTTTTCTCTTGCTTTTGTTTTGAAGTTGTTAACAGTTACGGAGTTTTTGTGCTTCTGCAATTATGTGGGTAATGGGGAGGCGATATGTTGATATGCGTGATTGGTTCAGTACTGCAAGTGCACAACGGTTGGCTATTGCTTCATTTCAGCCCCAGAATCCCTTGCCTTGGCCACTGGGACTTCCTTTGGCTCCCTGAGCCCCCTCGTTGCTTCTGACAGCCTGGGAGCTGTGTTCCTTGTATTGGGCATAGAGGCGCCTGAGTGCGTTCAGGCCAAAGCTGATGGCCGCGGGAGAGTTTGATGAAGAGAGGTCACTCACAAGGGGAGGAGCCCACGTTCCCTCTTGTGGACGGGTGCGCAGACAGACAAAGTGACTGCATTCCGGATGCCCACATGGACGCAACGAACCTCTGCGCTGCTTGGATGGTGTCTTCGGCATGATGATAATGATGATATTGGTCTGATCAGACTGGTTCTGAAGTCTATGAATGGTTGGAAGTGATGGTGGGAAGAAAATGCCAATAATAGTTGACGATTGGTCAAGAAAAAGATGGGAATGACTTCACTTACGAAGACTTCTTGTTGTCAATTGGCAAGACCATTTTAGGCAGCAAAGCGGTTATCGACGTTACGATCGTAAATGGAAGGAGCGACTATACAGGCAGAAGCGACCAGAGAAGATTTTCTGCTTCTACTTCTAACAGACCTATTCTACAACTCCATCGAACAACACGGCAACTTCAAGCAAGATGCCTTCTGGAAAATCAAAGAACTCGTCGGCCAACGAAGAGAGCCGGCTGTCCTCGATACGAGTGACATTGCAAGGCTGCCTGTGGGGACGCAGCGCAAGGACAGCTTGATTGCAGGGCGGTGGAATACGTATGTACGGTGGAAGACGATACCGCTGTCACAGTTGGGGGCAGGCCTTTGCCTTGCTTCCCGAACCAATGGAAAGGCTGGGACGCCTATGAGGCCCAGTTGGCTGACAACGAGCGAGCTGCAAAGGGGGCATCACAATCCCAGGTGGACAAACGAGCAGTGACAGCAGTAAGAGAGGACGAAGTCCAACACTGCGATCGCTGGGAGAAGGGGAATTTTTGTAGTCACACAGGTTCGATTGTCTCTGAGGACAGAGAGACGAACCTGGGGGAGGAATGTAGCGGGGTAAGGCCGGACGCCAGGGAAGATAGGTGACGGAATGGGGAGGATCTTTTGCTTTGATGAAGGAGGCTTGTGGCAGCAACTTTCTTTTCGAGGACGGACCCTTTCTAATGGCTTCTTCATCTTTTCGATTCGACAAGCAATAGTCAGCCATCATCGCACTCTTTTCAATGCATGCAATTCAGAAGCTTCAGTTCATGATTCACTTACACGTTCAAGGGATAGCTTCTAAGAATCCATCTATCCTTTCCATTTTAGCCTTGACAACTATGAGACATTGTGTCTTGCTCTGATCAGAGCAATCCAGTACTAGAGACAGCTTCAATTCGACTCCTAGGAGCCAGACGTCCTATTCTGAGAATTATCCCGACACGAGAGTCTCAGAGGCACATCCGACCAACTTGCGCACAAGACTTATAAGAGCTTCGCTCTTACGGCCAGCACCATGATCTCCGTCTGATCAGACCAACAGATGTGATCTATTGGTACTGGAGCCGTCTGTTCAGTGTGTTAGGTGATAGGTACATCCTACCGACCGCCTGACCCCGTTTCAATAACTATTACCATCTCTCTATTTTCTAGTAGGTCGAAGTAATAGGCCCTCTTACGCTTAGTGACGATAAGCTAGTCTCGTCTATATTCTAGATATCGGAGGGGTCTATGTTACGAACCGTTGGTTCCTAACCCACTAAACCAACCAGGCCCGATGGCAGGCCGCAGGAATCCCGACACGGGAAGGAAGAACTATTACCAGAAAGACAGGAACGGTCACGTGACCTGGATCACCACCAGATCAGTGAGCCATAAGTTGGGCTCACCGAAGGATCACCAATGGATCACCTTCTGAGCTGTGAGCCGGAAGTGATCCAAGGAATCAGTGAAGGAGAGGTTGGCTATATAAGGGACAGGACTCCCAGGCATTTCATAGATAGACAGTCTCTACTTCAGTGATCAATCTAAGCATCAATCTAACCCATTGGTGAGACAAACTGCCTTGACGACTCTATTCCCAGTTACCCTACTTGAATACTTCAGTTACCCCAAAGCACTATACTCCGTACGTCAGACCCCGATATTATTGCTTGAGGACTCCGCAGCAGGATTTACTTACTAGCACAAACCCTTACAGACTCTTTAGTGGTTTACGCAGCTAGACTATTAGAGGTTTCTGTGAAGGTCAACCCTCGCAGACTCACTACAACCAGGTGACTTACAGCTGGAACACCTGCCATGGCAGTGTCAAATGGGAAGCCAATCATAACCCTTGTAGGAGCCCCGCCAAGCGTGGATGACTTAGTCGCGCTCCCTCAAACCTAAGTTGTCATCTTCTTTCCTTCGCTCCTTAGAGTAGAATCTTCGTCGATAGCACCTAATCGAGGTCTCTACCAATGCGATGCAACCCAGGTCGTGACATAGGGCAACCCCCCATGGGGTCACGTATCATAAGGTCTCGCGTAGGATACCGAATATACGCGCAACTTGCGCGAGGCTTTCCTCAGGATTCGTCTGCGTATAGCGTACAGCGTCCTATATCTTTGAATCTATCGCGATCGAAAAAATACCTTGATTTGGTAGAGATGTGGTGGTTTGAAGATGAGCTCGTCGAGAAATTGGCCAAATCGGTGTCCAGCACCAACTTAGGCAAGCGAGTCCGAAATAAGTGGGGTGTGACAAGGGTAGTACATAAAGTACTTCCACAGTACTCCGATGGATGGATACCTTAGCTAGCTTGGTCGTGCTGTAGCATGATCGCAAAAGATATAGCTGTCTAGTCGCAAAAATAGCTTGGTTGCTGACATGTTTAAGACTACTTATGCCACAGACAACGTAACGTTGAGTTACACCCACTTGTTACTGGATGTCAAGTCGTTGCAATGGAATGGTGGCTCATTGTATGTGCTTGGCAACGGCAAGTGGCTAGTGTCTACATCATTGGTTGCGCTCCAGCTCTAGCCAAAGTTCAGGAAAAAGTGGACAGAAACGCGATTCACTCATCAATTAACGCGAAACTCGGCCGTAGATCAGTCAAACCGTTTAAGTTACCCGTTTGCGGAACTCTTCTCTTCCATCCGTAGAGGCAAATTTATTCCGTCACAAGTACTTCAAGTTCGTACTGTGTCTGGCTGTGTTTTCATGGGATCCTGACAACGACAAGCTGGTCTGGACGACAGACAATTGAGCCGACGGATCAAGATGGCGACCGACGAGGACGAGCGGCGCATGTCCGTAGACGGCATTGAAGATGCAAAAGATTCCAGTTCAAGCAGCGAAAACGAAGACTCTGGCGTTGATGAAGAAGCCCCAGCAATTGAATGGCTGGCAACAAGCCGCGAGAAACGATCAACGGCCGGCAACCGCATGAAGTCCATGATCGCCGCCGAAGAGCCTGACGACGAGCTTGAACTCCTTTTCGCCGAGGATGGCGATGATGCCGGATTCACCGACGTGGACGACGATGCATCGGACGTACACATGGAATCATCCTCGGATGACGAGGATGCGCAAGAGAATGCCGACGATGACGCAGGAGAGAAGGAGCTGGAGAAGCAAGCACGCGAAAGTCGGCAAGCCGCGCGGAAGCGCAAAGCGCAGGAGGTCATACCTGTTAAGTTTCGCAAGAAGGTCAAAATCAATACAAACACTTCTACTTCCACTCCGTCAACAGCGACACCACAGCCGAGACCGAAAAAGAAGTCAGAGCGCACGAGCTGGCTCCCGACCCCAGCAGATATGCCCACACGAGCTTCAAGGCGAGAGACCACTATGCTCAGCAAGGAACAACTACATCAACAGATGATTGATAGAGAAGTCAAGCGCCTCAAGCAGGTCGAAGCCATGGAGCGGAGAGCCAAGAAGATGGAGGCACTCAAGAAGCCACCCATGACCCAGGCGCAACGACTCGCTGAGGCCGCCATCGTGGAGAAGAGGAACGCCAAGAGCCTCAACCGATGGGAAGAGGCCGAGAAGCAGCGCGAGGAAGAACGCCGGGCTAAGCTGGCTGCACTGAATAATAGGACGCTCGACGGCCCGGTAGTCACATTCTGGAGCGGTGTTGGAGAGTGGGTCGATGGCAAGCTGAAGCATGTTGGCAAGTTTGTGACTATTGAGGAGAAACCTATCAAGAAGAAGCGTGCTTCTGCCGTCGGCATAGAAGATTCTCCTGAAGCTCGAGAAAAGGACAAAGACACCCACAAGAACGTTCCGAAGGAAACGGACACGCTAGCTTCGTTGACCTCTAAACCATTGGATGGGACGGGGTCTGGTCAGCTCCGTGAAACTGCAGGAAAGCTGAATACAGCAAACGCTGAAGCCCCACCACCGAACCAGCCTGAAAAGAAAGAACAACCGCTTGATGGACCGCCTCCTGCACTAAACGAAGTGGAGATGCAGGACTCAAACGCTCCAGAGCCCAAAGACCCTGAGGTGAGGCCCCCAGAAACGATGACAGCTCCAAAGACGCGATCTCCAGAGGCCAATCCCCCTGAAATAAAGCCATCGGACATGAGGCTGCCAGAAACGAGTCAATATGCCCCTAGCATGTTTGCTCTACCCCAGCAGTCACAACTTATGAAGGCTCCAGAGCTTAAGCCGCCTTCTAATAGTTTTTTGGCCCCACCCCCTGGAGTCACACAGAGTGGACTGTCTATGCCTATGTTGGTTTACTCTTCATCTACCAACAATACTTCCGACGTCCTCGCTCCACCAAACACATCACAGAGACAATCTCCACTTTCTATGCCACAGACGAATACAGGCCCTCCTCCGGCCCCAATACAGTCTGCGCCTCGCCAGGATCAGACGGCGTGTACCGCTGCTCCCCCTCGAACCTCTTCTAAGCCGCTTGGAAACCTCAAAGCTACTCACACGAATGCGCCCAAGAAGCAAGCCAATGTAGCCGAGCCAGCCCCTCCACCTCGGCCGTCACCACCTGCCAATGGAAAGGCAACGCGGAATTGTTTCATTCTCCAAAACTTTGATGAGAATTCCATCAAAGAAAAAGCCGTACAGACACGTATTCTGTTCGGCAAGAAGATGAACAAACTAGGGAGTAAGTTATACACTCAGGCCAGCCAGCATAAGACGATGTGCTTTACTGACATATGCCACAGAACCAGCGCACCCCCCCAAATGCATCATCACTAACAAGCCAGCCCTTTACAAGGACCCCAAAACTGGCCTGCCCTATCGCGACAAAGACGCCTACAAAGAAATCCAAAAGTTACAGCGTGGTGACTACAAGTGGAGTCGTCTTGTGGGCGCGTGGGTTGGCACTGGCTCTTGTGCCGCAAGGGGGGTCCCAGCTCGATTTCTCGACCCGAATGCTCCAGGACCGGTGAAGAAAACCGAACTTAAGGAGTCTGATGATTTGACGAGTACCAAACAGGAGGAACCCGGCCAGGCGAAGACTGCACCGGCCACACCATCAACTGGAAATGTACAAACTCAACCAGCAACTACAACGCCTGTTTTGGCTCCGCCCGTTGCGACTGTGCCTGCGGTGGCTACAACTCCTGCACCAGCTGGAACCTGCACTACAGCTTCGGCGAGCGTGGCGCCTTCATCTGCGGCTCTCATACCTGCAACAGCTGCGGCCGTCCTCCCGTGAATGCCTCCCCGTTAACTCAAGCTGCGGCAGCGTTTCACCGATAGGGGCTGGGTAGTGCAAAGCGGCCACTTTGTGCTCGATGTATCCTCAGCTGTGGCACACAATGTGTATAACACTTGACCATCTCAAGCTCCAATGGGGACATTATATATAGACAAAGTTCCACACTCGACTTGCGTCTTTACTGGTGATCAGATTCAGACCGATGTCTTTTCAGAACTGGAAGCGTAGCACCGTTTGTGTAATAAACAAGTGCGATCGTGTTCTATCTTCATAGCATTTTTTGTCGCAGCCCCATAACAGTAGGTCCCATGACAGACAGTCGTTCTGGTCGGAGATGCCAGAGCTTTCTGAAGTCGTATGATTTCCGACCACCAACATGCCTTTGGTGATGCTCGAACACCTTTTCCGTGAATGTAGCTCAACTCCTAAAACTCCAATGCGATGTCCATTGCAAACTTGGTGTTCTGGTTCCCACGTCGTGTTCATTTCTTCCCCTTCTTCTTTCCCTGCCTGTCCTGGTATGAGGGAAAGACGATCTTGGATGTTTTCCTCCGCTTCTCAACACGCTTCTTGTCATTCTTGCTGCTTGAGTTTGACTTGGTGGAATCCACCGCCATTGCGACTGCAGACATCTCCATTAGTTCCCAGACTCGAGCAGTTCACCAAGGATTTTACTCACTGGCATTCACGGTTGCGTCGTTTTCCGTGGCCGCCTCTCCTTCCGGCTCATCATTGTCCACAATCTTCATCTCGGCATCCGACTCAGGTTTCGGCTGTGCGGCTATCTCAAGTAACTTGGCCGACAGACGCTGCATCCGCGCTGCCTCGACAGGCCCAAAAACCTTCTTCTTGAGGCGCTGGTTGTTGACCTTCCTCGTGCTAGCTCTTGAACTTTTCGCCATTGTTGCGACTGGTCTTTGCGATCCCTGGTGGTTGTTGCGACGGAGTAGTTGGTTGCTGAAGGTAGGAAATCTCGGTGGTCTGCGGATCCTGGTCCAGCCTAGAAATTCTGCCCGCTGCTGTCCTATCGATAGTGGCGTCTTTTTGGGGCGCGGCACTAAAAGCTTTGACACTTTAAAAACAGAAGGCGGTAAGGATTTATCCCAGCTCTCGGAAGCAACTGCTACTCCGAGGGACGACGAGGAGAAGTGGTGATAGTTAGGCTTCTCTCCTACGAAACAAAGCAAAAGCTGCGTCCTTTTGGCCCATTCGTGGACTTGGAATCTGTTGCATCGTGCTAGCATTGGAGTCGTCAGTTTTTGGAACAGATTCTAAGCATTATTCTCCCGGCGAAAACCAACGAAGACCATAGCGAATCATCGCGTCCTGTTGTGGGCATTGGTACTTCTTGCACAGCGCCGAAGCCCTGACTGACCCCGAGCCTTCCCTATGGGCCATGAGGCAGCCAAAAGCCCAGCACGCCTGCCTTCTTAGCAAAAATGGCTTCAACTTCGAATTCAATTAGCTCTGGCGAGATCGCACACCTCCAAACACAGTTGGGCACTTTTCTCAACAAGCAATTGCAGTCGATCTGCGCCATCAATGGTCTCAAGCAGAGTGGGATCAAGGCGGACTTGCAAAGACGCATCATAGCCGGTACGGTTTTGCTTATTTTCAGCATTGCGCATTAGTAGCAGCGCTGAAACTGCCTTCCCCAGCTTCTCCCACGTTCAAGTTAAAGCTAACCTATTTTCCGTCCAGCCCTCGAGGAGAATCTCCATGCAGACCCAGCGCGATACAGCCAGATCCGAAGCTCCATACAGAGGGAAATGCCCAACGGTCGCGGTCAACAGCAGAACAACGGAACAATGGGTGGGGGCTCTGGACGCGGCGCTACCTATCCGGCGAATGCTATACCACAGTCTTTTGGACAAAACGGCTACAACTATGGTCGCGGTGGATATGGTGGCGGCGCGTCAGCTCCCCCGCCCCAGAAGAAAGGTACGACCCAAGTCGAAGTGTTGCCCGACCAAGCTAACCTTGCGCGCAGCCCTTGAATTCAAGCGAAGCCCTTTCTATACGATTGAGTCTATGATCGGAGAAATACGAACTTGCGAAGGTAGGTGACAAGCTTATTTATGACACTTTGGTGGTCACAGATGGCCCCTTGTTCACCCGCATATGACCCTGCCTGTACCAATGGTCGCAATTGCCAACTGCCTTCGTGGGCAAGCTAGCCGCATTCTGACCTTGCGTCTTCAAGCCATTCATGAGCGCATGCTGACCACAGAAACACTAGCCATGTCACAACACCGTAACACGATCACGATTCCGCTCAAGACGAGCGAATTTCGTGACGCTGATCGCTTTGCATACGACAAAAACCTCAGAGTCATGATTCTCTGTGCTGAGGATGATCAAGGGCCCCAAGACATTTCTTTCCCCCATCAATCCGAACTGAAAGTGAACAGCGGCGAGATCAAGGCAAATCTCCGAGGTCTCAAGGGCAAACCAGGATCGACACGGCCGGTGGACATCACGAGTTTTCTGCGCCTGGACAAGTTCTCCTACCAGAACAACATCGAGTTCACTTATGCCCTTACCAACAGGGTGAGCAAATACAGCCTTCCAACAAGTGACAGCCAAGTGAGCGATTTTACTCTCTTTTCCAAGTGGAAATCGCTTTAGCTTCACTGAATCCGCTTTCACCTGACCCCCTTACTTCTTTTCTCCTTAAAAGGTGCACCCAGTGCTGACACTCCGAATAGAAATTCTATCTTGCGCTTTACGTTTGTAAAGCGACCCCGGTGGAAGACCTCGTGATGAAGATCCGGGGCAAGAAGATTGCCAGAGCTTCTGTCATCCAGGAGCTCACCAAAGCTGCCCATGACCCAGATGTCGTGGCAACATCACAGGTCCTGTCACTGAAGTGCCCCTTGAGCTACATGAGACTGAGAATTCCGTGCCGTTCGGTTTCTTGCAGTCATATCCAGTGTTTCGATGGCACTTCGTATCTCCAACTTCAGGAGCAAGGTCCCCAATGGGTTTGTCCGATTTGCAACAAATCAGCACCGTTTGACAGCCTAGCAATTGATGAGTACGCCAAGGATATCTTAGACAACACCTCGGAATCGACCGAACAGGTAACCATCGAGCCTGACGGGCAGTGGAGGAAGCAAAGCACCGCAGAGCCGGAACCTAAGAAGCCCAGGCATTCAGGTGTGACGGCTAGTGTCATTGACGATGATGACGATGACGTCGTTCCATTGGATGACTTTAGTGTTATCAGCATGCGGAATACGCAGACTCCAAGTCGATCAATGCTAGGCACGCCCGCTTCTATGTCGGTCAATGGTGGTCCTACGTCGGCTAATGGCTCGTCGTCAGGCACCAGAAAGCGGCCGGCAGAAATCATCGACTTGACCCTCAGCGATGATGACGACGAGCCCATCATCCGCGCGCCCAAACGCCAGAACCCGGGCCCGACGCCGACTCCTTCTGCAGCTCCGGCTCCTCCTCCGGCTCCTCTTCCGGCTCCTCCGGGACTGAGCTTTCCCAATTTCCAATATTCATGAAGCTTGTCGTGACTCTGATCCTGGTTTTGGCTTTGCATGGAAACGGCGTTGGCGGTAGACATGATATTATTGCAAGGAACACGGAAAGGCCACGGAATATACCACACTGATTCCCATCTTGAGTTATGGAGATTTGCTACCGCACGACTGAATGGTTGAATTTACTCATCGCTGCTCTTGTAGCACAGGTTAGACCGTAGTTTTTCCATTCAGCCGTCGAGCCCGATATCAAAAAATGTCGATATTTACCATACTACCTACGTTTTCCGTACCTGTCAATTTTTCTCCAAACGGAAGATTAGCGATGATGGAGATGGGGATGGACAACGTTCGATATAGAAATGTGCAAAAGGAATCATCAGTGTTGTCGTTCCACATTACGTGCAATGTAGGCGACCCAGACAGGATTCGAACCTGCAATCTTCACAGTACCGTATACGAAACCGAAATGTGATGCGTTAGCCATTACGCTACTAGGCCGCATATATCAGCGTGTAAGATATTTGCCATCATATCTCCCGTTGATCTTGAAAAGAATGCGCAATGGATGTATGAGCCGTCCGAGAACCGCGGGTTTTGAAGTCTCAGCGTGGTCGGAGGCGGGGTTGAAGGGAAGCTTGTCCTCAAACTTTTGAAGAAATAGTGGCGGCCCGAACGTCAGAAAGCTCGACACGACTTTAGTAGCACTGGATATAATCATGTCAAAGAGATTGGCCCCTATTCCCAATTTTACACCAAATACCTACTTTTCTAAACTTCACAGTCAATTCAAATCAATTGGTATAAGGCTAAATTTGATGCGATTTTCGTCTATTTATAAGCTCTAAAATCCTTGGATAGTACGAGGTTTCGAAGTAAAGGCTTATAAAGCTACCACGACTTCAAGTCGAGTACCGACCGTAGTTTTAGGCTGATTTTCTATATAAAATCAGATGGTTCTTCATTTCTCTCCACTTACAGAAGTTCAAAAATTTGAAGTATCACTTAATGTCTAACATGACTCCTGTTAAATACACATTTAAATAAAGCTATACACTATCTAGTCCTATAGTTATTACGGAGTGACAGAGGTACTATTATGTTTTAGTGTCAAGGTGGATATGAGGGCCAGACTTTTTGACAGTGATTTTACTTGGAATTCAAACGCTAGTAATTGCACTTTTACTGCTGCGGCAGGCGATGGCTTGTTTATACTTTATCTATCGCGGCGGACGTAAACTAACTACATGCCATAGTATGTACGGCACTACCAATGACGAACTTTTACCACTGTGAGTGTTATTCCAGCTTGAATCAAAGCCATCTTTCAAATGCGATAGTGGTTCGGTCCTTTAGTACTTAACACAAACATCGAAACGCATTCTTCGAACTGGAGCCAAGCGGATGCCTACCAACTCAGCCGTCTAGGAAGTCCAATCGTGTTGCTTCCTAGGGCACGGCATTGTGATCGACGAATATGCAGTAATCCAATAATAGAACACGGTCTCGAAGCTGTTGCAGCGCCTGGCTAGTCACCCAAGGTCTTCTTCAGCTCGGAGACGGTGCGCGCAATCGAGGCATTGCTCGCGAATGCTTTCTGCATGCATGCATCAGGCAACATCCCGACTGAAAGGAGGGGTTCGATTGAAGTTCAAGGGTACCGATAGGCAATCAACTATAGCACGGAACCTTGGATATATCAGTCCGTTCTGCACTACCGGGTACGTAGTAGGGTGGACAGAATACTTCGGAGGATGTCTGCTCCGTCCTGAGTTCCACAAGGTAGCATTAACCTAAGTCTGGTGAGCAACTTCCCCGAAATAATAACTGACTTGGTGCTCCGGCTAGGTGATGATACCCGGTGTCCACGACACCAGCTCTCGGCGCTTTGGAATCGATGCGATACTTCACACCTACAAGACCACTATCCCATATAATATATACTGTCGAACCCCAGTGCCAAAATGCTTTGTTATTGACATGGTCGACTTTGGAGTCACTTAGGTCTACCCGCAACCTCAACTCAACTCTGATGATGACTTGAAGGTAATTTAGCTCACAAAGTTCTCGAGCTGGGCGAGCACGAGAAAATACGAGGCACGACGAACAGTGGGAGGCATACTTCGAAATGGAATGGTTATTGATGCAGGTTTCCAGTATTACCTCCAATAGTGTCGACTGGCCACCGCCTCAGTTTACCTTGTATCATCATCTCCTAGGATACCTGGCACTGGCGGATATACAATTCCAGGAAGCTTCCATTGCTGTGCAAACACAGGCTTGAGCTATTGAAAGCCACAGCACCAGTGCACTTATTCTGAAGTAGAAAATCAGCGGCTCGTAATGATGATCTCAAGAACGTCTTGCTGCTATGGGAACCTATTATACACATTATGTAATGTGAGGTCCCTGTGGAATCCTTGGTCTTAAATCATCCCCGAGCAGAAGAGTCTGCGTCAAATCCGGTAACATATCGAAGTAATCCAGAATTATCGGCATCTCAACCTTGAAGTCAAGACCTTCATAGACTCCGGATGGGCTGCAAATCGCAATGACCAGCTAGGGTCACGGACCAAAACAACACACTCTTCCGCTCACGCTTCGAACCAAACGACCAGAAAATCAAACCATCGGGTATCGTAAGCCAGAAACGTCCCTTGAATGCCTCTTCAAGATTATCGTAGAAATTTCTGGGGATTTTCCCGTTATCTTAGTTTTCTCATTTTCTGTCGTGGTTTCGTATGGTAGGGCCTTGCGATTCTCAGCGTCAAATGAGACCCGTGTTGTGGTCGGGTTTCAAGGCCATAGGGGGAGTGGGGACAGTGAGAAGGTGCATTATCGTGGTGGACGGCAAAGAAAGAGGAAAAAACGGAAGTCGCTTTTGGAAAATTTCCTCTAGTGCATGGGATCCCTCAGGCATGGGAGGACCGTGGCAGAAGTGTGACAAGTTAAATGAATATCGGGGTTGTCCAGATATGAGTATTGCCACAGATAACATTCTCATCATGGATCAATCATCTATAAAAGTCAGTGGAAAAACTAAAGAACAGAGGCAAACTCAATTTACCGAAAGTCGTGCCTGACGGAGCGCTCGAAAGGATCGTTACATCAGATCAGAGGGAGGTCGCGATACGTTTGTCTTACTGACATACAGATAGCTGGCTCCTTCAAAATACAACTAGCCGCGACAAATATGCTCGAAGACCAGACGGTCGAGCCAAGGGTCCCCGAGGTTATCGTTGCGTCCAAAGCCCACGGAGTGGGATATGAGGTACAGGGCGAATTCGTCCGAGAGCCAGTCTAAGATGAACCGGTACTCGTCGCTCTTCTCCGTTTTCTCTTTGCTGCCGAAGCTCTGCACATAAACCTCCATGATGAGCGTGCGCCACTGACGGGGGTTACGATAGCACACTTTGTGGACCGAATCATCCGTCTTGTTTTCCCATTGGTAAGACAGTTCCTTCGAGTTGTATGTGTGGGAGACCATAGCCAAGATCGAATCCAACAGCGCAGTGCCAACTCGCTGTTGACGGTACTCAGGGCTAACCATGATATATAGTCTGCCCGATTCCTTGCTGTTGGTCTTGAGGGAACCAAAAATACCACGACCGGCGATGTCGATGAACACAAAACCGATGACTGCGTGTGTTTCCTTGGGATCATAGGGGTTGTTGTATTTGTCAAGAGCAACAATGAACGGCATCTTTTCTTTCTTGCAGTTCTCTAGGATGTGTTTGAAGCCCGCAGGATCAACAGGGTCTTGGTCCACAGCATGCCAACCCTCTTTGATCTCATGATTGTAAATGGCGGCAACCCCGTCCATATCCGCCTCACAAGCTGGTCTTAGGTGACAGGGATGTCTGCATAGGAAGCGATTCTTCCTCTTGGCTTGCTCCTCCATGAACTGACGCCCCTCTTCCTCCATCTGACGCCTTCGTTCCCTTTCCTTAGCCACTTCAACAGCTTTGGCCTCAGCTTTGGCCTCAGCTTTGGCCTTTCTCGCCTTTTTTGCAATGACTCGTCTGATTGCCAAGGCAGAGCTCTCCGTTAATTGCTTATGCGCCAAGTTGGACGAAAGTGGCTGCTGGCTCGGTCTGCTTGTGGGGGCTTCACAGGGAGCGACAAGCTCGCCAGTCATAGTGTCGACATCACAGTCCTCGTGCTCAGGGACTTTTTCATCAAGGAAGGAAGCTCTCACTCCCGGAATTTCTTGAGCCCAGGACTTGATGTAACCAGACATGATCGACGAGTGTTCAAAGTTTCCCTCGACGCTGACATTGCTATCGGTGTCCTTCTTTTGAGGCTTGGCACGCCGGGGTTCATTCCAGTCTTGGTCCGCTAATTCTTTCTCTGGAAACGTTCCGCGAATGTCTGGCGTACGTCTAGCACTCTGAACTCCAACGCCGTCGTCACTGATTCTAGCCATCCACTCATCGCTTTCAGCCTTTTCAGTTAGAGCAGCACCGGTTGTAGAAATTAAGGCATCAGCCGTTGGCGGCATGACCTTCTGAGGGCTGCCCGACGTTGGGCCAACCGGTGCTTCAGGTGTGCGAGCTACAGAAGTAACCGCAGTTGATCCATGAAGACCGGGTTTGGAGGGCGTGGTAACCGGTGTTTTCTGTATCAAGTTAAGCATGACTGGGGGCGCGCGAGGGCGTGACGCGACCAGCTCAGGCGTCGTATAGGGCTGGGGACTATTATCCGAATTCTGGGTATGCTTAGGTGACTCTTGAACATCAGGGGTGGAAATAACGGGCCGATTGGTCTCAGGCTTGACCGCAGCAGGAACGAATGGCTTATAATAGCGCTTGATGGTTTGCTGGTCCAATGACTTTGCAGCACGTGGGCTCTTTGCAGCGGGCTGAATCTTCGCTGGAGTTTGGTTATTCGCAGCAGGTTGACTCTTTATAGGAGTTTGGCTCTTGGCAGCAGCTTGACGATTCGCAAGAGCTTGGCTATTCGTAGGAGTTCGAGTTTTTGTAGCCCAGCGGCTCTCTGGCAGCTGATTGCGGTCAGGCTGCGGCACAATGGGAACATCATAAACCCAGGCCTTTGAGTGAGACATATTGTGATTGTTTCCTGACAGAAAATTGGCGTTCTCAGTAGTCATGCGACCGTTAGAAGTGACAGAACCTTGGCCATCATGAAGGTGAGGTGTTACAGATACGGTTTGGGGAATGGCTGCAGACCCCATCTTCGCCAAAGCAGCGCCAGAATCACGATCAGTCTCGTTGTTACAGACATCACTTGAGTCTTGCAGGTGAGCCTTCGATGCAAGGACATAGCTGCCATTATACTCTTCGGTCTTTTCAGCGGCGTAGCTACCGTCGTCGAGCTCACCATGCTTGGATCCGTGAGTCTCCCCTTGCTGGACTTTCTGGGTGTTGAGTTCGACAAAGCCACCATTGCCTTTCGGCTCACCGGGATTGCCCTTGGAGGCGAGACCATTGCTTCTCGGTTCATCATGGCGAGACCCAAAGTCGGACTCAGCGTTCAGGCCACCACGGCCATCGCTATGATGGGACCAATTGTCCAGCCACGCCTGACGCTTTTTCATCTTGAATCCGTAGTCAGAAGGAACCTGGAGATCTTTGGTTAGTTCTGTACTGGAATGATGAATACAAGTCACTAATGCCAAGCGCAAGTACTCAATACATTGGCGCTATTGCTTGATCTTTAAAAAAATCAAGTCGTAACTGCGAGTTGCGGGTTCTCTGACGGGAGTGAATAACATGCAAGTCGGGGTTGTTACTTGCTCAAAAGCGCAGTCATACCAGGTACGGGAAATCAACCTTGGTTAGAAGGACTCAGAGGCGGGAAATGGCAGGACATAAGAGGGAAGGTGATCGTAGCGGTGACACTGCTCATGCACCCCATCGAGAGTTGATAAGCTAATGGAACAGATGAAACCCGGGGACTCACTGGTAATGAGGTATTTTCCAGAGACCAGCGTAGTGCCTGTTTTCTCAAAGGCCAATGACTTCAGACAAGGTGCCGTCTCGATGACCGTGTTGAGTGGAGGAAACTGCCAACAGGCGATGCGACAAATTTGAATATCTCAAGGTGCTGAAGCAGTCTCGCCACGTAGAGAATTGGGCAGTGAGCTCGCAATCTTGGGATAAAAACCTAGGCCAGGCGATTTTAGTACCACTGTATTACATTTCCCAGCGCAGACAAGCGCCTGAGGGTTCAGTGATGGAGATGGAGAGGTGGAGACATGAGAGGCAGGGAAGCATAAAAATATGGACAATGCGAAGCAGGCAACTTATTGAGATCAAAACTGTCTACAGCGGGATGCGCTGATAACAAGATGATCGGTGGAAGGCGATGGTTCCTGACATAAAAGAAGATGGCTTTGTTGTAGAATCACCAAATCTTTATTTGGGGATGATGAATGGTGTTGAAGGTAGAAGGGAAAACTTCGATCTTGCGGGCCAGGTTGCAAAATTTTGTTCTGCCAGAGGCGGAAATGGCTTTATCACGGGCGCACCTTCCCTACTTGTGTCCTGCCGCAGCTTCCCCAGTTTCAGTCGAAGCATTCAAGAATCAAAGGGCGAGACAGGAGTTAAACAATGTCAAAGCGAAGATGCGCAGGCACGTTTAAAGTAACTTGCCATTGTCTCGTCAATCTCGTTAATCACGAAGTCATCTGCAACTGCCTGCTTCAGTGTCCAAAGGCGTTCAGCAGATGTACTAACTTGAAGATGAATCCAGGGATAAGCTCGGTTTGCTATGGTGTTTCTGAGTATTGGATTGGGTTGAGATGGGGAATGTGGTCTAATGATTGAGTTCTCGACTTTAGTCAAGCAACAGGAAGCTTATTCAAGGAAGTCAGATGGAAGTGGCGATGCTGGTGATCGTTTGAAGGAAGAATCACTTAGGAGTTAGATTAGGAATAATACAAATTTGTGACTGTGTGGCATTCCAGAGATCTAAGGGGCCAGGGCCAATATGTTATTCCTAAACGCAACCATTGCGTCCACAAACCAAGCCACAGAGTATAATGCGAGGCAAGATGCAGTTGTACAACCATGGTAACCTGTTTCAAGTGAGAGAATGCCTTGAGGCCACATTCATGGTAATGTGAATTCCATGCTCGCTGGAAAGGTGACAATGTTGTGCACATAAGTCCAAGTAGTTGTTTACCAAAAGAATACTTTCATGGACTTCCCAGAAAAGTGAGGCTGCAAGAATTGCAAATGACATAATCCAACAAAGTTGTAAATAGTGAACTCGAATAAACTGGTTTACATGATTTATATTTTGGTCGGGAATTGAAGCGACTTGTGACGGGGGAGAGAATTGTTGCCGCGGGCATTGAGTTGAGATGTAGTGAAGAAAATCACGTGCTGTTAATCAAGGACCCAGAAAGAAGCTCGCACGGAGCATTTGATGTGAGTTTCCACTATCAAGTACATGCCAGGCAACCATATAGTAGGTGCTTTTCCTCACTTCATTATTGAAAGTTGAAGCCAGCTCAACGATTCATGAAGCACGTTGCGAGATTGAGCAAACATCACATTGTCCCAACAAAGCTCGGCTTCAAAGAGCTGGGGAAATGTTGTCGATTCTGCGAAAAGCTCGGCTCAAGGACAAGGAGATGAGAATTCTCATGCTGTGAGCCGACTAGCTGGATAGGCTGGATATCAGGTGCTGACAATATTGGAGAGGGCTTGACAATGCCGGTAAAACAACAATCGTTAAGAAGATCATGAACGAGGATGTCAATACCGTCAGTCCCACACTGGGATTCATAATCAAGACGATCGACTACGAAGGGTAAGCTGCTACTTCACCATGCCCACTGAGAGAGACACCCGAGTTGACACTGGCCAAGCTACAAGCTCAACATATGTAAGTTGAAGGGCTTCATTTTGGAGGACTGTTGAGCTCATAACAGCAAGGGGATGTGGGCGGACAGAAGACTCTACGTTCGTACTGGAGGAACTACTTCGAAAAGACAGACGCCCTGATTTGGGTGGTGGACGCGACGGATCGACTGCGAATCGACGACTGCAGGGACGAACTCCATGGTCTTCTTCAAGAAGAGGTGCGTCCATGCTTTTGTGACAGGCGCGTCGCATTGTGCGAGACTGACTGTGACGCAGCGGCTTTCGGGTGCAAGCCTTCTGGTCTTCGCAAACAAGACCGACGTGCAAGGATGCATGGATGAAGCCGAGATACTCCAAGGCCTGAAGCTGAAGGCGATCCGAACTCACCAGTGGAATGTGTTGCGATGCAGTGCCATAACGGGAGAAAACTTGAATCAAGGCCTCTCGTGGGTAGTGGAGGACGCGAAGGCACGGCTATTCCTATACTGAATTGAGGTGGATGAATGCAGGGGAACAACAAAATGTGGGGGTTCAGCCAATGGCGGCTTTCCTCCACAAAGCCCATGTTTCGGCATCATAATGCGAGCCTGCTGATGACGCATTGTCAAGCCTTGATTTTGCAGTGACAGGACTTCCGAATAAAGAGGAGTTCGTCCCTGCTTGTTTCAACAGTTCTGCTGAAGGCGACTTGGGTGAATAAATACATGCCACGAGAGGAAATCAAGAACTGAAGGCTTCTCAAGCACTCCAAAATTGCTTCCTAGACTCAGCGCTGGTTTGTCTTGACAATGCAAAGAACAGTCCATAGAATACGACTGAATAAACCATCGTGTTATTGATTGCAGGGGTAGCCCTTCTTCAGCCGAAGGGCACAGATGTTGAAACAATCCCTACGGCCAGTCAGAAGCTGGAAAATGGCCATGCCAAAGTAGGGTTCTCCAAGCGCGGATCTCCTATGGTCTGAGCGTCTAAATTGAAATAAACATTTGTGACAAAGAACATTGAACCGCTTCACAGGGCTGAACAGAGGACCAAAGCCATAGGAAATATAACCGGGCGACTAACGACATTCCAAGTTTGTCTCTTGTCAATGCTCTTACCTTGGATAAGTCGCTACTTTTTGTATCACTCGATCGCCTTGAAATTCGTGGTTTTCAATTTTTGCCCACATTTTGAGTTGATAATCGCCTGCTGCAGGGTTCAATGTTCGTGTAGTAAGCGACCAAGCGGCAGAATTCAAGCATGCCAACGGGGGGTGATCCACTTTTGAATGCCAATGATCACGCAAGTTGCCTCTGCCCCGATTCGGCGATTCAGTTGCTTCCATTGTTGATTTAGAACCCCTCAGATCTTTAGCTTCAACGCCGCGAACCCAGCGTCGCGTCTAAACTTACGGCTCTGATAAGCCTTTCCCACCACGAGACCTCGGGCAACACTGCACTACACCGCACTGCGTCAACAAAGACAACTACCCGGGAGCCCGTCAATGGAACACTGGTGCTGGACGTGTTTTGCCCTGCCATATGTCACCCTCCTTCCATCTGAGCCATGTCTGAGGACGTATCCAAGTTTTTGATGCAGGTTCGAGAGCTGGGGGACAGACGTGTCGAAGAGGACGAGGCGCGATCCAGAGAGCTGGAAGAGAAGATATTGCAAGACAGAAAAGAACGACAGGCCCGTCGCGCAGGTATGGCCAACTTCTCTACTCTTCTTTGATCACCGAGACTCCAAGCACCTCCACTTCTGACTCCTGACTCCTGCCTTGACTGCGCAATTTCCACCGACCCTTTTGGAATACTGGCAATCAGGACTATTGTGAATTCTCCGAGAGCCATTGAACTCTGTTTGGAAAGAACCTCAATTGCCTCACCTGATGTCCCGATCGCCATATTGCTCATTATCTGTGTGGTCATTATTTCTAACACACACGTTTTAGAACGCGCCCGGTCTATTTCACCCCAGAAATCCTCGCCCGCAAACACCCCGCCTCCTTCAGCGCAACGCGCCGCCGCGCAAGCACCTGAACGTCTTGCTCTTGATTCCTCGCCCATTCTCGAACCGCCAGCAAGCCCTCAATTAGGAGGCTTGCCCCAGTCCGACTCAATGAATTCCTCTCCAACCAAAGAGAATGAGTCGCCGTTCGAATCAGACAATAAACGTGCGAGCGGTTCCATGTCTCCCACGCGAACGGGATCTATGGCACGGGGCCTAAGTTGGCAACAGCGACGACCAACTTCTATAAGCCGGCCACTATCCATGGTGGCAGCGGAGAATGCAGCCCGTTCTTCCAACAGTTCGACAGAACCCACTGAGCCTGCGTCGAGAGACCAGATTTCCCAGGCTTTGTCGTCGAAAGATCCTGCCTGGTTCCGTCAGACCGCAGATCGAGGCATATCTTCTGACGCATATAGGAAAGAACAGGTGGAAGACGAGGAGAGAACGGACATGTCATCAACGAAGACACAGCTTCCGGGAATGGCGCGTGGGCCAACGGCAGAGCCTACTAAAGGCGAATCAAATTCACGGCCTGAGTCCCCTGGCTTGAATCAAGGCCTTGCATCACCTATTGTGTTCACCAAATCTCAAAAGCTGGATCCCCCCAACGGCGACACTCATTCAGCGCCAGATGCAACTCAGGAAAGGCAGCATCTGGTTTCCTCACCTTTGTTGGGGCGAACTTCGCCCACAAGGACGGATCGGCCCGTTTCGCCGACAAAAGGCATGGGCGGGTTTGTGCAGAGTGCCATGATGAAGCGTTCCGACAGTGTGAATAAAAGATGGAGCGTCCATTCGTCGACAGGATTGCAACGTGGTGATTCAGTCGCTTCAAGCCACGGCACTTACGATGCCCCAAATCGCAAGAGCATGAGTGCCAAGTCCCGACCAACAAGCTTGTTCCGGGAGACCTCATTAGAGACGTCCTCGCAACCGAGTTCCAGCCAAGGCAAAGAGGGCCGATATGATATTGAACCAATTTCTCCTTCAACGGTGGACACGTCACTCAAACTTGACACAAAAACACCCTCACCCCCAGAGCCACGAGAACCAGATGCGGAAAAAGCCACACCTCCCTCTAGTCCATCAAAGACAATGGACCAGAGAAGGTGGAGTCCCAATAAAGCTAGCTGGCTTGAGTCTGCTCTTAATAAGCCTGAGTCTCCGAAGCCGAAGCAAACTCCACCTTCGAATCAGCCTGCGTGGATGGCAGAATTGGCGAAAGCGAGAGCTCAGAAGGCTTCCAGTAATTCTAGTACGGACCTTGGAAGGGCGCCGACTGTTTCCCACAAACACCAAGTCAGCATTGGCGGACTTGCGAGGACCTCGACCCCCAGCGTCATTGCTAAGCCATCGGCCTTGGGTGGGTTGCCCGGGTCCGTCACTCCCTCAACTGGTGGCACTCGTCCAGGTTTCGGAAGTGTTCGCAAGAACTCCCAGGTTTCAGCTGGGGAGGATGGCGACGATAAGGAGTCTCCAACCTCCGCTAATCCAAAGCCAGATACGCCGCCAACGAAAGATTTCCGCGCAAATTTGAAACCTAGACACGTGCCTTCGGCGTCCGGTAGCACCAACAATAATGAGCTCAAGAGTGTTTTCGGCACTTTACGAAAGACGACAACGCAGAACTACGTTGCGCCCGATGAACTAAAGAGCAACATCCTGCGAGGTAAAGCCGGTCTGAATCTGACAGGCGGCCCCCAGAAAACGGAACGCAAAGATGAGTTCAAAGAGGCAATTCTGGCCAAGAAAAAGGAGTTCCAGAAAGTCCAGGTCGAAGGCAAAGGGGTCGCCCGTACTGCGAGCGATGCAAGCGAGACGCCGCTCCCGGAGGGCCTGGCAAAGAAGATGGAGCTAGGACGTTCAGGCACGCTGAGACGGGATTCCGCTACCTCGGATGTCTCATCCGTCATTGACCTGTCGAAGAGATCGAGTGTAGTTTCCAAACACGACTCTACCTCCCAAGCGACGCCCACTTTGTTCGACCGACCAATGTCGCTTGAACGACGCGGCTCGATGCCTCCGCGCAGCCCTGTAGAGCCGAGGCGCCCGAGTTCTGGGCCAAAACGAGGTTCAGCACAGGAGGTTCCTATCGTCAAGCCCAAGCAGAATGCGGCCCCAACGCCCGGTTTGCATAAAGAGACAAGCGTCCCTGGCCGTCTCCAGCCCAAAGTTGGCGGCACACTAGCTAATCGATTCAACCCTGCACTGGCTGGCCTACTTGCTCGGGGGCCGCCTACGTCGTCGTCTGCGCCTTCTAGTGATACGGACAGTCCTGTCCCTCCATCGACGTCTTCTGATGGTGGAGACGGCAGCGAAGCTGCTTCGGTGCCTAAGCTGACTCACATGACCAAAAACCGTGCTCGAGGACCCAGACGAAAGGCGCCTACGTCTACTGGAGCTGGAGCATCGTCCCCAAGCAAAGATTTGCAGGATGCAGTGAACACGACGCCCTCCGCATCCAAGCCCGCTTCTTCGTCCCTAAGTTCATTGCAAAAGGAGGATGTCCCAGTTACGACGTCCAGACCTCAAGTTGCCAGCCTGGTCGGCTCGTCAATGAAGGGCTATGGGTCTTCTTCGCGCCCAGGGCCCGAAGCAATCTCGATTGTTGATTCTTCAAAGAAGGCATTCGAGCCAACCGCCAGCGACCTTCCAGCCAAGTCGTCATCCCCGAGTAGGATGCACAGTCGGTCTCCAAGTAAAATACACGAGCAAGTTGCTGCATTTGCTACACTGAAGAGCTCCCCCTCCCCGACCAAAATACGGGAGGAAGTTGTGCTGGAAAAATCACAGCCAGCATCTCCAAGTAGAGGCCATTCGCGCTCTCCGAGCAAGATACACGACCAAGTCGCTGCATTCTCGGCATTCAGAAGTCCAACTTCCCCAACGAAAACTCGAGATGAGCCTGAGCAACGTTCACAGCCACCATCCCCTAGAAAGCTAGACATGAAACGGATGTCCAAGTTCTTCGATGAATCAAATCAAATCTCTGAGAGTGTTGTAGAGCGTGAACCCCCGAAAAATGCGGTCAAATCCCCAAGCCCAGATTTCGAGAAAACGAAAGTACGCTCGCCCCCATTAAGCGCATCTGGTAAAGCAAGCCCTTCATTCAGCAAGCCTACAGGTCTAGGCACAAAGGGGCCTGAAGTGTGGTCACCTCCGCCAACCTCGTCTGGTCGGCCGTCTCCTTCTCTAGAAGGTCAAACGAGGAAAGAGCCTGCTTGGAGCGACAAAGTCGATTCAGCATCTAGCGTGTCGGTGGCTGGCGGCTCTTCCATGTTTGGAGGCAAGGCTCTTCCGGCGATACCACCAACAGGAGACTTGACACACCCGAAGTCCGCATCGAAGCCACTTCCATCGGAGCCAAAGTCCGCATCGAAGCCACTTCCATCGGAGCCAAAGTCCGTACCAAAACCTCTGCCCAGCCCGGGGCCAAAATCACCTCTCTCCATGGCTTCTCCAATGCGGTCGCCTACAAAGCAAGCCACCGAGGTCTCGTCGGTCTTGAACGAGTTCTTTGGCCCCAATCGTCCCAAGAGAGAATATCGCGTGGATGCGGCTGAGCTTTTGATGAATAGACCTGCCACTTCTGCTTCTAGAATTCAGACTCTGAGTGCACAACTGTTTCAGTTTTCGGCCGATGGCAAGAAATTGCCTGTGCCGGCCCAAGGTGAAAGGGTGCTCTATGAGCGTGAGATGTATCTTTGCTCTCATACATTCAAAGATGCTGCTGGCAAGAAAACTAGCGAGGTTTACTTCTGGGCTGGTGATGACGTCTCTTCTTCCATTGTGGAGGACGCATCAACCTTCGTCACTCGCGAAGCCAGAGCGCTGGGTGGCAAATTAGTCAAATTGCGGCAGGGCAAGGAAACACCCGAGTTCGTAGCAGCACTGGGGGGCATCATAATCACTCGCCGTGGGACAAGCAACAAGTTCGACTCTCTAGCACCGCACATGCTCTGCGGACGGCGATACCTCGGTCAAGTTGCGTTTGACGAAGTCGACTGTTCGTCTGCAGCGCTATGCTCCGGGTTTCCCTACCTCATCACTAATGCCGGCCGATGCTATCTGTGGAAAGGCAAAGGCAGTGGTGTTGACGAGCTCAGTTGTGCACGCCTAATAGGAATGGACTATGCACTGTCGGGCGAGATGGAGGAGATTGAAGACGGTCGCGAACCAGCAAACTTCTGGGACCTTTTCAAGGACGGTGGCCCTAAGTTCAGTTCGGCCGACCACTGGCGGTTGAAGCCCAACTACGATAAATACTGCAGCAGGCTGTTCTGTTCCAGTGCAGCTTCCAAGCAACAGGTGAGTTACACCAGCTCTTCCTCGTCCTCGGTTCGGTAGCTAGTTAGGGACTAATCTTGTGATTTTCAAACCTGCAGATCCTCGAGCTATCGCCATTCTCGCAAGCCGATCTCCACCCTACCAAGATTTACGTGCTCGATGCCTTCTTCGAGCTGTACATCATAGTGGGGTCGCGCGCGCAGCTGCAGTACGCCTCGTTCCACAACGCACTCGATTTCGCCCAGGAGTACGCCATTCTCGCCGCGGGCATGGAGGACCGGCCTTTTGTGCCCATCTCGACTGTTGTGCTCGAGGGGATCCCGAGGGACATGAAGAGAGTGTTCCGCAAGTGGCGCGACGCCGATAGCCCGACCATCACGAACACGCCCGGGTCTGGCACGGGCCTGCGTAGGGGAAGGAGTCTAAGGATCGTGCCGCTGAACCAAGCTCTTCAGGCGCTGAGCGACTAGGGTCCGTCTCGGAGCCGAAGGTGGTTTTGAAGGGTACACCCAATGAATGTTTCTTGGAATGACATGATGTAGAGATGATAGTATATGGGGTAATGAGCCATGTCCTACCACGCGCTAAGGTCTCGAACTTATCCGCAAACATGCTGTGGCACTATGGCGCAAAGACGTGGAGGGGTGACAGCAGCAGCTGCAGTCATTCTTCTCTCCGTGTATACCTGACTTGCCCATGCTTACAGAACAACGCCTCTTTGTAAATTATGAAAACCGTGGAACGCTAGCCACAAGGTTGCTAGTCGCTAGGTTGGGGTGGGAGTGGCAACAATTGCATCGCATGGAGGTGCATGGTGGCGTTTACGCGCGACCACAATATTTGCTTATTATACACATGTTATACCTACACCCAACGAACGAAAGATGTGTGTGAGAGTCGGCGTCGGCACTGTAGCTTATTTCAGACGCCGGCTACATCCGTTCTCGAATTGCAGCTACAAGGACCGAACGCTCAACGGAAGGCTAGTAATCACGACGCTTGTGTAACAAAGGCATTAGCATTTTTCGCATGGCGTGTACGCACTCAAGTAGATATTGTGCAACGAGACAGCACAGTACAGTACACACAGGGACCGACTGACGGTCCTCACAGGACGGATCTGTGAAGCTCCTTGGCTGCTTATTACCGGCTATACGAAGATCTGGACTCTCGCCTCACGGCGGTCGAACGACGCAAGGGGAGAGAAGTCGGTGCCAGCAGGTTCCTTCCGATGCCGCGAAGTGTTTTGGTAAGCTTAACAGAAGCCGCCCGAGCAGTTCCAATGGATTCCATGCCGTCAGCGGGAGGTGCGAGCTTGCACGTTGATTAGTGCTGAGGTCATCGTGGGGACGAACTCGTTTCCCCGATTTACAATATGTCCATTCCTGCTCATGCGTAAAGTGTAGGCAGATTGAAGAAAGGCGGCGGGCTGCAACGCAAGTAAGGTCTTGAGGGAGTAAACCCCAGAAGAGCTCAGAACCCCATATCGGTCGTTGGGCCCGACTAATGACGCCAGGATCGGCCGCCCTGTCTTGCTGGTGGTGGTGGGGAGGTAGGGGATGGATGCGTAATGCGTCACGCTTAATCTCGAATGTTTTTTATGCTGTCCGGTGCACGCGCCTGTACAATATTGCGAACATACGGAATCGAAATAGGCTAGCTGCCTCACACTGGGCCTGGCCGTGATGTGACCAGCCCTAACCAAGTCCTGGGGTTGCATTGGTAACATTTGCGGAGAAAACATCCGTCCGCTGCGCCACACGTACGATGCGGGGGATCGTCGTTGTTTCTTCGGTGGAGCCCACGAAGTACCTTGCAAGTCGTTCCGGTTTTGACTTTTGGTGCTGTTGAGCTCATTCATCTCGGTGAGGCTGTGTCGAGCTGTTGGGGAGCTGCAAGTCAGCTTCTTGTTGCTCGGGGGTATAGCCTGAGTCGTCCAAAATCATCTATGCGTGTAATATGTAAGCGAGGTGCCTATTGCTCATCACTTCCAACTGGAAAAAACACGTCACATTTATGCGAACTGTTCGTAAGAGGCATTGACACTAGCAACGAGAAGTTGGACGCGACGGGTCAAGCCCATCCCGACCCGTCGTCGCGTGCTGGCCATGTGACGGGTCAAAGGTCAACTTCCAAGTTCTTTGGCATTATCTCACGTTCCTCAATTGCCTTGAGCCGAATCCTAGCAATACACGGTGAAAGCGGCGGTCAAGGTCAGGATCTCAACGCCAGCCAAGTTTCGCGAACTGGATTCCTATCGTCCACGTCAGCCCAACGGCGAGGATTCGAGATGCTTTTCTTTTCTGACGACTGGTCTCGTCTTCGGCATGATTCTCGTGTTGATAAAAGGCGCAAATCCTGCAAAGGAGAAAAAGCACACATCGAGCTTCTCCGTATGCTAGTCTCGCATGTATGGCTACCGGACAGCCAAAATGACATTCTGAAAGAACTTACGATGCCAGTAAATTGCGGCCGCTCTAAGCCAATCGTCGAGACTTGGCGAATTGCATTGGGGAGAGCAAGGCTAGCACACACGTCTGCCATGCACAAGCGTCATTTCTGGCTGTGGATATGCGAACCAGCCGGATGGGCTACCGAGTCCAGCGCTAGGGCTAACACTGTAAATCTGGGGGGCCGTGACGTGCTGTCATTCGTATCGCAATCGATCGGCCGATGCCGGTACTTATCGAGTGGGTTACCACGAATGAAACATGGCTGGAGTGATGTCAGATACTAAAAAATAAACTGCGTGGCAACATAGTTGCTTTCGAAACCTGTATTCAGGGTTGACTCGCCTTACTGAAAGGTGGTCAGCCCAGGATTAATCTATGTGCATGAAGAATTTTAAAGACTACGACTAATGGTTGGGCACGTAAGCCCGCTTGCCTCCGTGCGATAAGTGACCCAGTGCTCAGTATTAGGTAGGAAGGCCTGCTTTGGAAGCCAACCACATGTGCGAGAAATGCCCGTCCTTCCCAGTCCCGAAGCCCCTGTCATACGCCACCGTTGCCAATCCATGCGTTGTTGTGAAAAAGAGTGTAATGCCATGGCGCCGCCTTACCCGTGGTCATAATCATGGCTTCAATGCTCATTAGGTCCCCCTCGCTCAAAGTCCCGAATATGATAATGAAAAATGGCATGGCTATGCATGGAGAATACCAGATGCCTATGTTCCAAGGCATATTGGATGTCCTACAGCATGGCAGCGAAACCAACAACACCAGCCAGAACAGCGCCGATGGCCTGGGTTGCTTGCGGCGCAAGACCAGACGAGACCTGGGCTGGTGCAGTGCTTGACGAGGCAGCGTACGTAGAGGAGGTGTAAATCGAAGTGGTGCCAACCGACTTGGTCGTAGGGTAGCTGACCGTAGTCGGCAGCTTTGACTTCGTCACGATAGTCGTGTCGCTGTATGTCACCCAGATGGTCGGGTAGACGGAGACGGTGTCTCCTTTGCTGGCCTCGTAGGTCACAGTGACATCGACCCCCTTTGTCTCCGTGACGGGAATGGTCTCAGTGACAGTGTACTCGGTCGTCAGTGTGACGGGGATCGTGCCGGTCTTCGTGATGTAGATGGTCGTTCCCTCAGTCTCAGTCGTGTAGACTGTCTCCGGGCAGGAAACCGTCTCGTAGACTTCGGTTGACACATGCTCAGTTACGGTGTAAGACGTGTACTCCGTTGCGGTGGTGGGGACGATTGTCTTGATGGTGGAAGTCGACGTCCAGGTCAGCACGACCGTTGAGCCGCCAATCGTCTTGGTCTCTGTGACGGGGCAAAGACTGGTCAGAGTGGTGTAGACCTCGGTTTCGACGTGGGAAGTCACGGGGGGGCCAGTGACGGTCTCGTAAATGACAGTCTCGAGCTTTGTCACATAAACGCTGGTTGTGGCGTAAGTCTTGGTGTAGGTAGAGCCCGGCGCCGTGACGGTCTCTGTGACTGGGCATATCGTTGTGTAAGTGACATCCACCTCGGTCTATGAGGCATACAGTTAGCATGAAGCTCGCGCCTCCCAAGATCGCGCTGGAATACTTACCGTAGTGCCAATGGTGGTATCGGGGGCCGTGACAGTCACTTCGCCTCCACACTCCTTTCCGCCGCAGTCGGTCACTGTGATTGTGGAGGTGGTATAGGTCGTCTCTTCGTATGTTGAGCCGCCCTCGGTATATGTGGCGGTAATTGGGCACACAGTCGTCGTCTCATAAGTGGTATAGGTTGTAATATCCCAGTCGCCGCCGCCACCTCCTTCACCTCCACCCTTTCCTGCCAGAGCAGAGCCGGCATAAGCCAGAAGAGCAAATGATGCCTTCATCTTGTCTTGGGTCCGATGTCTGACGCTAAGATAACGGATAGCGAAGTAGGATTGAAGGTTTACGAACACTTCAGACACTCGTCGAGGAGCTAACGAAGGTCTTAAGTAACCGTAACGAGCGAGTTACTTGAAAGACGTATAGAGGCTTTCGGGGAGGTTGGTGAGTACCACTTGATGACACAGCTAGAGGGATATTGAACGGAACAAAACAGGATGGCGGGTGGCCTTTTATCCCCGTCCCATGTGCATGCGAGAGACATGCAAGCCGAGGGAGAAGATTCCATGACATCTCACTTCATGACATGGCCCAAACAGCTTTTCGTGCTTTCATGGCACTACATCGGCCTGTATGGCCGAGTCTTCTTTGCGGAGGGTCAGCTCAAGCCCGGCGGCCAGGATCAGGGGTCTGAGTCGGTCTGGTTCCCCCTATACGAGAATGGGTTTGAATGGGTGAGGTCAGAAGGATCAACGCAAATAATGCAAGTTGCTAGAGGCAGGGATGGCGTGGCAGCCTAGGCGACGCTGTGTTAGCCGGAAAATGGTACTGATGGAGAGCCGTCACTCGGGATACTCGCTTTTTCGCGGCCAACGATGGCAGCTTGGCGTGAACGGCTCCCACCGTGACGAGGCGTTGTGGTCTGTTTACGCTTTGCGGAAGGAATCTGGTACATGGTTGGGAACCACCCAAAAGCGGTATGACCCTGACCGGCCGGTTACCCTATATGCAAGCCAAGTCGAGCGACATACAGGGAATGGGCTGGTATCCACGCCAGGCGGGTACTTTCGAGAGCTGCATGTAAGCCATGATTGTGGTGTCACTATCGAGGCCGGACCGCAGACCTTCGATGCCCACAAGTACATTGTTACATCTGAGCCGGCCTATCACTCAAGCTGTAGTCTTTTCGAGGACTGTGACAGCTTGTGTCGAAAAAATCAAAGAAGCCTCTGACGGCTCGGGTTTGACCAAACGAGGTCGCATGTCCCTAACGGTGATGCATCCGCACTCGACCGTCAGCTCGTTGAAATCACTCTTGTTAGGATGTAATCCAAGCAAGACTAGTGTCTGATTTCCTCCAAATTACGGTGACTGGGAGGCGACTGCTTCCGAAAGACATTTGCTCAGATCTCGATTTTTCTTTTGGTAAGTGATAATACCTGCACGTGCTGACACCCGCCAAGACAATAGACAAGCTTACAAGCTCGTGTCCAGGCGACTAGGGTGTCGTCAGAACGGGGTGCATGAGCCTAAAATCTCGGGCGCACAGGAACAGGTCCAGGTCAATACAGGAGTTGGTCAGCCAACCTGGAGCAAGCTCAGGCAAGGGACAGCGTCGCCGTACAAATCATTCGCGCACCAAGCGATTCTGACCGGCTCGACTCTCTCAGCGGGACCTGCGATGGGTGATGGCTCGAGGCTCCAGACTGGGTTTGAGGGCTGTTTGCAATGGAAGACGTTCGTTGCGTTCGTTACGTTTCGATATGCGACCTCTCGCTAGGAATACGAGGACAGAACTGCGTCGGCCGGCCTTATCCAAGTAACCGGCACGCCCTCGCCCGCTCTTCCGCATTAGGGCTATCCGATTATTGGTCTTGTTACCTGTAACGCCGGCTTCTGTGGCACGGCATTTTCGTAGGGCGGGATAGCTTGGTCACGTAGATGCTCTGTAATGAGTAGATCCGGTGGCTGGCAATTGCCTTCGAGACTGTCTTCCTCGTCAGCGTCGAAATGGGAGGCTGCGAGCTGATCCTTCGTGCTGACCGAGTGTTGTCTTGGTTGGGACACAATTTGCGATGACGGCGGAACCAGCGGGTTGGGGCCTTCGCTCCTCTGCGCAGTCTGGGAGGAGAAAATGAATGGGCTGGCGGGGTAAGGTGAGACCTTCGCACAGTAGGCTAGGAACGCTCTATTTGCACCCCAGGCTGCGTATTCCCTCATGATCCGGTTTTTCTTCAGCATCTCGAGACTTGCATTGGTGGATGATTTTAGCCTATATTACAATGTGTGTGACACCTGGCTCGAATTGTTGAAAGACGAGCGGCGCCATGGGCAGACCTGGAGTAACATACCAACCTCTTCAATCTGTTCCCAAGCCCCCCCAATAACTACTTGCCCTTCTATTGTGCTATTTTGATATCGAACTTCCTTCTTCAGCCACAACAATAGAAATAAGGTACGTGGGGCCGCGCTCACAGCTGGGACCCCCTAGCAACTCAGAGAGTACACCCGATAACCGGCATCCCGGCTCAGAGATGCCATTTCCTCGACCAAACCGCCATGTGCCAACTCCAACGTTGCATCGAAGTCACAATCACACGTATTCCACCTCGAATCTCGATTTTGGTAGATCACCTGCAGCGTTTTGCAGAGGCCCTGCTGAGCCCATACGAACCTAGCTTGCTTGATGCATTGTATTGTCCAAGGGTTTTGTTACCAAACGTTATCTAAACTGAATCTGTTACCATTAAGGTACTTAGATGTGGCTTCAATACCTTGGTACTTCACCGAGAGGTAAGCCGGATTCTCATGAGCCCACTGGTAATCCTACCCGGTATTGGATCCAGTGTAAGTCAACAGGGTAGAAATCGCTCACTTTCGCGCTTCATACCGGGACTAACTTCGATAGTGTGTATATACTCACTTCTGCGGGACATCTTATGATACAGATTCCTAAGGACACAGCTCGTTCCTGTAGTTTTGTGACCGACGGATCGTCCCGACATCTGCATCGGCCAGTGCTTACTTGAAATGCACAGCGGAAGACTCGGGTGCTGAAGGTTCCCTTTGGTTGGTAATCTGCAGCTCCGAGAAACGTGGTTGCTTGCTAAAGGTTGCCTCTTGCAGTCCTATGTAACGGGCGCCCCTTTTGACGCCAATCCAATGGTGCCGCTTGCCTCCGAACTACTGGTCACCAAAGCTTATTTCAACAGTCATTCATCATGGCATACAAAGATCCAGAAACATGAAACTCTATGAAGGCCCTTGAGCTTGCAGCTAAGCGTGAATAGCTCATCAATCTATTAGGTACAGTTTCAACTAGACGAAAAGACCGGCTCAGGGGCGTCTAGTCTCACTACTTCAAGTTGCCAATTTCATATTGGCCAAAGCTTCTAAAGGGTCACAGATGCACATACGGATTGATGTCAATATAGTATATAGAACTCTAATAGCCTCAATTGCACACTGGATAATGGACAGGCACACATATGTATGAATGCCCTACATCCGGTCCTTGCCCTGTTCCAACCTGATTTAGCCAAACATGCCAGCAGCTCAAAATCCCACATGATATCGTAATTGTGCGTAGCCATTATCTAGTTTTTGCAGCTTCCTGCCTTAGCTTGATCATCACCGCAGCAATAGTTCTCAGTGATTCCTTCTGTTTACCATTGCAAACTTCAGGGCCAAGCCGATGCAGTATCTTATCAGTATGCCATCTCAGAATTTCTTTCTTGAGGCTAAGTTGATCCACGTCAGATCGTCCTGATTTGCATCCAGGTGGTGCTTTCCTGAAGAACGTCTTCACGTCGACCTCGTTGACATCAGCCAATAGGCCCGATCTCACTGGCCATGGAACATCATCTTCAGAAAACTGCTGGGGCTCAGTATTTGACGAACGAAATATAGCGAGAGAACACCCACCTTGGCATATAAATCAGTTTCGATACGGTTCCACGCTTTGCAGTATCTCTTCCAGGCTTGAGCCCACTCCTGTGCCTCTTTTTCGGCTTTCTCGCGAGCCTCCTTTGCTCGCTTCTCTCGGGCGATGCGTGCTCGCTCCCTGATAGCTTCCTCGCGTGCTTCCTTTTCTTTGCGTTTCTTCTCCTCCTCGGCCTTTCTCTGCTCCTGCCTTTCTTTCTCCTGTCTCTCCTTTTCCTGCCTCTCTTTCTCCTGCCTCTCTTTCTCCTGCCTCTCTTTCTCCTGCCTCGCTCGGTCACGCTTTTCCTGCTCAAACTCCTGCCGCTTTTTTCGTTCATCCTCACGCTTCTCATGCTTCCGTGCCTCTCTATCCCATTGTTTGCGCTCCATATCATCCAAAACATCTTGCATGTTTATACCGAGTTTCTTCATCATGGCTTCGATAGCCTCCCACTGCCTGTCCCGCTCTGTTTTGGCGAGACCGTCATCATCCTCCACTTTCACCCTGATACTTTCAGCAAAGGGCTTGGCGGCCTTGGTACGCCTGAGCGGTGTTGTGTCTGAGTCCGACTTTAGTGTGCTTGTTTTGTTCTGCAATTGCCAAGCGCGTAGTAAAGAGCTCCACTGCCGGGCGACTTTGATGTATTGGTCCCCGTGTAAGTAACATAGCGTGCTGCTTGCTGCGTTCTTCAAGTCTGGAGATTCGGCGGCCTGAGTAGCGTCCATAGTCCTTGCAAGATTGTCAAGAATTCTGCGGCCATCACTAAATGACGCAACTTGATTCATACAACGCCGTCTCTTGGACGGCGCGATTCCTGTGCATCTCACCGCGTGTCTGAGGGGATGAATGAGTTCGAGAACAGTCTCGGGGTCCCAGTAAGGTGACTTGGACGACATTGATGAAGTTCCGTAATACATCATTATCCATAGACAAAAGCGTATTTAAGAGAGGTCGTTTCCACAAGATTGAGAAGGTGATGTTGGGTTGGGTTAGAGCAGGACGTAGGAGTTGTGGCGTTCTGGTGGGGAAATAAATGCACTCACGTCAACTCGACCAAGACCTACAGCAGGGAGATATCACCCTTTATGCGAGTTCGTAAGAGGCCTCTCGAGGCGCATTCGGCCGCTGTATCAGGCCAGAGGAGGCTATCATGTCAACCAACATTTCCCCAAGCCTCACGCTATCAATGCCTGATTACCCCCACGAGACAGAAAACTTGATGGCGAAGCCGCAAGGCAGATACACGAGTTCTAAGCCCCACGGCCGGTCAAGACCTATCACAGTTAACGTCTCCGTCCCCAGTCGCAAAGCCAACTTTTCAATGGTCGTATTGAGGTCCTCGAACTCTGATTCACCAGCTTCTAAGCGCGCAACTATTGACCAGTGGTTTATGCATTGCAGCGCAAGGCTGAGTCGGATTATGCTTCAAGTCCCCCATTTCAGCCCCGAATTAACCTACCCTTAGTGGAATGGGCGGTGGGTATCTGGGACCTGGGGTGGCACACGAAACGGGCCGTTGGCTCTGGGCCACGAGGCCCAATCAGCGACTATTCCAGTCGTCTGATAGAACTTGCTATTGGCTTGCTCATTTCCATTTTGGGATACTATGCCAGATATACCGAGCCTCGCTGAACAATGTCGAGATTGCCGTTTACCTATGGAATATTTATTGGTAGCTTTCAGGTGAAGGTATTGTCTTTCGTCTCGCATCAACTCGCAAGGCCAATCATTTTTTCCATGAACCCAGGCTTCGACTTCAATTTTTCACAATTACAGCAAAGTAACGCTCACACCCGAGGGATAGTACACAGTATTGTCTCTCGTGACATGGCCTTATGTACTAGGTCAGAAATGAATCTGGCTCTACGGAAACTGGGGGTTTTTAAAGACATCATGACCTCTCTCGAACCACCTTACTTACTCCCACCATCTTTAGTGTCGGACCGTTAGCCGCTATGAAAGCGAAGGCGCTTCGAACGAGTTCGTGGGTGCTAGATGCCTTGAAAATGCTTACTCAGACCGTATCACTTCGGAAAGTCATAGACCGGTCGGTATATGGCCTCATCAACTTGACCCCAACCTACGGCTTAGAAGTTGCGGTATAATAGTAACTGATTTTCTGGCAAGAATCTCGCAAAAAAGTGATTGAACTGGCGGTCGTGGGCTTTACTTGTATATTCCTAGGAATATGCCGCGGAAAGAACGACTGGACGTCCGTCAGATCGTGGGGATTGCATAATGTGTAGCGCTGATAATACCAACCACGATTACGTGAAGAACGTCTTGCATGCAACGAAACTGACAGGCGCCATGGCGTAAATTTCAAAACCCTCTACGGGATGGTTGATACGCCGGCATCCAGGTGAAGTGGTACGAGGAAACTCGGCCCAAACAACACATTGTAGAAAACTTCATACATTGAATTAGATCCCCAGCTGTGATAGGCATAAGAGGAGGGAATCCTATCATGCCAATTGCGACGCGGTGCATTATAGGAGATGGGGTTGTATGCGTGCACAGCCATGTGGAGGGGCTTGACATTGATACCAGTACGATCGGCTCAGCGTTCCCACAACAGCAATACATGTCTAAGGTTTCCAGGGCTGTTCGACCATGCTGTTCTCAGCTCCAAGCATAGTATCAAACGTGTTGAAACTCGTCTTGGACTTAGGACACGAGCCGACTGTAGGAATTGCTGAGTCCCCACCACGAGGACTCTGTGGTTCTGGCTTGGGCACTAGAGTGCTTCCTCTATAGAACAATATGTAGTTGGGTGGTGCTACGCGGCGCCGTCATACTGCCATGCCGCCAGTCTCGCTAATAGGGCGGTTGCTCATTGCAGAGACGGCTTGTGCGAGATCTTGCGCCGGATCACAGGGCCGTCCTTGGAACGGTCAGCAAATCCTACCCACATCTGTGAATACTGAGCAATTGCAGCATTGGGAGTGCCATGGGTTTTGGATCTGGAGGAAGAGAGTTCCCGTTGGTAAATGACCTTGCTGAAGAATCGGCCGGGAGTTGCAAACCTATGGGCTTACTACATGTTGAGTCTGGGCCGTTCGTCCTTGGGTCCGCGTGCCGACAATATCTTCTGGGCATAATATATTTCATTTAGCTTAGCTAGACTCGATCCCGCGTGCGATCAAGCGAGTTAGGTGCCGTGTTCGCCAACACCAATACCGACTGACAAAGGTATCCACTATTACTTTCCCGTCAGGTCGGCAGATGTGGCCACGCGAGCTGCTCGCCACACGGTCGACGTGAAGCGGCGAAGGATAGTTCCATCGAGTTGAAATACATATTTCCATGAGTCGTTGTCTACATGGTATATCGTGAGGTGTGAATGTTCAGCTAGCGGTTTGGCGCGCGAAATACCAGATCCCAACCGCCAATCCACTGGGAATCGTGGCAGTGTGGATTCAATAGAGGTAGAGTTCAGATTTGGAATCCTCTGAAGCGTTGCCGCTGCAAGGCAACTGCCATCCTCCCCAGCCTTCCTAGCCATCCCGCATGCTAACCCGATATGCCCTAGTGCCCCACCCGGGACTGGCTGGGGACCCTACAGCCCACTTTCAGTGGCCCATGCATAGGATCAATTAACTTGCTTGTAGTCCGGGGAGTTTCGGGGCAGTTGCCCAATTCAAATATTTTCTGTTGTTTCTTCGCTTCATCCCTCACTCTAGGACCGGGCCAAACGGCTTGGAATTCTTCCCGTTGCGGCTGGACCTCTATGAACAGCGCATGCTTGGTAGGTATAGCTCCAAGACTTGGCCTTTGGCTGCGCCTTACAACCGGGCGACTTGCACTCGAGCTTACGACGACTCGAATTGTCTCTAACCCATCGTCAAGAGATGGATGTCGGATTGGCATTGGCCAATTAAAGCGACAATAAAACACGTTGGAATGCACGAAACCCGTCTCTCAACTCCATCCCTTTGTCGTAGTTTGCCTCTTGGAAGCGAACGGGAGATGATCGAAGCCCCAAAACGTCTTGTCCAGTTCGTCGGCCGCGAGATATCTCCAAATCAACCGCGTCATGCCAAGACAGCATGTTCATCTAAATTCAGGAGAGATAATATCGACCGAAGTGTTTGTCACGGTCTCCGTTGGTCGATATATTTGGTTCATGCTGTTCATGCTTGCACGTGGGTCGCGCCTGCCCAACGTCGCAACCTCATTGCTCGTTGCCAGAAAACGCGGCGGCATGTGGGGGTCAGGTGCTCCTAATGTTGCACCAAGTGCCGAGTCTCTAGGCGCCGCCGAGCCTTACCAATGTTAAACAACCCGGTCACCGATGACTGCTGCACTTTTGTCCATCGTCTGATTCGTCTGCGGGACCTGCGAGATAATCTCCGTCAGCAAACTATGTATGTTAGTTCATCTGGTCGCCAACTAATCCAGACGGTCTATGTGGCTCTTGGTCCTTGGTCCAGCCAAAATGGCAAATCTGTACGGAAGTCATGCTATCTTTACATACACGTACCCTGCTCGTGGCCTATCGCGTACAAGGTGTTGCACCATGAGACGGTTCAGGGTAATGCTGACAGGGTAAATCTGCAGGTTCCCATCCTCGTCTTCCTTCTGCTGATTACCAATCAGGTGCGACCTCGACGACGGTGCGACGATCTGTAGACCGTGGCTCCCATGTTTGCCCGCCAGCCCATGTGGTCTGGTCTGCACGAAGTGAGTGCTGACCGGCCGAGATACTTAATTATGCTCAATCAAGCCATGCAAGTCGGGTCAATTTTTCTCCTCTGCTCCTCGCCGACTCCCTTCCATATCGTCCCGCATCTGCCTGCAGACCTGCATCCTGAAGCGGTCCGAATCGGATGCGTTGCCTTCGCAGACTAACCAAGGATTCGGCATGTCGATCATGGCCCATGATTAGACCAGTCGACCCCTGGTTGATCTAGCCCGGGGTACCTTCGACGTTGAGAATTTCAGTCGACAAGTGTGCATCCCGGCCCACTGGTACGGTAGGCGTTCTTGGGCCGTTTATGCGGCCGCATATCATCTCATTAAACCCTATTAGAATTGGAGCAGATGAACAGTTGGGACGACAATGTTTACATCGTTTAAGTTTGGGGGAATTGTGGGAATAGAAAAGCCTATCTTAAGCCACCAGACACGTGCTTTAGATATATCATGAACAGTCCCGAGTGTCCCGAGGCACCGCGGACCTTGATAGCGTATGGGCTAGGCTGTGTACTCACTATGTTACACATCGAAATTTGTAGCTTGGAAGACTCGTCTCTCTCATCTTCCGACATATGTTAGCTGCATTTACTCGCAGTCCCCGGCAATGGAGTCTGACGGGCTGCTAAGCTGTTTACCGCTGTTAACATGCAGTCAAAAGACCCATCACATCTATTGATACTATCAATAGACATGGTGTCCGAAATATGTCCTGGGTAATGGTGTTGCTTAAGATAATGACAACGCTCATTGGACTAGACAAGTGGAACTATAGTCAAAGATGACGTGGGATATAGCTTGGCATGGACTGATTCTCACAAAGTTGCATCCCCGGATAGCGGGTCGGTCGTTACTGCGGTACATACACACACGCTATGTTTGCTAGTGGGTAGCTTGTACCCTGGAGGTGCGCTTGCCTGGCGTAGAGACAGGTTCGGCTATGTGCAGAGAAAGACACAGCTTGCGTCAGAGCCTCACCCATCGGGCCCGTCGTCTCAGTCAGTTATGAAGTGACAAGCCACAAATTGTTCAAATGGCGGGCGTGGGGTCTTCCTGAGCGGAGATCTCTTCACGATTTATATAACCCCCAGCTCTCCTCCCATCCCGCCTCGGTTTGCACTGACCTCACCTCCGAGCCTTGCGCCTTCCCACACCAGTCCTTGTCCACTTTCCCTCACTACAGATCTTTGGGTGTCCGCTAAGTCAAGGCACAATGGTTGGACTGCTCGCCTCGGTTGCCCTCCTCGGGTTCTTGGGATCCGTCTCAGCCAATGGATGCCCATTTGCTGCTTCGAATGAGCTCCGCGCTCGAGTTGACGAGACCACTGACGACTACCTGGCCCAGTTCACCGTCGATGACAGCGAGGGCTTCATGACGGACGATGTCGGTGGTCAGATCGCCGACCAGGACAGTCTCAAGGCTGGCATTCGCGGGCCTACCCTTCTGGAGGATTACATCTTCCGCCAGAAGATTATGCACTTCGATCATGAGCGAGTAAGTCGAGCTCCACACCCCAAAACATTCCTCAAAGGGCACACCCAACGGGCTACTCTTTTACTCTCTTTCATATCCGCCAAGTCACTGACACGTAATGATCATCATAGGTCCCCGAGAGAGCGGTTCACGCGCGTGGCGCTGGTGCTCACGGCACCTTCACCTCGTATGGCGACTGGAGCAACCTCACTGCTGCCTCTTTCCTGAGCAGCGAGGGCAAGCAGACACCCACCTTCGTTCGTTTCTCCACTGTAGCGGGATCGCGAGGAAGCGCCGACACAGCCCGTGACGTCCATGGGTTTGCTACTCGGTTGTAAGTTTCACCCCTCCCTTGTGGGCAAACATCGCTAATCAGCTTCTCAGCTACACCGACGAGGGCAATCTCGGTAATTGCTCTGCGCAACTCTCCGTCGTGACTGCTGTCTAACCGATTTCAGATATTGTTGGTAACAACATCCCTGTTTTCTTCATCCAGGATGCCATCCGCTTCCCTGATCTCATCCACTCGGTTAAACCCAGCTCAGACAATGAGATTCCCCAAGCTGCGACGGCTCATGACTCGGCATGGGACTTCTTCAGTTCACAGCCAAGCACGATGCACACGCTGTTCTGGGCCATGGCCGGATTTGGAATTCCCCGGTCCTACCGCCACATGGTGAGTCCACAAGACCTAAGCTGTACTCGACCGTGCGCTAACGCTTTCTCAGGACGGATTCGGTGTTCACACTTTCCGCTTGGTCACGGATGATGGCACATCGAAGCTGATCAAGTGGCACTGGAAGACCAAGCAGGGACGAGCTAGCTTGGTTTGGGAGGAAGCCCAAATTCTGGCTGGCAAAAATGCCGACTTTCACCGGTCCGACCTTTGGGACGCTATCGCGTCCGGAAATGGCCCTGAGTGGGAGTTGGCCGTGCAGGTTGTTGACGAGGACAAAGTATTAGCTTATGGCTTCGATCTGTTGGATCCCACCAAGATCATCCCCGAGGAGTTGGCGCCCCTGCAGAAGCTTGGAGTGATGAAGTTGGACCGAAACCCGACCAACTATTTTGCTGAGACCGAGCAGATCATGTTCCAGCCTGGGCACATTGTTCGAGGAGTCGACTTCACTGACGACCCCTTGTTGCAAGGACGCATCTTTTCGTACCTCGACACGCAGCTAAACCGCCATGGCGGTCCCAACTTCGAGCAGCTGCCCATCAATCAGCCCCGTATTGATGTTCACAACAATAACCGGGATGGTGCCGGCCAGAACATGATCCACAGCAACAAGTACCCTTACTCTCCCAACACGCTCAACGGCGGTAATCCCAAGCAAGCAACTCAGTCCACGGGCCGTGGCTTCTTCACCGCTCCCGGCCGAACCGTGACAGGCAATCTCGTCCGAGCTCTGTCTTCGACTTTCGACGATCATTGGAGCCAGCCGCGCCTGTTCTACAACTCGCTCACGCCCATCGAGCAGCAGTTCCTCATCAACGCAATCCGCTTCGAGTCGAGCAACCTCCAATCCGCCGCCGTGAAGCAGAACGTGCTCACTCAGCTCAACAAGATCAGCAACGACATCGCCACTCGCGTTGCTGCCGTCCTGGGCCTGGACGCACCCGCCCCTGACGACACGTACTACCATGATAACACCACGGCGGGTATCTCTATCACCAATGGCACCTTGCCCACGGTTGCTACCCTCAAAGTCGGCATCCTGGCCACCACCAAGAACCTGGGACAAGCCACCACGCTGCGGGAACGCTTAGCTGCCGATGGGCTCGTCGTGTCCGTCGTCGCCGAGACCCTGACTGCGGGCGTTGACAAGACGTACTCACTCTCCGACGCGACCGATTTCGACACCGTCGTGCTTGATTCCGAGGCCATCGCCGCCGGCCTGTTCGGCGTCAACTCCAGCTCGACGTTTTACCCACAGGGCCGCCCGCTGCAGATCGCACATATGGCTTTCCTGTTCGGCAAGCCGATCGGCTCGTTTGGAGACGTGACTGCCAGCGAGACGTTGGCCTCGGTGGGTGTTACCGCGGGGCAGGACGGCGTGTACGAGGGCTCGGATCTGGAGGCATTTGTTTCTGATGTCAAGGATGGGCTTAAGACGTTTAAGTTTACAGATCGGTTTGCGTTGGATTCGTGAAGATGGAATTATTGGCGAAAAGAGGGGGTGTTTTGCGGCTTGATGAAATTCTTCTGCGACTTTGAAAGAGCAAAGTCGGCTTTTAGATAATAGGTGGCCACCACATGGCCTTTGAACTGCGATGAATCTATAATGTATTGAAACATGAAATCAGATAAGTGGAATTGTGCCCGTCTGCAAGTCACGGTTTGATAAGTGGCTCCATAGTAGGATTATGCTATGAAACGCAAAGCTGGCGAGAACAAACAGTGTACTTGCCTGCTTAGCATACTTCAACGGTAAATATGTATACTTCGTATACACCTCCGACCTAGGCCCCCCGCTTTCTTCCATTTCCGCACGAGGGCTGCTGCAACTTAACACACGACCCACCGAGAAACAGGCCACTGCAGGTCATGCTTATCAGTTAAACTAGCTTCGCCGGGCCAGGTAACACGATCCCGACGACCTACCGCTAGCTCGAGAGACAGAAGCAAAATTTATGCACGACATACTTGCGTCGCAGCCAATGTTCATCACGTGTGTATAGTAGAGTAGACTAGACTAGACTAGACTAGAGTAGGACCGTTAGCTACATATTAGTCTAACTGGCCATGGCCATGGTTATGGTCGCGGAGGAGAGGAGGGTGTAAGTAAGGGTGGTGGTGTTGTTTTTGAGGGAGTGGGCTGCATAACGGGCCGCAGGATGCTTTAGGGGTTACGTCCTTTGTCGCTGTGGGGCAGAGGGCCAATGGGGGGGAGGGGGGGGGGGGGGGCTGTTACACCGAGAGGCACTTTTCACACCGGTTGGGAATAGATTGGAGTGACTTTGAACGAAGTTTGACGTTTTGTCGAAGGAATGGATGGTTCTGACGGTTTAGTGGTAAAAGGGATTCTTGGGCAAGGTAAGGCAGAGGTTAAGAAGATTTGATAGTTTCAGTATGATATGAAGATACTACAGGTTAAATCAGTATACATAGATCATACCGTCTTAATAGCGCAAGCAACATATGCAAGCCTGGGCGGGTCTCGATGTGTCGTACTACAGGACCCTTTTCATCAATCTTGTGTTACGGAGCAGTCGTAGCTGGCCAGGCTTTAGGCCGCATAATGGCGCTCTGCACACTACCTCATGTGGCATGTTTGCCTAAATCCTGCTTATTTTTTGTCTGCGGGAACTCGTTGTGCCCCAGCCTCATGTCGGAAAACGCGTGCCCCTTGCCCCTATTTTTCTACCTCCAACGCGGAATACCGACAGATTCTTCTCCAGCAACAAATAACACCACGCAATAGAACCCACAGGTTCAGGGCAGGTGTTTGCTCAAGACGACGAGTTTCGGGGGAGATACCTGGGGTGAAACCATTGATTCCGTTGTCATCCGTCCCGTGGGCATCACTCGTCTACGGCAATTCGTCCCACCATTCTGTACGACAGACGAGCGAAGCACCGAAACTATGTTCCACCGAACACACCATAGTAGGCATGTCTGACATGTCATACGACAGCACATTTGGACAGTCACACAGCATATTTATTCCTTTTATTACTAGCCTTACAGCTTGCGTGTATGAATGGCTGCCCCGGCCTTTTTGACTGCGCAATCGAGCTCCCGGACCGGAGAACACTATCGGGTCGCACAGCGAGAACAATTGGCTCGACAACAGCACCAAGATGATATCTGCAAGTCGGCAACATAATGATAGATACTCAGGTATATCAACCGATTCCACGAGATGGTAGAAGCGATAGTTGACAATTATTAGACACATCATACAAGAGTGTATTAGAAATAAATGTTGTCACTCCACTCTGGAGGTAACCCCTTTACGAGGAATCAAGCAATGCGAAATATCTGAAGATTTCCAGCCTGTGACTTCATTGCCATCATGCTGATGTGTTCTTCATAAGCGAAACTTCGGTAGGCACAGCAACGCGATTCATGTATCTATGCCACCCTCGACCAGCCTCTGGCCCAGCAAAACACATAATTGTAGGCCAATCATTTATCTTCCAGTACTTTCTGCAAAAAGTCGAATCCCTCCTTCTGCATTTCCCACGTCTGCGAACCGACCTTCATACGTGCCGCAAACGTGTGTTCCTCGCCCGGAATCTCCCTCATGCCACACAGAACGCCATGCTTCCTCAACTCGGCCAAAAAATCCCGGCTCAGACCGATAGGGACCATAGTGTCGCTCATGCCATGCACGATGAACGTCGGCGGGAACTCGGGGCTGATGTTTCTTATAGGGTCGACTTTATCCCAGTCCTTGGATGGGAAAATAGCGTCCATGACTGTGCCGTTGCCGATTTGTGTAAATACAAAAGCTGGCCTGAACCGGCTGAAATCTGGGGGACCCGGCGCCTGGCCTTCAAGCGATACGCCGTCATGGGTGGGGATGGGACTCTCGGTGTAAACTTGGTTGATGAAGTCCTGGGAGAGGTTGGGGGGCAGTTTTGCGAGTACGGCCGGGATTTTGGAGCTCCAGAAGGGGGAGGCGAAGTTGCAGCAGCCGTACATGTCGTAGATGGCCGCTACGGGACGGGGGACATCGAAGCCCTTGTAGAGTAGCATCAGCGCGACTCCCCTTACGTGGTCACAGAGTGGAGCGAGACAAACATACAAGGCTTAGGGCCAGATGACCACCGGACGAAGTCCCGAAGGCGAAGACGTGGTCGAGATCCACCTGATGAGGCTTCGACTGTTCACCAATGACGCGCTGCAAACCGCCGTCGTATATCCAAGCCAGAAGATCCCGACTGTCTTGCATAGGTCCCTCTAGCAAGTTGACTTGCGGACATAGGCGGTGATTGGGCACCACTACTATCCAGCCCCGCGAGAGGCAGTCGTTGATTTGGTCATTGTTGACCATGGACGAGGAGCCAAGCATGAAGACCCCTCCGTGGATGTTGATGACTGTTGACTTGTTAGTTGACTGATCGTTCTGATTTATGAAATGCCGAGTCAAGTACCTACGGGGACGCCGGTTGAGCCACCGCTTCCGCTTGGGAGGTATACATCAGTGTCGATTTCGAGTCCATCGACCACTTTGTATATAGCTTTGAAAGGGGCTTCGGACATCATGCTGGGAATCCAAATATACTTTTTGAATATATAGTCGAACGGTTCTATGCAGTCGATTTTGGACTTTTTGTCAGTAGCGACAAGCTGTAGTCGTGCAGTTGACTATTCTACTTAAACCCAAGATCGTGAGAACTCCACCCCTGTCAACGAGACTTCGTTTCAGATCGCCGGATAGCCCGCATTCGGTCCGGGAAAGCTGCAATGCAAAGTAGCCGAATCCAAGTGCCGTTGAATTACGATTCGTGCCGGAAGGTGGACAGGTGGACAGTTTGAAGACAAGTGGTAGACTAGCTATCCCCCGCATTCCGGATTATGGGGAACTATATGACACGGGATTAGTCAAACGCTGACTATTCGCCCAACCACCAAAATTCGTTCACTCGATTCCGTTACGAGAGTAAGGGTTACAAGACCACAAGAAAACAAGAAACACCCCCGGCATAACTAAGATTTGAAAGTTGCCATTCAAGATGCCAATCCCCGTATTATCCCTCCCGCCCGATGCGAGGACAAACTATGTCATCTCCCAACTAGAAGGGGAGAAACTCACCATCCCGGGCAGCAAAGGCACATTCCGGATCCTTGCCTCAGCCAAACAAACAAACGGCGCCATGTCTATCTTTCAAAGCGGAGCCGTGCTCTCGGACGCCCCGGGCTTCCACTTCCACAACTACGCTCATGACGTCTTCATGGTGACCAAGGGGTTCCTGAAGCTGTACAACGGTCCCAAGTGCCGGATCATGGGGCCGGGGGATTTCGCATACATACCTCCAGCAAGTCCATGCAACAGCAGTCCCATTTCCTAAGAAGCAAGAGAAATCGAAAGAATAAAACACTAACAAGAATGCCCAGGAAGTCATCCACAACCCAGAACTCCTTGGCCCTCATACCGAAACGGTCGGCCTCGTCACCCCCGGCAACTGGATCGACTTCTTCCGGTACGTAGGCGAAACCTACCACGGCCTCATCGTGCCAGAACACGACAACCGTGATCTGAAGGGGCACATCGTGTCCAAAATGATACCCGCGATGCAGGCCAAGAAGGACTTCGACGTCAATTTCGTGCGGGACCCCAATTTCAAGCCGCCGGCGGTCTCCGACTGGGAGGGAACGGAGAACGTCCTGCCTGGAGAGCTGGAGCCGTATTTCCTGCGCGCCAACACGGGACCCCGCTGGATGGCCGGGGGTATCATGTCGAGGCCGTTCATCACGACGAAGCAGAGCGGAGGCAAGTTTGCGATTTCGAGTATCGAGTCTTCGGGGGATTATGGGGCATCGGGGCTGTTTGAGAAGTATGTTGCTTTCCCATCCGTAGACCACTGTTTTGTGGTTTTCGAGGGGGCGTTAAAGGTGAACCTGAAGGGCGAGGAGGCGTGGACTACCGTGCGGGAGGGAGAGACGCTCGTCATTGCTGCTGGGCAGGCATTCAAGCTCGGGTTTGGGAGCAAGTATGTAAGGGCGTGGTCTTTTACCGGCGGTAAGGGGATCGAGGCACTGGTTGAGGCGGCGGGCGACCCTTATGAGGCGTTTGTGCTACCTGATAGGGCGGACGTGTTGGGTGCGGATAAGGTCAGAGTTGCGTGTGGTGAGATTGGTGCTGAGCTAGAATGAGATTCTGGGTTTTTTGGTAGTTACAAAATGAGAAGAAATCAGAATCCATACCCACGATTGATGCAACGATAAGAAGTTTACTTTCAAGGGTAGGTATTTGAATATGTGAAATCCCAATTGGTTGAATGGGATCATGTAAGTTGCACAAAGCTGGCCTTTGAGTCTGAAAGTCTCATGGAAGCCAACCTGCCTGCCGATTTCACTATGTAAGCACTTCATCACCTTTTGAGTCTCTTGGACAATGCTAGGGAGTGGGCATTTTCATGACAAGTATAATATCGACGAACAGGGCAATACAGAAGAGATCGTGTAAAAGCCCAAACATGAAACACTGGCCTACCCTGACATGACTGAGCTTCCTTATGGGAATCATCAGCCCAGTTGAACGTAATGGGTTGACGCCTGCGTCGATCGCGTCGCTGTCTGCACTGTCCGGGAAAATGGGAGAGTCATTAGATCCTCGGACGCTCCAGCGTATGAGCCAAATATTCCTTGACATCGGGCTAAGGAGGATGCGCCGAGTACTGTACAATTCTGTTGACTGCACATATGTTACAGTAGCAAGGAGGACCTGAATCAGGGATACCAGGTGCAGTGATGGTGGCAACCGGTCCTCTCTGCTGCACTCCTTCACAAAACCACGACGCTCTACCTCCTCTTGCTGTTCTTTCCTTGCCGTCCAGTATTTCCACCCTTGCCCCTGCTACTAAACACGTTTCTAGCCCGTCTCCAAGCCTCAACCAGATGATCCACATTGCCCATATCATGCTTTGCCCGACGCATGTGCATAAGTCTGGCGCGTCTCGCTCTCTTGGGTCGTCTCCAGATAATCTCAATACCCAGCACGCTCGGCGAGTAAATTTTGTACCACATCTCGACGCCAACCTTGGTCAAAGTGTTGCGCAGCAGAATGGCTGTGTCGACACCGGCGCGACGGATCTGCAGGCAGGCGCCAGCGAACGGCTCCCCACGGTTCGTGGTGACCTGCAGCACATCGCCCGGCTTCGCGGCGTCGGGGTTGCTTTTCGAGAAGAGGGCGGTGCGCGCCCCGGTGCGGTCCAGACGGCGGATCTGTTGCGCGTGGTATTCGACCAGGGCAGCGGGGTGGGCTTTGCGGGCGGAGGGAGGGGGGCTGTAGACGGCGAAGGCGGTGCGGATGGGGTTGTCAGGATTCTTGGTGGGGATCACATCTATAAAATCATAAGTGACTAGTTCCTTAAGATGCGGAATCAATGATATGTCACGAACGGAATTTAGGTGCTTTCCGAGCTGCAATGGTCGCTGGTGGTATTGCTCCTGCATTACTGGCTGGTGGCTCGGTAGGTGTACTGATAGAGGCCAGTGTACGGCTGAGGAGTTGATTTTGCTGACGACTTCGTCTGAGGACAGACTTCCAGCAGCCAAGTGGCCGCCGGGCGGATTGGACAATCATTTCGTCTGGACGGCTTCGGGCTGGCCGTAGAAGCTCATCACAAGATGTCGCAAGATGTCTCGAAGCTCTCGAAAAGTCGACCCGCGCCTGGGCCTCCAGAGGATTTGTGGGGATAAAGGATATCCCGGATTCGTAGTTTCCCAAAATTTCCGGGTGCGACCCGCTGCGAGTTGCGATTGATGAATTTTTGGGGCTTCCAGGGTCCATCTGGGTTAGATGGGGCAACGACGACAACTTTGAATACCACTTAAAAGCAACAATGTGAAGTCGTGCAATTCAAATTCACTGACACATTCGTTGTACACAAAATGTCCAGAAAATCGGTATTAGGTGCATTTTGTGCACACAATGGCGCCCTCGAGGCTGCCTCGAGAAGTATAGCCAGAGCTGGCCAACAACGGACCTTCTCATCTACACCTCAACGAAAGGGTATGGGACAGGCAATTCAGGAGGACTCGTTATATTGACCCGGCAAACTGACAACAAATGCAGCAAAACACGTACCCATTTTCACCAAGACCTCTTCGCCCGAACTTGACGATCTCCTCGGCTCCATCCGCAACAAGATCATCCTGCCGTCCTTTCTGCCCCAAGAACAACGAAAGAAGCTCTTCCGCCAGCGCTACGAGAAGAAACTGGAGTCCGACCCCATAATCATCGAGGTCGATGGAGAGATCTTTAAGTTCCGGCACATGGACCCGCAAAAGGGTAACATGCCCAACACGCGCAAGAGCGTTATCCAGGCCATCCAGGCCTTCTCCAAGGACGAGGACTTTGCCAACCTGGTGCCGCTGCTCGAAGGCATCTACCACGCCAAGCGCAAGCTGCCCGAAGACTTTTATGCCAAGATCGCACGAGAGCTGGGTAAGAAGGGCCGAGTATACGACGTGATCGAGTGCGCGCGCATGATCAAGCGCACGGGGTACAAGCTTGACACAAGTGAGAAGGTCAACACAGTGCTGGCCGATGTGCAGATGAAGGCCATCGATGCAGGTTGGTCCAAGGGTCAGACGGAGCAGTCGTTGCGGTGGACGGAGATGGTGCTCGACATAATCGAGGAGGAGGAGCACCAGCCGCGGGTCAAGGCCGATCTGCCCCTGAACCGGGATCCCCAGGTCCTGTTGGCGCCGTTGCATCTGGCTACCGTGCTGGTGGCCAAACACGAGGCTGACGAGCAGATGGTGGCCAAAATGAACAAGTACGCCAGAGAAGTCGTGAGGTTGTGGCCCGAAGGTACCAAGCTGAGGGAGCTTCACGTGGCGGAGTCTTACGTTGAGGGTGGTCCGATGCACTACCTCATGGAGCCGAATAAGTTTGTCAGTTTGGCTGCGCCGCTGCTTTTTGGACTTGAAATGGCCGTGGATACCGTCAAGGATGCGCAGCTGGCAGATGAGCTACGGTCAAAATGTGCCGTGCTCGGCGGAGAGATCCAAACGGCAAGACAAGAAAACAAAGCAGTGAGACCGGAAGGTGGCCGGGCTGAGGGGGTGTGGGCAAAACTGTACTCGGCTTAGGAAAATGGCCGTGAAAGTGTAATGCCACGTTTGTACACTATATACAGATGTAGATACCGAATGCTCACTGCCGGCACTCTATCTAGTCTAGACATCTTGTCACTGCTGGCACTCTATCTAGTCTATTCAAGATGTCTAGACTAAGGCAACACAATGTACTTTTCCAAATGTTTCGGTATCGACCCTAGCAAGTTCTTGCTCTCCAACCACTTCTTCGAAAATAAGCGGTCCGCGTAACGGTACGCACCATCGCACAGCACCGTAACAACCGTGTGTCCGGGGCCCATTTTCTCGGCGACCTCCTTCGCAGCCACGACATTGAGCGCACTGCTGGCGCCCAGGTACAAGCCCTCCTCGTCCAAGCACCGGTAGACCATTTCGATGCTCTTCTCATCGCTAATATGCAGACTGTCGTCAACGAGTCCAATATCAGGTGCCAGATTATCCGTAATGCGCCCCTGACCGATTCCCTCCGTGATCGACCCGCCCTTCCGCTCAGCTAGCTTCCCCCCGCTCTGCACATAGCTATGCAACACCGACCCCGGCGGATCGGCAATGAAGCTCTTGACCCTCCCTCCCGACACCGTCTTCAAATACCTGGTAACGCCCGCCAACGTGCCCGCCGTCCCTGTCGCACACGTGAACGCATCGACCTTTCCCCCCGTCTGCTCCCAGATCTCCGGCCCCGTCGTCTCGATATGCGCCCGCCGATTTGCCGTGTTGTCAAACTGGTTCGTCCACACGGCGCTCCCCTTCCCGCCTTCCTCCGTCAGCCGCTCTGCGTGTCGCCGCGCTTGGTGGTTGTAGTTCTCTGGGTGCTCGAAGGCTACCGCCGGCACGGGATATACCTCGGCACCCAGCAGACGCAGAAGGTCGATCTTACCCTGTGATTGCGTGTTGGGCATGTAGATGACGAGGTTGTAACCCTTGGAACGGCACACGTGCGCCAGTCCGATGCCGGTATTGCCTGCTGTGCCCTCGACGACCGTGCCGCCTGGTTTAAGGAGGCCGCGTTCTTCGGCATCGAGGACAACGTAGAGGGCCGCGCGATCCTTGATGGAGCCACCGGGGTTCATGAACTCGGCTTTGCCTAGGACTTCGCATTTGGTTTGTTGGGAGAGCGTGTTGAGACGGATGAGAGGCGTGTTGCCGATTCCTATTTCCATGTCTAAGTTAGAGGGTTTATTTATCTGACAGGTGGTCTCAAGGGGGTTTCTTACCACCCGTCAATCCCTTTGCAATGCCTTGCGCTCTTGAGATGGCGATGGTGCTAGGACTCGGGTCGTGTGCAACCATCGAACCGGCTCGGCGAGAGGCGCTCGTCGCGAACCGACGGACGCTATGCCGAAACATTGTGAAGCTGAAGTTTTCTTTCTAGGAAGCTTCTTGGGTGACTCGGCTGTCGTATTTCACTAGATTTCTTTTCCACTCTTCAGCTCACCGAAACGCAAGCTCGAAGCTTTGGCTCGGCAATCGGTGGGAACAAAGAAATATTGGCGGGGCATCGAAGCGATCGGATGCGCAAAGCACGTCATTCCCGGTGTGCAATCCACCACGACACTAAAAACCGAAGTATTCAACTCGATGGTTACAATGACAAATGCTACAGAATTGCCTAAACTGAGTCACACAAAAAAGAACGCGTACAAAAAAGAGCTAGGAAGCCGGAACAAAAAAAACAAAGGAAATTGAACCGCAAAATATTGGCATAAACGTTGGTTGTACCGACACGTATGGATTGGAAAAAGAAAAATAAACGTCGCCTGCAGGATTCGAACCTACGCGCCCGAAGGCATTGCCTAACAACTAATCCACAGGAGATATAGCAGGGCAACGTGTTAACCACTCCACCAAAGCGACCATTCTTGACTTTAACGATTTGACGAACCGATCTCTACTGTCTGTGCGTTGGATATTTCCGCTCGTCTTAGGGTCTATTTTGCAAGCTTTTCAAGTTTTACAGTGGACCCTTGTGCTACTCAAAACAATACTCTCTCATTGAACCATACGCCTTTGCTAAGTTCTGTCGTCATCAGAGCCTCTTCAGCTTCTAGGAAAACGAGGCTCGAAACTCGCGGTCTCTCTTCCAATCTTCCCGGTCGATCCTCTCCTCCTCGTGCTGAAGGTTCCACTCCAGGTACCGCGCGTCGCCCTCCATAAGCTTAATCTTGTCGCCCTCGAGCTTCTCGTACAGTGTCCAATCGTCGAGTTGAGACGGCGTCGGGATCCTCGTGAAAGTCTCCATGGCCTTCTGGTCACGCACCCACTCCAGCGTCAGCTCCAGCTTGCGCGTGTTCGTCGCGATGTCCAATTTCGTTCCGTACTGCCTGATGGTGTACAGGCCGTCGTACCGCACGCCGGCTTGCGGTGCGTAGATGCTCTTGAGTCTGTATCCTCGCAGAATGCGGATTTGCGTCCCTACTTGCGAGATCAAGGGAACGTGCATGTCGCCCGAACGACCCTTGCGGATGTATTTGACGATGTTCAAGCCGTCCGTTTGCAAGACCTCCTCTTTTCCAGTGAGAAGCGGCAAAGCGGTGATGCCGTACCTGCTTTTTGTCGGCGCCTCGAGCGGGCTCGCAACGATGCCGTCGCGTTGGGCACAGGCGATGTTCAACCACCAGCTGCAATAAATTCAGCTGGTCATTTGTCTGGTTACTAAAGGAGAGGATCACTTACTGTCCAGGTATGAATTGCAGATTGCTCTCTAGCTCGGACATCGGGTCACTCGCTTTCGTCTGCCACTTCCCCAAGTCATACTTCAAGGCGCAATTGAACGATACATCCTTCAACCGGCCTCCCTTGACCAGCACTGCGCTTCGCATGTGATCAATCATAAAGTACTGCTCCCTGAATCGTTGTCTCCAGAGCATGCGCAGTTTCTTAGCATTAGCGGCATCGACCCGGAACCTCAACGGTAGTTCTGTCGCAAAGTTGGTCACTTTGAGCATGTCGGCGAGCTGGATAATATCGGCCAGCAGCTTATCGAGGCGTGCATGCTCGATCGTGTCGAAGTCCAGGGATGGCCGTCGGCGCTCCTCGTCTTTCAATACGGCGTCCAAGAAGCTGCTCAGTTTGTCGGCCCCGGGACCTAGGTTCTTGTCATATTTTAAGGAGGCGCGTACGGCGTCGGACAAGCCTAGCAGTTCTGTCTTGTTCCAGTCTGGCTTCTCAGATTCGTCAGAGTCGGATAGCAACGACTCGACAGACGCTCCTACACATTTTTCGTGAGCATCTCTATCTCCTAATCAAGACAAATGTGATCTACCTCTACTGGCAGACGGCGATTTTCTGACAAGAGGAAGACCATTGCTGCCGTCGAAATTGAAATGCTGAATGTTTGGGCTCAAGAGCTAGAAGGCTGTTAGTCATCATCTTGTCTCTTGAGATTGTTCTCTTACCTGGTTTACAATCATGTCTCCTGGACGGTCGAACAACCATCTTGCTACCACATCATCACTCGCACGAACTGCCAGCGGCTTCGCCTTCGGAGGCGACCGCTCCCGTTGGTATCGTGTGCTGTGGTTGTGTCTAGCAAACCTCTCAAGCACACTCATATTTGCTCTGCTTCCTGCGGGGGTTACTCGTTCTTGTCCCTTGGTATGAGGTATTCTAGCACTTGCAGGTGATGTTATTGATTTTTTTGATTCTTTCATGCAACGGCTCAATTGACCATGTGGTTTGCCCCAAATAGACCGCAGTGTATTGATATTTTTAGGGATAGCAAACATATAGATAGTAGTTTTAGGTCGGGATTGGTCTCGATTGGCTCAAAGAAGGCTGTGAACACAAAGGCTGAATGGACTTCTTACAACATGTCAAGGGTTGGTCGTTGGTGAACTCAATTGAATTGTCGAAGGAAAGTGCTGTCTTCCCGCCTAACAAAGAATTGCTAGGTAAACCTGAAAGGTGCGACCAACAACAGAGAAGGTCGCCAAGTAACCAGACGCCAGTTCAAGGTTTCCTACCAACGGACATGGCATGACATGTTGAACAAGGTAGACAGCTTGAACGAAGCTATTCTGGCAGATTGCGCTATACAAAAATCCGAAGCGAGGTTGGGTTATAATTGCTTGTTTACGTTACGCTCATCGGTCGAACGGGAAGAAACATAGTCATTTGGCTTGTCCATATTGATGAATTACAGCTGATTATAGTGCAGAGTCAGGGCTATTAGGACGGCCAGAGTTGATATCCAGCCAGGGCCGACTCCTTGGCCATACTTTAGAATGGCGGTGCTTAGTCCATGGCATAGCATCAGCCCCTGCGTGCCCTGTGTTCGGTGTATTTGGCTATGTTGTTGAAGTTGCTACTAATTCGCTTCTAGAACTAATGGCTGAACCGAGCCTCATCGCATATCAAAGTACTCGTACTTGGCATGTTTCTTGACGTGGCAAATGATTTCACTGGCTACTTATATGTGGAACATCAAACTTGGACGCCGTCGAGCTCTCAAGTTGAGGTTCGGATGATAGATACCCTGGGAGTACTACCCTCAATTCACCTGCGTTCTACATAACGCCAGCCGGATCCGATCCATAAGTTGATTCACCCCCTTACTGCACCAATCCATGTACTCAACCCCTCCTTAACCCTCAAGTCTCCAGCCACATCTGTAATTGCCCAATCTCACTGCCGCACTTCAAATGACCAACAAAATTCACGATCCACTCCAAATAGGTTATTGGCTTCTGAGTGCTAGTAAGAACAAAAGTGCTTGATGACGCTAACCAGCATGAGAACAACCCCTGGGCTTCAGCTGGGGTTTCGGACAGAGCCTAATAGTGGCTGCCTGGAATCTTTGTTCTTTTTGTCTGTTTCTCCCCCTGGCTGTTTATGTCATTACGTTGGGCTTTCGTGTTGTTGGATTATGGTGGTTCTCTGTGGGCAGTTGCTCAAGCGGGCTCTTTCTTTGAAGATTTCTACTTTGGTTTAACGATCTGTTCGGGTGGCATTGTACCCCTTTGTTTGAAACAGAACGAGAACTGGGAGGGTGCCGATTCAAATCACTCGACTTCGAAATACTTTTATCTTGTATATTTTGACCCGATAGCTTCCTTACCCTGTAGGCTGGAGAACATGACCTCCTACAAGGCACTCGTGTATATTCAGGTCATTGCCAAGGGATTCATCACATACAGAGGTTAATGTTATGTGTTACATAAGTTTAGCATTACATCTGTGTACACTCTACTCCTAATCTGCGAGGAACAAAAATTCATACAACTAAAGCAAACGCGCCTCCATATGGTATAACCCAGATATGTCTATATACAAACCCCAATTCATGTTGGTAGCAGACCATATTTATCCCCATTCTTATTCAATACGTCGTTGAGTTTGACGCCGTGGTGACCTCCGAAGCGCAGGTTCGCTGATTGAGAGTTCATTGACCTTGTGCAGAATATTGTCGTTGCCCATGATCGACAGTATTGACTTCTCGATTTCATCTCTGCCTCCACTCAGCTGGTCCTCATCAATCCATTCCGACTCGATGGCAAATCTGACAATGTCGCTAGCACTGGCAAAACCAGGGATACATTCATCGGCTTCCGGGTTCAGGTGTGTCCAGAAGCTCTTGGTAACTCGCTTGAATGCATTTAGTTCCTTCTTGGGACCTCGGAAGTTGTCGACAAGATATCCGTATATGTAGGCCAGCCACAATACGTTCGTATAAGGCTCGTGTTGCGCCCATGTGATGGGACCATCAATGCCTTGTGCGTACGCCGTCCTGTGGCTTTTTGGTGGCAGGCACTTGCGGTCCCCTCGCAAAAGAAAAGATCTCATCTGTCTGTAGACCTCGCACTGCGGCGCGTGCTCGCTCGTGAACAGACTCAAATCTCTCTCGAGATCGTAGGCAATAGGCTCAGCTTCACAGTCGGAGCTGGCACGGGAAAGCCCATAGTCGAGGATGGTTATTTCGAGACCCGAGTGGCCAAAATAGGCTAGAGAGTCCCGATCTTCTGGATGGCGGGGTTCCCCTGCCCTTCGAATACATAAGTTTCCTTCGTGTAGGTCTCGATGCTGCCCAGGTTAGCATTCGCAGCTTGTCATCCGAAAAGGCACACACCTCAAACTCTATATGAACTTCGGCCCGGGCCAGTGCGATCGCGGTATGGAAGAAGATGTCCCACAGCTGATCGGTGGTCGAGAGCTCAAAGTCCTCCAAAGCTGTCCCGGCATCTCCAAGCTCAACAACGAGGAACTTCGTTGCGTCCAAATACCGACTCGGCGAAGGATAGAATTGCAGCCTATCAGGGTCTTTCCTCTTGACTTTCTTATGGAAAGCCTGATGCGTCTCGAGAAGTTCCTTGCACGCCTTGCCCTGCACGATATACCTCTCCTTGTATACCACGAAACCAGGAATATCCGCAAGCCATTCGGAGATCTTCAGCTCGCCCATCAAGTCAGATTCTAAATGTGGCTCCTCGTCAACCAGTCCAGATTTCTCCTGGGCTTTCGTTTGGGCTTTGATGGGCGATTCCATCCGGATAACTTTTACGATACTTGTACCGCGCTCATTGGTGACCAGGTAGACCTCCGCATAAGATGCTTCCGCGATCTTGACTATCTTGTCACCTGGCGGACATACTTCAGACCAAGATAGTACCCTGAGCTCTGCGTCTGACAACCCATCTTCTGGCGCTCGGGCGGCCTTATCCGGGGTCTTGGCGGGCGTGGATTGGACAACCTGAACAGACTGAACGGTAGACTCTGCATCACCGGTTTTCTTCTTGCATCGACTGCGAGATTTCTTTGCTTGTTTCCCTAGAGAGCTTTCGTTGCTAATATAAGGCGCAACAGTCTCAGGTGGATCCTCGGGCACAGCATCGGACACAGGCTCAGACCTTGGATCGGTCACCTGTTTCTTCCGCCGCTCGTGGGATTTGAACTTTTGCTTCACAGGGGCAGGAGAGATTTCGTGCCGATCCTGGAAACTCATTGTCGTGATATTTTCGGTTAACTTGTTGATTGCATCTGGTTGTTCTTGAAGCGCAGCTCGGACGGGCGTTTGAAGAAGATCGACGAACAAGCGGTCGCCTTTGGGCTTCTTGTGTTGTTTGCCATATCTTCGGATAGTAGATGGCTTCGACATCTTGTCAATGTCGGCCTATTTGCTTTCAACTTGGGTAAATCTCATGCGAATTGAATTTCATGTTGAACGTTGCATGATGTCGTCGAAACCAGAGGTTGGCGGGACAACGGGGCAGTTGCGGCTGCCGCAATTGGTCAGTCACTTCCAAATTTGATTAGTGCAACCCCTGAACGCCACTCTGTTGCCCAAGGCCTGAGGATATTCAGCCACAACACGTCTTGTTGGACACAATTTGAGGACCAGGTGGCCGACTTCATTCATATTATTTATGAGATCACAAGATACCGAGCTTCCTCAAAGTAGCATTCTGAAGCGCCTTTCAGGTTTTGTCCTCAGTAAAGTTCTCGAGCCCCACGTACAACATACGCTTGGTGCACAATTTCTAAGTTGAGGGCTGGGGATCAAGCGAGGATCTTCTTCATAACTGAGAAAGTTGAACCCAACCCACGTTGTGATATCTTCATGCTGGGAAATAGCCTTGAAGACTGTTGGTTGGTACTAATTAGATCATTCCAGGTCATGTTTGTTGCTGTAAATCATATCAAACACACCACCCTGGGTGGTAGAAGAAGCCTGCGGAATCGATGATGGGATGCTATGGACACTGAGTAGCCCCCATTCCTAGATACAATAATCTGAGACAGAATTCGGTGGCTTTTGAAGGCTAAGGCAGAAAATCATGATTTCCTGTGTCATTATGCTGGTAGACTGGACTTCTTCGGTCAAGCCTTTACTGACTCGGTTTCTTCAGGCAAAACTGTTGCAAAAGGACCAAGAGCGATACCATCAATGATCTCCACACCACCAACAATGTCGCCTCCGAAATGTGTATTGTGTTGTAAAAATGATCGACTTTGCAGAACTTGCAGAAGTGAAGCCTACTACTCAAAAGGCTGGCTGGACCTCTCACAAGCTTCCCCGCAAGGCCAGCAACGAGTAAACGAGCAGGAGCCCTGACTACTTTATCACTACGTCACCAATGTTTAATCCTGTTTCCCTTCGACACGGCCGTTCCAGAGCTCATCTAGATCAACGAAATTCTCCACAAGCTCCGATTGATCCCGGCCAGCCGAATATGGATACGATTCCTAAGCATCTTGAACCGAGTTCACCGATGGGGAAAAGGCCTTTCTGAATCTGCGCCTTGGAAATGCGCTTGTCGTATAATCGAGTTCAGTTTACGCGACAATTTTGTCCACGATGGCTGGGCCCTACTTGCCAGCTGGCGTACCGCCGTCGAGTCCCATGGCGAGGACATGGGGGATGGTGAGATACACTCATCCTGATGAGCATATCCATCACACTGCTAAATAGGTTCTTAACGTGGGCCTGCTTGGACGCGGGACACCGACGTCACGCTCAGGACTTCCTTGGTGCTATTAATTATTGCATTGCCTTCAACAAGGATCTGAAGACCTAGTTGGTGAGCTTGAATCCCTAGAACCTTCTACTCAACGTGTTGACGCCGCAGGATAATCAAGATACTCGAAACATCATGAAGAGTCTCCAGATTAACTGCGTAACCCTCGGCTCCAACGTCATCCCCGTGGACGTTCCATCAACCCATCCAATCCGCCAGGGTCAAGGCCAAATTTCAGGATTCTGTCGCCTTGTGGGCCTTCCCATGTGACTGCGCGAGGTTGCCAGAACACTTCCCCAGTGGTTCAACATAATTGCGCACGGCATGATGATCCACGTCGACATGCCTAACACCGCAGATTGGGGTTGGCCTTATGCACAATGGGATCTCGGAATTAACAACGTCATCGTCATTCAAGAAGATGATCGGGATCTACCCAAGGGGTAGATGATGTGCATGCATCGCTTCTGCGACAACTTCCATGACCCGAGAGAAATGTATGCCCTTCTGACCTCCTGACAACTACCCGAATAAGAGAGAGGAATATACTCGGGGTGCAATCTGCGACTGTCACGCAGCCTGGGCATGTTGTGGTACGAGGGATGGAATGTTTTGTGTGACGATATGGGGGTTGCTCATTTCTTCAGTTATAGATATGAAGATGCAGCCTAATACAGGAGGCTCGAAAACCTGCAGAAAACTTGATTACTAATTTGACAGACTTGTTACGCCGCTCTTATTGAAAACATAGGGAATGCTCAGAGCGAAGGGCGACTAGGAGTTTTTATTCGAAGAGTTTGTCAGATTCCAGAAATCTTCTGTGTCTTAAAATATCATCAATATCCATGTATCTGCTTGCGTTGTGAAAGAAAGATATTGTTGTGATGGAGACGACATTGAATTAACTAAATGGATCCAGCCATGCGGATACACCTACCTTGGCTACATCGCCTACGCGTAGGAAAAAGTGGAGATCCCAATGAGGCTAATTCTGGACCTTTTGGAGACATGAGCTTCTGCTTCAATTTCTCCCTCATCACCCCCATTGCCATCGTCAACAGGCAACAAAGATGGCAGCTTTCCTCAAGAATATCCTTGGGGGCAGCGAGTCGGCTGCGTCTCCAGCTCCATCGGCTGATTCGGGTAAGCATTTGGACTTGCTACCACTCAATTGAGCTGCGATCTGTCCTGTATTATTGCACGCTGGTTGCGATAAACGTAGCTGATCTTGTTCAACAGACTTTGCCGACTTTGCAGAAGCTCCTTCACCATCGCCTGTCCCGTTCGAAGCTATTCCCGGCGGTGCGACGCTGTCAGGCGCTGGCGCGGCTGCGACGACCGTGCCGTGGACAAAATGGTACAACATCCATGAGCGGCACAGCATCTCTGAGTTCAAGGCTGAAGGAGTGATCCTCGCCCTGATCGTCGTCATTTTTACGCTTCACTTCGCCGGTACTCGATTCAACAAAGCAAAAGCACGAGCGTGGATTAAGGCCCATTCACCTATCCTCAACTCCGAATTCGCCGTCGTTGGTTTCAGCGGCACACCGAGTGCCGAATTGCAGCAGCCAGAGAAGCTGCTCAAGGAGAAGAGCTTGTTTGAATACGCGACCTACGCGACTGGCCGACAGAATGTTGCTTTTATGGACGTCAAGCTCACCTTGAAGAAGCGCTTCAACCCTGTCATGCTCTTTATTGAGACAGCGATGGGCTTCTTGTTTGACAGCTTCGGCATGCCCGAGGAATTCATCGAAGCCATCATCTACCCCTTCGATGGCAAGGAGGCGCAAATCGTGCCTGCTCTCCCGGGTGCTGCCGAAATCCGCAGCAAGGACTCGAAGAGTACCTTCGACGCTTTTGTTTGGGCTATTGTCCATAAGGACCAGATGAAGAAGACCCGCGATGACCGATACGATGTTTCCCTCACCTTCACCAAGGATAACCCCAAGCTTCCTATTTGGTTGACTGTCATGAGCGAGAGCGCCGAAATCACCGATGCCATGTTGACTAAGGAGCTCATTTCGGCGGTCGAGAAGGCTGGCGATCTGTTCGAGTCACTGATTATCACTGATCAACCAGTCGACAAACCTGCCAAGTGAGTGACGTAGAGGGATGAACCATTGAACCAGCATGCTGACAGTGAATGAAACAGGGTCGAAGAAACTGCTCCGCGAAAGCGCATCTACCTCAAGTACCGCCTTCCCCCATCCAACAACTACGATGATCTGGCCTCACTATTCAGTGCCTTCCTGCGTATTCCCGACCTCCTTGTGTCATCAGCTCACTTCCGTCCTGAGGTCTTGAGAAAGGTCAAAACAATCCGCGATGACATGATCAAGCAAATTGAAAGGGTACAGGATGAAGAGAAGGCAGAGGAAAGAGCTCTAGAGCGCGACAAGGCTAAGAAGGCCAAGCGCGATGCTGAGCTCAAGGCTTTGGACGCTAAGGCCCAGAAGAAGTACCTCGACAAGGAGAAGGAGAAGCAGATGCGAAAGGCGTCCAAGAAATCGACAGTTAGAGCATAGACCTGTCGTCGTGGTTTCTTGGAAATCATTGCACAAATGGGATGGGAATATCAACCAGCTCCTTTACGGGTTGCCACAGTGGGTCGGCTGGCCATTATTTAGCAAGCGGGTGCTTAAAACGATGGTATGATCATGCCTGGGAAAATGCACCAATGTACGATTTGTCATGGAGAACGTTGATAGTTGGCAATACTTTGCAAGAAAGGCTTTGGAGTTAAAAGTCGTTGGAACGGGAGGTTGGGCGGTTGATAAATATATTTATGTAGAAAATTTCCGACAACCAATGTTCCTCCTAACCGTAATCATTTGAACACAAATGGCAAATTGGCCGTTCCAGTGTAGTGATTTACTATGGCCTCTGGTCGTAACGCGTGGCAGTTGGGTTGAACATGTCGCCACCATTGGCCACCGGAATTAGCAGAAGAAGGCCTCCAAGTTGAGCTTCTGCGTGGAAAGGGGCATTGACATCTGTTGGGAAAGACCCTGACAGGGAAGAGACACGATCGCAGAACCAAGCTTTTACAAGCGGCAGCATGATGAAAAATGAAGGCTGTGTAAAGGTCCAGACTGAACAACCAACCCCAGATCCCCAATAACTGATCCAATACGAGCCACAAGCTTGGCAGTTGCTGGCTTAAAACTCTGCAGTTCAGCTGTCAACGGTGGCGGTGTCTGGTGGTCTCAAGTCTTGGTGCAGCAATTTTGAACTGACTAGACTTGTATTGCCACTAGCCACAAATATAAGCCACAAATATTTGACCTAACCCCTGTCACTTTGGACGATCTTAATGCAGGCCAACGGTGGAAAGCAAGTTAGATGCACGCGTCCGTTGACATCATCGTCAATTGCCGGACCAGCTCTGCGTGAGTTGTCGACGGGCGGCGGTGACAAGCCAGCTCGAACGAAAACTTGAAAACGGAGCTATCATACCATGGCCCTCCGTCATAGGTGAACTCTGCAGATCTAGGTCTTTGATAAAATAGAATCCAACCTCTGACGTCTTGACTGTAAGTGAAACCAAGTAAATCCCACTTTCGCATTCTCTTTCTAAAAACACACAGCGATAAGCGGTTTCAAAACGTCAACTTCCAGTGTCGGCCAAGCGATCCACCTTTGCGAGGCAGCCAACGCAAGCTGGCCGACAGGAATATTCACCCAACGCATTAACACATTGATTCCTGCTTCTTTCATTATTCAACGTTCACACGTCCACACCACTTCCCCGTTTAAGTCTCCCACCCGACTTTGTGACAACAGAGAATCTAAGTTACGATGACGAGCTTCATCGCAAAGCAAGTGAGCAAGAAAATCCTTGGCGAATCAGTGTCGAATCGATTTGGTACTGAGGTAAGTCGCGTGATGCTCTCCACAATGTACCAACCTGCTGTCTGTCCGAGAGACATATCGCGCGGGAGACCACTAACACCCACGGCCATTGCAGGACCCCTACTTCGAGCAAGTTCCCGCGACGAGGTTAGACGGCAAACCGTCTGGCAAATTCAAGAAAGTCCGGAAGGCTTTACCTCCGGGAATATCTGAGCATGATGGTCACGTTCTTACCAAGGTTAAGCGGAGAGCATGGCGACTTGACATGAGTCTATTCAACTGCTGCGGGATTCGGTTTGGCTGGAGCAGCGTCATTGGCATAGTTCCTGGGTGAGTACACCGTAGCCCGGCCTATGTGTTCCTCAATCCTACGAGGTTGCTGACTGTGTCCCCGAACAGAGTTGGCGACGTCTTCGATGCTTTCATGGCCATGATGGTTGTCCATACTTGCAAGCAGGTCGAAGGCGGCCTGCCCCAATCAGTCCTCTCCAAGATGTACATGAACGTCATCCTCGATTTCCTCGTCGGTCTCGTTCCTTTCCTCGGCGATGTCGCCGATGCTGTTTTTCGAGCGAACACACGCAATGCTGTCGTCCTAGAGGAATATCTCCGCAAGAAGGGCAAGAAGAATCTGAGACAAAGCGGCATGCCCATCCCGAATCTCGACCCAAGCGATCCCAATGATTTCGATCAATTAGATCGCGAACCTATGGTATCTTCGCAGCCAGGTCGCCACGGTGACATGAGTGCTGGCAAAGATCATGGTTCCCAATCGAATGGTGTCACGCGACCTCCCCCAGCAAAGACAGGTGGGGGAAGCTTCTTTGGTTTTGGCAGGCAAAAGGGTCGTCCAGCAGATGTTGAGTCGGGCCACGCCCGATAAAAATATGTGGAGGCGACTTGGTGGTGGGGGTTACCGGTTTGCTGTTTAAGGAGTGGGTCTGTGAAACAGTGGTTCCGGCCCGCACGATGCAGGATGCACATGCGACAATGACAATGGGTGGCAGACACCAACTGTTGCCTACTCTCCACGGGGAGATCTACGATTTAAGATTAATGAGGTTGCATTTTGGAATTGTGGTCTTCTCCTCGTCGTAAGCTAGTTGTTTTCATGCAGAATACTTGCGTTCCTGTCGTAGAGTTTTCCTTTCATTGGAGTTGTATTACGAATGGTCTGCTGATTGACTTGGTATGCGGCACGCTCAGGTGTTACGGCAAAGTGGTTTGACGGAAAGATACCAATTTACTGAATTCTAACGCATTCTTCCAGTGTGCCGCTACACACCAGACTCTGGCGTTGTACGATGATGAAGAATAAAACCTAACGCAAACCCCAGAGTCGAATGTCAATTGGAACATATACCACATGATGTCTATGACAGCGCTGAGGTGCATGGGAATTCCTTCCGTTTCTACTGGTAGAAGCTAACCACCCGGCCATTACCTCGCCATCTACTTGTTGATATGTAAGAACTGACGATCGTGGTCAACTGATGCTACTAGCTTTTTGACAAGTCAAAGCTCGAGCCATTGGTAAGTCAACATGCCAATAAACTCGTCAGGATGGTTGTGAGCATCTTATCAGCTCACAACAGCCCATGAACGCCCATGAGCAACCACCCGTAAATGTGTCCAGTAGAACCGAGGCCGGCCTTCGGATCCATGTCAATCTGAAGAATCTGCCTGGCACCCCTGGAAATTGGTTATCAGATCTTGTTTGATCTGATAATTCTTATAATTCGTATAATTCTGGTTCGCGTCAAAAACGCCATTTGACCCCTGTCAGTCGTCGCGCTTTGCCTATTTGGGTCTCCGAATTGACCGAGCTGGACCGCCGTCCTCCGACATGCTGTGGGGAGCACTTCAGCTTCCTCTGGTCGACGCGTAAATTCCAGCCACCGAGCTCGCGATCAACTAAAGTCAAGTTAAGAGAATCCCCACTTTAAACAAAGCGCGACACTTAAAAAAGCGCGACACGCTCTTCTAAACACCCTTCTTACAGACATCAACTCAAACCACTTCCACTCTACCTTCTCCAGACGCGTCTTCATTTGAGCAGTCTTTCAGTGAATACTTGCAATCATCTGCATTTCATCTTATTTCAACCCCAATTTGTCCCACAACATCTCACACAATGGCGACTGAGATCACCCCTTCCAAGAAGGTACGTGACGTCGTCGACCCAAGGCAGACGTCGCCACAACTAGACAGACAATTAGCTAACGCGTCTTATTCAGGTTGCTTCTGACATCGAGTCGTTGAAGATGACATCGCCTATCAAGAGAATCGACTGGTCTGGCAAGGAAAACGTGCCCTTGAACACTGACGCCGGAATCGAGACGGAGAAGCCCATGGTGCAAAAGACAAAGGAGATTGAGAAGCCCCAGATCGCACCCACCCTCAAACCTGAGGAGGCCGACGAGCCTCTCCTGCAGGAGAACCCCCAACGATTCGTCCTGTTCCCCATAAAGTACCATGAGGTAAGCGACGCGTCTTGTACGAGTTAATTGATTTTTGACGCGACTTTACTAACAACTGTCAAACAGATCTGGCAAATGTACAAGAAGGCCGAGGCTTCTTTCTGGACTGCCGAGGAGATTGACCTGTCCAAGGACATGCACGACTGGAACAACAAGATTAATGAAGATGAGAAGTTCTTCATCTCCCACATTCTTGCTTTCTTTGCCGCGTCAGATGGCATTGTCAACGAGAACCTGGTCGAGCGCTTCAGCGGCGAAGTCCAGATCCCCGAAGCTCGATGCTTCTACGGCTTCCAGATCATGATGGAGAACATTCACTCCGAGACCTACTCGTTGCTCATTGACACCTACATCAAGGAGCCCGCCCAGCGAACCTATCTTTTCAATGCCATTGAAACTAGTAAGCTTTGACCCTCCCTGTCTCCATCCCTGGATGCCATGCTGACCATGACCCTTAGTCCCTGCTATCCGCAAGAAGGCCGACTGGGCTCTGAAGTGGATCGCCGACAAGAACTCCACCTTCGCCCAGCGTCTCATTGCCTTCGCCGCCGTTGAGGGAATCTTCTTCAGTGGTGCTTTCGCATCTATCTTCTGGTTGAAGAAGCGCGGTCTTATGCCCGGCTTGACCTTTTCCAACGAGCTCATTTCTCGCGACGAAGGTCTGCACACCGATTTTGCCTGCTTACTGTTCTCCCATCTGAAGCACCGTCCTGGCAAGGATGTCATCGAGGCTGTCATCGTCGACGCTGTCAAGATCGAACAAGAATTCTTGACCGAAGCCTTGCCTTGTGCTCTTCTTGGCATGAACGCGGATCTCATGAAGCAGTATATCGAGTTTGTTGCCGACCGTCTCCTGGTCGCCCTTGGCAACGACAAGGTCTACCGTTCGTCAAACCCCTTCGACTTCATGGAGAACATCTCGCTCGGTGGCAAGACCAACTTTTTCGAGAAGCGCGTCGCCGACTATCAGAAGGCTGGTGTTATGAACAGCACCAAGAAGAACGACGAGGCGCCAACGCACGGCACAGGCGAGAACGGTGGCGACTTCACTTTCGATGATGACTTTTAGATGTCTCGTTGAATCGTGTTTGTTTTTCCGCATCGCACAATACCCTATTGCCGCTTATAGATCCGCCTTTGTGTATATGGAATCTCGTCGGCGGCGTCTTTGTGCGCCCTCTGTCTGCATGGCATCATCCTCACATGCATTAGAGGTAGTGGCGAGCAATCCGGTGGTCTTGTTGTTTTCAATTTTTTTTTCCTTTTGCAGGATCTCTTCTCATTTCTTATTTTGGCTTGTTGAGATTACTGTTTGGTATATTGACCGACAACGGTTCACCCTGTCGTGACTCATTGTTGGCGTTTTCGGAGTTAAATGCATGGATTCCCCCGCCTCTGGGCCGATGTTCGAGAGCGGATAAGAAGGGACGAAGGGATGGGCGGAAAATGAGTTCATGATACGGAAATGTGCTTCAGACACGGGAGATAATTGAAAAAGATTAACCAGTTCAACTTCGCCTTCTGTGATGGAACGTGATACACGCCCCAGATATCATCCAATGGAATTAAATGAGTGACACAGCTGGCTGGTCATGATGAAATCAAGAGTGGTTGTGTCCTGAAGTGTCACGCCCGTCATCTGAGGTGTGCTTCACCGAAGCTGTCAGTAGCTATGATGAACATTCATAATCCTCTCTATGCGCCTGACGCGACACCGATACAACTTCAACAAGTTGCTGGTATGTGGAATTTGTTTCCTCTCGTGGATGAATAATGTCATATCACCTCTGAGGAACCTTTCAAGACGCATGTCCTCGCCTTCCCATGATGACATATCTCGAACCTCGTTATCTCCCCGCAGAGCACTACCTTATTTCTTCCCCTTCTTTTTCTTCCCCTTTCCACCACTAGCTCCACCCGCCTGTGCAGGAGCTCCTTGCGGCTTCTGTCCCACGGCAGCAGCCTCGCTCTTCTCTACGGCCGGCGTACCCGCTCCACTACCACCACCTTCGGCCGGCACGGGCGCATCAGTCATAACCTCGTCCTTGAGCTCCGGCAGCCCGGCCATCGGTCGCGACAGTTTGCCCAGGCTCTGAATCAGCCGCGACACCTCGGCCGCTTTGGACGTCTTGTACTTGAGCGTTACGCCCGAGACGGGGTCGTACGTCTTGAGGATGAGCGATCCGCGCGCCGGTTTGCTACTGCTGGTTGCTGCCGTTGATTCGGCGGCGGCTGGTGTTAAGGCCGGCTTGGAGGAGGAGGCGGTCTTGGGTTTGCGCATTTGGGGGACTTTGAGGGAGTATTTGGTGGTTATACGTGTCTGGAAGGAGAGAGTTAGTAGGAGGTATGGGTGGTTTGAGGAGAGGGAATGAGGGAGAGAAGGTAGACGAACCGTCGTCGGTCGCGCTTCGAGGAGGAGTTGGGATTGGCGGATCCATTCTTGGGATGTTGCGTAGTAGGGCATTGGGTGCAGTTTTTTTGGCGACGTAAAGTCTTGGGAAGAAGGACTGGCGAAGATGCTCTATGCGGTGAGTAGGTGCTTAATGCTTGTGATGATGGCAGCTATTATCGTGGTTTGGGCTATCGTCTAGTAAAGGCAGATCGGATTGGCTGCGGAATTTTGGAAAGGGACTGGTGGGGTCAAGCTCCGTCCATATCGCGGGGAGCTTTGATAATGCACTTTGGACTGCCCGTTCATTCCAATTGCTTGTTTCTGTTTATCGACCAATGTTCCTTCTCTTCCCCAGGATTATACTTTTGGACACACTCCGTACTGCCGAACACAAATGCTGCTGTGGCTGTCAAGCTGGTGAATCACATCCCTGCTCTGACAAGGGTCTCACCGAGCTCACCTGCCCCACATTGGAATGTAATTGAGCAGGCTGGCTCTGAGCCTCGTCGTTCTCATTCCTTCAACCATCACATGAATATTGCAAATGACAGTTTAACAGCAAGACTTTCGTGCCACAACACATCGATTGCGAACGCCGACCACCGCGAAAGTACTCTTTTCGCACAATCTTGCCATACATCGAGAAACTACTGTCACCATGGCGTCTACGCCAATGGACCTCGATGGCGTTGATTCCTCGTCCGCAAACGGCACTCCACAAGCGTCCACATCGCTCAACATAACACGCACGCTGGGAAGCAATTTGGCAACATCAGCGGTAACAGATGTTATTGCCAACTTCAGGCCCACAAAGGTATCTATACGCCCTCACCCACACCCGAGGAGGAACGGCTCTCAGAGCTTGGGCTGCGGCCCTCTAGATTAAGATCAGCTTCTAAAATCGTCGTCACTACGGCTTCGGTTGTTTCCTATGCCCCTGCGAGTAGTTTTCCATTGAAAGAGCCAGCAAGTGCTTCTACTCCAGAGGGCGTCGCGATTCAAGGCTCATCCGAATGCGACATTTCTATGACATCTTCTGACACAACGCAGCTCTTCAAGCGCGATGACATTAAGGATGCCCGACCGCAACCCTATATCCTCAGTCTCGATTACGATGACCCTGGCGAGCTTCTTATGACCTCCGAGAGCGATGAAACGATCCAGATATACAAAGTGCGCGACGGACGCCACGACAAACAGCTTCTCAGCAAGAAGTATGGCGTGAAGCTAGCAAAATTTACACACGCAAGCTCTGCGATCATTTACGCCAGTACGAAGGTGAACGGTAAGCAGTATCGCAGCTCGATTGGACTTGACACATAAGGGAAACATCACTGATATTAATACATATTTGAAGATGCAATACGGTACCTGACAACACACGACAATGCCTTCGTCCGATACTTCGAGGGTCACGAAGCGGCAGTGACGTGTCTTGCGATGCACCCTGGCCAAGATGACTTCATATCTTGTAGCAAGGACAATACGGTGCGGTTATGGAATGCCTCAACGAAGAATGCGACGGGCCTACTTCATCTGAACACCCCGTATCTGTCTGCTTGGGACCCTAGTGGTCAAGTCTTCGCCGTCGGTTGTCCAGCCAGTGGGATGATCCTTCTGTACGATCATCGGAATTTCGACAAGGCACCGTTTGGTAACTTTGATATTGCCGAGTCCTGTTGCCATGCAGATTTGCAGCACGTGATGAAGGGCTGGACAAAACTGGAGTTCTCGAATGATGGACGGTCAATCCTTCTTGGTACCAAGGGTGGTGGGCACTTCCTCATAGACTCATTCAAAGGGGACCTGCGCGCATATCTCAAGAAACCTGAAGCCGGAACCAGCAGGCTTGCAGCAGGCGAGCAATCGGCCATGAACGGAGGCTCGTCTATGAAAGTCGGCAATATTGAAAGTAGCGGCGAGTGCTGCTTCACGCCTGATGGCCGATACGTCATCAGCGGTGCGGGCAAGAACGTGTTGGTTTGGGACACACTTGGCCAAGTTGACGAGAATAAGATGCTGGAGCCAATACACGTGCTAGCGGACGAAAGACAAGTGGGCGTGCTGGCTTACAATCCACGCTTCAACTTCTTCGCGACAGCTGATCAGAGTGTTGTATTCTGGCTGCCAGATCCGCATGCGTAGGAAAATGACGAGATCGGCCAGATTCTGTCTGAAGCTGCCAGAATGGGTATTGCCGGTGCTGGGGACCCATAGAAGGATACCGAGTCCTTCCGCTGGACTGAACAGCTATCGAGTAAACGGTCGAGCGACGAGTTTATAGAGGATGCTGGATTATAATAGTAGTAAGAGTTGATCGTGGCATGGCATAGCAGAGTGGCACGAACGGAAGAGATGAGCTTTGGATCGGACTGGCAAAAGTCATTGGGAAGATACCCCTTTCATGCATGGCGAGGCGTCAAAGGCTCTGATAAACAGGCTTGGGCTTACAATCAGAATGTATTTGGAATTCTTGGTAACAACATATCCTTGTCAGAATAGACAGATTCAGCTTGCATGTTCGCAGTCTGATAGTCATGAATCGGAGCGATGTCTACTCTGTAGCGCCCGCCCTGGAGCTTCATATTCCCCAGGCTAGTGGGGTAGGTTCAAGCTGAGATTGAGGTTCCGCTCTTGCGACACCACCGCCTTCTCTTCTTAGCTCACCGCTCAGCTTTTCATACTTTCTACCGGAAGTAAGTTGTTCATTGACTGGGAATCGCAATTGGAATTTTATCTTTCGGAGCGCAGTCCAGACCGATCGAGCAAACATATCTGGTCGAGTTCCGAATCTAGTGTGCGCTCATTCCGATCAAATTTTCTGTGCATTTGACGTAGTTGCGACCAGAGTATCTCCACATCATGGCAACACATACTGCCTTTTCTCAGGGTAATGATGCCGAAGTGAGACGCAAACTCGAGCAAAAGGTTGGCATCCTCCACTTCACGTCGCCCAAGGAACGCGGCTGGCATGGTGTTACCAGAAAGAGGTAAGCACATCGCAGTAATATTGCTCGACCAGTTTGCCAAGTCTTAAATGCTGCCATCTCAGTTATCGATTCTTGAGCCGGACGAATGAGTAGCATAAGTTGCGTGTGAATGGTCTCCTCAGTGCAAAATTATTCGCTTTATGATTTCGCACTGGCCTTCATTTCCTATTGGTCTCGGCGATGTTCCGCCCATGTTAACTCATGGCCATGAGGCCACTATGCCCATTTTCCCGAAAGGCGTTGACATGTTACAGGTACACCGACTTCCAGGTCAATGAAATCGCCAAAGACGGCGAGGTAGTCCGCTTGCGTGATTTCGTCTCCAATGCGAGAGAGTATCGCAAGGAAACAAAGTCTTCTCCGGCTCAGAGTGATGCTTCTAAGCCTCTGACTGAAGCAGCTGCAGCACTGGCTTCTGAGCCGGCCAAAATCAATGCCACGGGGCCGAAAGCAGAGGCAAAGGATGAGCCCAAGGAAGCGAAGCTGCCGGCCGGGCAAATCGCGCCATCCGATGCATCCATTCTTGTCGAGTTACTAGGCCAGACCGCCGCTGATGAAATGATCGCTCTCTACGCCAGAATCGTGGAAGACCCCAAGGCCAAGATACAAGGTTCAGTAAAGCTCTCGACGGTTGCGGACAGGGCGGCAAGAACTCGAGTGCATACAGAAGTTCGACGTATATTTTCCGGTAAAATCGATACCTCGACAGGCTCGGATGGCATCATCCAAGCCGCCGCTGCCAGTCGCAGCACTCAGAGATGGGGAGAGCGTCGCCAAACCCAACAAAACACTCGTCGTGATGGACCCAGCGGCAAGTATCTACACTTCTCCCTTTACAAGGAAAACCGGGACACCATGGATACTGTTGGCCAGATTGCACGCGCTCTCAACATGAAGCCAAACATGTTTGGCATTGCCGGCACCAAAGATCGTCGTGCGGTGACCGTACAACGTGTGAGCATGCGCAGTAAAGACCCCGCAAGCCTTGTGTTTATCAACAGCGATCGCCGGTTCAACGGCGTCAAGATTGGAGACTTCAAGTTCGAGGAGACCGACCTATGGCTCGGCTGTCATAACGGAAACGAGTTCGCCATCGTCATGAAGGACTGCATGTTCAGTGGCACTGAACATGAACCCTTCGAACGCCAACTCGAAATCGCACAGTCAACCGTAGACGCTGCGTTAGCCGCGATCAACCGTTCTGGCTTTATCAACTACTTCGGCACTCAACGCTTTGGCACGTTTGAGATCGGAACCCAAGATATTGGCACAAAGATACTGAAAGAAGACTTTGAAGGCGCTATCCAGGATTTGCTGGCGTATGACCCAGTCATGGTGAACATGGATACTACCAGCTCCAAGCCGGGAGAGTATGTACGCTACGATGACATAAATCGAGCAAAAGCATTGGCGAAGTTCAAAGAAACTGGGGATGCTCAGGGGGCATGCAAGATGCTTCCGCGGCGTTGTAATACTGAGTTCAACATTTTGAGACATCTTGCCAACCGTCCCACCGATTTCATGGGTGCACTTCAAGCCGTTACCAGAAGCATGAGAAATATGTACCTCCACGCGTACCAATCTCTGGTCTGGAACTTTGCCGCTAGCAAACGCTGGGAAACGCATGGCTTGCAGGTTGTCAAAGGTGATCTGGTCCTCTCAACGATGGAGAACGGAGCAGGAAAGCAGGATGATCCGGATGAAGTAGACGAAGAGACGCTTCATCTAGCAGGTGGCGATGCCGACGAGGCTGGGGCTCGCCAAAACGTTCGCATTCTGTCGGCGGAAGATGCTGCAAGCGGCCGATATTCGATATATGATGTGGTACTGCCAACTCCCGGCTATGATGTTATCTACCCCAACAATGAAATCGGTCAGTTCTATATCGAATTCATGGGAAGGGAGGAAAATGGCAGCCTCAACCCCCACGATATGAGACGGCGACAGAAGGATTTCAGCCTCAGCGGTACCTACCGGAAGTTCATGGGCAACTTCATCAAGCCTCCCACGGCTTCTGTTCGCTCGTACATTAATGACAACGATCAGCTGATCCCCACAGATCTGGATTTAATTATTAAATCTCGGAAAACAACTCGCGATGCCTCGGACGGGCCTGAAATACCTCTCGAAGATAGGAGAAAGAGGGTCAAGATCGCCACACCTTCCGACGAGCAGATTGAGAAGCCGGTAGTTGAAGAGAATTTTCAGCCAGAGGATAAACATGAACAGCAAGATCAGGTCATGGAAGAGGTCAAGCCGCAAGATCAGGACAACGAAGCGCAGCAAGAGCAACAAGCACCTCCTCCTGCCCCTGTTGTAGAAGAGAACAAGATCGCAGTGATTTTCCGATTCCAGTTGCACACGAGTCAATATGCGACAATTGCGCTTCGAGAACTTCAGGGCTATAGTACATAGGATAAATGCACATACAAGCACAATGCTTGAGGATCAAACTTACTCATATATCCGTCAGCTAGATCGTGGAGGCCAATCGTAAAAACAGATACAAACATTGTGGCTGATACAAAGGCATTCTGTAGATCAGTCGAGCCGATGAAGAATAACCATGACAAAACAAAGACCGCCGACGCCATAAAGCACGCGACAAGCCACCAGACCATTTTCCTTGACGAAATGCGGCGGGATATTTTTCTTAGGGAGCAGCTTGATGATGGTGTCTTCCCCACAGCGGGCTTTTTTGGGCTGACCAGTCCGACAACGATTTGAATAGCGGCGAGCTTGGAGTAGACGTCCTGCGGATTCGGCATGTGCTGTTCTCAACCTTCCTATCTGTTGTCGGATGAGACTTGGTCTTGGTTATTCGGACGACGTCGAACTTCTGTGTACAAATATTTCTGCCTCGAGCGAGATAAATATGGGATCGGTCCCATGAAGAGGTACAATATCCATCGCGTCGTAGCGTTGCCCCTAGTCTTCTCAATGGTCTGGATGGTGACTCGATAGAATTGGCGGTCATCCTGCAGGGTCTCTGCGTTGGCGATGGAGAAATATAGCGTCTCGAAAGGCCCTGCGTATTTCTTTGGTCAACGTGCACGGTAAGTTGGGCTGGGGTTGTCGAATTTTCTGGCCTGGAGAAGCTGTCACATTGCTGGTATTGCCGGGACCTGCTTGCTGTGAACCCCTCACAGCTTGTGGTTGAATCGAAGGGTTGCCCCTTAACAGACCACTCGTCCCTTGCAACTTGTATGTATTGTGGTTTGCAATGGGAAAAAGAGGCATGATTGGACCCTTAAACTTCGGTATGTATGTTGCCTTGAAGCGTCTGAGCTGGTCTTCAGTAAGTATAGCGCACAAGGTTTGATCTGTCCACTATCATGAAAGGTCCAGTTAGCGCTCTTCTGCAAAACGTGTTCCATACTGGTCAGGATTTGCAGCTCAGTTACTAAAGTGTAGCACGGGATATTTTCTGTATCGTTAACCCAGATTCCCCGCCAATTGGACTCGGCCGGTCCAATGACAGAGTTCTATCTGGTGGCCGCTTCTCAATAGGTTGTGGACTGTTTTGTTCTGCCCCTTTTGATGGCGATATTTCCCTTGCATATAGAGCTATTGTTCCTCATCTTGAGTAAGACGACGAGACACAATGACTTAGAGATGTCCACGCTAGAACTAAAACGCAAATGAGTATTATGTGCAAGGTGGTGCAGACCAGATCAGCTTATCGCAGCCTCGTACTGGGACTTGCACAGTAGTTGATCAAGGCCTTGAAAAACTTGTGAATGCCCATGTCTCGGATACGGAAGCTGTGCGTGAACATCGCTGCCTCTTTAATCAACGTCTCCAGCCGTCGGGGCTTATCAGATGTCAGAACCAAAACAAACGGTCTATTCTATGGAGAGCTAGGTACAGGACATAATCGTTGTGCTTTGATTAGCAAACATAGGTCAGCTTGATGGCTTGGTAACGCGATAGGTTAAATAATATCAGAAGCATTAGTGAGAACACGTGGGGTTTTAGCGGGAGCTGATCTTGATACCCGTATGGACAACATGCGCATCAAATACACACTAGTATAATGCATTCATGGTGAGTTTGATCCAATGATTGCCGGTACGAATGACGTGAGATGAATGAATAGGTCATACAGAATTCAAGGGAAGCAGATGCTCTGTTCACCCCGTACTTCGTCCTGGAACCTAACGGCTCTAGCTATACAAACCAATGCTACGACATAAGACGAGCCTATCCTTTCAGGTGACCAAATACTTGGCAGACCTGTTGTGTGGACAAACTGTGAGAGGATCAATGCGGAATGTAGAGTCAAGATGCCAAACTCGAGGTTGCTTGCATTGGCAGCAATCAACCCAAAAGTATCAGAGTTCATTTGAAACCCTAATGCCACTTGCATTTGCGGAATGTGAACTCTTGTCCACCGCAACAGTAGGTGTTTCATATGTAACCGAGTGAATTGGCAGCCCAGCCCATTCAGCTTTTCGCCAACAGGACAACTGGAACATAATACGGGACTTTGGCCATCTTGTGATATCTAGTACACCTCAACAACTCACTAGGTATCAAAGATATGTATAGGGGGTTGATCTCGCGTGGTTCAAAGCATACGACCGGTGGCTCAAATTGTGACTACTTAATACTGTGACCACCACGACAACGTCCGAGTAAAATCACCTCCCTTGGAACTATCGAGGATACTAATGAGAGAGCCTAGAGACTCGATCCCAACCTGGTCTAATGACAACCACATCAGCACCATGGAAGGAGCGCTGGCCTAGCACAGTTATCTGACCTCCTCAAGAAGGTAACTCGGAATGCGTGAACTTAGTATCTGATGCCCACATATTCGTAATTTAGGAGTAAGTTAAGGTGGCTGGCATTTTGCGGCCATCAAGAACCAAGAGCGTCGTGAGATATTTCCACGCTAATGTATACATTGTAGTACAAGTCAGATATACACAACCAGACCCTGTCCGCGGTCTGCCCCTTGCGTACGTGCACCTTTTCGTCTTCTTAGCCTCTAATTCCCTATAATCTCTGCGTGTCGGCTTCCCGGATAGCCTTGACGGCCTGCTCCCAACCCTCGGTCCCAACTTTGACGCCCGAGAACCGGACCAAGTTCTGCTTGTACGGATGTGCGTCGCCCTCGAATGCCTTCATCCTCGCCAGCCGCTTGTCCCGCAGTCGGTTCTTGGGCAGCATTCCGCTGACAGCCTTGCGCAGCACCTCGGCGCCGCCGAATTTGGAGATGAGCACGTCCATGGTGACGCTTTTTAGGCTACCGGGGCGCGTGTTGTGTCGGTAGTACGTCTTCTGCCACTTCTTATTGCCTGTCGTATACAGGGCAGCGCAGTTGGTCACCACCACGTAGTCGCCGCAATCTGTTGACGGGTCCCATGTCGGCTTGTGTTTTCCCATGAGAATCGTCGCTATCCTTGAGGCGAGGCGGCCTAGGGATGGAGGTGTGACATTGGGTTGGGTGGAAAGGGTGGGATGGGGGGCGGCGGCCGAGACGTGGTGCCAGACTCGGGAGTAGGAAAGTTTGGTCTGTTGGTCGTCAGCTACCGGCCTCATGGTTGGTATATTCCATCGTGAACCCTTTCATGGATTTTGTGCAGAGTCGTTTTGGTTGCTTACCAGCCCTATGGTTTGCGACATGGTGGCAGGTCGTGGGACACTTGTCCCGCCTTCACAAGATTAGACCACTTCCTCCTATTAATTTCACTTGATTGAGGTGAGGGAATTCTTCTGCCCAAAGATCGTCGCGCTGTCGCTGGGGAAGACCACTCTGTTGAATTCCAAAGACTCTTGCCGATTGCAGCTGCCAGTGGTCCAGAATTTTGATGTAAGTCACGTGGCTCTACGGTCGGCTAGTCGGCGGTTAGTGGAGACCGCGGGCCCGAACACGGAAGCGACGCAGCAGCTTATTGACGATTTCAAAGCAACCAAATCATTCCATGGAAATACGAAAAGGCCATCGCCGTGTGTAGGTAATAGCTTCTTTCATTCTTGTTTTAATTTTCATACTGGCAAGTTCTGCGATGCTGGGATCTTTCTAAAATATCTCTTTTCGCTCCGTCGCTATCACAACCGAATCTGTATCTATTGCACTTGTCACGGCTTCATATTTTCACTACCTGTACAGTGAACGGTAGAACCCTTTGAAAACCAAAAATGATGGTTGACAACAATGTCAAAACTCCTTTCCAGGTTTGTTCGCCTGTCCATCTCGGACTCCATCGTTTCTCTTCCTCTTGCAACCACAGGGGAGCATATCGCGGCCAAGTAAGCCAAGTCAGCAGAAGCTGATGAAACACAAACCCATCAGACGCTGTTCGCCGTGCACATGACATGTGACCATTGCGTCAAGGCCGTTTCAGACTCGGTCTACGGGCTCAAGGGCATCACCAAAGTCGACGCCAATCTCAAAGAACAGCTGGTCACCGTCGAGGGCACGGGTAAGATCGATCGCATCTGCCACTGATATTACTGAAGCATGGGATATCTTAGCTAACCCGGCGGCTTGGCTAGCGGCACCATCAGCGATTGTCAGTGCTATCGAAGCAACCGGCCGGGATGCCATATTGCGAGGATCGGGAGCCTCAAACAGTGAGTGCCGAGCACCTTTACTTTATCGTCCGCCTCCCGCCCAAGTCATCATGCGAACCTATCACATTACAAACCCACATAGCCGTAGCCTTAGCCTTTATGCATAGCTGCATTCGCCATCTCAGATCCCCTGAACTATCAGACGAAACATGGCTGACAGACGCCCTTGGTGGGGATCGATATCCAGGTGCAGCAGTCTGCATCCTTGAGACATTCCACCAGGACAGCCAAAACGGCGATGTGGTAGCGCCCGACGGGCCTGAAGGCAAGACAAGGGAAGTCAGGGGCCTGGTACGCATGGTCCAGGTCTCTCCAGACACTACGCTAGTCGACCTCACTCTCCGTGGGGTTGAACCGGGCAAGTATCACGCGAGCATCCGTGAGTATGGCGACCTGAAGAAGGGCGCAACCTCTACTGGCCCCGTGTGGGCTGGCGGCAGCGGGACGACGCAGCCGCGAGGCATTCTGGCATCCCTTGAAATTGGTAAGGACGGCAGAGGCGCCGTATTTTTGGACCATTCCTTCCAGGTGTGGGAGTTAATCGGCCATGCCATCGTCGTGACCCGGCAGAATGAGAACGAGGGCCCACTGAAGAATGACGAGAACACGGTAGTGGGCGTTGTTGCCAGGAGTGCGGGCATGTGGGACAACGATAAGACGGTATGCTCATGCACCGGAAAAACTCTATGGGAAGAAAGAAAGGATGAAGTTAAGAAAGGTATGATCTAATCAGACTACTTCATCAAGATCAGCGAACTGTTGAAACCTTCCCGGCCCTTTGAGCCAGTTTCTTCTACAGCTATCAGGTGTCGGGATCAAGCTCGCCTTCAGCCTTCCTAGGCGTGTCACAAATCCAACACTGAAGTCGAGCGTTATATTCACCTCGATATAGTGGGGTATGGTATACTACTTAGCAAGGCTCGCTCGACCCTCCCGAGGAAATCGTATTCACGTGCCCGACGACATTTCTTGCCCCGTAGTTCCAAGCTTCTCAGGGTGCTACCTCAAACTATGCCCAGCAACGAAACGTCGCCCCCATCTGAGCCCTTGTCCGAAGCCGCTTTCGACATGCTTACCGCCACTTGGCAACAGCTTCCTGTTATTGTCTTGAGAGACAGCTTTATGCCTTGGTAGTCTTGGAAATACAACATGATGACGGGCCATTACCGCCGGCCGGAAGAATGCGGGCTGCGAATATTGAGATAGTGATCTTGGCTGGCATTGGGCTTGCCTGCCAAGGGTTAGCTCTAACTTGAGCGCGTAGTCGGACCACATGGGCCCATATAAATCAGACGAGCATAAACATATTCTTATATCGCGAAGACGAGTCAGGATCCAGACCACGTCAGAATAACATACGATACTACCGACTTAATAAAACTACTATCTGGAATCACACCACCACCATATACAATGTGATGGTAGGCCAGGATTGGCAACCTGGGGAGCGCGTGGCTAGCTTAACCGAAGGGCTAATTCACCGAACGGACCCCAGCTTTGGCCACGTCGGGTAGACTCTTCGCGAAAAGCACAGTACAGTTACTTGCAGCTGTCGGCCGTCATAATACAGGGACCACAAACGGCCCAATTGGCTGGACAATATCTGGCGATTTTGTGACATAATGTTGCAAGCGGGAATGCAACCCCAGGCCGTTCGCAGATTTGATCAGTCCAGATTTAGGAAGCCCCTATTTCGACTCTGTATGCTATACCAAACATTCTCTGATACCGAAACGTCAGACAAGCACATTGCTCTCTCAGCAATGTACGATTTGGAGCGAAGCATTGGAGTTCGGAGAGGCTGAAGATAGGAATGGAATCCTCTTCAAACTGACACACTCTACAATGCTTGGTGTTGAGCTTATTCAGAACCCGGGGTGCTTCAGCACCCCTTCTTCTTCTTCGGGTTAGGAGTCATATCGCTGGGACAGTCGGTACCTCCATTTAGGATGTTCTATGGCTATCGTCATCAGAGTTGAAACAGATCTTGTCAGACAGGCCCTTGGAAATAAGCCAAACTTGACCCACGTGGCAGCGACCGGAAGCCGTATTGAATAGTGACAGGAAGCGCAATATGAGACGAAAGCCCGGGCCTGTTGAGGGCGGATGCTGCCGAGAGGCTGGGTCGCAGTGGGGGTATTCCCCAAGTGGGACTACTTTTTTCTATCATATTCCCGACTATAATCCGTGGATCGTCGCATCTTCTACAGCTTCTGAAGGGTCTTCGGGTTCAAGGAATGAAAGACCTGTGAAATGTGACGTTCTCGGGCTACTCATGTGATACCAGGGCTTGCGGGAAGGGATGTCCCTGCATTTTGACTGCCGGCAGCAGCGAGAGTGTTGGCGATATCTTTCTCAGGTTTCGGTTCCCCCAAACGACAGTCCCAGAGATCTTACACGCCCGCGGCGACCCCGGCCCACGGATTTTCTAGAAGAATTTTGCATTTTGTATTATTAGCAGCTGTGCGTCGATGTACGTACCTGTGACGTTGTTGCGCTTCCTCTTTGGTTTGACCCAGTCAGCTTTGATTATGCATAACCTTGCTTGCTTTAACATGGCCTCCCTGCTCATCGTCCCGCGGATGCGATCTTGCTAGCGTTGAGCGGGTGGTTCAAAACGGCCTGAATCGGAAGCGAGTTTCGCAACAGAGGTTTGTGAGACTCGAGCCCAGGATGCAGGGGTCGGCTCTGGCACTGCACCCTTATCGACGATCATCACCACGAGCCGTCGTCGCATTGAAGAATTTCACCTGCTTGGATGCACTCGAATGCCGAAGTAATGGGAGAGCCCAGCGCATTGCTCAATGCCGAGCTTGGGAGTAGTGTGCGGCCTCTATCGTAGGTAATAACAAGCCTGGATGCGAGAAGATAGCGGTGTGCTATGTCTGCTATGTACTAAGAGAACAGAGCATCGCCAACCTCAAAATAGAGCTGTTCAATAGAGCTGTTCAAGGTCACTCATCCATGATATATGCAAAGGGTAACTCTAAATAATGATAATAATAGAAGCCGTTGCGTGGTTCGCGACTGAGTCAATATTTTGAGATCTTCACAAAGACCAAGAAGTGGTCGGAGCTGAAGTTTAAAGTGACGATTGTGTCTTGACAGAAGTGACCATGACTAGATATACTTCCTGCAGAAAGAACCGGTGGCTCGTGTTGGATGAGGCTGATAGCAAAACAGCTTGATCAACTGCACATTGAAGTTGGATGTCAGGTTGCATTTGCATGTCGGCAATAAATGAATGGAAGCAGGGAAAGTGCGGTCTTGCCGTTGAGATGCATCGCACCTACCTCAACATGCAATCGTTCAATTCATTGGGCGACTCGACCATTTGAACGCACGCATTCATCTTACCACTATCTGGTGACAAAATCCGTCATACTGAGCCGTTGGATCTGTCGGCGCTTATGTCTTTGATCCTCGAGTGCTACTCCGTCAGATATTCCCAACAGAAGTGAGGCCTTTCAAAGGGTCACGATGGGCGCCAATTGTCGCCCCCAGACTGGATCTGAGGGTGGGTGACAAGTCGTCGCTGTGAGTGCAGCTAAAGCAAGGTACGCTGCAAGGGAAATTGAGGATAGGCTGATGATGGATGCCAATTGACGTTGTGTCGGTGACACGGCATGCGGGTTCGGAAAAGAGAGGCTTTCGTTTGACGTGTTTTTGCGACTCAGTGAGAGGACCGGCGCCCCTAGCAAATCGATAGGCGCCCTTGGTATACCGCGCCGAGACGTGCAAGCCAATCGACGACTAGTTGGGCCACCTGGAACACTTGCTGCTTTAGATTGACAGGGCTTGATTCGCACGAAGTTCCATGCTGCAACCCGAAAGGGCAACATGTCCCATATTGCAGGGTATTAATACATGACCGTGCACTGGCCATGCCCTCGAGTGGAGCGCCCAAGACGAGCGAACTATCACGGCTTGGACGGCGTGAATATGGCAAGACGAACACATGACAAGTCTCACGGCTTTGGGGTTGTTGGGGGCTTGGGAGGCTTTTCAATGGCTTGCTCAGTCTGGCAAACGGAAATTATCATCCAGATATGGGGATTTAGCCTCCACATCTTGATACGCGTCGATCAGGCTCTGTGCGACCGACTTAGCGATATCAGATCGAGCCTCTCACCGCGGGGGGCAACGGCTAAGCGGCCACATTCATGTTGGGGCCGCGAACTTAAGCGACATTGCGCGTCTGTTAGAGCCAATGCTATGCCAATGCGCTGCCAAAAGCCTTGGCCATCTTGAACTTTGATAAATCCCGAGATCAGAGCTAACTTATTTGCTATTTCCATGCAAGCATGGATGACGTTCAACTGAGAGGCCTTCGTCATCACAGTTGTCGTCTCAAGCGCCAGCCACAAGGCCGTCCCTTGAAGTTGTGCGCTGCACCATGGTTCGACGAGGGCTCGCTGGCCTTCTGTGCAGACACCCCTGCCCCTGCCCCTGTCCCTGTCCCCCTGGCTCCTCGTACGGCGCACGAGCATCACAACAGTTTTGCCTGCCAGGTTGAAAAGTATTCCGTACCCACCTCAGCACAGGCAATAGCTGCCCGAGGCAAGTCACCGCATACTTCAGTCACCGCATACTTAGTACACGGAGTGTGATATACCTAGCTGTCCCAGTCCTGATCCAGATTCGCCAGTCACTTGTCCGTCCCATGCTTCTTGGCAACCAATTGCCTACCTACTAGTTTTTGCAGTGATTCTAAGCCCTCTCAAGTCTCATCCACTCTTCGTCTCCCTCCACGCGCTGGCTTCGTCGTATCATCCCACTCGAACCTCCACTTACCTCTTGCTCATCGCTCTTCTCAAGCCCAGCTGCAAGGTCCCTCGAGTCTCACCGGCCGACCTAACTCAGTCAGTCCTTTCCGCATCACTCGGGCGTGATACTCTTCACGACTAGCGAACCCGTATAATCCCAAATCCCACATATCGGCACTCGACTTACGAAAGGTTCCTCGTGGCTGCTGTGCAAGCTGGACCAGTACCTAACTCGAAATAATCCGCCAACAAATCCTCCGGTGCCACCTCCCCGATCTCTCTAGACAAGCGCCAACATCCGTTGCTTTTAGAACCAACAACCCAACCCTTCGGGACTCTAACGTCGCTTAAAGTCCCTGGATTGACCTGTGTTTGCCGCCTGTTGGTTTTATTGCTCAATTGAGACAGGAACTAAGTTTGACGACTTGATTCATCTGATTCTCAGAAAACATCATAGCATTGGCCCCGAGATTGATGAAATAAGGGCCGTCTCACCACCCACTTTGTCGGCCAAGTCCAAAGCGGGGAAAACCTCTCACCCAAGCCTAAGCCCAAGACTAGCCTGAACCGCAACGGCTCCTGGGCGCTATTAAAACCTGACCCGTCCACTTAATTGTTCGCTCGCCACGTCAAAACTTATTGCTACAACCGTTATTCTTACATCAACAAGACGAATTGGTGGATATAGAGAGTCGCAGTGCGGACTCACGCCAAGGGTTCAGTGAACTATCTGAAGCCAAGCCCACGCCCACGACACGATGTCGTTGAAACAAGTAAGTTGCTAGCCTCCTTTCTCGCCGCGCATGCAGTTGATCTAACTGTCGCGCAGGAAATAGAAACATGGGTTGCGGCCCTGGGTCGTTACGATAACAATGAATTCGACGACGCTCTGAAAGATTTCGAGCAGATTGCCGACACTTCCAAGATTTTATTTAATATGGGAGTCATCCACGCAACTCTTGGTGAACACGAAAAGGCTGTAAGTCGCTTGTAACGACCGATATTTCCAGGAAGCCGTTGCTCACAGTTCGACCAGGTCGAGTGCTACCAACGCGCGATAAAGTTAGACCAGTACCTTGCCGTGGCCTACTTCCAACAAGGTGTATCCAATTTTCTGCTGGGGGATTTCGAGGAGGCATTGGCAAATTTCAACGACACTTTGTTGTACCTCAGGGGCAACACCATGATCGACTATGCCCAACTTGGCCTGCTCTTTAAATTGTACTCATGCGAAGTGCTCTTCAATCGAGGACTTTGCTACATATATTTGCAGCAGAAGGAGGCAGGTATGCAGGATTTGTCGTATGCTGTGAAAGAGAAGGTGGTTGAGGATCATAACGTCATTGATGAGGCGATCAGGGAAGAAGCTGAGGTGAGTTGCGGGGAGGGTTTTTCCCCTTAGTCGATCGACAGACTACTAACGTAACATTAGGGCTATACGGTGTTCTCTATCCCAGTTGGTGTTGTCTACCGGCCCAACGAGGCCAAGGTCAGGAATTTGAAGACGAAGGACTATCTTGGCAAAGCCCGCCTGGTGGCAGCTTCGGATCGATCGAACGCATTTACTGGTTTCGCTGGTTCAGAGATCAAGAATGCAGGCAGGGCAAGCGAGAAGGACGACCGGCCTTCGGACAACATCTCATTTGCGGCTACTAATCTGGTCAAGCCCGGGCTTCAGAGCAAGAGGCAGCAGTCGGAACCTCCGCAGGGCAGTCGCAATGCCTTCCCTCCCACACCGCCGCCCGAGGCCGACAAGCCTCCGCAGATGAGCCGGGGTGCTTCTGTACGGAATGGGCCCAAGCCCATGCCCGCCAAACTCAACATCGAACAGGCCCGATCAAACAGTTACCAGAAAGCTGCCTCACCACAGGAGGGGCGCAGGGCCCCTTCGCGTTCTGCGTCGGTAGCAAAATCGCCGCCCCAACCCCAGCGGGGATACTCGACGAGAGATGGAGGCAAGAGTCGCCGATCCAGGGATGAGGATGAGGGATATCCGGACGACGTCTATGACATGTACAACGGCGGCGGAGAACCGAGAGGAAGCAGGTCACAACAGAGCACCCGCCGCAACCCACCCCGATACGTCGAGGAGGAAGACGAAGCCAGCGACTACGACTCATTTGATGAGGGTGATTTCGAGATGGTATCGAACCGGAGGCCGCCGCCATCAGTATCTGGTTCATCCCGAGGCGCATCGAGGAGACCTGAAATTCGCAAGGTACGAATCAAGGTCCATGCCGACGATGTTCGCTACATCATGGTCGGTTCTGCAGTGGAGTTTGCCGACTTGGTAGATCGTGTACGCGAAAAGTTTGGGCTTCGTGGGCGTTTCAAGATCAAGGTTCGCGATGAGGACGCCGGCAGTTCCGACATGATCACCATGGGCGACCAGGACGACCTTGATATGGTCATGATGACAGTCAAGTCGATGGCGAGGAAACAAAGACAGGACATTGGAAAGATGGAGGTGAGTTCTATTTCGCTCCGACTTGACGCTTACCAAGACTAACGTGCGTCTCAGATTTGGATCCAAGAAATCTAGACGTTTTCCTACGCATTTTTGGCTGTTCTTACAACGATACCCAGCGCTTACAACCTCGCCTCTATACGAAGTAACGACGAAAGCAAGCCGTGACGCTCTGCAATTCTTTCTCATGGATTCTCTAATTCTGCTTCATTCCAATCTACTTTTGCACATATACAACTTCGCTTTTCTTTCGCGGGAAACTTGTGCACACAGCGACCCGTGCAAACTATACCCCAACGGCGGAAAACTCATCCCATCATTCATAATGCGGCTGAAACGAAATCGGCTGAAACGAAATCGGCGACGTTTCAACCTATTCTCAACGCGACGATCCGAGCTAGAGTCCGTGACATTAGCTTGTTTACTTCCATCGCATCGCACGTCCCCTGTTTCCACACTCTGGGCATTTTTCCTCTGCCATGACATGACTCATCATCAAACAATGACCTCTAGTTCCTCGTTCTATTCACTCTGTCACGAGCATATATCCTTAGATCCGGAGCAAGCGGGAAGGTACCATCATATCACATCCACTGCGGTTTAATTGAATTGGTGAGGCGCTATACGGCCGTCAGATTTGGCGTTGGATTTTGACACATCTTTACATGGATTTTGACACTATTTGGAATTTTGCTGATTTGTTTTTCGATTCTTGATGCCGTCCGTTGTTGGTCAGCGATGATGATGCATTGGGGGGAGGCTGGTCTCGTCTGAAGTCTTGTCGGTAAAAGAAGATGGAACACTCGATGGGGAAGAGAAGAAAGAGAGGTCATTGGGGGGCCACGTGGGTAGACAAAAGGCGCCTACTGGCCTGCTGGAGGTGGTAAAGTCGCTACATGATGGGCTCAGTCGACATGATTGATAATGCTCATGCAACCGTCTTCTTGACTTGGTGCAATCCCGTGCAATCTGCGTCGGGTGTGTGGTCAATCCAATCCTACTGTTCCGCAACGTTACATGCCGACTCTTTTGCAATCAGTTGAAGTCATTGCTGCTGCATGTGGCCACAATGGAGGCCGTTTGTAACGAACGTTAGCATTCCAGAGCGATTTTGATATAGCATTATAGAATTCAATGGCTTTAAGTTTTGTAAATATGCCTACTATGCCCGGAGGCACAGAGTGCCCGGATTTTGCATAATGATCACTTGATATGGTAGATCGCACCACGACGTAGAGAGGTTTCTATTGGGTACCAAGAGCCTTGACTCTCGACACCAATGGCGCATCGTATACTGCGCACCTGAAATGCCTTCATTGACTCGAGATTTGTTGCTGCGTCTCAAATGAGCAGGCAGCGAGCTCTTTGGTCGACTTCGACCGTCACACGCCGAATATCGTCAACTAGCAGCCTGCGTCAAGGCGACGACGGGTGCCGCGGGCGCGGTTTCAGTGTCCGCCTGGTGTCATCAGTATAGTCGTCCAGCTTGATGCTGTCCAGAACGCGCACAACACCCTTGGGGATGAGATGGTACGGTGCCGTCTCCGAGTCCAAGTGCAGCTTGAACACGAGCTCGCAAGAGCGTACCTCGAGCGCGTCCTCGTCGCCGCCGGTTTTCGAGGCCATGTCTCCATACAGAGGAAGGATAGCAGCATTGGTGAGCACTTGCGACCGAACCGAACCGATCGATCCGCGATCTGAAGGCCGAGCAGGCCGATTCGCAGTACGTGCTGAGCCCTCCAGTGTAAGTCCCATGCTCATCCCCGTTTCGGTTTCGGTTTTCGTTTTCGTTTTCGTTAGTGCCACCCAAGGCGTTCTGACTCTTTGTGAGTTGCGCTCGGATCTTGAACAGCTCCTCCCCGGGTTGGACCACAGCGAACTCAGCAGCCGCAAGCGGAATTCCTCGACGAAGCAGCTGTTCAGGAACTGGAAATGGCGCGAGATCGTCTGCAGCTGCCGTTTCAAGGTGCGGCTTTCCACTCGCACGCAGGACGCGAAGGATATACTGCTGTTGGCCTCGGCAACATTCTGTATGAATAAACTTCGTTACACGGTACCCCCTGATTCTACATGGTTGTAAATAAATAAGCCTGCTGGCGTTTCGGTTGTGCCAGGTTTTCCCCAGTCTTCGAATGAAGTTTCTGGGCCACGGGCTCATGTATTCGCGAAAAAGTTGCGGCTCGAAACGGTCCGATTGCACTTTTCTGTCCTGCCGTTGTAGTCTCGACATTGACAAGCCCGACTTTGAGATGAGTGACACACTGCGATGAACGGATGATAGATACACGTCTTGTTGCGTTGCGTTGCTCAGAAGCATAGAAGAAGAAAATCACACAGGCAAGTGGAACAACCGAGATGTGAACTCTCCCTTTCGGTGTTTGATCAGCTTGGAAGCGTGTGCCTGAGGAAATGTGCATTCCGAGTATCAGGTTGAACGAGGAGTGGGCTATGCAAGCTGGAGGTTTCCGCTGCCTTCGAGGACGCTGAGGTGGGCTGAGCTGAAAAACGACGTCACATCAATGACTCCATGGCAACAATAATTAGAAGCACATCTGGTGCGGCCTACTGTATGTCTTGCAGGACCAAGAATTCTAACAGGGTGGCTTTATAGTCGAGTGGGCGAAAACCTATCGAAATGTTTCATATTCCAGGACTCCGTCAAGGCCTGGCGACATGTGAAATCAAAGTCAACTTCACAGCCCCATTATCTGGCTCCGTTGAGGTGGGAATTACAGCTTGGCTTACTGATATAAGAAGATCCCATCGCTGCGCTGTTTTCATCCTTCTATTCGTGAGTGATGAGACTGGACTAAGTAGTAAGCCGGTAGGTAGTGTTTGAAATTCGGCCAAGTTACCCCTGAGCCAATGCCTGAGTACGTGTGATTACATAGACATGCACACTACGGAATATAAATCCCAACACTTCTGAGGTGAAATACGGGCTGGCGATTTCAACGTGATTATTCTGTTTTACTTCTTGGGCTTTTTGGCGGGTCTACTTTTCTTTTTCAACTGTTTTGAACTAGTTACCCGTAGATGGTATCGTTCGCCATCTCTAGCACTTCCTTCTCCGTATGGAACGGCACAATCACAACACAAGGCCCGAAGATTTCCTCGCGGTAGATATTCATATGCGGTTTCACGTCCGTAAAAACGGTGGGCTCGACGAAGAACCCCTTTCCGTCCAGAGAGACAGGCTGCCCACCCATGTACACCTTCGCGCCCTCGTCCTTTCCCGACTGGATGAATTCCAACACGCGCTCGTACTGTACCCTCGACACCTGCGGCCCCTGGAACGTCGTCTGCTCCCATGGATCACCCAGCACCGACACCTTCTCGACCTGTCCCCTGAACTTCTCCAGAAAATTAGCATAGATCCCCTCTTGCACGAAGATCCGCGAGTTTCCATAGCATATCTGCCCCGCATTAGTCATGATACCAATATGCGTCCACAGAACCGCATTATCCAAATCTGCATCATCAAAGATAACCGCCGGCGACTTCCCCCCCGTCTCCAACGTCACGCTCTTCAGATTGGACGCCGCGAGCCGGAGGATTTCTTTCCCCGTCGCCGTGCTGCCCGTGAAGGAGATCTTGTCGATATCCATGTGCGAGGCGATGGCGGTGCCGATGTCACGGCCCGAACCGTTGAGGACGTTGATGACGCCGGGTGGGAAGCCGGCTTGCTTGATCAGCTGGCACATGTAGAGACCGACGAGTGGCGCGGCTTCGGCTAGTTTCAGGACGATGGTGTTGCCGCAGGCGAGGGCGGGGGCAATTTTGGCACAGAAGCTGGGCATGTTGACGTTCCAGGGGACTGGAATGGGAGAATCAGGTTAGGAAGGACGCTAGCACGTTGGAGTTGGTTTTATAGGACAGCAAGAGAGAAAAAAGAAAGAGAGAAGAGAAGAGGGAGGGGGAAAGGGGTTCAATCATTAATATAGGCAATACAGACAATACAGGTAAGAGGGTTTTATCGGTGATGATGATGGTGATAGGAATAACTCCCAAAGGCTGCAGTTACGAAGGGTTATCTATGGGCAGTTCGCCCAAGCGCTGCACCTGGGACACGTAATACTTCATTATGGTAATAGCCTCCGAGACAGACTAGAAAGGGGCAAGGATATAACTGAGATTTACATACTAATCTGCCCTACGACCCCAACGGGCGTCTTGATCGTATAAGCCAGCTTATCCGGCCCACAGTCCATAGTTTGACCATGAATCTTGTCGGCCCAGCCGGCGTAGTACCGAAAAAGCGCCGTGGCGATGGAGATGGACAAGTGCAAGTTTTGCAGGTACGGCCGGCCTGTGTCTACCGTTTCGATGGTAGCCAGCACCTCCTTGTGCTCCTCGATCAGGTCCGCTAGTTTGTTTAGGAAGACGGCCCGCTCGGTGCCGGTGATTCGTTTCCACGACGGGGCGTGGAAGGCCGCGCGGGCGGCCTTGACGGCCTTATTGACGTCTTCTTGGGTGGCGGCTTGCGGTGCGCAGATTTCTTCTTCAGTGCTGGTGATAGAGTCAGAGCTAAGTCAAGGCTGATCTGAGTGGAAAATTCATGGAACGATGGATGCCCTTACACCGGGTTGATGGTAGGAATTGTGTCAGTACCGCTGCTGCTGACATATTCATTGTTAATGAACTGCCCTAGCGGCTGCGTCCACTTGACCCCGTTTTGGGGCGCTGAGTTCGACCTCCATGATGCTCCAAGTTAGTGTGATACAACCAGAGATATCACTTACTCTTCACACTTGAGAGAATTGTGCTGATTTATAGTTTCTTAATACGCATAAAACCGGGACGGAACCCAGACCCCCTGATACGAAGAGTTCTATCTACATGTTTGCTTGCCAACCAATGGAAGCCCGAGCATGTCCATGGAGTTCTGAATATACCTTGTGCTAGGCAGGGTATAACATGGCAAGTCGCTAGATCAGGTTTTGGTCACTCCCCCCAAACAACGCCATGTATACCTCATTGGTGGAACTACCGTCTACTTGGGCGAGGCTGCCAGTGATATGCACCTTTCCGTTTTTTTGGCACTGACTTGTTGGCACTTACTTGAACCAACACGGCCATCATGTCATCCTTTGCTGCCACTTGACTTTTTATATGTGTATTGAATATTTCGTTAAGTCCATATCATGTACTTTCAACAGATGTAGACGACACATTAAACTTATCCGATGGAAGGTGCGAGGAGAACTATGCTTTCCAGCTTGCCACATCAGAATCAATGCCCGTCGTCACCCTACTTCACGATTGCGGCTACAAGGCCAGGCTACACCAAGCCAGTTCGCGAGTGGAATATATGCAGTGCTTACGCAGTGACAATTATTGGGGCACAGAGTGTGACCTTGACTTACAATAGGCGTGGGTGTTGAGCCGTTGTTAGTCCCTGGAGAATACCCCTGTTAGCCGCCCAGAAATGGGAGTGACCCTGGTACCAACGGTATCGGGTGTTTTCCTCGGAAGCCCCCATACGTTGGTCCTCCGTCCGTTCTGGTATTTGTGATATTTCTGGCGCTAGAGACGGTTGAAATCCAGATGCGTTGCCCATTTAAACGTAAGAGTGGTTTTATTCGTGGCCTGTAGAGGCATTAGGGGCACGAGAACGGGCGGTGCCGTCGAAGGACTGCCGAGTTCATCACGTACGTGGGTGGGCTTCGGTAACGGATCGGCAAGAATTCTTATTGGCCACGAGCCAGAATCCTGTTGTAATCTGCCCTTGAGATGCACTTTGGCAGAGACACCGTTCCAGACCTGGGCAGTTTCCCGGCCCTGGCAAACGGAGATCCGCACACAACTGTTGAACCCTATGTCGGCTGCCTATTGCTGATGCAAGCAGCCAAGATGCTTTGCGGCGGAGATAAACCAACACCAAGCCTTATCCCAAACAGGGGCGCAAGTCGAGTCGGCCCGGTTACTAGGGCTGATCAGGTATACTGCACTATGCATGTAAGTTGCATTTTGTGGAGCCTCGGAGTCCCAACCTTCGGATTCCGAACCTTCGGGTGGTCTACCTACTTCGTATCTAGGCAAGTGAACATTTATTAAAGAGTCTAGATAGAGTTCGGAATGCCGTGGCTGACTGGCCCACTTCAGTATGCACGTCGGCTATATATTGTCAGATGTGGCCCAACTGAGTAACCCAGCCGAGTTGACGCTTAAGCATGGGAGATCCCTGGGGTGGCAACCGTTGAGGTTGAAGAGCGTTTTGGACTACTTAACGTCAGCCACTTTGGGGAAACCCTGCGAGTGGATCGTGTTTAGGAATCTCTGGGCGGGAGAGACGAGTTACCTGCTAGTTTTAAATTATGAATCTGCACGGGTTACTTCGTAATGCTCACATTACTAAAGCCAACTTCGAGTTGCTCAGCTTCATTGCTGGTCAAATTTGGAGCCTTGTCAAAAAGAAGTGAGTGGAAAGCCGACGGCTTGGAAGAAGCGGGATTTCGTAGTTTCTTGACGAGCTCTATGATCTAGACTGCTCAGTGCGCTTTAGTCCTCCTTTTGCCCGACAGGTATGATGCCAGTTGCACGCGCGTGCTTGGTCTAGTAAGCCGAGTCTGCTAGTACACTTTGTTCCGTGGGGAGCCTTCTCATGCGAATTCTTTACATACACTCCCGATCCCCGCCGTGATAGAGGGAGGGTTTCCGCGAGCTTGCTGCGAAATGTACACAACGAGCTTTTGATCCGTGAGGCCACCTGTGAGGTTATATTATATAACAAGAAAACAGCCAACGTAAATCTGCAATTTTTTGTGATGATTCGCAATCTGGTACCGATATGCCGCCCGGCCGAGGGAAAACAAACCCCAGGCCAAAAATCAAAGCACCAACGCCAAACTCCGGCTAAATCAAAAATCGTGACTGCAGATTCCACAGTAATGCCGACGAAGGAACCGGAGTCGCAGGGCGGTAGGCGGCGGCAGCGGCAGCGGCAGCGGCGGCGCGGTGTCGGTAGAGACAAAGGGGAAGCCGGGGGAAGATGTTGGGTGCACGCAGCATGGGGACTGGGAACCCGGCTGACGCTGCTTATGATAGAGAGATAGATGGATAGAGAGAGAGAGAGATAGAGAGATAGAGAGGGGGAGAGAGAGGCCGTGCACGTAATTTTGTTGAACCGGTCCCAAATCCCTGAGGAATAACGCAAATGCCACCCCGTCCGACGTCGGTTGCCCGACCTATGCAAAATCTTTGATATTAAGGAGATCTCCGGCACCCCAATGATTCAGTTCTTGTCAAGCCTGACGAACTACAGAGATGCACGGGTATTACAAAGAATATGTCAAAAGGGGTATTTTGAATACAAAGAAGGTATTTATGTACGATGGTGCGAAGGGGCCCCATACGTCTTAACCTGGGCCTGGGCCATGATCAGGAGGTCCGGTCGGTCTTGTAGCCCATCCCGACTCGTAAGATTCGCGTTTATACGGAGAGAAACTTTGTGGTGTAGCACCCGCCGAGCCAGGTTCTGATCCAGCGGGAGGTTGATCCATTCGAAGGGGGGTAGTCTTGCAGTGGGACCCGCAGAGGGAGTTCCAGGTTGGGATGAAGATGCCGCGTAGGCCGGCGCCATAGGACCCAGCGTACCGATTCCCGAGGCATATGTTGGAGTCGTGAACTCAACTTGGGGATCGGTGCGACGGCGTCTGGCTGGCCTCTCTCCCGTCGTCGGATCGACTTGACCGTATGTGACTGGTGGCAGCGGCGTCGGTGGGGCAACGGGGGCAACGGGGGCCAGGGGGCTTCTATCTGGAAAAGAGCCACCGGGCCTGGAGGTTGTTGGACTCGGTAGACCTTGGTAGGCGAACTCGCTGATGCTCGGGGTTCGGTAGACGAGGTCCCGCAAACGATCGCGGTCTGCTCGATAGTGGTCCCGCTCAATTTCGACATCATGCACTCGTTTCTCTAATTGTCGATTCTCAGTCTCCAGCTTGTGCATTTCATTATCCCGGCTAATCTCTCGCTCCTTTTTGCGCTGCCGGAATCTGGCAGACGCACCGGCATTTCGCTGACGCTTTTCATCCGCCTGGCGTGATCCTTGCCGAGTATCGAAAGGGACAATCATTTCGTCGCCTTGCTCCGTCCTGAATAACAAATTTGTAGACTGGCCGTCGGAGACTGGGAACGAGCTCCAGCGATTGGGAGTTTGCGGTTGAGAAACGTTGCCACCTACCCCCCCGGACCATCGCAAGTCTCCCTGGGGCAGCGGAGGTGGAAACCCTCGATGGACCTGGGGGATACCAGCCGTGTACGACGAAACAGCTGGATATCTCGACGGTCGACTTTGGTGACCGAGCGCCCTTTGAGATTGCCCCGTTTCTTGTGATGCCGGACCGACACGTCCAATTATTGGTTGTGATGATGATCGCGGTGGAGCGGCCAGATTGGACATGGGTACCGGTGGTAGAACTCCGGGCGAGCCGATCCCACCAAAATGAATTGCCGGTGGTTCACCAGATGTAGGCGAGCGTTCTAGGGGAGAGTCCCCGGGAAACGGCCTGATGTGACCAGGCCCGGCTGCGGGGGAAAATTGGGAGGGTTGAGCGCTCAGTGTTCGGAAGTGAGCACCGTGGTGGCCCATGCTACCAGCCCGTGGCGACCTCGGATTTAAATACTGCCGAGGAGCTCCCAGAGCCTGGTATGGATGCTGAGCATGGGGCGACGCCCGTTCTGACGGCGCTGGTGATGGAGCTGAGGGTCTACCAGTTGGCCTGGGACTGGCCAGCGGTTGAACTGGCATGGCTTGCCCCCGGAATACATATGGTTGCGAGGTCGAAGGACTAGACTCGTACTGGCCCGCTGCTGGGTTCGGTCTTGCGCTGTTGTCTTCTGGGGGGCGTGGAGCTGTCGGGGCAGCTGTCGTCGGCGTAGAGCATGTCTCTGCCGGGTTCAGCATGTTATGCACGTCCAGAGTCCTCTGGCCGGCTGGCTGTGATGTTTCTGCATGAGTCCTTGGTACCCCGCAACTTTCGCGTGAGCTGTCACTGGATAACCCATCACCTGTCCCTCGAAGGCCTGGTTGAGCGGAGCTTGGAGACGTCCGGGGAACTGTAGTTGAGGATGTTGTTGTTGGACGAGGAGAGGCAGGGCGAGACGCAGATCCCTTCTGCGACATCGGGGCCTCCGGTTCCCCTGCTCGCAGGTGGCCCTGAGGACCCAGACATTGACCACCTTCCTCAGCTGCCTCGCGAGATCGCTTTTGTCCAACGTCTGGTGCGTGAGAGACAAGTCGAGGCCCCCCTGATCCTCCCTGCTGCTTCTCCAGGTCCTGGCTAGTTGATGGAAAATCTAAACTAGCGGAGAAGGCGAAGCGGCTTGGGTGCTGCGAGGGATACCGGTCGTACTTTGTGACCGCCACGGCGACGATTTCTGGACAGCTACTTGTAGAGTTTGGATGTAAGGAGACAAGCTGGCCAAGTATGGCCTCGGGATAGAGACTGTTGTGGTTCCTGTGTGGTTGTTGCTCGGAATATAGGGCATCGGTGAATATCCAAAACAAGTAGGCAGGAAGTACCACTTTATAAATACCCAAAAGCTATCCACCGATTTCGAGCAGCGACAGAAGACTATTTAGGTCTTGAACAGCTACAGGAAAAAAAAAGCTAGACTCTAAGTCAGGAATGGTGAGCTCTGTGCAGCGGTGAAAACGCCCTTCCGATCTGAATGTGGATATATGTGGAAGGTACCAGGGGGACTGGAGGTAATGAGGGGCGCCCAGTGTTTTCGTTGTTAAGGGAAGCTCGGGTCGAAAGGTATCAGCTGCTTTAGAGGATGGGGATGCCCAACTGGAAATGTGCTAATCCGGGAAAGTGTGGTTTGTGATCTGTGGGATTAGATGCAGCAAAGCGGACCAGTCATGGCTCTGAGGAGAAGCCCTGTGCAATGAATGGCCAACAGACGCTACCGCAGCCCTGAGCTTCGAAAGGACTGGCAAGTGTTGGAGAGCCAAGGTCAGGTTGGTAGCTTGTTTAATGTATGAAGCTCGCTGTGTCGAATATTTGCGAATAAGAACGAGGGAAGCACCCGCTGGAAGGATGGGGGCTGTGAAGTCGAGAAATATGCGGGCGATGACGGTCAGTCCAAAGAAATGACGGCAGGGCTGTTACCAAATAGCTGGTAAGCTTAGCATCCGTCTGCCCTTTGGCTGAGCTTTGGCTGAGTGTGCTTTTTAGGTACAGAGGAAAGAGGTGTCCCATAAGCAACTCCAACAGGCGATCGATGGTCTGCGTCAATGGGCGGTTGATAGACGAGATAGCTGAGAATAACTGAGCCGTTTAAACCTTTAATTTTTTTTTCTTATTCAACCCTTGGCACAGCTTCTTTGATGTCCACGATGCACCCCTAGTTCTTATCATTAGGCCTCTCTGCTGGTGAGTTACTAACTCGTTCGAGTAGTGGAACCCACATGGCAAGCGGTAGCTATGGTGGACAGGCATACCTACAGGGAAGAAAGAAGCTACTGGTTTTTAGCACTGCAGAGAGCTCCAGGGGTCCCATGTCAGACTCACATCGGTGCTAAGATGTCGACAGGGCTTATATGTGTTACTTTGTTGATACCCGGGGCTAGGAAGTAACGAAGGCTGGAGCGACCGTTGGACCGTTGCCTTTGCCATTTTTAAAAATTCGCGGGATTGAGGATTCGAGTGCACTGCGGCAGGTGTGTCTTGGGGCGCATGCAGAACCTGACCTTGGGACCACGCTGATAGGACGATGGAACAGAGAGTCGAGGGCGGAACCAACAGCAGAGCGAAGACATGCCTGACAGATTGACAGATTCGGCTGCCAATACGGAGTATTGGTAGCCATGTGGAGGCTCAAAATTGCTTCTATTGATCCGCGGAAGCCAGATGCTCGGCGGCGTCCCGAACGGCTCAATATCTTCCACCCCCAGGGTCTGTGAAATGCCTGCAGCTCTCGCCGCCTCTGCCATGGCAGCTACGCAGTCCTTACTCTAGCAACCGCGTAGCGGCACGGGGGGGCCAGCACCGAGCCATCCCAAGGTACGGGGCGGCGTGCTGTGCTAACCTCTTGCGCCCAGCCAGGTAAGGGAGAAGCAGTACACGTCGATTGGGGGTTGGGGGTTACGGTACCTGAGTCGAGCACAGAAAAGACCGGTGAAGGTTCTGGAGGGATGCTTCAGGACTGGCGAGTGAGTGATGCATGCACTGCACTCATGGCATAGTGGATGGAGCCTGAACAGTTCAATAAGGTCACGCTGTGCCTTATGAAAGTGGAGTCTTCGTTGGACGGTTGGACGGGTAAAACACCCCTCCCCCCGCTGTTGAATGATCAGCACGAGACCAGCTGTGAATCGTCTGTTACTTCGCAGTGTGCTTCGATGCCCATCTCAGGATCAGCAATACCCAGACTAGCAGATGGGTCGAGATGCTCGACAAAAGGGTAGATGAGCCGATTTGCAGATAGAATGAGTTTGACTGGTAGCCATTAGGAAAACCACTAGTCCGTTGTTCCGGTGGATCACAACATATGGAGAGCGCTCTCTTGGAGTGCCAAACTTGGTCCATGGTGCGTGGATGAAGGTGACATCGAGAACTTCCGCGTCCACCACACGGGTGCCAGTATCCCGTACCTTCAATATTGGTTTTTACGTGGACGGAGATTTGGAAGAGAACATGTCGAGAAACAGGCTTGGGGGTTTGCAGCTTCAGTGTTTGGAAGGTGCTTCTGCCAGGTTGGCGTCTGTGGGGACAGGGAAGTGGACAGTAAAACAAAGATAGGTACCGAATTGGCGGGAAGAAACGAGCAGGGGAGCTCCTTCCCAGCTCTTGCTCCGAGAGTCCGAAAAATGTATTCAATACCTTCTTAGCGCGGAAGCGGGTTTTGTGCCTGTTCAAGTGCGCAGCCACTCGACCAGCTCCATCGGTATCGGTAAATAAATCGGAAATGTCTCATTAATCCAGTTGCTGTTAGTTTTCATCTTCCTTCGCGAGATGAATTACGTACATCTCCTATCACGTCTTCGCACAAGTGACTTGTCACCGTGGCCGAATCTAAGAATCCCCGAGTCAAGTTGGCCATCTCATCTGGCCATGGCGGTCCCTCTTGACAAGAATCGCCAGCCTGCCGCCCCTGCAAGCACCGATCGCATCATCAAATCTGTCAAATGAGGCGCCCCAAAGATCGCCGAGCAGAGTGCATACATAGTAGCGGTCACTTTACATGCTGCAGTTGGATGCCTACCCGGTGCCCGCGGGGCCAACCCCCAACGACTCGGATGGAGCTGTGAAGCGCAACGGCGTTTGTGCTAATGGCAACGCCCAGCAGGCAGGACCAACAGTGTCACCATTCGCACGCCACCGTTTCAACTGCCTCATCACACCAATCTTCTGCAGCAGGTGTGCAGAGGCCGGGTGACTGAGTGTCCTTCGAGAACCCCGTTGGCTTGGCCGTAGGATATTAAAGCGCCTGGGGCATGGAGCTTATCTTCGCACTATGTACGTACCAAGACGCTACTTTGAGACTCTACTACGTACTGAGAGAATGCAGCATCGCACATGCTGTCGTGCAGATGTGGGGCGTCGTTTCGAGTCCCCGCCTTTTCTTTCCTACCACGAAGCAAGTATGCAGTTGATCGCTCCGGGCTAGCAACTGACTGCTAACTGTCTATCAAAAATCAATCTTGGCGTAAATACACATTCTGGACTTAATAGAGTTTCTTTCTCAATCGGCAGACTATCGTTGCGAGGTAAGCATCTTTCTTGCTCCTTGCCTTGGCATCTGCGCTCGGGTCGACTTGCTTTGTTCGCTTATATGTACGACGAAATAACCTTCCTGGCGGCAATATCAACCTTGAATTGGTTCCGAGGACCACTGCTATGCTTGCGGGCCACGGCATTATGGGATGCATGCAATTCGCATGCTGTACAGAAACCTGCAAGTCTGCAAGGACCAGGAGATTGTTACTTCACACCACCACGTCTGCGGCCATCTATGCGGCCGGCCGCTCGAAATTGCGAGACATATGGGCGTCCCCTAAACGCAAGGATTCTCTGGCTCAGATCCTGGGAACCCAATCGAGTGGGAAGGGGAGCCACGTTCGTCTGTGATAGGCTAGTCTGGCGGTCTCGCTGGCTACCCAGCCCATGTCCTCATCAAGCAACCGACACTACGAATGAGGCTGTGAACCACCCTTGGTATTCATTCCGTCGTCAGCAGCTAAATCTGACCCAGACCGGCGACCATCCAGAAAGAAATAGAAGAGCCAGGTGGGCAGCAGGTGTACTTTCCCTGCAACTGTTCAAACAGTGATCCGGGTCCTCACTGGCACCGAGGCTGTACCCTTCCACCAATCCATATTCCAATTTGCATTTCGACCAAGTGCTACGGTATGAATAACGATTTGCGGATGCTGATCCAAGTTTTATTGAAAAAAATCTCCCGAAGACGTCAGGTGTTCGGCACATAGCGCAACGTTTTCCATATCATGGGTCCTAGTCACAATTTGCTTTTTAATAACCATCAACCCTGACTCGGAAAATATGGCAAGCCTTGACGAAACCAGGAACAAGGTCTGAGACAGGGGATTTTGGGAAATTCGTCACCCAGTGAGGCTGTCTCACGCCCGCACAGCTGCAAAGAATACACGTCATTCCGGTGATCTGCAGCAACGGCCACAAGCCAAAGGTTAATGTCCACTGCTTCCATACGCAACACTCGATAATGGCAAGCCTGCAAAACTATGCAAGGCTCGGTGTCTGGCCATGGGTTATTAAGCCTCTCACATCCCTTTACAAGAACTTGGGAAGAACCACCCTCAACGTGTGGCGCACGAGTAATTACACACCATCGAGCAATGAATTCGTACGTTGGTCATTAAGAAGTCCGCGGCATGCTACCCGGAATGAACCACCATATAGCCCTGGTCTGTGGAACTCGATGGTGACAGGGGCAAGGGTCTCCATTGAATGGATCGGGTGAAAGATATCGTTTTGTTGAAGCTCACCCAGCTGTCAAAACAAACGACTTGGTCGAAATTCGTGCAACGCGCTTTCGCATACCTAATACACCCGTGTCTAATTCCTTGATGGTTCGTCGACGCTGGACATAATCCTGGAGAACGGCGTTGCGGAGACGGGCAAGAACTAGATAGTGTCAGTGCCGTTCCATAGCACTGATAGTTGCACAAACTGCAGCTATCCATCGTTGTCACCTTTGACCAGGCGCTTATGGTTCATTGAAGACCAATCTCGCCGTTCGCGTCCCCAGGTTTCTAGGTTTGGGGCTTTGCCGAGCATTCCGTATCTTGATCGGGAGATTGGTGACACGCCATGGTCAAGATTATTATGGCATGCATGCAAAACAGAATGTTCTATTGCTTGCAGGGATGCCCGCCTCGTAACTCGTTTTACGCCAGGGTCAATACTGGTCAGAGCTGATTGCGATCATTTCTCACATTTGAACCCGTCCGCAAGTGATTGGAGCTACCTGAGGCGCGAAGCGGTGGTCGCGGTTGGGTCACAATTGCCGTCGGCATGAACGCAGCTTTCGAAAATCGAAAATCCTATCATTCCGAACATACATTGCTCATCACTTTCACTCTGTCGACCTCATTAGATCCGTCGGCCGCAACCACGGACAACCGCCGCTGCCGGCCCTATTTTTGAAGCCACCGCGGTCGGCGAATCAGCGACTGGGCTTGCGTACATACTAGAAGGCTTGTTTGACAGACATGCGTTACTCCTTCCACATTGCTTCGTGCCGCAAATCATAGAGGCCCTATATCGGCTTTGTATCAGGCAAGGATGTCGATAAAAAGACTCCAATATTCTCGCAACGCCTAAGTGGGGGAAAGCCGTGCTCAGATGACGAGATACACAATCTGCTGCATCTCGCTCTAGCTCGAAGTCTCAGGGCTATCTTTGACTACCTGCATTGGTGGTCGATCATGTGGTCTTTTGGGGTTATGCGGAACGGCACGAAAAAAAGACTTGATTGAAGCCGTTGCGTCTTGGTGCGCAAGCTAGCCGACAAGGTCAAGCCCTGTTGGTGATGCCCGAATCCAGTCTACACTAGATGCCCGAGAGCGGGACCCGGACTTGCAGCTGCTCAGTGCTTCCGTTACGGCACATACGGCATTTCAATGGAGGAGGATAGCCACAGGCACTGCTGAGAGGCACTGAGGCCCAAAAAAGGCAACACTTCAAATACAGACGTTGACAATCCCTCCAGTGGCGTCGTCAGCTCCTCGTGAGCCCATCATCCTTCCAAGGGCTGTTGCGAGACGTAGCGGGATTTCCTTGTCAGATTTGCGCGGCGGTGCCGCTCTACTCAGACAGCGATGTGTCTAACGTGGTAGTGGCTTAGAGTTGGAGGAACCTTCGCCGCCTGCCTCAACCGTTTTCCCTCAATCACACACCAATTTGCGCTGCATCATCCATGCGTTAGCAAGGGCCATCTATCGGTTGACGATATAGCCGCCAACTTGACAGCAACGTGAAATGCCTTTCAACCGGGCGGCCGAGATGAAAATGGACGGAGAAATATCGAGTCGGCGGGGTGCAGGCCCGTGTTCCGTCTGCAGTGAATCTTCGATCGCGTCTCGGAAGCAGGAACCGTAGGAAAGGGACTTAAAATGATCTTTGCCTCGTTGCTCTGGAGTGATTATTCAAGAGCTGATGTTCTGCTTTCCGCCAGAGTGCAAATCATCCATCGTGAAAGCCGGCCTTTTGCGAAACGTCAGTGCGATCTTCGGAGGCAAGTCGAAGAAGTGGACCGACCTGCACCGAGAGCCGCCACGACGTCTGTACCGCCCCGGAGCGGATTGATCACGTCGCACCTTGCGCAACCCTCAGCACGATTTGTGCGTGTCTCGTGTTGCCTGGCCAAAATTATTAGAACAACATGTCTACCACGTCGGGTATCCAGCAATGGGAGGTCAAGGAGCCATACCTCAACCTTCACTGTGGCCTCGGCGAGGGTCCATACTACGAGAAGGCGACCAACAGCTTGCGATTCGTCGATATCAAGAACAAGCGACTGCACACGGTGGATTTGACCAAGGGTCCCGAATCGGTCACCACGCTGCAGTTCGATGTTCCCGTCACGGTTACTGCGGACATCGAGGGCGTAGACCCGCGTGAGAAAATCCTCATCGGCGCAAAGTATGGAATCGCCGTGTTGGACCGCAAGACGGGCAAATACGAGTACATCGCGAATTTCGAGGCTACCCAGCATAAGGAGCGTCTTAGGAGCAACGATGGCGCTGTTGACCCCCACGGACGGTTTTGGTTGGGCACCATGACGGATTTCGGTCTGGGCGATGTTCTCCCTGAAGGTACGGAATTCCAGTCTCGAGGCGTGGCTAAAGCAGCAAGACATTCTGATTATGTCCGGTTTCCTGACAAACTCTCTAGGATCTCTCCACTTGTTCGCAGGAGGCAAGGCGACCCAGAACGTACGGCACCCCGTCTCGATCCCCAACTCAGTCAGCTGGTCCCTGGACGGCAAGACCATGTACTTCACGCACTCGACGGCCCGGACGCTCTACAGCTTCGACTACTCGGAAGCTGACGACGCCCTCACCAATGAGCGTGTGTTCTACGTGCACGATGGACCCGGAGAGCCGGATGGGCACCGCATCGATGCTGAGGGCAACCTGTGGACGGCTGTTTATGGCGAGTCGTGCGTCCTCAAGGTATCGCCCCAAGGCAAACTCGTTGGGAAGATCAAGCTACCGACCAAGAATGTGACTTGTGTCGAATTTGTCGGAAGCGAGTTGTTCATCACGACCGCGGGGATGGCCGAGGGTGAGGGCACGCCCGAAGAAGTGGATCTCAGTGGTGGGTTGTACAGGATCGACGTGGGGATCAAGGGGACAGCGCCGTTTGAGTACAGATTAGGAGCGTAGGCGTAGATAAGCGCGATGAATTGCCCTTGATATGAGATGATGAAGCAATGAAGTCTTGATGATTTGTTTTATTTTAGTCAGATCTGACCAGCTGCTACGAATCCTTCGGTCTAAGAGCGTACATTCGTACTGGGAATATTTGCTTAGGGAGCCCATTCTGCAACTCGGTCCTGACTATTTTCAACCCAGCCGCGGCGAATAGTCGTTTAAAGCTTCCATCGTGTCTGTAAATGTCAGCATCAATGAGCATCAAGCCAGTCCCAAACACCAACCGAGAAGCATAACCGAAAGGAACCCCAACCCGAACTCACCTTGTCACCGAGCTATCCGTCTCATCAAACAAGTCCTCGTTCGTCCTCGTCAAGTTCTCCTTGAGCACAATCAACCCGATCGTCCTCCCGGTCTCTTCATCTCGGCTCAGCGCCTCCTTGCACCGCTCCAGATACTTGATGAGCTGTGCATCTGTCAGGTGGCCCACAACCCACTGGTTCCAAATAATGTCATAGGACACACCCTCCATGGGCTGCCACTCCTCGAGCCCGACATTGAAGACGTGGCCCACACCCGACACGTCCTTGAGCTCGGCCGTGAACTTGGCGATGGGCTCCACTATGTCGACTGTGTCTGACACGTCGATCAGGAGGTTTTTGGTGATGCGGCCAATTCTAGCAGTGACCAGTTAGCGCTTGGTCAATTGAATGACAAGTCAAGTTCAACATCGAGGCCCGTCATTGTCTTCCTTTGCATCCCTCACGGATCCTGATCACCCTTTCCTTTATCCTTCAAAATGGACTCGAGGATCCCAATGCATCCTTCCACCTATACATCGAGCAAGAAAAACCTTCCAACCTACCCGGCACCGCCATCCACCGCCCTCCGAACTTTCCTCAACGTGCTCGTCTTCCCAAACCCAAGCTTTGCCAGAAAAGCCCTCGACCCCCTCAAGTCGACCTTGGAGATAGCCTGAAAGCCGCCGAGCATGCCATTTTCGTCTGCGTCGACGCTCTCCCAATACTGCCGCGAGTCGTCGGTGCGAATTTTGGAGTCCGGGGTGGGGCCGTCTTTATTTTTGCTTTCCGACATTGTGTGAAAAGGAAGTATGTGAGAACGACTGGACGCAAATATGTCCTTCTCAAAATGTAGTGGTGTTGAAGTCGAAGAGAAAAATCCCAGGTTCAGGATGACCTAAGGTATCCTGCTGAGGATGCCTCGTCCATCGCAACTTGGGGGTGATTCCTCTCCACCCATGTCCAATAACAAAATTTGTGGAAGCAGCGAAGTCCATCACGTGCTTGGCCGTTGATAGCGCCTAGAGGCTACCTGCAGAAGAAGAGCTTATCGTTTTGAAGGAATTAATGGCACAGAAAAAATACGGAAAAGAGAAGTTGTAGATGTTTTCAGTCTTCTTGGCTTTAGGGTGTTATAGAAGGTTACAAAATCTATATGCAATGCGGCCCTTCTCAAACGGGGGTCAAAGCAGGGATCACAAAGCAAGGGATGGAACTCAAAAAACCTTTGGTTTGCATCTGCTTCCATTAAGTCGTTTCGATAGTTGAATAGCACCAGCGTGGCCATTATTGTTGTCTGTAATTGCCCGGCCCGGCATTTCTGTTTCGTCTCAACCCAATGGCATCTCGCAGGGGCGGATAACCCAAATTTGTTCTCTGTGAATGGTAAACCCCCGACTTATAGTACATAGCCACCAACACCAACACAATTCCAGTCTCGGACTCCCATGCCCTCTTCAAGCTCAACGCACCACCACAGCGCCTCCTTGGCTTTGCCCGCTTGTCCACTTTCTTCATGTGCCCTTGCCAGTGCGAACCAAGCGTCAGAGTAGTTCCAGCCGCTGCCTAGCTTAGTGAGGCCTGACAGCAGGCCATATGCTCGGTCTCTCGCCGCCAGTCGATCTACCATGGGCAAAGACGCCGCCTTGTATGGAGCACGCAATTCCTCAGTGCCAGCAGGTTTGTCGAGTTTCTGCGCAGTGACAGGACTTGGATGCTGCGCAAGTGTAGTGTTGGATTTGTCAGTGCCAAGTCCGAGTGGTGTAGTCGGCAGGACCGAAATACTCTTCCCTAATCTTTGTCCACCACCCAGAGAAGTTTCGGCGTTCGGAGTGAGGCTATTGAAAGTTATTGGCTCGCCATCGGGCAATGTTATGCCAGGGATGGCAGGCGTCGGCAAAAGCGCCTCGCTGTAGATATCCAGGAGAATATTGGACAACCCGACGATTGCTGCAGGGTGGTTGGGATAATGCATCAGCGCCTCCTCGAACTGAGCTCGGGCTTCATATGGTTCTTCTTCGGCCACTAGTAGATAGCCAGTCTGCTTTCATGTCAGCAAATGGAAGTAGCTTGAAAACATCACCCAGAATACGTACCTCGGAACGAACATCGCTCCATAGTTCCTCGATGCACTGTCTGCCTCCCCAGCCAGGGTTGTTGGTCGTCACAGAGCTACCTGTATCTTTAAAGAGGTCCGCTTCCATAGCGTCCACCAAGAGACGAGCCTCTTCTATAGAACCACGACAGTCCGTGTACATGTGAGAGCGCCGATAGAAGGCGCCGATCATCAGCCACACCTTGATGAGGATAGACTGCCTTTGCCGCTTGAGTTGCTCCTTCGGAAATTGAATCAAGGGCAGGGGGTTTGGGGGCGTCAGAGAATCCAACACCATGTCTGCTGATTCTTTATTCGACGAAACGTTCGAGTCAAACCTCAGAAGCCCCCGACCCCTGGAGAAAGATTGCTGACTCGAGAAGCTATTTTTGCGACCGACAGCAAAGAAATCTGGTCGTTCGTTGGCCGCTCCATCTCCCAACGGTGTGAAGTAGGCATCGCCATCCGAGATAGTTGATCGCCGAGGCAAGCCACCACTACTGCTGGCTGATCGTTGTCGTTGGGGGACGCTCCTGTCGCGCTTCTTCAGACTGTTGCACCGTTTGGTTGAATTGCTCCTTCGCCCAACCGAGCTTGCTACCGATGACCTTCGAGAACGAGAAGTTCTCGCATCGCCATTTTCCTTCGTAACATGGATGGTAGGGGCCGTGGTCGCAGTGCTGACGGTGGTTGTTGCAGTTTGGGGTCGATCTGACTTCCCTGCTGCTGACCTCTCACTGTTCATAGTGTCGGTGTGTTTGAGGTTGCCGGCGGCTTTTTCGGATTTGTTACCGAATATACTTCCTCGCAAACTTCGCAACGTCCCAGCTGAGCTTTTCGGCACCCCCGAGGTGGATTTATGGGCTGAGCTCGGCTGCAGACTCCCGAAAAGTCTCGTATACAGAACCAGCAGCTCGTGGCTAGCGTTGACTGCCACCTCCGGGCCCTCAAGTATCTCTAAAATGGCAAGTTGAGTCATCTTGACCTCGATGATGACTTCTTTCTCGAGATCGTCCATCTCATCGACAAGACCTTTAGAGCTAGGCTTGCTATCCTTGGCCTCCACTTCATTAAGGTGGTCGCTGCGAAAGTTGCCATCCAAATCGGGAGTGCCAAACAATACTGTGGGATCATCGAACTGCTCAAATGCGCCTTCGCAAGCGCGAGCAGCCATGATGTAGTCTTGTCGCGCACTCAAAAGCAAAGCTAGCAGGTGCCAAACGGGAATTAAGGAGCGCTCTCGCCAATAGGAACCCGCGGACAAATTCTGCTCTCCAGTCTTCTTATTAGACATCAGCGCAGCTTTCACGATATCTATAGCTGCGCTCAGTTCTCTTTGCTCAGCAAGCAATAGACCAAGCGTGAACAAAGTTCTGACGTCTGTTGGGTTGCCGGTATCCGGTGATAGTGACTTTTGGAAGCTCCTGATGGCTTTTGCTTGGATCTCTACGCGGGCCGCCGCATCGTAGGTTGTTCGCGACCATTGGGCCTGAGAGAGCCCAATCGCTTGCCATGCCAGAGCATTGACTCTGGAGGTTAGCCGGGGATGAAGAACAACACCATTGGCTGTCTCTTCATCCAAAGTTGTGATGCTATCGTCCGCATTCGGGAGAGGCGCAGGAAGTTTCGAAAGCATTTCTTCTAGCTCAATGCCGAGATCGCGGGCTTTCTCGGCAGCGTCACTCAATCCATATTTGCAAAGCGCCGTGATCGCCGTGGACATTGTCTCTAGGACCGTCCCGTCGTCATCCAGACTAGGCTCAAGATGTCCCGTCTTGTCAACCCGGGCCTTGCCCTTCTTCACGATTTCCAAGTATGAGTCGAAAGCTTTGAAGGCCAGGTCGAACTCGGCGACGGCTAGGTGGACGGTGAAGAGATGTCGTAGAATTGCTGTGGAATGGAAGGTTTTGGTCGCCGCCCGGTAGAGAATCTCAAGCACCCCTCGACTGAGACCTTCTTTGCCCCCAGGGCCAAGATCATGCTCATACCAATCTCGTCCGCTCAAAATGCTCCAGTTTCTCATTACTCGGCCGACGAAATCTTCAACTTCCTCCCTGTCCTCCTCTGCCCGGGGGAATGCTGTTTCCATCAAAAGAAGGGCCTCGTAAGTGGACTCAACCTTCTTGAGCTCCATTCGCAGCTGACCCCTGGCTGAACCTTCTTTGGCCACCTCAGTGACGTATCCGGTAGGGAAGGGTAGGTCCAGCTCAAGTATGCCGGAAATGGCGGAGTAGTACTCATTCCAAACCCTCCTCCTAGGGACAGCACCGCGAAACCCGCGACCGCCAACCAGGGGAGTCCCTTGGGGCCTAGACGACTCGAAGTATCTCGCCCATGATCGGAACGCACCCAAAGAGTTGGAGTCCTCGAGAGTCTTTTCACCCCTTTCTAAAGCCTGAGCCTGCAGCATGCAGAACTCGGTCAAGAACAGTTCAGCCCAGAATTGTAGTTGGGCACGACCCTTTTGTGCTGTCCAAATGCTTGACAGAGAGACCAGGGCAGATTCAAATGCCGTCAGAGCCCCAATCCTGTCGTCTTTCTTGGACAGGCAACATGCTCTCAGATAGGCGGCCTTCAAGGTACAAACCCGTGTCCATTCGGATAAGTTTTCGGTTTGTTCGAAGCGCACAAACTCCTCGTCTAGGCTCTGCGGTAGTCGGGCCGCAGCAAGTTCATACTCTCCTACAGTCCAGTACAGCCACCCAACACAGACCTGAGCCTGGAACCTGTCCTCAAGGTAACTCTGCTCATTGTCGATAGCGTCGAGTAACTTGGGCAAGAACCGCGTGATCTCCAAGTCCTTAGTAGAAGCGGCGGTCGTAGGTCTCGAGGCCGAGGCCTGTTTCGGCTGCGCGGTGGTGATAGCATGCTCGGTTTCGGCGGTTACGGCAAGGCCTAGATTTTGGTCATGTTAGCCAGCTGCATTGATGGCAAGGCGGGATGCGCCATCAGGCCGTACATTCTCTGGAGGGAGCATGTTTGCGAACTTTGCGAACGAGTTCTGGTACAGAGTCCCAATTATCTTCGCAGCGAGCATCGTTGAGCTCGTTCAGGTATTTCAAATCCTTGGCTGGCTTCTACAAAGCAGGGTTGGTCAGCGACGGTCTGCAGTAGGGGAGAGGACAGCGCTGGAGCACCAGGGCTAGGTTTACACACCGGCATTATGACGATGCTACAACTGGGCGACTGAAGGTCAGATTGGATGCGCTAATCATGGATTGAAAGTGCAAATACCATATCGAATTTCAGCAGACCAAATCGCGTGGCATCATATGCGTTGTCGTCGTGACTCGTCGCCAATTCGCTTGTCAGGGAATTGGGTAAACTCACTTTAACTAGAGGCGCGCGATTCGAGCTCAGATTGACAGCTACCGCTAGATTGAGCAGGGGGTGACGTTGATGGGCTTCGGGAACATTGACAACCACGGCCGGGGGTGTACCCCCTGCCCACAATGCAATAAATACTCTCGATATCTAGGTTAGATGCATTGCCGATGAATCACGCAAACCACCGGGCTATATTTCATGAAGGAGAATGTTTGAATTCTCATGTCGTCTTACGGATTAATAGTACGACATACAGCCTGTTTCCATCGCTGAATCTGAACGACTAAAGCGGTTTCTATGATCCGGACCTTGAGAGACCATGGATGGCATTGTGTTGCGATTGCAATTACCCCGTAGACAACTTATGCACCGGCACCCGCTTGCCAGGGCCCTTGATGGGCCCACTAAAAAGTTTCAATCTGCAAAGCTTCAAAAGATTTATTACCAGTTGCGATTACCCGCCTGAGAGGCATACAAACACAGTCTGAACTTGATAGGCCATTGTTTCTACATCGTTGTGCGCTGCGGGACATATTATTCTGGATTTTCCGTTAGTGTATACTGGGTTTCTCAAACGAAAAGACCGTCGCATGAGCGTATTCTGCACTCGCTGATGCGCAAAGAGAAGTGCTGAGTCCAAAGTGAAGTTGCGACGCTGGAACGAGTATAAACATTTCAGGAGTCGACACAACTATTCATCATGTCGTTGGTGACGTTACCACCCGAGCTTCGCAGCCTCTGTCGAAAGCTCACATCGACGAAACCAGAACATCTGCCGAACTTGCTACCATTTTTGTTGCAGGATGTGCAGCGATGTCGAGGGCCGCTCTCAGAACCACTGGAATCGAAAAGCAGCGCGAATGGGTCAGAGGCAGCAGTGCTTGTGCACAAGCTGAAAACTCAAGTAACTACTCTTCTGAACGGCAGGAGCGTTCAGGGGCGGTTTGCCGCAGTCGCTTTGGTCAAGGCTATCATAGAAGCTGGTGGGTGGCAGTCACTCAGCGAATCCGAGCCATGGGTTCGTGGGCTCTTGATCATCCTTCAAGTATGTGGAAAGGCAAGACTCCAGTCGGTCTCGAATTAGGGCTAACGGTGGTCAGAAACGGGGTCCCATTGTGATCAAAGAGTTATGTGTCGTAACTCTTACCAAGATTTACATGATGATCCAGAGATACCAGACGCTGGTACGGCAAATTGTTACGCCTACGCTCCCAGGGTTCGCGACTGCGTGCATTCAAATACTCAAACCAACAGCCACGAGTAAAGCGGCCAAAGCTCCCTTGAGCTTTAATGACACTGTCTTTGAAGCCTTCTCTAGCTTGATACCCTTGTTTCCCACCACGCTGCGTCCTTTTGCGGCACAAATCCGGAACGTCGCACGGCCGTATCTTGCTCCAACTACTTCTGATGGGCAATTTGTACCCGAAGCACTACAGAGAAGTAGCCGGCGCCTGGTGGTCCGGCTACACATGACCGCCGCGAAAGGCGGAGGTTCTGATGAATGGGCTAAGCATCTCACCGGCCTGGTTAAGGACGTCCACAACACCGCAGACCAAGTCTTCCGTGCCGTGCAAGAGACTTGGGAGTCTTCGTCAGGATACGTTCGTCAGGCAGCCGACTTCTCTTTGGATCCAACTGGGGGAGGAACTTCGCCGGACCAGCTGCCAGAATGGACGGGTGTTCAGGCGGGCAGCGAACGAATCGTCGGCTTGCTTCGATTTATTGGGGAAAGCCTCCGCTGTAAAACCAAAACTCCGGTTACCATCCCGGTCAGCTCTATTTTTGACTTGACGCGAAGGATATCTTCTATTATCCTTCGGACTTCTGCAACGGAAAAATCCGAATCGACACAGATGAACGCTGCAGTCGGAAGGGAGGAAAAGGATGAGCTGTGGTCAGTCTTCCCCGACGTTCAAGTTGCCGCCATGCGGCTTCTCTCGGTGCTGGCTCAACGACTAGGAAGAAATTTCCTCCCATTGGCCCAGGAGACCTTGGATCAGATACTACGAATGTTCGACGCAAGCTATCGTCTTCCCGAGATACGTTCGGTCGCCTTTGCACTATCGAACGTGGTACTTCAGCTTTGCAGACCGTCCATGACCAAGATTAATGTTGACTCGTTGACATTGACGATTCAATCATGCTGTCAAGATCTACTTGGTGCTGGTGGCCACCTCAGGGTCCCCCGACAACAAGCCACGATGGGTCTGCAAAATGGCTCCAAGTCTAACAATGGCAGCCAGAATGCCGATTCTTTTCTTCCTTCGCAAAGCGATGAGGAGACCCTACCTGTTATCCTTGAGCCGGAACACAAGACTGCGGCGGAGGAGCTCCTAGTAACGCTCTTCAGTAACCTGCCACAGCAGTACATCAATTCTTCGCTCCGTTCACGCATGCTCAGGACGGCCATATTATGCCGCATAAAAAAAGCGCAGGTGGCTAGCGTCCTGCATCCTGCGCGAGACAAGAATGGGAGGACTGCGGACGCAATACTTCCTTACCTCCATCAGCAATTCCCTCACGATGAGATTGTTGAGATTTTACGTTTCAATTTGCGACCCACAGGGACTGGCGCCGTTGGCGACTTCATGGATCACGACGATGGCATGGGTATTGAATATGAGGCGTCAGTCGACAACCCTGCCAATGGCTCAACCTTTGATAAGCCATTTGAGGCTGCTGTCCCAGACGCCCAGGGTGACACAGTGATGAAGAATACGGCGTCTGAGGCTGTGGTATCAGGCCATCATCCAGTGGCCGAAGTTCAGCCCAGTCCCTTCTCGACTCACCAGAACAAAAGAGTCACAAAAACCACGGAAGTTGAGGCCCAGCTCACATCAGTCAACCCCCTGAAGAGGAAGACTGAGACAGACGATATCGATGTTGCTGTCTCCAAACGCGTCGAGGTTGTCGCTGTCGACACTACGGTAGTGGACCACGGATTTGCTTCCGTAGGAACCATCATTGAATCTAGCCTAGGGCAGATGATAAAAACAGGCGAGGATGCTGATAATAGCGATGATGAGAGTGTGCATCTGCAGATGGAACTTGATGAGTCGGATGACGACGCTGAGGAGGAAGAGGAATGATGGCGAAGCATGTGACGGTATCTACCCAAGGATCAAGACGGTTTCAACCTATTTCATTAGTTACCTACCCCATGTAGGCTGTCGGTGGTCTCTTGATGCATTTCATCTGCAAAGTACATAATGGGAGAGTCTTTCTTTTCAAAGTCGATATTGTCTTTCGCCGAGAGAAACGTCAATATTTTGACATATTTCAGTCTAGTACTCGAGTCTGGCCTTCAGGTCAGGACTGGTCGCACGGGGGTCATCGTTGGACGCCATGGCGGTGAAAGTGCAACGTGACTCCAAAGTGACGTTAGAATGCAATAGTGCCGTAGCTTTTATGGAGTGGAGGAATGCAGGCTTGTAAACTGGGACGCCAGGCTGGTATACGGTGGTGGATTACTTCACCACTTACAATGCACAACTGCTTGCCACGCACAAAGTTGGCATGTTGTCACTCAAGTACGATGAAAGCAGTTCAACATGACTTGAAAATCTCTTTGTAATCCTGGTAGGTAAAATTTAAACTGACATTTTCGAGTTCGTCTTTGTCGATACTGCATGCTTTGTGGCATGGTGCTTTGTTGTTGTCTATGAAAACCATTGTCTAAACCCTGTTGAGGTACCGAGGTAGTTTAGTTCCAAGATGCTATTTGAACGCAGTTCATATATCTTTGACAGCCAAAGTTTGGTAGTTGTTACTCATCTTCTTGTCGTAGGAAAGACATCACTGCGACTGCTAGTTCCATCATGCCTGAATCTGTAGAAGATGGTCTCTGAGATACGCCGGACGCCAAACAAAGGTGCAGAAGTATCCGCAACCAACAAAATCCCTGCTGATATGCTTCTTGTTCATGAGAAATATTCTGTCGCTCGCACCGCAACCAACTTCGCCGGTATAGTGGAATTAATCGCCAAGTTCGGCACACTGAGCTAAGAATATCTACATTTATGAAGCACTTTATGACTAGGAACACGACAGTTAATAAGTCCCTAACCAACAGTTTCAAGTAACTCTGGATCAGGATCAAGGACGTATAGGGCCATTTACTGTAACATAAGCCCATTCAATCGCTTTCAACGGCGTATCAAGTTTCTCAAGCGTCCAAGCCAGGAACGGAACGGAATTATACTTCGCGTGATTAGTCATGGATAACTTCAACCGGGCTTATGAACCTAGCCCTTCAAAACACTAGCTGACTCTTTGACATAGTGAAAAGGATTGGAGCCGTTGAATGTTGCGAGAACCTCGCAATACAGTATCTTACCACGGTCTCCAGCACCACGGTTTTTAAAAAGACAACTTTACTGTCATAAAATACCAATTACAGTTGGATTCAGCAAAAGCATGTCTGCAAACCAAGCTGAAGGATGGATGGGACAATGAGGCCTAGTTCTTAGGGGCTAGCGTTCAACTCGTCCACGAATCTTTCGGTGCAGAGCAATACACAAGAGATTACTCATTTCAGGCCCACAGCGGACCCAGATGAGTATCACGACCACTTAATTCTGGGGACCCAAGGGCTGGAGGTTTTTTTAATTTAGATAATACGGACGGATAGCGGAATGTCTCTTGCTTTTGTTGAGCTGGCTTTCTTGATTCATTCAGCTTTTGTTCGTCTTCTTGAATTGCGGAGACTCGCGTTGAGTGGTTGCCCATAAAACTGAATAGGGGGTTGAGCAATCCCTTTTTGATGTGTCTGAGTACCCAACTATATCGCATATACTTTCCATGAATAAATGTGAGAATCTATTGAACACTGCCAGAATTCAGCAAAGGCCACGAAAGGACATGGCCTTCCCCCTTAAAGGTACTTGAGCGCATATGCGGTTGTTGCTACAGCTGGATTGTTAGTCCGAAAATACCAATCAAAATAATATCCATGCCAAATTTGGCTGATACGTACCATTTCACTCGTTTGCATAGCGAAAGGCGCCGTCAAAATGCTATGTCAATGGCAAAAGTATGCTGTTCGAACTCGGAAACATGCTCTACACCATTCTGTCGGCAAAGCCCGTCACTGCTGAGCGAACATACCTGTCAGTCTTGGTGTATACGTCTTTCATCTGACAATCATAATTGTTGAGTTTTAAGTCCCCAGATGCTCATGCATCAAGACATCGAGCGGTCATTAAGCCAAAAAGGGGTCGGACATCAATACCAGAGAGGTAGTTGTACGGACCAACTTTTTGGCAGTTCACCTGCGTTCACATGTTACAATGAAACAAATCCAGTGTAAAACTTTAAGTATGGCCCAAATCGAAAAGAACAGTTCTGCGACTGCTTTTACCGCCAGGATTAATTACAGTGGACGTATCGTCCGTCCGGCTCAAGTAGGTACCTCTGGAGCAGCTGCGATGGACCAATTGACGTGTAAATCTTTATCATTGTAATTTCGTGCCATTTCCAACCTAATGATCTGTAGTTTCGAGAATGCGGCTGGTTAACTAACACGATGCATGGTCGGAAGTCGGTGGCAGCTGCCGACTACCCCCATGGTCGCCAGAGGCATGGTAAAGCAGTCAACAACGTCAACAACAATAGTTAAAACCTCCGTCATATTACGTAGCTGACCTTTTAGGTGTAGTGCAATGAAGATCTATTGATACTCTCAGGTGGATTCTTGTATCTGCGATGTTGACTTGGTGGCTATAGTACGACAAATCCAGAAGTTATTGGAAACCCCACAAACGTTACCCTGGCAGTGAAACATTTATTAGAACGTGAGTGGAGGGCCCTGCAAACGTAGTATGATGGGAGTGGCCATGGCATTATGGGTGTATTTCGTGGTGTTGCAGATTCCAATTGAATATGGCTTACCCAACCCAATATCATCTACAACCTCCTGCTGAACTTTCCTGCATCCCTGGGGCTTATTTCAGTGCTGTAAGTATCCGCCGAGAGTCTCCGCTTTGCGCCAATTCCGTCAATTCCCGCAAAAACTCTTGCATCATACCACAGCCCCATTTCTTGCCCACCAACGCATCCCACAATCCAATATAAATTATTCTATGATCCAAAACTTCTATAAATAGCCCTGGCAAGTTCTGTGGTCTAATGGTTATGATATCTCGTTCACATTGGTGTGTTTAATTTCCCGAGATGGTTCTGGGTTCGATCCCCAGCAGGACTATATTTTTGAATCTATGTTTTTGCCTTCGTTTCAAGCCTGTCTTGTCTTGGGCCCCTTCCATTTTTACGCATTCTCTCAGTATATAAAAGGAAGCCCCAGCGTAAGAGTTCGCAAGCCGGTGTTTTGACTTATAACTGCTTGGGCAGACGACGAGATGTCTCGCATACTCGGTCTTTTCAAGCCACAACTTATCCTGAAGTGAACATAAAGCTTGCAGATCTTCACTCCCGACTATGATGGGACTATTTATTCTAAATGATTTTCAAACGAGTAACTCGATTACCCTGAAATTACGACAGTTTACTCTAGAAATTTATACTGGAATAGTTCATTTATGCTTTCTCTGGGGCTGTTCTGAGGACGATCTGATGTTCTAGTTCCGGGTGCACAGGGACAAGTAAAACCGACTCCGCATAACAGGATCGCCAAGGTCATTGGCATTTAATCGATATACTCAATTCATCACACAGATATTAAAAACAGTAGTTCAAGCAATTTGAGAACACCAAGCGTATCGGGGCTTTCCCCAATTGGACATCAATCAAGCACTGAAAAGTACCTGGCCAGAAGCATCTCGAGACTTTGCACACATCAACGTGAATGAGATATGTGCAACAGATAAATGCAACTGAAGTGTCAGCATAGAAGCAATCATATTAGCATAGTCCATCAGAAGATAACTGGATTGGCGCTCCAACAATAAAGTGTTGACAGCTCGCTCGCTCCTGGCTCTCCTCATTCCGATCGAGTTTGAACTCTACAGAATGTTATTATACCTGGAGCAGAATTGCCCTTTGCCTCTGTGAGCGGCGAAATGACCGGGAGGGAGAAGGGGGGTTGAGTCACAGGAAGCCATTGGATTTAACATACATGATAAGTATAGGATGAATATGACCCTTGGAGTTGGGTCCCATGGAAAGATCGCGACTAAGGTACAATAAATAACCCGGCGAAAATCTCCAGACATTCACAATTGAGCACCGTCAACACAAAGAAGTCAACAACTTCGAAGATGAGTTCCTCAGCTAATATGCACCTAGATTTCATTCTGTAAGTTGCGACTCTTTTCTTGTTCCATGTTTCAATGGAGTTCATATCGGGGCTGTAAGCGGGCCACTAGCTGCGGTAATCCTCCAGCGACTTCTGCATGTGGTACGACACGTGTACTTTGGCGTTATCTTGCTTGAAGGCGTCCCCTGGCTCGAAGAATAGAAGCAGCCCTTGCTACAGGACATCGCAATAAGATTTTGAGGACACCCCGTGGTGCAGAGAGTTCGGGTTGCCGTCACAGAAGACCAAATTCGATGCTCCCCTTCATCGTTCCTTCATTAGACCATCCCCTGCACTATAATCGAGATACATGCCCCCTCATAGCTCTGTAGGTTCACGAGACCCTCCCTGTACCTCATTTGAAAAGCGGAAGACTCATTGGCCGGGAGAGTCCGGCGAGATCTGGACGTACACTCGTCCAAGAAGAACGCCCATATAAGCTGCTGGCGGCAGGACTCAAGACGTTCCTTCGCATCTTCAGCCGGTAAGATGCTTTACTTCAGCACACGCTATTTCTTCAAGTAGTACCGGCCTCAATAGAGCCAGAGTATACTGAGAGATCTGCGGTGCGTTTAAGCTCCATATATGTCATTCCGGGGGTGTCGGCGGTAAATGATAACTAAATGTCTTTCATCTCTAGCGCTTAACCTTCTGGGACACCTATCCGCTTTTTTGTACGTGTAGTTCAGTTGCGTGGGCGCGCGTCCGGTGATATCGCCGAACGCGTCTGCCATCTCCTACCGGCCTACACTACTTGCCCTGGCGGCCACAATGGCGCCCCTAGCTTCTGATCCGAATTTGCGATACGCGCCGCGATTACCGCATATTAACTTGGCAGAAGCTCGAAAATAAATTGTGAATAGGGGTTGCAATGGCTGGTTGAAGTCAACAGGCTGATTTTGTTATTGTGTTGATTGGCAAATTGGCGTGGTGTGTCCCGAGACTCGTGTTAGTGTGTGCCTTGTCTCAATGTAGTTGACTATCAAGCAAGCTAACCTAAAAGCCAGCCCCCACCGTCACATCACAATTACCGTTACCATCACTGCCTTAGTACAGGGTCCTCCAGCCAATACAGAACCATTCGGCTTGTATAATTTGGTAACGGCAATAGTGGTATGATGATGTGGTAGAACATAGGGATTTTACCGTTATTGGCCCGTTTACTTAATGGCTTACCCTAGGGGATTCCTTAGTGGGAGTTACCGAGGGGTTGCGAATATCGGAAGCTTATTTCGAGCTCACCTGCGGGAGTGAGACCATTGTATTTCTCTTATTTTTCTGCCACAGATGTTACGATGGCGCCCAGAATTCTGGTTTTTGGCACCGGCAGCGTTGGCGCAGTGTACGCCTGGGTGCTCTCACAGACCATCCCAGCAACTAGCATAACCACGATATGCCGCTCGAACTATGACCAAGCAAGTAAAGACGGCTTCGCGATAGACTCGACAATCTGGGGCAACAATCTCAAATTCAAGCCTGTGGTAGCGCGGACCGTCGCCGAAGCTGCGGAGAAATCAGACCAACCATTTGACCATGTCCTCGTGTGCTCCAAAGCTCTCAACACAACGCCGTCAACCGCTGAGCTCATCAAACCGGCTATCTCGGAAACCACCGCAATCGTGTTGATCCAAAATGGAATAGGTATCGAAGACGAGTATGCTAGGGTCTATCCCAACAACCCTCTCATAAGCACCCTTACCTACCTCCCCGTCACCCAAGTCAGCCCTGCTGTTATACAGCATCGGGAGGTCGAATTGCTTCACGCGGGAACGTACCCGGCCGATGCTCCATCTCCAAGCAAAGACGCAGCGAAGAAGTTTGTGGACCTCCTTACAGCCGCCGGCGCCACGGCAGTCCTCCACGACGACGTCCAGGAGGAGCGCTGGGCAAAGCTACTGGTCAACGTGGCGTGGAATCCCGTGTGTGCCCTGACGCGGTGTCGGGACCGAGCCTTCATCAACACCAATAATAAAGTACTACCATTCATCAAGGACGTCATGATGGAGGTGTGCTCTGTTGCGCAGGCGTATGGTTACGACAATGTGAATGAGCAACTTGCGCATCATCACATTGGGCGGGCGTATAGAAGGGATCTTCCGGGTGTGCAGCCGTCCATGATGGCGGATACGCTTGCGGGGAGAGAAATGGAAGTTGACGCTATCATCGGGAATGTGGTGAAGCGGGCAAGAGCAAAGGGGGTGGCTGTGCCGTTGCTGAGGACTATATATCTTCTTGTGAATGGTCTCAATGCTAGCTTTGCAGTTGGAAATCCATGACACGATGTCAACTCCAGAGATGTAGTTCAGTTCCGAGACGGGGCCGGAGACAATCACTTGAGCATCGTGCGAAGGTCATTTTGCCGTAGAGAACATCATTGGTCAAAAGACTACCCTGAGGAGTGATGAGACTTGTCGGTCCGGCAATGGCGTCACGGGCTCACGGCGGTTTTGGTTACAGAAGATCGGCTCCAGAGTCTTAGAGTAGTTCAGAATGGTGGGAACTTAGGAGTATCGATTCCAGCATAACGCAGTTGCCATTAATGAATTAATGCCATTCCTTAAGTGACCATACTTGGCAGGCAATTGAGCGCTCCGATGCGACAAGATAATTCATCCCGGTACACAAGTGCACAGGTTTCGTATTCTGAGTTGAGTTACACAAAAGTTCGAATGCCCACCAGATATAATCCTGTCATCAAAGACCAAATTTTGCCCTCTCTATCATATCGCTGCAGCTTATACCAATCAAGATACCTTTCCAGCTAGTGGCTTCGGTTGTAAAGCTACTTGAACCGGCGGGGCTGGGGTTGGCTGCCAGGAACGGACGTTCCTGCAGGTCTTATATGCATACTACCCGAGAGGCGGGTTTCCGGGCAGTGATTCCGATAGGGGTGCAGGAGTTTGTGTGCCGGGTTTGGCAGACGTCCCTTTCGATTCGCCATGCCAGTGTAGCTCACCGTCTCAACTAGTAGATATCAACTTCGCTAGATCGGTGACACAAAAGCCGCAATTATGAATGCCCTCATATTATGATCAGAAATAGTTTATTCCGCTTTATTAAGCGACTTTGATAGACGTCATGTGTATGTTTGATGATATATAACTACCTGGTCGGACTGATACCCCTTGTGCCTATTTTGATAAACCCCCGAATCATGACAATATCAACAGTACCACCATTGTTAAGAATGGTATCCATGATCCAGCACTTGCAAACTCGCCTGTCTGCACCATGAGCCTTGGCGGTGCGGCACTTCCTTGAATGAGCACCGCTGTCCCAATCTCTTGCGTCGCATCAATACTGCAGATATTGGTGCAAGATGCATCATCTCTGCTAGCAATCCCATTCGACAATCTCGACCTTACACGTTGATATGCATCCGTCGTTTTATCCGTACCCGTCATGTTGTACACCATCTCAATCCACTGAATCTGAAAATACGCTGCGTCACCTTCAGTCATGTTGCCCACCCACTCAGATCCATCACTCCAAGCATTGAAGATGACCTGACTGGGGTCCCGGGGCGTTTGAAAGGATATTTGCGACACATTCTGGCCGTCGACGTACCAGCTGGTGCTGGTCGGACTCCAATCCAATCGATGGACTGCCCAGTTATCCCACCCCACAGGGACCGAGGCATTCCTCGTCGCTGCCTCTAGGATATTTCCAGATCTGCTGTACGAAGGCTGGTTTGTGTATTGAATAAACTCAGGCGGATCCTCAGTGCGCACCTCCAGATCAGACTCCTGCACAGCCATAGGATCATCGGAGCTCCTGTAAGTGAACATGGCGGTGATAGCACCTGGTGCGCCAATCGTTCTGGCGTACATACGCAATGATAGGAAGTGGTAGCCTGTAGGTATAGACTCGAATTCCGCCGCAGACTGGAAGTTGTCCAGCCTGGCGGTCCGAAGGGTCAAGAATGTTTCAGATCCCGCATTTGAGTCGGCGTTCTTCTCAATGTAGACGTTGTTGAGCGAGTTGACCATGAACACAGCCGCATCGCCATTGTTGAAGTTTCCACTGTTGTTCCACTGTTGAGTTCCCCATGACTCTGTCCACTCCCGCGACAGGAAATAATCACTGGTCGCCTCCGCATCGGTGCTCTGAGACTGATCATCGATGATCCCCGGAACATTCGCATATTGAGACAGAGAGCGGAAGTCGAAGAATTTGTGAGTCGCGAAGTAATTTCCATCTGTCCCATTCGTGAGATAGCAGTCGCATTTGCTGTCGTCAATCTGTTGATACTCGGCGACGACTGATGAGACCGAGGTACAGAAGACCACGAGAAGACACTGAAATATCCTTGGTAGTGCCATGGTGAGTTATGGGAGGCCAAGCTCTCACTTCCAATTCTCCACAGCTGCCCGAGGATTCGACCTTGTTTCTTAAGTACGAGAAGGCCTGATACTAGGTCAACAATGGTTTACTGACAGACGACAGAAGTGAACTGGTTCAAAGTCTGGAAGGCCATATATTGAGTGCAAAACCTGGAGCGGGCGGGTTCAGGTTTTATGACGACGACTAACACAAGAAGTAGCCGTTCTTCATGTAGCTCATCAACGGAACACGCGAGACTCCCAGCCAAGATGATACCTCGTAATTTTCAAGGTTGGTACGGAAACATAGCTTCTAGAAAGGTGGCATCCAAAGACCCAAAAATACCCTGCGAGAGAATTGGTCAATCAATTCTTGGGCCAACGGGAGAGTTGCAGGCTGCTGCCAATACAGAGCGGCAGGCTTAATACTGATGTCCAAGATCCCGGTAATGGCCACGGATATGCAAGTGATCTTGGTAGCGTGGGTTTCCATCTGTCCTTTGTCAGTCTAGGCTATGTTGGATAATATCAAGGTCCCTCCGCGGGTAAAGTTTGGAGTGTAACGTGGAGAGCCTGAGTTGAAGTGGTGAGATTCGGCTGCGCGGTCCTGGCCACTAACAGGACAATGCCCACACCTGTGAGGTGTTGGCATCGAACCGAGTAAGTCCAGGCCTACGTTTGTATTAATATATCTGGATACGAAAGATAGAGCCTTCACAGGGTCGTAGCAGCTATTTCCAAGACAGGCAGCGCCGCGACGGGGCTGAGGCATCTCACAGCCGAAACCCCAAATACTAGGACAAATGAAAGCAAGGGGAGGGACGTGTAAAGTTGTCAAGCTCGAACAAGAGTTGACTGGCGAGTATGCAGACACGAGGGCTGCCAGCAAGCTATCCTCGAATTGCTCCCAGTGGAAGCAATGCAGAGTACTTGACTATGGCAATGACTTTATGACAAAATATGGACAGAAGATCTTGAGAGCTCAAAGTGCAGGGTAAATACCTAACAAACACTAGTCCAGTGTAAGTCCGCAACCTAGGATAGTCGTTCGTAAAACTTCTAGGTGACAGATCAATACTCTATATTACCTGTCCAATGGGTTATGGAGGGCATCTTGCTCAAACTCGGCCCCTCGTTTCCTTGCCTTTGTTATGGTTGCAGTATTTGCGGCAGCATGAAGGTGGTGAAAGCCCTGGAATTAGTGAATATAAAGGATCAGGGAAGTATGCAATGTGGGCCACAGGAAACACTGAAGGGAATACCAACAACTTGTACTTCTTTTGCGTCCACACAAGGTAATGGAAGTAGGCCGGTATATTAGCGAATGCACAGATCATGCCGGCGCTTAGTATTTCCGACTTTGCTCCCCGATAAGCGACAAGGCACTCGGGCGTCACTAAAGTTGCCGGCTAGTCAACCGCGCCCTCCACTCGCCTCAGGAAACATTCACGCTTTGCGATACGAATCGTGCAGCGGGCCCTGGGTACCACAGGCATGATGAGAACTTCTGGCCACATACATAGAAGCTATCCACCATCAACAGTTTGATCGAGAATAACATCATTCTCAATGGCTTCGCAGCCAAGTTCACCGAACCCAGCAGTTGGGGAGCCTGCTCAAACACCCCTGGAGTCCAAGACTCAAGAGCTGGCAGCGACTTCCGACACCAACACTGATGCGCAAAATAACCGAGCAACCGAGTCCTCCTCAGCATCCAACCAAGAATCCTCGGTCGCATCTCCATCCAACAACTCCGAAGAGTCCGAAGAGTCCAAAGAATCAGGCGAAGCTTCGCCAATCAATCCCGAGGCGAAGACGGCCAGTGCACCTCCGCTACCCAATGAACCGCCTCCGCCCGCAGAAGACGACGGATGGGATTTCCACTGGGACGCGACTCGCCAAGCCTACTTCTTCTACAATCGCTTCACTCAAGAGACTACGTGGGAGAATCCTAGACTTCGCACTACTGCCACCTCTGCAGTGCCAGCGGCTGCTGCGCCAGGCACCGCCGAACCGCCCAAGGAGGCACCCCCAGCTGGAGGCTACAACCCTGCCATTCACGGAGACTACGATCCCAATGCCTGGTACGCACAGGGCAATCAGGAGGAGACATCTGAAATGATTCCGACGGTAGATCCCGCGGCAGCATACGCAGCAATCGGATCTTTCAACCGCTTCACAGGTCGATGGCAGGGTGACGACCAGAACCCAGATAATCACAATGATGAGAATAAGTCACGACGTCAGATGAACGCTTTCTTTGATGTCGACGCCGCAGCCAACTCCCACGATGGACGAAGTCTCAAGGCGGAACGCTCGGGGAAGAAGCCATCCAAGACTGAACTGAAGCAGTTCAAGGAGAAGCGACGTGCCAGGAAGGAAGAGAAGCGCAGAGCATGGCTGAGGGATTGAGCATGTGTGATGGCATGCGAATGGCGTTGCAGAGCCAAAAGGTCTAGGCTTCTCGGGGCAATCATGGACTATCTATTTGTTCTATTGCATAAACCGTGCACGGTGTACTGGCGTTACGACTTGGGCATGGCAAGCTCTACGTCCTTGGGAGAAGACTTGGCCCGAAGATCAAGCATTGGCGAGATCTGACATGATATTTGCAAGATGTCACATCTCAAGTAAATCGTGTCGGCTACACAGCTTTGGCGAGATCTGACTCGATAATTGGGAGATATCACATCTCAAGCAAATCCCGTTGGCTTATAGGATAGCCTGAATTGCAGGGACTGGAAAAGGATATGTATACAACCTGATGGATCGCAACTAATCGGTCGCATAACAGGACTTTTCATGAGTATACTAGACGACGGAATATACCCTTTTCATTTCATACCGACCAATGATCCTGTCCAAGGAGTGTGTTTCACAAACGTCGTGTGCATTGCTACAGTGTCCTCCATAAGACTGACTGCGTACGGCCTATATTTTCACTACTAAAACACAACATCTGAAAAACCTACTAGATTAAGTAAAAATCGGAATACAAATTAAAATATACTAACATAGTTGGGATTAGACAGACGCTTTATTAATGTATAACTGAATCTATATACTTTTTGTCGGCACAATACAAGATCAAGCATTGGAAGGCCCGTAGGCCTCTGAACATATTTTAAGATAGATTTTGGTCCAATTGAGGCCTCGCAATGAGGATCAGCGTCGTAACCAGGAGTGATCCATACTATCGAGAAACCATGTTACTCATCATTTCTAAGCCAAATCAGTATAGAACTAGAAAATATACAAGTATGATTGATAGTCATAATTTAAATAATTCTCTATTATAGAATACACTTATTAGTATCCTAGTAGTCTAATCACATCTGTACCCTATTCTTGAATATAGTGAGACTTGGTAAGTCTTGGTGGGCAAATGGGACTCGCACTTAGACTTATTGAGGGGTCACTGTATCGACATCAGCGGAAGTTCGACTTCTGAGCTTGTCCCCGAATAAAACACCAGCATACCCACTGTGCACCTAGTGGACTTTCTGGGTACCCATACACGCTTATAGTGCCCACTCGAAGTTGCCATGGGAGACGCAGTTGGCCGGCACGTTTCCGTCTTAATCGACACGAGGACGTTAACAAGCCGTGCCAGAACCCTCCTTACACCGTTCAAAGCACTTCGGAGGGGAGGGGGATATGCTACTTCGTACATCAATGCGAGTAATTCTTGCAATGCATCATGTTGCACTTCTCCGTAGCGCCGAGCTCAGCTGGGCTGCCAACATCCAAAGCCGTCGCTTCGTCGCCCTCGCGCGCGTCGCTGGGCGAAGGCACCGGTGGCGGTACGGCTGGTGCGGCAGGCATGGCCGCAATTTTGTATATAATGATGGCGAGTGTAGTGGAGATAGAAAGCCGTCTTCATCTTGAAAGTAAAATGGGAACAGTTAGCCAAGCATCCAAAATTCACACCAAAGGTTATGATACTTCTGAGATATGGTGACCGTGAAAATGGAGACTACCCGATGACCTGAGGTTCTTACCAAGGTTCTCAATACTCCTAGGAAGCTGCACCATGAAATAAAGCAGATGACTGCCTGTCAACTCCATAGAGCAGATTTTCTATCCAGCTGGAACGCTGGACCATTACAGACGGTGATCCAAGCGAGAGTTTATTGGATTCTGGTATCAAAAAATAAAACTGAGGTCCGTAGTAATAGTTGATACTCGCTGGCAAACTCATTGTATTCTTGTTTCTAGGTTGCCTGCGATCATTGTTGTGGATAAACCTATCTACCAAAATCTCGAGCTCCTTCCCTTCTTCATTGACAAAAGGCAAGGTTGGAAACCAGGAGGTGTTGTACTTGAATTAACAACCAGTCCATATTCAGTTCCCGTCGATACTAAGGAATTGGCCTAGGTCATTCATGCTAATCCCTTTGTTTTCTATTCTCGTGGTTCCATATCTAACCTGCTACTCAAACTCGCCTCCATGCCCCTACACTCCATTCAATGATCAACTAGCATTTGCCACACTCAGGCCATGCTCTATTGGATGACCTGCTCTCCCCTAACACCAAGACACCGTCTACTTGGTGGATTCCTCGTCGGCGTCGCGGATAGAGCCACACTGTAAAACGTAGAGAGTCAGTTCACAGCGACTACTCTGTTAGGCCAATCTGAAAATGGTACGAATTGCTCAATCATGACGTCGCGCTAGGCGGCCATTTCCTCAGGCGACTTCGCATTGCAGGTATCGGCGTCTTCGCTCTTGAAAGACAGAGTTCAGGATGATGTCCTGTAGGGGCATGATGGCGACGCTCAAGAGGATGCACACCGTGTTCTCGTAGTTCTTGGTGGCAAGGAAATCCTTGATGGCGCCGTCTATAGGCTGCCGGCCACCGTCTGATAGCACGATACCGCTTTTACACATGTGTCTCTCTATAGAAGCCGAGGTTATTTTGAGTGATGTGGTTTTGGAGAGGTGGCCCGAGTTGACGGGTAGAAGCTGTGTTTCGCTCGTGTAGCCCTGAACATGCAAATCGAAGTTGAAGTTTCACTGCGCGTCAGTGAACGTGACGCAAAGACCAAACTCGTCGTCGATTCTTGAGGCGAGAACCGAGGTAACAGAGGCGCCTCGAACCAGAGAGCTGGTTGCTATAATGGCAGTGAGGAATCTGGCGGTCATATTGGCCTCAGCTTGGATGAAGGGAGGACTTTTGTTAGAAAGTAGACTGCTGCAGCAGTCATACTTCGGTTGAACGGCAAGAATCCAGAGCCTTCTTGTAAAAACCAAGTCTCAGTATTTGAAGAGCCTGAAATGCTGAGTGCATACCGTTGCGCTTCTTGCTTTGTCCTTCTAGAGTACTTGATGCATCAGAAAGCACTCGGAAGCAGCCACGGTACCAAAGAAGGCTGAGCCGGAGAGGATTTAAAGTAATGCCTTAGTATTGACGGGAACTGAATTTATGATTGGGTGTTAATTCAAGTAAAACACTTCCTCGTTTCCCACCTTACCTTTCGTCAATAAGTAAGGGAAGGAGCCCGAGATTTTGGTAGATAATCAGCTTCAATTGGAGACCACTTTTCATTAGTAGGTGAGTTTCCTGAACCTCCAAGGTCGTGGTGGTAGGCAGGCGATATACCCTTTCCAGCTTGATAGTGTCCCTCAAGAGAACCTGGGCGCGTATCCGGCCTCGGCTTTGTCAAGAAGGTAATCGCCTTTTGATCTGTTGGGTCACCTTTGTTGTCCGCATTGTCCAGTAGCCTTTCGGCCGGCTTTCTGGCTGCGACTATCTCTGCTGCCTCGGTTTCCACCCTCGTTAGAGTCTTAAGGGTCGTAAGGATGAAATTGCTGTCTAATTTGGCTGCAATCGCTATTGTCCTGATCATCTTCTCTACCACTACCGGAGTACCAGCATCACTCAGATTTTGTTCAATGGGGAGCGCATTCTGCCACGTTTTTAACCTTCATATACACTTAAGTTTGGTGAGGTCACAAGCCTCACCGCCGTTATATTCATTATGGCTGCAGTGGTGTTCCACGGGCCTTCTTTCCACTTGCCGTTGGAACTGGGACCACCTGCGCTTTTATCATGCCAACTAGGCAGGACCATATCCACCTTGTACTTTTTGCAGCCGACATGATCGAATATGTATTGTGTCATCACCAACGTACCCGTCAATCACATCAAGAATACCCTGGTTGCCCTCGACTCTCGTGCCATCAACGACCCAGGACTCGGGCGGTGACGGCCTGACGCTTCGAAAGGAAAATTCGCGTCTGCCGAATGCAGTATTTCAGATCAGCGGGAGCGACCTAGGCTTTGCTAATCTCCAAAGTAAGGTAGCTGGCACTTCATTCCTTTCGATTCACATTGGAGGCATTTGGCCTTTCCTTTGACTTTCTCTTGAAAGTGGTGATTGCGGGCCCTACGCGGCGTCATGAGATCGATCGGCGTCGAAAGAAGGTCATTTACCATTCGATGAAGATTCTTTCCAGAGCGAAGTATAGAAATGTACAATAACGTGGTGAAACCGACTTACATGGACTCTTCCACGTATTGTTGATGTGGTCGTCCATGCACAATTACGCCTTTGTACATGAAGCACAGACAAGAACAAAGACTACAAGAGTGATTAAAAAGAATTCGTCAACTTGACTAGGTTTACTATTTCGTTAAAGAGAATAAAGCATTGAGGAGACTCTATAAGCATGCTGTAAACTGTAATAAAACGTTGTTTGTTAACACCCTTACGCCATTATCGTTGAGGAATTACGAGGAAGGAATAAGTAAGATAATTGATAGTGTAAAGACAAAGCAAATGTCGGGCAAACTGCGTCCTATACACATACCTGATGATATGAACGAACCGTATTTTAGCATCTAGCCATCGTGGACTACCGCAAACACTACGCCGAGTTATGTGTTGGCAATGCCTCTCCAGGCCAAGACATAATCCCCGCTTCATTGGCGAAGAGGCTGTGCAGACTTGTTGCGTTTACTTCCTGCACCCTTCTTCAATATTTTGGTCGTCTTCGATGTCGCTCGAGGCGAGAAATATGGCGACGCTCCATCGCCGGACTTTTCCCTGTTTTCATCGAGCTTACGATTCCTGCTGGATGTGGTGAAAGCAGTCAGAGAGAAAGCTGACTTCTTGTTGACGAGCTCGAGATGTGGGTATGCCACCATGATTTCTAAATTCGGCAGATCCTCAACGGGAGGTGCTGTACGATGTGAAGGCTTCCAGGACTCATTCCGAACTTTGTTCCACTCATCCTTCGTCAGTTTGGGTAGGTGAAACCAGCTGTGTTCCTTTGCCTGGGAAGCAGTCATTCGCTGACCTGCATTCACCTTGAGACAGCGACGAATAAAATCTTGCCCGTCTTCACTTAAAGTGCTGGCTGTAGGATAAAGTGGTTTCAAGATAGCCTTGAGCGTTTCGTCTATAGACTCTTGATTCATGGCCTTCAAGTGCGAAAGTTGATGTCTCTGATTGGCCGTCATGAGAACTAGTGTGATCATTCCAATAGACCAAATATCGACGGTTTCTGTGTACGAGAGGTGCCCGAAATGCATTTCGCTGTAATGCTCTTAGCAAAGAAAGACCAATCAAACGAGTACTCGAAAACAAGACACTTACGGAGCCAGGTACATCTCGGTCCCCACGTTACTCTTCATCCGCCCCCAAGTTGTGCCCATGGCCCCGCCCAAGTCTCCAACAATGACGCGATTTCTGACGTCCGGTCCGGAAGCAAAAAATATGTTTTCGGGTTTTAGGTCCCGATGAGAAAGTCCTTGCTTGTGTAAGTATGCCACGGCACGTACAACTTGATACATGACGAATTTTGTTTGGTTTTCAGAGAAGAACCCGTCATGAGTCTGGTACATAGAAAACAAATCTCCACCCGTTGCTAATTCGGTAAATATGTAGAGTGTGTGTTTGGAACGAAAGGCATACTCGAGGGTAAGGAGGTTTGGCTGTGATTTATCAGTCTAGAAACTGGCAAACAAAACCCTTGAAACTTACGTGTCGGACTTTGCCAAGGATGTCTGCCTCCCACCCAATTGCTCGAATAATATCGATCGCAGCAGTGCTCTTCCGAGCGCGATCAAGATCCGATATTTTGCAGGCGAGTTGCCTCCCACTTTTGACATCAATGGCTAGATGGATGGTACAGTGATTGCCAATGCCCAATACTCGATCGGTGATAAGGTACCGGTCGCAGAACGTCTGTACACAATTAGCTACTCTGCACGAGTGACCACAGTATTTATGTTCACCCTGGCCTCGTGTGATTGAATACCCCTAAGAGGACAACTCCATCTAGGACATTGAGGGAGACGAATCTCGAATTCCCAGTATGGATTGATACGGACCACGTCTCCATGACTGAGAAGGTGGCCTGGACTTGGGCCGCTGGCTTTGCAACCAATGATACAGCCGTTGACGGAAGTTCCTGAGAGGGACTGTCGATCACGGATGTAGATCATGGGCTGTTGCTTTGAGAGGTCGTACTCCTCATAGACCACCGAATAGATCTCAAAGTGCGTGCGAGACACGTATACGTTGTCCACACAGATGCTGCTAGAGGACTTTCAGTAATTATATGAGCCATCTGTATGTTATTGACTTACTTGACTTGTGGATCAGTGTCTCGCCCCACAGTTAAAGAGCATCTCGCCCGTAGGTCATATGAACATGATGGCAGAAGTGCTTGGTTCAAGCCGTCGTCGTGAGGCCCTGGAATGAGAAACCCACCACCTGAGCCCGCCAAAGATGTTAGGAAAGAATTTGATGAATGCAGAAAGTATTCAAAATGCAAGACTACAAGATGACAAGCGGCTGAAACCAGAGACACCTACCTGCTGGCTGAAGACCTGCCAGTTCCGTATCAACGACACGGCAGACAATTTGAGCCAAAGGAACTTGCTCCATATTCGGACAGTTGATACTGATGTGCTTGTCTATGGGTCCAACACCCAAATCTGTCATCAAGCAATGATCAGAAGAGTACCCCGAGGCAAATGGGTTCACCGAGCTGGCCTTTATCAGAAATGAATGATTTCTTGGGAGCTGACTAGGGCTACAAGACCTCAATCGGAGGTTGTTTGAAAGTTGGAGGTTTGGATGGATAGTGTGATAAATTTTTGATTGAAGGACTGGCTCAGACAATACATTCATGGCTGCCTAAAGGTGGGTTTTCACTTGAACATGTCCACTGGGAAGGCACGGCTCAACTCGTGGGTGTTACCGCAAACTGGACATAGGAGTTTACTTGTAGGTAGGCTTCATCGGTGGAAAATTTGTGTTAGTTTTCTGCTAGAGGCAACGATAAAGGTATTCGCTATGACAGAAAAGAATATATCTTGGAGTCTCAACTGAATGCAGGGATTCGCAGGATTTGTCCTTGTGGAAGTCATGACACAGCACCAAAAGGTTGATTTGAGGTTGAAGTTCTAGGATGCAGGGGTCTAGGCAGGGAAGGAGCGTTTTGCGGGGTTGGACCGTGCTTTAGCCCTCACATGACGGTCAGGGCACTTGCCCTCATTGACTTCTGGAGCTGCTAGAACATCTATCTTTACCTGCGCGCTGTTCCACCTTTACACTTCCCAGACTCACCAACACTCATCCACGAGCAACCGGTAAGTGCGCCCAAAACCTCCTTGCGCGATTGCCAGTTGGCATCGCCAGCACCTCAAGCAACGTTTGGGTCATTGTTAGCAATGTCACCCAGTTTGAGAACTTGCGAGTTTTCGGCTGGTCAATGCTGCTGCATCCCACTTGCCTCGACGTCATTCCAATTTGAAGCTGCTCCTCTTTCCAGCTAACTAACAGGCCCTTTCAGTCAAGTCGTTCACGATGAGAGCCAAGTGGAGAAAGAAGCGAGTCCGTAGACTCAAGCGTAAGAGAAGAAAGATGAGAGCGAGATCGTGAGTGCCACGCCTACTTTCTAGCTGCTCAACTTGAGTACTGACCAAGCCTCCCTGCACAGCAAGTAAACATCTCACCCCTACTCGACCTCAGCCATCTCGCGATAAGTGAGTGTACGGCATCCATTACGACAAGGCCGCAAACAAATCCTCACATTCCACGCATTACCACACCACCGCGTTTGTCCACGACTGCCGATATTATGTCACACATGACATGATGAGATGCGGCGTTCTGGAGGAGCTGCCGGGCCAGGATGATGACGTGAAGATTTGGCAAGTGATGGATTGAACTCGCATGGCAGGAAGACTGGTCAATTTTCTTATCGGGTGGAAAATGTGAGTGTTTCATGGGAACACAATCCTCAGAAGCATATTGCCTGGGAATGCACAAGCACTGGTATGGAACATGGCACATAGCTGGCAGTCAATTGATACTTTTGCTTATGCAAATTCTACTGTTTCCTGATCAAATGTGACTTAATGTGTGGATCTGGAGACTATCAGACTTAATGCCCCGCAGGGGACCAAACGTTTTCGTAGCCTGGTATATGTTGAAGTCTGAAATCTACAATTGATACTACATATATGGCCCCGAAAAAATCGTCATCCATTATTGATTATCATCCAGTCGCAAATTCATTGTGGTGGTCGATTTTACAAGTACCTCCCAAGCTGCTCATCGAAGCCAACAGCAAACATCGTTGACTTTAGAGCTCCCCACCAACATTTCGCAACAAACGTGCCCGGTTGAGCTGCGAGGGCTAGCTTACTCCGCGTCTGTGGGGCAGGTGGGGGCTATTTTCACCGCCCTCTACTTTGTAGTCGGGACATTATCGGAATAGTTACGGCTGGCAGAAAAAAAAAGGTTGAACGAAACACGATTGGACTCAATTAGGAGTGCAGGTCCAATCTTCGAGCCATTAAGCCAAAGCCGGGCCTTCTCTTTGCCTCCGTTGTATCGATAGCAAAGATGGGTGAGAGAAGCGAAAAGAAACGAAAGATATCCGAGGGGGAATCCTCTCGGTCTCGCAAGAAGGCCAACATTGCGGCACCTTCGCAACCAGAAACTATCAAAGTCTCATCGGTGAAATCCGTCAAGAGCTGCCCCCCAGTTATAGGTAAGACTTCGACGTGGTGCATTGAGCAGTCTGGTGCAAAAAGTCTGATTATTTACAGCAACGGCACCCGGACTCTCCATACCATCTTCCATCGAGTTCCAAGCCTATGCTAAAACCGCGCCATCCACAAAAAGAAGCAAGAAACCTGCCCCTCAACTCGACAGTCTCTTTCTGCACTCGTCTTCCCACAGGACGCTCGACTACACGGCGAGAGAAGATGGCGCAGCTGCGAGTGAAGCTCACCTGCGTCACTATATCGGAATACTCGACCCCATGACTGGACAATTGTCCGTCATTGAAGCCAAGAAGATGGCTGTAAGAGGCAAAGTTCGAGCTCAGCAGGCCCCCGAAGATAACATAGCTGAGCGAACTGCCTCAAAGGTATGTCTTCCTCATATTCTCTTACAGAGCTCTAGCTAACTTTTCAGACACTTATGCAACAGCGAACCGACCTAGGCGAAGCCTTCGGTACCAAGAAAGCACGGAAGGCCATCGCTGATATCACACAAAACGCAATCTCTTCGCACAAATCTATGCCTAATGCCGATGGAAAAACCAAGAAGCTTGACGCAAGCTCGATGGCTATAATGGAATCACTACAAGAGGTCACACAAGCGATGGCCACGAGAGAGCAACTCCAAGCAGCTGTCGACGGTGCGAAGCCAGTGCCGCCAGGCAATTTCGATGCTGAGGAGATCCAGGATGTGTATAAGCCTGAAGACTTGATTGGATTCGAAATCCTAAACGCCATTCCCATTAAAGATTGGCAAGACTCAATAAAGAAGAAGGAGAATCTCGAGACCCCCTTTCGCTTCATATCGAGTCGCATTTACCCGATTGCAGAAGGCCCGAACCCAGCCAAGAGACTGAAGATATTGCGGTACCTCAATTTCCTCTTCGAATTCTTCAAGGCCTGCAAGCCGGGAAAGGCAAGGGGAAGCTTAAGACTGCCACCGAAGGAGAAGCTTGCGGAAAGGCTAGCCGACGCCCCTCAGCCAGTCATAGAGAGCATCAGGCGAAAGTTCTCGCAGAATGGAGATGTGTCCAAATTCCACATTCAACTTCTCAGAACTTACTGCTGTGCGATCGCAGCTATAGTAGCAAACTACGAATTCGAAACCAGTTACATACGAATGGATATGGGGTTGGACGAGAAGGAGTTTGCGATGTACTTCCGCGAAATTGGTGGAAAAATTTCACATCCCGTCTCAAAGGATACGAAGGGGAAGATGCAGTTCGCAAAGCTTGCTTTGCCGCTTGAATTCCCCAAAGTCCGATTCATGGCGCCTAAGCGCCGTTGATAAGTGGAGAGAATTCATCATCAAACTGACCCACGCCAGACGCAAAGCGCATGCACGCGAGGGCATGACACCGGGTCTAGAGGACAACTAGCTGCAACGCCTCCACGATTAGCATTTGATGCACCTTCTCTTGTCCGAAGGCAATAAATATTTCTAGTAGCTGAGACTTTGTTGTTCATAACCACCACCGCACACTATTATTCGGACTGACTGACGGACACGATTCTAAGCACGTTGCAACGATGCGCCGAATGGATTGAAATGACGTGATTTTGGACCCGTCCGGCAAGCCGCTTGAAAGCTTTGCAGTCCGGAACGAGTTGCGCTAATGGCCGCCTGGGGGAGACTGTTTATATAGCGCGGAGTGAGCATGGCTTGCGCTGAGATACCATTAAGAACTTGAGAAGTAGAGACCTTAGATATTTTTTGGTATTACCTGGTATGATGTCCCATCTCAAATGCAAGTTTCCGTCCACGTGATGGTTTCATGAAGGCCACGATGAAATGTTTGCTGTAACTCGCCCTGTTTTTAGCAGGACATAAGCCTCGAAACTTATGCGAAGTCTCACGCGGACATACCAAGACCTGGACTCAAGTTGTTTTGCGCTGTAAGCTGCGCAGTCACCAACTCTAAATATGAAGTAGGATCTCGGATAACTGTCTGAAATTCTTGGCTGCGATCCTCCATCGCGTTAAATACGTGAACATTCCGTGGTTCTCCAATGGAAGTGATTGGGGCATAAATATCTCATGCGAGGAAGATGAACACTGAGACACCGATGCAAACACTGCAACTCCCGGCTCCGGCGGAGATGAACGGCGCCGCCGAGGCGGAGCGGCCCCGCGTTAGCGCCGAACAGCCTGTAAGTCAGTCCGGATAGTATTTCCATCCACGAGTCTTTTTCTGCACTATTATGATACGCAAGGAGAAAACATTAGGGTATAGGCGTACCACTGACACATTATATCAGAAACCGGTACAACCTATGACTATAAAAACAGAGCGGGCGGTTGAACTTCGCGGTGGTGGTGTCCATGTATGTGAATTCTTTTGTAGAGAGACGTCTCCGATTTCAACTAGAGCTGAGCTAATTACACGGTATCAAATGGATAGACTGCCGTTGTCTGTGGTGTCTGCACTGGGATATTGTGTGCTGAGTGTTGTTTTATCTGCTGCTGCTAAGGGGGGGAGAATGGAATACATGTTGGCATATGGGTCTAACGATGTGCTGCGTATTTAGGCAGATGTTCCGTCCCATCTGCCTAACTTACACGAACGGCCATGGCTGGGCTGAACGTGTATACAGCATCTTTGCCGAGGTAACCAAGACAAAACGGGTTGTGGTAGCCGACGGGGAGTTGCGGCGGTTCTCAAGCTAACCGTTACTACCTGATCGTATTCATCTGTAGTCGCAATGGATTCCCGTGCTCTTTCTTGTCACTGGGACGAAGACAGGGAAGCCGAGGGAGGGGTGTACTTAAACAATCAATCAAAGTGGTATGTCCTTCGATTTAACTCATCTCTAACCTAAGTACGCTTGCTTGTCTATTTAGTTTATTTATTGTCCGTTATAGGCCGTCTGAAATCTTGTTCCATTGACCATCTGGGCGCCTTGGCCCAATTGGCTTGCAACAACCGTTGCTTCTCTGACAGCCCTGGAGATTGTCCCCCTAACACGTCCCTCTTCAAGAACCAACACGCCGCCGATAGTGCATCCACCTGGAGTACAGGTCTTTTCCCTGAGCAGAGCCGGATGTTCGCCACTCTGTACCAAAGCCGCAGTCCCTTTCATCGTCTGTGTTGCCATACGCTGTGCTGCGACACGGGGCAAACCCATTGCTACGGCACCGTCAATGGCAGCCTCGAGCATAAGCGCGAATAGAGCCGGGCCTGATCCGCATAGTGCCGTCGAAGCATCCATATTGTTCGCTGGAAGGTAGACCACATCACCTATGCGCTTGAAAATCCACGTGACTAGCACTGAAACCTGCGGAGGCGGCGGCGGGTCGGATGTCGCAATGACGGTCATGCCCTCGCCAATCATGCTGGCCGTATTGGTCATGGCACGCAAAATCCTGCATCGACCATCGACCTCCGGGTCGTGATTGGGCACCGCGCCATGCAGGATCTTCTCGATCTGGGGCACGGAGACGCCGGCGCAGATGCTGATTAGGAGTTTGCCGTGCAGCGCCTTTGACATGCCTGGTTGGGAGAGCAGGTCGGTTACCATCCACGGCTTGCAGGCCAGAATAATGACCTCGGCTTGCGTCACGGCGGCTACATTGTCGTTCTGAACCACTTTGAGAAAACTGCTGTGCTCCCAGAGGGCTTGCTTTACTCGCTTGGCTGACTCAGGGGTCCGCACGCAGGCGATGAAGCGGGACGGGAGTCGCGGCGGCAGCTCATCCCGCGGCGTTGCTGTGCCAGATGCCGAAGGGGTCTGCAGGGGGCGGGGAGCTGATAACTCAGCTAGGGACCTGAGGATGCCGTTAAGGATAGCTATTCCCATTGTACCTGAGGTCTGATAAGCTTGTGTCACAGAAATTGTGTGATACTTCGCCACATACCGCATCCCAAGACAGTCATTGTGAGCTCCTCGGCGCCCTCGTTATGGCGCGACGGAAGGGCGAGCATTGTGATGACAATTGTATAATCGGTGTGAGGTTGGATTGCAGTTTACGATTGCTGCCCGGAAGATCAAAATTAACAACGAAAGTGAGGTCGTCAAGAGCTTGTGAACTTGAAGTTCAAATCCAGGCAACGGTGGTGCTGGGAAAACGTAAACAAAATACTCATTCACGACTTCCAAAATCAGGCTCGCTTGATCGGATTGTCGATTTCTGCCGGGTCATCACATACAAAGCTCGTTCTATTCATCCAACGAAATCACGAATTCTTCGTCGTCTTCACCGACAAATAACGCTCAACTAAAAAGTAAAGCTCCCGAAGCCGCCGAAAGCCGCCGGGATTGGGTTTGCAAACAACCATGCCCAAGAAGACGAGGCGCCGCGCCAAGGCTAGACTTGAACATGGATTGCCCAAGCCACCCGGTCCCCCGAGCAGTGGTTTTGGTGTGGCGCGTCGGGGTCTGGTAGGGAGTTTAGCGTGCCACGAGCTCGAGCTCTACGGTCCCAGTCTCGAGACGGCGCCAGCATCACCCCGCGACGCGCCGGCCTCTCCCAAGCCGTACCTGTTGGCCAAACGTGGCGAGCAGAGCCCCTACGGAGTGTACAAGAACCCGGATGATCTCCCGTTGTCCTTCTTCTCCTTCTCGAATTCGGATTGCTGGGCCGACTACTTTTCTGCTAGGAGCAGGAAGAAAGCCAAAATGGCAGACCCTTTCGAGGTCCGCATGAGGTTCTCTGGCCAGCTGCAGCACCTCAACGCCAGCGTCATGTCGGCACAGAAGGCTGCTCAGTATGCGCTCAAGAACAAGGACATGAGTGAGGACTTGCATTCGTGTATTTTGGAGCAGCTCGAGAAGGTGAGTACCCGTTCGGCAATTTTTCAGACCCGACAAGTTGGCTGAGTTGGCATGTGGAAGTTGGTTGGCTAACGTGGGTGAGGAATTAAGAATAACTCGATGAACACGCGCGCCAACATCATGTACTTCATTGAGCACTTGCTCGAGCTTGCTTGTAAGGAGAACAAATCCAACGTCTATGTACGCATGATGCAGCGTGATATAATAAGAGTTGTCGATGCTGTGTGCCCTGAAGATGGCTCTGGTGCTGCCAACGTCAAGGTGGTTCGGAAAGTAAGTCATTATTCAAAGGCAGTCAACATGCAGGGAAAGGGCGCATCAAATCTAACTATTCGATTCTTGCTCGATAGGTTCTGCAAGGTCTAAACACGATGGGGGTTTTGAGTGACCAGACCATAGTCGAGATCAACGAATGCCTCAAAGACCGCAACGTTTCCCACGGCGATTTTACTCTCGAGTCTCCAGCCCTCAAGGCAGCGACCCCTTCCTTGAACGCCGAAGTCAACGGGGCCACCCTGGGCCAAAGCCGCAATCGAAACAGTACGAGTGCTACTGCTGCGCCTCCTCGTCTCGAGAAGCGTCAAATCGAGCAGAGGATCGAGGAGGATCGCGAGCGTCACAAAAAACGTCGCGAAAACATCTGGGCTGTACCACGCGATCCGCAGGTTGAGATGTGGAAGTTCTTTGACGACACCAGCGATCTGGGCGAGGATGACCATATTCTGGGCCGTGAGGAGCGGGCAGAGTGCAGGAAGGTGTTCAACGAGAACCTCTGCTCCCACATGAAGAGCCCAAGGAAGGAGGCTACCAATGGCCATTCTGCTCATTAGACAGTAAGAATCGCTTGTCGCTTGTATGTACGGATATTACGACAACCAAGGTACAGGTGGATATGCATTATCAGGCGTTTGGCGGCGTTGGAGGGTAGCGTCGCATATAAAATAGGGGGGTTCTTTCTCACGATGTGAGGATCTCGCAGAAGGACTCAAGAACGGCGTTATATCAGATTAGTGCTATCCATGATTCAGCAACTCGCATGGTACAGGTTGGGGAAAGTCGTCATTGGCTGGTCGCCAATTCAGACCACGGTTCTTTCCAATGATACCACCCAGAGTTGATACAACTTAATCGTCACCCAGAAATTGCTCTTGACAGCTACCGGCTGTGCTTGATCTTTGCATATCGTTACAAAGCTAAGTTACATGTGTACAGGTTCTATCCTTTACATCCCTCCCCTTGTAGCATATATCGCACCTTTATTCCATGGCAACCACAGCCCCCAGGTCTTTCATGGTCGCCATTATCTTCTCCGCCTCGTCCTTGGGCACGCTCTCCTTCATCATCTTGGGCGCAGCCTCGACGAACTTCTTGCTCTCCACCAGCGACAGGCCCAGCAGATTCTTGACCTCCTTGATGATCTTGGGCTTGGAGCCGGCCTCGAACGACATCAACTTCACGCTGAACAGCGACTTCTCCTGCGCGGCGGGCGCCGGCTCTTCTTCTTCTGCAGGTGCGGCTGCGTGGGCTGGCGGGGCAGCGAACCCGCCTACTGGGAGGTCGGGGATGTTGAGTCGCGACTAGAATAACTGTTAGCGCTTTGCGTTTACAACGAAACGGGTAGGCCTAGCAGGTCGGAACCGCTGCGATGTCAGGCCCATGCGGAAGATGGCCTACCTTCAGGCTAGATACAAGATCGGCAGTTTCGAGGAGAGTCAATTGACTGATTTGCTCGACGATTCCGACAATCTTGGGATTGGTGCTGACGGCCGCGGTGGACTCGTGCCTCCGCTGCATGAATGCAGCAGTTGGTCGGTACGCGGCTCGGGATCTGAGAGAGCGGGCGCAGCTTCGAGCTGCGAATCTGCAGTGGACCGACATGGTGGAGGGGCTGGTTGGTGAAGGAAGTGGCAAGTTGTACTCGACTCTCGACAGGCACATCCACGATCTCCTAGCAAGCTGCAAATCGTCAATGGTCGTTGAATTTTTGAGACCAAGAAGCTTGGACCATACCCAGGTAGTTTTAGCTGGCCCGGCATCCCAGTCGGTCTTGTCGCCGATCTCCCCAGTTCTGCTGCCTTTGACCGCCTAAAAGTTCGTGGAGCGCGAAAAGTGCATCAATCCAGTGCTTCCCGAGGTTCTATGAGAAGGACGGTTTTCACCATTTTCGAACACTTATATATTTGTGTTTCTACGCGGTCATGGCGACCATCGACGTGAGCTCGCACCGGACTGACTTCCTGGCAGACAAGGTCCTGTTGCAGCAACTTCCGCCCGAATTACTGCAAATCATCCGCAGTCACAACCCCACCAATTTTCTCGATGCCGTAGCTGCAGCGGCGCTGATACCCCAAGCCACCCACCACGTCTTCGCCTACTTCGAGACTATCTTCGCCGACATTTCCGCAAGATGGCTTCTCAGATCCCGGAACGAAGGCCAGGAGGACCGGATTATCGCGGCTTTTGCGAGAATTCTTCCGTTTGCACCTTACTTGTCTGTTTTCCTCGAACAGTATATAAGTGAGACCTCAGGCGCGAATGAGATGAACTTGACAAAATCCAAGATCAACTCGCTGGACGCGCCACACATTGATAAGTCCCCAGCAGAAAAGCTTGTCCCGATACTTCTTGCCGTATGGCGTTTATTGAATTTTGACAAGAAAACATTCCGTCAACATGTTCAGCCATCTCATATGCAAGCCCTATTCAAGAACCCCCGATTGTCAGTGAGATACCTCGCTATAAGGATATTTTGCCAACTGCTTGCCGCATCCGACCTTAAACTAGACGCACTCCTCCGAGAGCACGTTGAAAGTAACCAAGGGGCAGGGGACTCGTTAATTGACGACATTGACGGACAAGAGCTTGACCTCACATTCCTGTCTTTATTCGAGCAACAGAGAGCCAGGGAATTAGATGCTCTTCGACATGATGTGAAAACCTCGTCTCGCGAAATCCCCGTCGAAAGATTCCAATTGCAGAATCTCACACCTTTGACTGTGTGTTATGGATCGACCGTGATACCCAGACCTCTGGGGGCTGCAAAGTCCCCCTCGGCCCTGGTGCTTACGCCGACGACTTTAACTAATCTAGAAGGACTCTCGCAATGCCTCCAACAATCAGGACCAATTCTTCTCCATGGTCTTCCAGGATCTGGAAAGACATCCTCCGTACAAGAAATGGCCCGCGAACTCGGTATGGACTCAACCATGGTGACACTCCACCTCAACGAGCAGACAGACGCGAAGATGCTCATCGGTCTGTACTCGACCGACTCGAAGCCAGGCTCGTTCTCATGGCGGCCTGGCGTGATCACTACAGCGGTCAAGGAAGGACGTTGGGTTCTTATTGAAGATCTTGACAGAGCACCGAACGAGGTTATGAGCACGCTGTTGCCTTTGGTCGAACGCGGCGAGCTAATAATCCCGAGTCGGGGGGAACGAATACAAGCACCAAGTGGGTTTCGTCTTTTCGCCACAGTTCGTACCACCAAAGGAATGAATGGCCAGGAGGGCCTCCCGACGCTGCTTGGTCAGAGGTTCTGGCATTCGCTTGCTGTGAAAATGCCGACGTCCGGAGAACTCGAGACCATTATACTTGGAACATACCCCATGCTTCACAGATTCCTGCCGCATATAATAGCGGTCTACAATAGACTCCGCAGTCTGCCAACCAGGTCTTCAATGGTTGCAGGCAGAGGAATCTCGGATCGTCCTGTTACCCCTCGAGACCTCATGAAATGGTGCCGGCGACTGAACGAGCTGCTCATAGTGGCGGGTTGCAAGTCTGGCGATGAACCCATCACCGAAACCATCAAGGACTGGATGTTCATGGAGGCGGTTGACTGCTTCTGTGGCAGCATCCCAAATCTGGAAGTCAAGACCGTGCTCGTTGCCGGTATTGCTCGCGAGATGCATATGCCCCCAGAGCGAGTGGAACATTACTTACGAGCACACATTCCTCCACTAGAGGAACACTCCAAAATTTTTCGAGTCGGCAGAGCATCTCTAACTCGGCGACCAAACCGGGTGGTCAAGTCCCGAAAACCCTTCGCAAACACTAGCCATGCCAAGAGACTTCTGGAACAGATTGCGGTCGCTATAAAATTGCGGGAACCCGTACTTCTGGTGGGAGAGACTGGCATTGGCAAAACAACTGTTGTCCAGCAGCTTGCAGATTCATTGGGCCACAAGCTAGTTGCTGTGAACTTGTCGCAGCAGAGCGAAGTTGGCGATCTCCTGGGAGGCTTCAAACCCGTGAATGTACGCAGTCTCGCGGTTCCCTTGAAGGAGGAGTTCGAAGACTTGTTTGCGTGCACAGGCATTGCTGCAGACAAAAACAAGAAGTACCTGGAGCAACTCGGGAAATCCATGGCGAAGGGCCAGTGGGTCAGAGTATCAAAGCTGTGGCGCGAGGCACCGAAGATGTTCAAGAAGATTGTGAGCGAACGGCAGAAAAGGGAAGCAACTGCCAATGGGGCTGCTGCCGAGCATGAACCAGTCGTGAAACGACGGAAGACGGCATCAAAGCTTCAGTCACTCCTTGACTTGAGACCACGCTGGGAAGCTTTTGAGCAAAGTCTCGACCAATTTGACGTCCAGATTTCAGGAGGCTCGGGGACCTTTGCCTTCGCTTTTGTTGAAGGAAACATAGTAAAGGCCGCCAGGAACGGCGACTGGGTGCTACTCGACGAGATCAATCTTGCCTCGCCAGACACACTAGAGAGCATTGCGGACCTTCTGGCCTCCGGCCCCAATGATGAGCCTTCGATTCTCCTGTCAGAGACTGGTGAGATCGAGAGAGTGAAGGCACACCCGGAGTTTCGGATATTTGGCGCCATGAATCCGGCTACTGACGTGGGCAAACGGGATTTACCCCTTGGGCTCCGATCGCGATTTACGGAACTTTACGTCTCCAGCCCTGACAAGGACCTCAAAGACCTGCTTATCATTATCAAGGCCTATCTGAAGGAGAACAGTCGTACCGATGAGCAGGCCGCCGACAATATTGCGAGGTTATATCTCAAGACCAAGCAGTTAGCCGATGAAAAGCGGTTAGTTGATGGTGCTGGCGAGGTGCCTCACTTCAGCTTGCGAACACTCACTCGCGTACTGAGCTACGTCGATGAGATTGCGCCGATTTACGGCCTCCACCGATCACTGTACGAAGGCTTCTCCATGGGATTTCTTACTCTTTTGAGCAAAGAATCAGAAGATATTTTAGTACCTGAGATCCGTCATTATCTCCTGGAGAACCATGGTAATACGAAGTACACTGTGAAGTCTCTGCTCTCGCAGCCTCCAAAGCGACCTCGAGATGACAAGCAGTACGTGCAATTTCAGAACAAAGATAGGAACCGCCACTATTGGCTGCTCCAGGGCAATGAAATCCCGCGAGCACGAGAAGACTACATCATCACGAGATCTATCGAGCGTAATCTTCTGAATCTTGTGCGAGCCACTTCTACCCGCCGTTTCCCAGTTCTCATACAAGGACCGACATCATCTGGCAAGACCAGTATGATCGAGTATTTGGCCGATTTCAGCGGCAACAAATTCGTGCGTATCAACAACCATGAACATACAGATCTTCAAGAGTACCTGGGTACTTATGTTTCTGGCTCTGACGGGAAGCTACGCTTCCAGGAGGGTCTGCTGGTTCAAGCCCTCCGCCAAGGACACTGGATAGTCCTTGATGAACTAAATCTTGCCCCAACAGACGTGTTGGAGGCACTCAATCGGCTGCTTGACGATAATCGAGAATTGCTAATACCCGAGACTCAAGAAATCGTCCGTCCCCACGAAAATTTTATGCTTTTCGCGACACAAAATCCACCTGGCTTATACGGTGGAAGAAAAATGTTATCTCGTGCCTTCCGCAACCGATTCCTTGAGCTCCACTTCGATGACATTCCCGAAGACGAGCTCGAGACGATTTTGCAGAGACGCAGTGTTTATACGGCACCGTCCGATTGCGAGAGGATCGTCAAGGTCTACAAGGAACTTTCCAGGCTTCGGCAAACAAGCAGGCTCTTCGAAAACAAGGACAGTTTTGCGACCTTGAGAGATCTCTTCCGGTGGGCTTTGCGTGGTGCTGCAATTCGTGTTCCTACTTCACCAGGGGCGTCACCACGAGAGGAGATGGCAAACCATGGCTACATGCTGTTAGCAGAACGTGTTCGCAATGAGGAAGAACGTGTTGAAGTCAAACAGGTGATTGAAAACGTGTTCAAGGTCCAGATCGAAGCCGATCGCCTCTATGACGCCTCCAAGTCCCCATATCTTACTCGACTTGGATCGACCCAAAATACCCATGGGGTTGTCTGGACTCATGCCATGCGGCGCCTCTATGTTTTGGTTGCTCAGGCGCTGGTCAATGATGAACCTGTACTCCTGGTAGGCGAGACTGGGTGCGGAAAGACCACAGTCTGCCAGCTCCTTGCCGAAGCTCTCGGGAAAGAACTTCACATCGTGAATGCACACCAGAATACGGAGACCGGCGACCTGATTGGATCACAACGACCCGTGAGAAACCGAGCAGCTGTCGCGGATGTTTTGCTTCAGGACCTTGCCCAGGTCTTTACTCTACTTGAGCAGGACTTGGATGGCGACGTGGACATTCTTCAGAGGTATCACAGTCTCGCTGCTTCAGATTTGTCCCGAATTCCCGAGGATGTACAGGGCAGGATCGCGATGAACGAAGTCAAGAGCAAAGCACTCTTCGAGTGGGCTGACGGAAGTCTGGTCCATGCAATGAAGAATGGTTCATTCTTCTTGCTCGACGAGATCTCACTGGCAGACGACTCTGTGCTAGAGAGACTCAACTCGGTGCTTGAGCCCCAGCGCACGTTGTTGCTGGCGGAGAAAGGCATTGACAACTCTTTCATCAAGGCGAACGAGGGTTTCCAATTCTTCGCAACCATGAACCCAGGTGGCGATTTTGGCAAGAAAGAACTTTCCCCAGCGCTCAGGAATCGTTTCACCGAGATCTGGGTCCCAGCATTGTCTGACTCTCGGGATGTCTCGCAGATTGTCTCGTCCAAGTTGAAACCAGAATTCCAAGACTTCGCAGCCGTCATAGTGGACTTTTCGTACTGGTTCGGTCGCCAATTTAGATCCACGGCCTCCACAGCATTCTCTATTCGAGATATCCTAGTCTGGGTCAAGTTTATCAATGAGAGTCGCACCATGGAAGGAGTTTCTGCCCTGATACACGGCGCCTCCACCGTCTTCATTGACACACTTGGCGCTAACCCATCGGCTCTGATAGCTGCCGATCCCAGGAATATGGACAGCCAGCGACAGCAGTGCCTCGACCGACTCAGTCAACTCCTCAAGCGTGATGCTACCAAGATTTATAGAGCGTCTCTTCATCTTTCAGTCGAAGCTAATGCGTTGAGAATAGGCGATTTCAGCATCGCTCGCGTGGCAAATGACAACTTCGAGGCAGGTTTTGCTCTGCATGCGCCGACCACGAAATTGAACGCAATGAGGGTTATTCGTGCTCTTCAAGTGCAGAAACCTATCCTCTTGGAAGGTAGTCCTGGAGTTGGCAAAACAACCTTGATTGGCGCCCTGGCACGGGCTTGTGGACAACCTTTGACAAGAATCAATTTGTCCGATCAGACCGATCTTATGGACCTGTTTGGAACTGATGTGCCCATTGAGGGTGCTGAAGCCGGACATTTTGCGTGGCGGGATGCCCCCTTTCTACGTGCCATGCAGAACGGAGAGTGGGTTCTCCTTGACGAGATGAACCTCGCATCTCAGTCTGTCCTAGAAGGTCTCAATGCCTGTCTGGACCATCGTGGGGAGGTCTACATATCTGAACTCGATCAGACTTTCAAGCGCCACCCAGATTTCCGTCTATTTGCTGCTCAAAACCCACATCACCAAGGTGGTGGACGCAAAGGGCTGCCGAGCTCCTTCGTAAACCGCTTCATTGTCGTTTATGCCGATGTCTTCAGTGAGGATGACTTGCTGCTTATTGCACAGCACAATTTCCCAGGAGTACCTACTGATACTGTCAAGAGGCTGATCACATTCATATCAAAACTTGACGAGGAACTTGTCGTCGGAAGATCCTTTGGCACTCAAGGAGCACCATGGGAATTCAATCTTCGAGACACTCTCAGATGGCTGCATTTGCTCACGTCTACAGACCCGCTTCTGGCAACTGGCAAGGTTGATGACTTCCTTGATGTTGTTATCAGACAGCGATTCAGGACTACGAGAGACAGAGAGGGGGTCGACAATCTCTTCACTGAAGTCTTTGAATCACATCCAAAGAAGCACCAGCTATATCACAACAGAAGCTCTTCTTCTGTTCAATTTGGATTAGCATTGATGCCTAGAAACCCACTTCTCCAGCCATCGTCTCTTCCCTGCATAGACGAAGTCTCTAGACTCTCCGAAATCGAATCCGTCTTGATATGCGTTAAGCAAAGTCTCCCCTGCATCATTGCAGGACCTTCGGGCAGTGGCAAATCTGCCCTGCTTGAGCATGTTGCTTCGCTTCTAGGCAGGTCACTTGTTATCTTCCCCATGAATGCCGACATCGACACGATGGATCTTGTCGGTGGCTTTGAGCAGCACGATCCTCTACGAGAAGTCAATGTTTCACTGCAAGAACTTCTCGAGGCTCTTCAACGTTCTGCCGTTGGAATACTGCCGGAAGCCGCTCCAGATGTGGCCTTAGATCTGCTGAATCGCCTCGAGGGGCTTGATGGACAAACGTATGAGCCCGAGGACATATTACAAAAAGTTCGTGCCCTGCAAGACCAGATCTCTCTCGATTCAGAACTTGCAGCCCTCTTGTCCAATGTGGAATCACTCCTCATGAGATCAACTGCGATTCGAGATCCAACTTTCGAGTGGTTGGATGGGATCATCGTCCAAGCGTTACAAAGGGGACAATGGCTTGTTCTGGACAATGCAAATCTTTGCAGCTCGTCGGTTCTTGACCGGTTGAACTCCTTATTGGAACCCGATGGCTCCTTAATTATCAACGAACATTGCGGACCCAACGGTGAGCCGAGAATCGTCAAGCCCCATCCCGACTTTAGAGTGTTCTTAACCGTGGACCCTCGCTACGGCGAGCTTTCGAGAGCAATGAGGAATCGTGCTATTGAAATTCATATCGACCTTCACGACCGTGAGCGGCCTGGCTATCTCCCGATGATCTCTCAAGTTGAGTCAAAACTACGAAGATTTGAGCTTCTGAATTCCGCTGTGACTGCAGAAGCCACAGAATTTGCCAGTGGAACTCACTTTAGTCACCTGGCTGCAGACATCCTTTCGTCCAGCGACATGACGCTGTTCAAAAAGTATCGTCAGCACTACAAACACCAGTTGGTGCGCAGAGGCCCCCGCGCAATGGCCGAGGACAAATGGTCAGGAATTTGGCTTCAGAGTTTAGAGCGACTTGTTTCTTTTGTTGGGTCTCAGTCGCCATTGAGAGACGACATTCAACATACAACCCACAACATGTATACCTCTTTGTCCGAGTCCATTTCTCCAGGACTTAGCGATGTACAAGTGAGTATTCCCTCCGATCTGATGAACCTGCTTCACGTGTCTAACCATTCAATAGCCCCTTCACCCACTCCAGAATTCCTCTATGATGCCACTACTTCATGGAGCTGCGACTGGGCTCCCGATGTGGTTGGCAACTTGTCACGAGCTCTTCCTCGACCTTGTGAAAGCCAAATCTGAATTAGAGTCGCAAGGTCGTGTCAGTAGTAGCCAGCCCTCTGCCTTAACCCGTCTTCAAAGATCATGTATCGCTGGACGGGTCGCTGGCCTCAAAGATTCTACCGTGCACGCTGCCAAGTTTCTGCAGGGTACTTTAGATGCCATCGAAACGTTTGTCCGCGCTCAACTTATGAGTCCTGTCTTTTGGAAAGAGCGCAAGTACTTCCTGAAAGCCATTATGCACTACTGGTGGCGGACCTTCCATGTGCTGTCCAAGGACCCAGGGCAATTGGATAGGTTTAACGAAGCACGTTTTCAGGCTCATCTCACCCAAGGTGCCCAGACCCTCTCCAGATTCATATCGCAAACTACAGATACGACAGCTCAGGAGTTGGCCTCGTATCTCTTGGGTGGGCTAGAGGAAAGCTTTGTGGCTGGTTTCAAACTCTCTACGGGGCTGAGCATGGAGCCCCTGTGGAGAGCCTTTAAGCCCATTCCTGTGACAAGTATAGAGATGCGATCCCGAATTGACCAAATGGAGAATCTAGCACAACAGTTCGATTGGCTCAGATGGGACACAAGAGCAACCATAGACGAGATCACCAAAGTCACAAGCTCGCTCGTCGAGGCCTATCGCTTCATTCGCAATGACGAACCCAACTGCGGAAATTTACTCAAGACTGTTGATCTCGAAATGAAGCAACTACTTGCTCGGCCTCCTGGCAAATTGAGACGTACACCACTTCTGGCGCCCGAATTCGAGCATCTGCGTCAACTTGCTGTTCTGGACGCCATCTCAGAACAAAGGGCCCTTTCACCAGAAGTCAACGAGGTGGTGGTGCTTTCAAACCTCCCCATCATCGTTCAGATGCGCCTCCATGGTGGGTCTTCTACATCGCAGCCTTTGCACTCCATTGGCTATCTCATGGGTTCACATCATGTCTTCCGTCCGGAATTTGACAGACCTGCAACACAGATGCACCCCTGGACTGAGAATTTATCTACCATGGTGTTCTCGAGACTCGACTCAATTGGTTCTGCAAACCTCCAGTCTCTGCAGTTGCTTGAAGAGGAGCTTCCTGCCCTGGCAAGTCAGATCGCAAAGTCTTCCGAGGCTGTGACAAACGATGCATTGGATAAACTTGAAGATGGTTTATTGGCCTTGATCAAGAGTGCAGTAGCAGCGCTCGGTGAAGAGTTTTCTGCCAACTTCGCCTTGCTCCAGCAACGTCTCGTTGAAACCCTTGAGACCTCGCCACCTAACATGGACAAAGATGGGCTTGTATTCAACACGCAACAGCAAATACCCGAAGCCGACAATGCGTCGACTCCTGAAATCGTGTCTCAACATTTCGTGCCAGCAATGGTGTCACTCTGGGCTGCCAACAAAGGCACGCAACCAAGACGAGCCTATCTCGCAAATGCTTGGGTTCAATTTGCAATTGCGTTAATCAAGCTCTACGTCCCTGACAAGATGTACGACCCGCAGTTGCGACCCCTCGTCGAGTTGCAAAGCTATGATGAACTTCAAACAGAGCTTACTACGCAATTGGCAGCTCTCCAACGGTTTGAGACCTTTTTCACCGGTCAACCCACAAACTTCAGGGCTCAATTGCTTGAAGAGGAGATCCTCAACCTCGGCGCAAGGCCGGATGGGTTCCAAACCGTGTATAGGGATACGCATTCTCCAGCCTCCTTGAAAGAATTTCGCGAGTTGCAGGGAGAGTTCAACGGTCTTTTAAAGAGTGTTCTAGGTGCCGACATCACAGCAGCGTTCTTCCAGCATTGCTTTGGGTCTGGGAATGCCAGCCAACAACTTCACGTAATTCGAGAGAACGTCCTGCAGATCCTGTCGCGCATGACAAACCGAGGCTTCCGAGAATTCGAAGACTTGAAAGTGCCAGTGGTCAATATTGTCCACTGTCTGGAGATTGGTATTTCACTGGCTGACGGTGCAGTCGTGCTGAACGCAACCAAAACCATGCCAGCAACTGCTCTTCTGGACGTCGTGCCATTCGTGGGTGGAATAATCAACAGATCTACAGAGAAGAAAACCACAATGGACGGACTGGACTTACTCGCGTATGCCGGGACTATGTCGTCTGTGGAAGGTGTCTGTAGTGCAGACAGTTCAATGCGTCGTACCGTCTTCCAGGCGATACATTCACTGTACGAGCAATGGAGTCAGAAGCTTGAATCCGACCGCGTGGTAGAACAGCAAAAGAAAAGCATGTATCGCTACCGAGGAGGTCTTGACAAAGCCGAAGCAGCAGAGAAGGAGGACTTCCAAGAGCTTTTCCCAAGCTTTGACAACGACGAGGCACAGTCCATTGGTAACCCCCGAATCAACGATGCGCAAAGCATGGCCGTCAGGTTGGCAGAAGTGCATGAAGCCATATTCTCATCGCCCCACGATCCTGCTGAGAGTATCAAGGACTTGTGCAAGCTTGCAATGCGCAGAGTGTCGAATGGCGACAAGAGCCAAGTCTCAGACCGCACACTGCTGCCTGCCACAATCTTAATTCTGGGAGAGAAACTCGCCGAGTTCAACTCCGCCACCACAGCGGCGTCGTACAACTTCTACACTGATGCAAATATTCCAGAAGCACGTCGATTGGTTGCCCTCGTCAACAATGTTCGGGCGCGCTTCCGCGAGCTACAACAATTTGATGAGATCGGGCACATGCAGCCCCTGGAGGACGTCATAGTCGCATGTGACAATGTCCTGGAATTGAGTCACTCTGAGCCCCTGGCAAGGATCATAATGCGTCTCGAACGCCTACACGGGTTCGTCTATGAATGGCAATTCGGTGGTTGGGCAAGCAAAGTGCATCAAGTACTTCCGCTATACAACCAGCTCACTGATATGCTTGTCGGGTGGCGGCGAGTGGAACTCTCAACTTGGGCCAACTTATTCGACGTGGAGGCCAGAAAATGTGAGGATGATGCCAAATCCTGGTGGTTCGTTGCCTACCAGGCGATCATTGCTGGCCCCATGTCCCTCGCGCAATCAGGAGAGAGTCTTCAGGATCATGCTGCCAACTTGCTTAGGGAGTTAGAAACGTATTTCTCATCGGCAGTCATCGGTCAGTTTGCCGGCCGTTTAAAACTGTTGAGGCAACTACAAAAGCAACTTGATATCCTGATCCTGGACTGGCCTTCCATGTCCGTGATCCGGAATGCTTTGCAAAACTTTGTTGGATTCTATGCTCACTTCGAGAAGGTGGTGCAGGAGACTATCCAACGAGGTCGAGCGCCCATTGACAAGAAGATGAAGGATGTTCTGCTGCTAGCAAGCTGGAAAGACACCAATATCGCCGCCCTTCGAGAAAGCGCTCGGAGGTCCCATGAAAAGCTCTTCAGACTCGTGAAGAAATTGCGCGATATCCTTGGCCAGTCACTCAAGACCATTATTGATCAAGGACTTCCAGACGAAGAGTACTCAGACTACAAAGACGGCAAGGCGCATGCAAACATAGTTGTTGACCAGGGAGCGCTTTTACAGTGTGAAAGCAGCATACCAAGCTGGACTACGGATTACAAACGTCTCGCAAACGTACAAAAAACAGTCGAGATCATGACCAAAATAGGTCGTGTCCCAGGTACCAGCGTTGATGCAGCTGACGAAATCACTTCGTTCCTCTCCGATTTGAGTACTTCGATTATTGAACTACGCAAAGCAACACCTCCGTTCTTGACTGAAGAGAACAAGGAACAGGTCAAGCATCTCAAGTCACGCAAGCGCAAGCTCTTTGCGGAGATCCTCAGAGATGTTCGAGAGATGGGCTTCCACTACAATCTTGGCGTGGACGACCTAACCCAGCAGGACTCTCTTTCCAAAGTCCTAGCCGAATCAGACTATATGGGGTCCCACGTCAAAAGCACGGAATACTACTTCCATAAGACTCTGGATTTCGCACCTCGAATCCGTAATGCGGCGCAAACCCACTCGGAAGAACTCACAGGGGCAGAAATCAGCAGGGGCATAGGCTTCCTTGAGGGCATACTTCATGCCATTCTCATTCAACGACGTGCCTTGTCGGCTGCTTACAAAGACATTGAGGCTCTAGAGAAGAGTACTGAGAAGATCAGTGCCCTGGCTACTTCGAGAAACAGCGAACCAATCCAGAAGACGAAGAGAAGCACCAACGTTCCCAAGGTGTCTCTGTGGATTGTCCATATTCTTGATGTCGGGCGTCAGCTTGTTGAGCTCCATGGGAAATTCGGTGGCATCAACAACGGTACGGTCTTGAAGATGCTCAAGAGTTGGATTGATACTATGTCACCTTTTCCCTCAAAGTGGAGGGCCATAAAAGATTTGCCTCCAGGGCTTGTCTCAGTTGAGCGTCTGGCGATTGAAGACGAGGTAATAGCACTGCTGAATAATATTGAACAGGAACTGCAGAGCGCCTGCAAAGACCGCCCCGACCTGGCCTTCTTGTTTGAGCAGGTTCGAATGTGGACTTCGTTTGATGAGCAGCTAGTCGAGCATCCAGAAGCACGCGATGATAGTCAAGATGTATTGTTCAGTGCTGTCAAGAGACTTAGCGACAGCGTTCTCGTTGCCGTCGAACAGTTCAGCAAAGCCATTGCCAAGCTGCCCACCTCTGATGAGGACCCCGGTTGGCTCGTCAAATACGATGCGGCCATGGCAATGTCAGTCAAAGCTCTTCATATTGACAAGATCGAAAAGCAGGTCGAGGCAACTATGGCCGCATTCTCACAGCTCCACCTTGACAATCCCAAGGTCAACAACTTGGCATCTTCGTTATTGGCAACCGTGTCTCCCATTCTTCAGCGGTACCAATCGACTTGCCAAGAGATTGTTTCCAAATATGCCAACCTCCACCACAGTACTTGCAAGATGGCTTGTGCACTGAACAAGAACTTTGTTCAGCTCGCTAGCCAAGGATTCTGCACGCCTCTAGAGAAATCGGAAGAGAAATCAGGCGAAACGGGTGAGCTTGAGAGTGGTCAGGGACTTGGTGATGGAGAGGGTGCCGATGACATCAGCAAAGATATTCAGCCTGATGAAGACCTTTCGGAGTTGGCTCAAGAGAAGAACAAAGAGTCCAAAGAGGATGAGCTGGAGAACGAAAAGGATGCCGTCGATATGGCGGATGAGGATATGGAAGGAGATATTGGCAGTGTCGACGCCGAAGAGGATGATGAAAAGGGGTCAAAGTCGGGTGATGAAGAGGACGGAGAGGACGACATAGATGAGGAGGCGGGCAATGTTGACGACTTGGACCCTACTGCCGTTGATGAGAAAATGTGGGACGGTGAGAATGACGACGAGGCGGAAAAGGACCAGCAAGGAGAGAAGTCCAAGGGCAAGGAAAAGAAAGACGAGCAGATGGCTGCGGATCAGAAACCGGACAACAAAGATGCTCAGCCCGAGGACACCAGCGATGAAGGTGAGGAAGATAAGGAAGATAAGGAAGATCTTGACGCCGAGCAGGATGAGGATGTTCAGTTTGATGAGACCAATCATCAAGACCAGAATGTCCAAGACCAGGATACGTTGGCGTTGCCTGACGACATGGCTATCGATGGCAAGGATGACGAGTCGATGTCCTCAATCAGCGATACTGAACTGGACGATCTGTCAGATGTGGACCAGGAGGAAGAACAGGACACAAAGGAGCAAGGTGAAAATAGCGATATGGAGAGTGAGAGTGGTGAGGCTGCGGACATGACCATCCCGGCGGAAGACGACCGTAATGAAGATGATGAGAAGGACGAGAACTCGGATGACGATGACAACGCAAACATCCAGGAGGATCAGGAGATGGACCTCGATCCGGAGGCGAATGAGGTACTGCCAGAGGAACAGGAGAAGGCCGAGAAACCTAGTATGAATGAAGCCGAGACCGACACCGCGAATGTTGCGCCGAGTGATGTGAGAAACGGCGGGCAAGACGATGACCCCAACCAGGATCAAGACAACTCGGACAACAATACGTCACAGCGGGAAAATGGTGAGATGGGCGACAACGCCGCAGACCAAGATGCGTCGTCCAGCGGCAACAAGGGCACCCTGTCGCAAAGCCAGGAACAGCCAGCACAGTCCGAGATGGAGGATGCTAAGGACGACTCCTCCACCAAGCAACCCTTCAGAGCACTTGGTGACGCGTTGGAGAAATGGCACAGGCAGCAGCGTGAGATCAAAGAGGCATCCCAATCAGATGAGTCCCAGCAGCAGCAACAGCAATCGGGAGAAAAGCCAGATCCCACAGAGCAAGAGATGGCATCCAAAGAATTCCAGCATCTCCAGAATGACGACTCCGCTGCAGATACACAGGCGATCGGGACAGCCACTGAAGAAGAATCACGGCCCTTTGATGATACCATGGCCATTGACGACGAGAATGAAGCCCAGGATAAGCGAGTTATGCCCGAAACCGAAGAGCCAAAACAGGGAGTGGATAACGATGAGGACGACGATAAGATGGATACGTCTGAGCCGGTCGAATCCCAGAGCAAACAGGAAACTCAGAAAGATGACTCTCGTACTGGAGTTTCCACTCGGCAAGGCAACTGGGATGCCACGCCTCCACCCCAGGGAATAGAGCGTGATGAGCAGGGGGAAGAGATGGTTGAGGAGACCTCGGTCCAACTCTCGTCAACTCACTTATCGGAGCCCGACGAAGTGATGAAAGATTTTGGGGAGTCAATGCAACAATGGACTGCCTTCCAGACCAAGACCAACCCGCTCTCGCTGTCGCTCACGTCGCAACTGCGATTAATTCTGACGCCATCTCAATCCACCAAACTCTCTGGATCTTACCGCACCGGCAAGCGTCTGAACATCAAGCGCATCATTCCCTACATAGCTTCGAGCTATAAGCGTGACAAGATTTGGATGCGCCGGGCCATTCCGACAAAGCGCTCATATCAAATCCTCCTCTGCGTTGACGACAGCAAGAGCATGGGCGAATCTAGCTCTGGCAATCTTGCCCTTGAATCCCTTGTCATGGTCTCTCGCGCACTTAGCATGCTCGAGGTAGGCCAAATCGGTGTTCTCGGCTTTGGCGCCAACACATTCATGGCGCACGAATTCAACGAGCCCTTCGCCTCGCACGACGCCGGCGCCAAAGCACTACAGAGATTCTCCTTTCAGCAGGACACCACCGACATCCGGCTCCTAGTACGCGAGACCATCGCGCGTTTCCGGCAAGCGCGGCTGCAGAACCCCGGCCACGGCGGCGACGACCTTTGGCAGCTAGCCCTGATCCTCTCCGACGGCCTGACGCCATCCAACGAGCACGAGGATATCCGCAGGCTGCTCCGAGAGGCCATGGAGGACCGCATCATGGTCGTCTTCATTGTCATGGACGACACGGCCAACAAGAAGAAGGACAGTGTGCTGAATCTGCGGAAGGTACAGTTCGTCAAGGATGCCATAGGGAACCTGACGGGCGATATGAAGATGGACTACTATCTTGATAGCTTCCCATTCCAGTATTACTTGATTGTGCATAATCTGGAAGATCTACCTGGGGCGTTGGCGGGGCTGCTGAGGACGTGGTTTGCGGAGGTAAATGCCTAGATAGATTGAGGAGGTGTTTTATAGAGGAGTTAGGAGTTTGGATGTTTGAGATGGGTTATGAATTTTATTAAGACGGAATTAAGTTTTGAGTTGTTTCTACACTAGAAAATAACAAGGACGAATAACTGTCTTGTCATTGTATTTTGTGGACGTAATAGCTTTCTGATGTATTAGAGTCACTAGATGGAGCTCCAAGTACACCGTCGTCAGAAGCTTCCTCGAAATATATCTCATGTTTCTCGATTTGTTTGTCGGGTTGAGGCCAATATAGTAGGGCGACAACAAAAGTTAACATGGTTGGGATTCTGAAATCCAGGTAGCAACAATATTGCTGTACTAACAAGTGTAACTATCGAGTTGGCCTGAGAATGTGCTACTAAGTATATCCGGTGGGGTGGCACATGTTATTGCTCAGAATGTCACATGAGTTAGGTAGACTGTAGCCCAGTTGTGAATTAGAGCAACTCGAATAGCTGATACAAGGTCCTGCGCAGATTCTGACATGTTTGGTACGAGAGAGTAAAACCAGGACATGGATTCTAGAGTCATTGAACCTGTTTTCAGTGTTAATGCTACAATGCTACAAAGCAATATAGCGTCTCTTACTCCAACGAGAGCACCATCGTAATCTTCTAAACTTTGTTCAGCCAATTCATTAAATATTCTTGCTGATTGAATCGCATCAGTAGAATTATCGGTCGTGATTATACCCACTTGGCTTGCCAGGAATTGACTGAATTAAACGGCAACATACGTCCTTCCTGTAGCTAGCCCCTTTGTTTGTCCGACATTGCCATTGCTTTTTTTAGCCGAGGATGAAGTCGCTTTGGACTGAGATTTTCCACTTTTCTGGTCTATCAACAACTCGGTGCTTATCGTTCGAAACGTTCCGCTTGGCTCCCGCATCAACTTTATAGACCTTTTTACCACATTTATTATGTAACATCAACCGGTGAGATGGCCGAGTTGGTTATGGCGCCAGGTTAAGGTCCCAACCCTAACTACAATATTCCTGGTGGAGCAATCCTCATGGGTTCGAATCCCATTCTCATCATAAGTCCTTCATACGAAGTATTCTTTTTTTCCTTTACGCATACTTTATCCCGGTATTCTCCTTTTGCCCTATTATCCATCATTCGTTCAAGGAGGTAAGTAACCTGGCTTCAACTGAATCAGTTCTGCTGCACGCAATTGACCGTAGTACGGGTTATTGTACTATGGTCTATCCACACATTTTGTCGGCTGTCTGAAATGCCACTCGAGAATTTAACCTAGTACACAACAATGGCTTGAACAACAATTACGACCCCAAGCATCATGGCGAACTTCTTAACGTTGCACCCCGGAGTTTCATCCAGAGACGGGGTAAGACTTGCATGCTGACCTTGTCCAGCAACTCAGGAAAAAAATACTCTGCAGGTCATTATTATTGCTCTTACCGAACCTGGTGTTTTCGTAGAGCATTTCCCGCCGATTCAGAACGAGATGCCATGGTGGTCGCACAACGTCAACTATCTCTGCGAGCCCAACTTGCAAACAAGATCCACTGCTGCGATTATCGGTCTATCACAATCAGGCACATGGGAAAACCCCAGATGCAGATTTCACAGATTGTGTGATGCCGGAGTGTGCTTTTCTCGGTGCGCACTTTCCGATCGGTAGTCCCAGTCTGCTGGAGCACCGAGACTGGAGCCCGACCTACTAGCATATGTACGCGGTACCCGTTGCAGTGCATGCATGCAGTTGCATGTCCAAGATCCTTTGAGCTTCAACGCCGGGTCCATTGGAATACCTACCTATCTCGTGATAACATCCGCGCTCGGTTCCCCTGTGACCTGTAAGCGCGCGTTCCGAGGCAAAAGTTGCGATGGTGGAGACGGAGGATGGAAAAAGCAAAATCTCATCTGTACGAAGCACTATGCCGATGGCATGAAGTCTGCATTTCGAGTCACCTTGATGGTTCGGACGTGTCCGCCCGGCGCACGCGTGTGCAGTTTTCGTCGGGCCCACGAACCCCCAGCATCGATGTCACCTTTCACCTGAAGCTATCACCGCGGGTTGAGTTCGGTAGGCGGTGCTATCAAGTCTAGCACCGCTATCATACTGTAATCATAGATGCATACGAGCATGCGATGACAGGCCCTGCGTGCAACTTATTACCCGTAGGATGGTTCAATGTACGGCTGACCAGGGTCACACAATATAGCCTGCCAGGGCCTGCAGCGATAGATTGATACTGGGGTGACACCGCCAGATGGAGGGGACGGCAAGTGACTTTCTGGAACTGCGCTGTCGCTACCGCTGTGACTGTATCCGCGTCTGCATCGAAGGGTTGATTCAGTTGCTCAGGGCGATGTGCAAAGAAATGGGGCCCATCCACGAAAGGGCAGTACTACGTGAATGCCTGTCGCAGTCAAATTATCTTTCCCAACGTGTATTTCCATGGCCGCATGTGGGGGAAATATTTAGATGGAATCTAGTGGGGCAACGTTGCAAGGCCTTACCCAGCATTCTCAACGAGCTGGTAAATTCGTCCAGCTTGCAAAAATCCACTATGTGACCATCACAAGTTACAGACGCGCAATCCAATATACTATTGCTGATGCCGCATCGCCAAGCACAAGAGTGCGACGGGCAATCTACTGTGACGATAAGAATGGATGTCTTTTCCTGGAGAGTTAAATGGTCCTGGGGAGACGAACAGAGTCCTACAGATCAGACTGTTTCGTCTTGCGATTTACAGGCCATCTCAGAATGAAAGCAAAGCCCGAGGCAACGCATTTTAAATCGGCCGATACATACCGGGGGTTCCAGCATGGCAAGACGGCACGGATATGGTATAACAATGCTCAATGCATTGAGCGGGATCGGGTGGCACCGAGTTGTGCTTTGACCTTGGGGTGGGTTCACCGAAGGGAGTTCTGGCGTACATAGCAGCCGCCTAGGAGTCCAATTATAAGTGCCTGATAATAGCACGAGTAGATGGACCGTCGCATGGGATATGGAGAGAAATGGATACGGTTTGGCTTAGCTGAAAGAGGTATATACGAACTCGATTCTTCGGCTGTCGCGATTCTGCAATTTAGGCAGGTCAATGCTGGCACTAGATCGTTGCGGGGTGGCAGGGAGATGATAAAGAATCTCAGGACCTCAAAGAGACCAGATTACGTGTGTCTCGGTGATGGTAGATGGAGGGTTGACCCCTCGTAGTAAGACTTCGTCGCAGGATGTTCCGTGAATATTCTTCGGGCGAGAGAAGCCACCCTCAGCACATTTCTGAAACCAGATGGTTCGGGTAGATATGCCGGCCGGGAAAGGGAGACAGGGGTTAGCAGAGCTTCACCTCTCGGCTGGTCAGGAGCGGCGGCGGCGGTGACGGAGAGTTGCCGAAAAGGGACGCTGGCTGCGATACCGCAATCATGTTTGCATTCGCACCATGACACAGGCAGATAGGCCGACGCAGTTTGTCTCTCGTACGCCAATAATCAGGGCATTTATTGCGTACTAATGCTATGCAGGCACTTCTGCACTGCAAGCACGGGGTGAAACACTTTGGTGGGGCCGTATACTACCTCCGGAGTCCGACGTATGCGACGCTACCAAAGCCTGCTGGCATTGTGATGTTGGAGATAGGCATGGGAAGGGTTGCTTAGCCAAGTCTGATAACCACAGACGTACATAGTAGCATGACGTACAACTCGACTAGTAGCGGTTGAAACCTGTGCTGGGGTGGTCGCGGGGGACGTGTCGTCGATAGATTGAATAGCGTCGAAGGGCTGGGGTAATCGGGCTGGCAACAACCAAATTCATCAGCCTTTCCAGGTCTCGACCTGGGAGCAGCCGCTTAAGGGCGGGTCATTCCTGACGGAACGAAGACGACAACCAGTCCTGCGGGTTTGGGATCGGGGTTTAAAATCAATTGTGCTATAGCATCGTAATAGTCCCGCACCCTCATATGCAAACCGGAGCCAATAGCCGCAGCCACTAGAACCTCAAAAGGGACTTCCACAGCAACGCAACAGCGATGAACCCTCGAGATGGTGAAAGCCATCGATACCAAAGGCAATAGCCGCAGCAACGGCATCTTGCCTCCAGACCCACTCGTAGTTTTTTCTCATCGCCGTTGGCCGTCAGGCGCGCGATTTGAGACAGATAAGAGCAACCCCATTAAATACACTCCGTATAATCTGCACGGTACAGCTGTGAATCAGATGCCGGCCGGGTTTGCCGCTGAACGTTATCGGCATCATCTATGGTACAGGGTAAAGCCGTCGAAATTGGGTGGTGATGTGTCCGGCCTTGATCCCTGATCTGATGAGAGAGAGAGAGAGAGAGAGAGAGTTCACTCTAGGCGAAAATGGCCTGGTAAAGAGCTGTTTGAACGACGGTTTAGCGTCAGGGTAGCCTAAAGAGCCCGTCTTGCTTCCAGAATCCTTGATGAAACAAAGAAAACAATGTCCCGGTATTATTACCAAGGATTGACATATCATGCATAATTGGAGGTCTGGGTAATCAAGGGTATGTCAATACCAAACCTGAGGTAGCTTCGTCAGAGCAATGGTCCCGTCTTTAGGTTTAGGTTTGAACTACCACAAACTCGGCGCAACGATGGTCGACAGATGGTGAACAATCTATTCAGACCTTAGCGGTTATGACCAGTGCCAGAACGTGAGGTGCTTCGCGCATGCAATGCTTCGGAACTCATTGGCGCATATCGGACGGCGACGTGAGATCCCATCACGCGAAGGCTGGCATCGAACCAATAGAGCAGCCATTCATTGATATGGGGTTGAGGTCTGATCTCAAAAACACCAATGAGGGAAAGGTTTGCGAGGGCTGCTGCCACTGCTGGGTTGGACCCATTCCGGAACTGAAGCAGCCTGGTGTGGCATTGGTAGTGAAATGCCATGGAGACACCAGATGTCTAACAATCCCCCGAGAACGCCAATGATGCAAGGGCATAAGAGACGGCCTCCAGAATGGCATGAACCTTGATACGGTGCCTGATTGCATAGTTGCTGGGGTTTCTACTGCTGAGTCAGCTCTAGCGAATATGAGACAAGAAAAGGCAACGAACTAGAGTCATCAGCGTTTTGCTGAACAGGCAATACCAAGAATGGCATGATAAACTAGTTTGGACCTCGGAGCTTCTCTGGTCAGACTTTAGGGTAACACGAGTGGTCCCCTTGGAACGGAGCACTGCTTAATCAGTTCCGGTTAGTAACAGTGAGGGAGCTAACTGTCATATCTCAGAGCACAACCATTAGATCTTGGCTCCAATGACTGGATGAGATCGTTCGAGGTCCACCTGCAAGTTGTCGCGTCGACTATATTGCGATTATCGAAACCTTGGCGGAGACAAGTTCTATTTGAGCGATGTGTTGGCCACCGTAACAGCCGAGTTGACACTTTTCTGTCTTATTGGTCATGAGGGATCCGGTTCGGCCATGCCGGATGTGCCTCCTGGTGCCCGGGCGGCACAGCTACAGATTAATGTTGTTGCCGTTATTACTTCCTTAGAATCCGTCTATCCCTTTTTTTCTTTCTTATTTTACGAATGGACGCATGGTGATAGAAGCCCGCCGCTCCCGAGTTCGCCCACTGAATCCACCTCTGCATGAGGTCACATGCTTTGTAGGGTCTGCGGCTGCTGGGTGATCAAGATCCAGGACAAGAACATGTTGATCTCGCCAAATCATGTCCAATCCTGGTTGCCAGTTCCGAATCCTTGATGATATATGACGAATACGTTGATAATGGCTTAAATGAGATTCCAGGGCTGCTGATCAGTCCATATCAGACCTCAAGATGGTAATGTTCATAACCGGTCAGGGACAGTCCGTATCCGAACCAAGTAACGTCGAACGGCTCTGCAGTTTGACCATGTTGCCGCGTCAAGGCGTTTGAGATAAAACTGGGGAAAGAATCCGCAGTCGATGGAGGGCCAGACTGTTGGTGGGCATCCTATTTCCCTCTGGGCGCTAGGGTTGCAGATCACATTCGCATTCTGTCGTTGTCAGAATATGACCCGGTATCTGACTGTCCGTTACTCAACTTTTAAAGAAATCGGGTTCGACGCGGCAGGAGGTAAGGTTGAGTGCCGACATCTCCAGCAGCGGCCCAATCGCAAGGGCGGCAAGGAAGATGCATAGTATCCATGCATGGTATCCAGTCGTAGGACTTTGCCCAGACGAGCCAATTGACAATATGTCAGTCATGGGATAGGCACAGCGGTCGTGAAGCATCCCCCATGCTTTGACGAGCACCACGGGCTTGCTCAGGTTGTGCAAGCTTTTGTCAACTCGAGTTTACGACGTATGTAGTATGGCCGAGCTTACGCCAGATCATTTTGCCTTTATTTCCTTCGGCCAATGAATAGGTCGCGACTAGAATAGTATCAATCGCTTTGACCTTGATCGCCATTGCCCGCAGATTGAAACCGACCAAACATAGACTGGGCAGTCCCAACTTTTACAAGATGACAAGAGTCATTGTGCCAAATCTGTCATTTTGCCTAAGATTTAGTTTTCCCATTGTCGGAAGTGTGCTAGAGTTAAACAAAACATGCCGTACGGCGTGGAAATCAATTGCAGTCAAGTAGATACTGCAACGCGATTTCTTTGGTACGTGGAGTTGATGGGGAAGAGGACGCCTAGGGTCCTGGAATGATATCCGATTTGTCAGTCTGCCCAATTAATTGAGGACACAGGAGGCTCAGGTCCTCAGCGGGCCGGGGACTAAGTTCGGCCGCGAGGAGGTTCCGACTGGTCAAATTCCTGATTTGACTGGACACCGACATGAGCGAGGCTCAGCATCCCTGAACCGGTGATCTTGATTGACTTTGATGTATAGGCCTACGGAGTAGAGGAAGCACTATTGATAACTGGTCATGGATTAAGTCGTCATTTTCGGATCGAAGCGGTTGTAGATGGGGATTGCAAAGTTACTTGTTGGCTGTCAAATGCATTAGGGGGTCTGAGCGTTGCGGGAACTTGTCGCCATGGCGTCATTTGGTGTGGCTGGATATCACTGGAATCGACCTGCTACATGCAGACTTCGGTCGACGTTAGTGAAGCTACTTATTTTTGGCCATCGAGTCATTGCTCACAAGTCTGGTAAGTTCTCGATAATTTGGGTATCCAAACGTTGATAGAACTTGAGCTTTCGAGCTGGTTTTTCAGGAACTCGATGACGGTTGAGTGACCGGGATGCGTAGGAGCCGTAGTAACAGACAGCATGCGTGGAGGCATCGCCACATACAACTTATTGTTGATAGTATTTCATGCTTTCGTTGGATATATCACCTTCACCCTGAGTCGTCGGCAGATGCTTACTAGCGGATAATTTGGCTTATCGAGCCTCTAGAACTCCACAAAAGGTAGACCTGGGTCCCCGTTGAACCGTTGAGGCTTAGTATTGAAGAACGAACTCAAAAGTCGATTAGGAAAAGCAAAAGGCCAATGGCTTCCAAGATGGCAACCGAACTATACTTTGCAATCCAAGAGATAAGACGAACCGGATCCTATGGTGTTTCTGATAGACTGATACATTCCCACGAGTCTGCCGCGCTGCTGTTCCTTCCTACTTCCTGTCTTCGGCAACCGGGCAACTAGTCGCCAAGTGCAACTTTAATATCGGGCCTTGGCCTAAATTCATGTACGACTTCGTACAAAACAAGACCAGGGGCAAGCAAGCTATAGCTGTTCGTTACTGAAGTGTGTATCATCTGAAGTAATCATAGTGAGTTCATCTCAAGCTTTTAGGAAATAAACCCAACAAACTTTGGATTGCGGCCATCCCGAGCTTCTCCTTCCACAGATGAGGCTGTGTGACGAGCTATTGTGTGTCCATGCTGGTTTTCTTAGATGCAATCGTGGTTGCTCCTTGCTTACTTGTGTGCTGCTCGACGAGACCAAGCGGGATCATGAGATGTGCGCAAACACATGGACTGCATCACCCTGAGGTTTGTCCATCATTACATTGAAAGTGCCGATGATACCGGCGTGCCACAAGTTCGTCATCACAGATCCTCAGGGAGCGGGCTTCTCTTATACTGTCGAGCCGATGGACACTTCAAGCGATAGGAGTAAGCAGTAAATTATTGCGGCCCGGCGTACTGCATACCACTGCACGATCAACTAACTGCTTTATTGAAATTTGAGAGCTTCCGATACCATTAGTTCTGTGAGGTAAAGTAGTTCGTACTCTAGTTCGTACCGAGCTTTGATGCCCCAACTAGGAAGTCTCAGGTACCCTCCAGCCTCGCTTGACAGACAAACCCCACATACTGCCCGCGATGGTAAGGGGCGCAAAAAAAATCAAAATCGAGATACTCACTTGGGGCCGCAGCTTGACTTCCTGGTACAATCCCAATTTGGTTCTCTCTCTCACTTTAGGCCCCAGTGCTGCCCTGCAATGCAACTCATCTCGTGGGATTAATCCTACTTCTCCTTCGAGGCCACTCCCAAACGAGTCGTGCATTCCCGACGCCAACAGGGGACTGGCCTGAAGCCGTTGGAACCTGCAACTGTACTTTGAAGAAAAAGGTGACAATCGCAGAGGACTCCGGCAAGGGTAATCCACAACTTTCGACCACGGACCCCTGGTTAAGACTAAGCAAGCATGGTGCAAGCATTTGCTTGCCCCACCAGCATTCTTTCCCAACTCCACCGTCTCCCCATGTCCATCCACCGCGTGGGAAAAAACCGACGAGACGATTGGCAGGCCCGCTGGCCAGTGAGCAGCGTGGGTGAAAGAGGCAAAGGACTTTGGGTCCAGGTGCACTAGAGTAGTATCCTGTATTCAAATCCCCGTGGCTGCGTGCCTGGCCTTGCGGGTCTGCCTGGTCTGGGAACACCTTGAACACCTGTTGTAAATGAAATAATATCCCTATGCTTCCCAATGGTCCCGATTTTCCCTCCAGTTCCAATCTTCCGATCGTCTTCTTTTGTCTGCTTCAATTGCACTTTGGGCTCCATAGCCGTGTTCTTACGCCGCTTGAGCACCGCAAGCATTCACGACAACTGCATTCATCTTCATCACCAACTGCCCTGCCCAGTCATACCTTCTACGCCTGGACCGCCTGCTGCTGCTGACCGGCTGCCCGTCTTGCCGGACAAAAAGAGCGTAGACGACGGGATTGACCCTCCTTCTGCTTCTGTCTCTAGTTGCGTTCGCCAATTGCCTTGAAGTCGCTGCCGTTTGCACAGCAATCACGACTGATAGGGGCTGTGTGGTGGTGATTGGTCTTCTTCTGAAAGCATCGCCAATTGGAGAGCTGGCTGCGACTTTTACCCGAACAACCAAGAAAATACCCAGTCACAGCGAAGGAAGGGGCTTTGACCTCACGTCGACTCACGGCAAAGCTCCAACGACCTAAACAGAATTACAGGAAACAAACTCCGGATGACTCAATTGAACGGCACGCAAATACTTATCACACGCCCTACAAAGTTTATGATTTACGCAATGCGCCAACCTTCCTAACGGTCTCGCCGCAGCATTGAGCAATACAACCTTTTGAAACGGCAACACCTCCCTGTGACACAACCGCCTGGAACCAGCCCTTCGGCGTGCAAGTTTAGATCCTAGGTCCCTGGAAGAGGAGGGAAAGGCGAGACAAATAGAAGAAAACGGGCAATTTGCCCTCGACTGCGCCCGCGCGCTTCCTTCTAGATTTATCCCTATCGTCACTCATCCCGCCACATCTAGATGTTCAGTCGATCATCGTCAAAACAACACGGTTTTGCGAAGGAGCATCGTAGTCGGGACGCACAAGTCTCGAGCTTACTTGAGCTTGGACTGTCAAGCCCTCCGTCATCCGAATCCCGCTCGCTCCGGGCTTTTCAGTACTTCCGCAAGAAAAACAAACAACAGAACGATTGGGTGGATTACCCTTCTCCTTCCTTCCCTGACAAGAGTAAGTCCTTCGTTCCTTCCCACGAGATCTTGTGGTTCTTTGTTGTCGCCCCGGCGAGGCCGCCGTCTCGACTTCGACCTCGACTGATCAACTGGCTGACTGACTTGCGCTAGACCACTCCATTTCGTCCGGTTCTTTCGGCCCATCGCTCCATCGAACCCCGTCGCATAGGTCGGTCGCATCCTACGGCTCGGGCGCATCCAGGGATACCGTGAGACAATCCGACTCGCGCTACCGTGCGGCGTCGGCCATGTCAGGCATGATGAACTCGGACAGGAGTCGCACGCGGAGGGAGCGTACCTTCGTGGGAAGCGAGTGCGCTGTGTGCGAGGAGCCGTTGGAGCACACGCTGCGTGGTGAGAGGATCCTGCAGTTTTCCTGCTCGCATGTCTCTCACGAGGCATGTTTCTACGAGTTCATCCGCGAATTTGAGTCGCAATATTGTCCGTCCTGCAATGCGCCGCTGCATCTTGACACGAGCCGGGGAGGCAATGTGTTGGATATTGGTAAGACCAGAGACCACCGTCCTGTTCTTCGCAGCGCTGATGAGACTCCCGAACCTGCAGAGAAGATCACCAACATGGTCCGGTCCGCATCCGTCAGTGACACCAGGTCGCAGCAAACACCAACCTCCACAACACAACAACAGCAGTGGGATGACCCACCGCAGCCGCCGCCGCCGTCGAATCCCAGAAGCGTACATTCGAATAATGGACGTGACAGTGGACGTGACAGTGGAACAAGGGGAAGCATGCGCGACAGTCGGGACACCCCCTCGGAACGGGAGAGACATGGTGGACGCCATGTCCGGAGTGACAGCGAGGCAACCGGAGTCGCATCGTCCGGCGGCTATCCCGAGACCATGCAAAGCGGCCCCCAGCGCCGGCACGACTATGATTTGCAGGCCATGGAGACCACCCCCGCGAGCCCACGGCCAATTACCCGGAATCCTATTCCCGCACCAACCGTGACAGTCCGCTCCGAGTTTCCCACGATCAACAGGTCACGGCAACAACAGACTCTGACCTGCCTGGTAACAGTGGAAGTATCCGACGGCAAGTGGAGGCCCGACCCTGACGATCTAGGCACCGTGGCCCCCATGCCACCGCCGAGAATCGAGGAAGCCTTCGCCCAGACGCCCCCGTCACCAGCACGGAGTAGTCGGCCGCGCTTTTACCCCTATGAGCCACCCGAGGTTCTGGAGGAGATTACCGAAACCCTGAGGACTCGTGTGGACAATTGGCATGGGTTGGACTTTAACAGGTTAGACTTTCTCCCCGGTTGCAAATGGCCCACATAGAACAAGCTGACATATTGACATCTCCTTAGATTTGGCAAACTGCGCTTGTATGGCACACTTCGAGTAGGCAAGGATAAGGTTTCCTGGCAAGAACTTGAGTGTTACTTGTTCGCCGAGATGCTCATTTGCGTTAAGGAGAAGAAAACACTCTCAACGGCGCAACAATGGGACGACAACGGCGCCCTGCCCAGAAAGTCCACGCGATGCACCTTGAAAGGCTCGATTCTCATCAAAAAACATCTCAACGAGGTTTCCGAGACGGGTTCTGTCGACGAAAACGTTCTCACACTCAGCTTGTCCGTTACCGAGCTGCCGTCTTTCCACCTGCGGTTTGACAATCGCAATCAGCTCAAGCTGTGGCAACAGGCCCTCCTCGACTTGAATGCGGTTGAACGATCCCCAGTAAGGAGTCCTGGGTACGATCGCGACATGTCGGAAACTGAGGAGGATGATTGGGCCCGAGGAAGCCGTCAGCAGCGAGGATCTTCTCTGGCCTCATCGTCTGGCTGGGGTGGACCCAAATCTTCCACGACTGCGCCGACCGACTACACCAACTTCGCCAAAAATGCATTGCCATCTTCAATCCACGTGCCCATTGACGTCGTAGTAGTGGTTCCCATTTCATCGTCCATGCAGGGCGTCAAGATCAACCTCGTCAGGGATGCCTTGAAGTTCATGGTCAGCAATCTTGGTGAGCGGGATCGCATGGGTTTGGTGACATTCGGCTCGGGAGGCGGTGGTGTCCCCATCGTTGGTATGACGACAAAGGCATGGCACGGGTGGAACAACGTGCTGGCTTCAGTCAAGCCGGTCGGACAGAAGAGCCACCGGGCCGATGTGGTGGAAGGGGCCAACGTGGCCATGGACCTCTTGATGCAGCGCAAATACAACAACCCCATCGCGTCGATCATGCTCATCAGCGACGCATCAACGTCAGATGTGGATAGCGTCGACTTTGTCGTGTCGCGGGCCGAAGCGGCCAAGATTGCAATCCATTCATTCGGTCTGGGTATGACGCACAAACCCGACACCATGATCGAGCTATCCACGAGGACCAAGGCGTCCTACACCTATGTAAAGGACTGGATGATGTTGCGAGAATGCCTGGCCGGCTGTTTGGGGTCAATGCAGTCACTGTCACACCAAAACGTCAAGCTCAAGCTTAAGCTCCCAGAGGGCTCTCCGGCCAAGTTTTACAAGATCAGCGGCGCCTTGCAGATCACCAAGCGCGCCACGGGTCGTGATGCGGAAGCCTCGCTTGGAGACCTCAGATTTGGCGATAAACGGGACATTCTTGTGCAACTCGTCATTGTTCCCGACAACTCATCACAGGAGCAAATGCAACAGGATCCCTGGGAGACCATCGTTTCTGGCTTGGAGGCTCTGGGGGGGCCGATGGACCCAGAGGATCAGAGGACCCTGTCGGTGGAGGAACTGCCACTTCTTCAAGCCGACCTGGTTTGGGGTGACATTCTGCGAGAAGGCACTATGATGCATCTACCGCGACCGTCGCTCCTCGCCATCACCATGCTCCCCCCTGTGGCCAGCAATAAGAAGGCATCATGGCAAAACAACCCGCCGATCCCCCCTCATCCACATATTGTCCAGCGCCGCATGGAGCTACTTACGTCCGACATGCTCACGAGGGCGTTGACGCTGGTGTCACGGGGCCAACACGACCGTGCCCACACCCTGCTAAACGAGACAAGGTCAATACTGAAAGGCTTGGGGAAGGGTGGCCTGCCACCAATTCCCCCTCCACCAATGCAGAGTGGCAGGTCAAATCCTTCCACTCCACACACGGTCTTAGATGGGTCGCCGACATCCGCGACCCCAGACAGAAAACACACACCGTCTCCTACGGCTTCTGCTACTTCCTCAGCCGTCAACGGCTTCCCCTCTGCAATAACCCAGAGCCGGTCAAATGATGGCTTGGCTTTGGGCAGCGCTGTCGGCATAGACGCACACACTGTAGCCGCTCTCGATGCCGAACTTGAAGCAAGTTTGGAATGGATAAGCCATCCAGCTGTCTTTGGCCGCGACAGCCGCAAGGCGGTCTTGCAGGCCATCGGCGTTATCAGCAGCCAGCGCGCCTACACATTCCGAACCCCAATCGAGAGCCTCTGGGCTTCTCGCGTGAGCGGCGTCAAGCGGCTCACAGATAAGAGCCGCGAGTGGAGAGAAGAAGCTGGTGGTGAGGGGATCATCGAGGAGGCATGATCTTTATCTACGTCGTCTATTCTACTTTATTTCTTCTTCTTAATCGGTGCGTATTGGATGCCAATATAGACCAAACGACCTGTTACGGGATCATGTCTTCACTACACACAGCAAACAGCACACGATACCAGCGGCCCTTTTTACTTTGTTCGGCACAACTACTACCCCTGCGGCAGATTATGTATACTATCTGGGACTGCGTCGTTTATCTCCGGGTCTGTTAATCACGATACCACAACGGGGCCTTGCCATTTTTACTCTCGTCTCGAAAGCTCCCCAAGATACCACTTCACGTTTATCTGTTTTTTTTTTACGGTTGAAAGTCATTTATATGTCTACATGTCGACGTTATGTTGATGGAAGTGGGGGTGTTAAAGTTACCAAGAGAGAAAATCCTTGTGGCACTGGAATTGTGTTTTTGGAAGTTATTGGTCAATATTTGGGAAGGTGTGTGTGGTGGTAGTGGTGGTGCTACTATATACTCTTCTGAAAAAGGGGCGGGACGGGTGCCTACGTGGATGGAGGATCGTGGGAGGATGTGGAATGGGATATAGGGAGGGAAAATCCAGAAGAGCAGCCCGTGGGAATCTATGATGGGGTGTCAGCTTTGTATAAGGATATCTATGATGTGTATGTTTGGCTCCACCCGCCCCTCCCCCAATCCTGGTTTATACACCAGGTAATGTCGGGATTCATTGGTTACGACCTATATACTACATGACTTGTTTTGAGGTCGTTAAACATGTTGAAGATCAGATAATACTTCCTGTTATGAAGGCCAAGCTCGTGTTCAGCGGATAGCATACCCTTCGTGATAATTCCTGCACCATTATAGATTATTCATCATCTCGTCTCGCTCTCACAATCAATCATCCGGAATGTCGAGATCGGCCCTCGTATAGCTGATGCATCCCTTCCGTAGCCAAACCCAATACATCCATTTCGCAAGGGGAAGGCGACGACAACGATGCTCTAACAGGCCACCATGATGACGGTCATGCTCGCTGGCTACTAACAGCCATCTTCTCCGCCTTCACAAAGTGGTCAACAGAAAACGATGTCGAACAAATCAAGTGACTAATTGCAGGAGTTTGACTGTCGATTGTCGGCTTGCTAACGCCATGTGTAATTTGTTGTACAGATAGCTTTGACTGTCCCAAGATTGAAGATGCACTCGTTAGCCTTGCTATTTACCTTGGTAGAACGGCTTGGATATTGTAAGATTCCAAGTTGGGGAGGCCTTAAGCAGCGTTGCAAGCCAATGCGAAGAACCCGGGAGGAACAGTCCTTGAAGGCTTAAGCACCCGAAGTACTTCGGTATGGTACGCTGAGGCCTTCATTCGATCAGGCGGATTTACCGTACAAAAAGGTTGGCAAAACTTGACGTAACCATGCGCTGTATCGAGGTCGGAGAGACAAGACGAGATCAGGTTTCGGAAACGTGCTCGGGTGTTAGGTCTTTCCCCTTGATATTGAATCAATCTCAGTGCCTATTTCATCGCTTCTTGAAGAATCCCCTGTTCGGCGCAGGCACCACACCAACCCGCTTCCTCCTCAACAGGTCTTCTTTTACATGCCGCGAATTCTTCTTCATCTTGGGTGCTAGCGTCTTATCACCATCATTTGCCAGCACTCTGTAAACCGTCGACCCAACGACCTGATCCTTGGGTGCTCTGTTCTCCATGCCAACGGTCTGCAGTGCCTGGTCAAACTTGATCTTTGTTGGCTTTACAACCCTCAACGCCTCAGCGTCCTCGCTGTCGCTTTCCGAATCTGTGAGGAATCGAGCTGGGAGCATGTCGGGCAAGTCGGCCTTGTCCACCCTGCGGCGGCCAGTGGCCGCTGTTTTTTCGCCATCGGAATCGTCCTCTACGGCCGCAGAATGCTTGGATCTCTTGCTGGACTTCACGGGCTTGTGAGCTCGCTTTCGCTTTTCTGCTTGCTGCCTGAACAAGTCGTCTCTCTCTTGTCGTTTCCTCTTCAACGTAGCAGCTTGTCTGTCTAACTGTTAGCTGGTTGCGACCGAAAGGCGGTTCGGCGAATGGAAAAACGTACTTCTCAGCAGCTTCCGCAAACGCCTGGGCGGATTTTAACGTCTCCTTGGCTGCTGCTTGCGTGGAAACTGCTTCCGGAGCTTCGTCGTCGTTGTCGGAGTCAGATCCCTCATCCTCGCTCTCTGCTTTTGTGGGCGCCTTGGGCGCTTCTGCCGCGGCAGCCACGAAATTGTCCACATCGTCATCGTCTCCGAAGACGACGTGCTTGCTCTTCTGCGCCGGTGCTGCCGCAGGAGACGGCGTAGGCTTCTTTTGTGGCTCCACCTCTGACCCAGGTTCAGATTGGGATGCCGCCAGATCCTGGCTCAGCCTCTGACTAGCTTCCTCTTCCAGCTGCTTTGAGGCACTCACGGGCGTGGGCGCCCCAGCAACCTCGCCCGCGCCCAGAGTTTCGCCATCCTGCGAGTCCGCAACGGACTCAGACCGGCTCCTTGTGGTCCTGCGGCTGGGCAATTGCACCTCGATCTCCAACCTTTTATGGCCATCGTCGTCCCTCGTGCGCACCGCGAGTTTCTGGTTCTTCGAGGTTGTCTTTGTTGGTGTGGAGTCCTCGACTTCCTCCTGGACCTCTGTCGCCTCTGTTCCTATGGGTGTCTGTTTCTCCTCATGGGTTGTGCCTAGTGGGCTCTCTATTTCCTCGACTTGTGTTGTCGACTTTCGGTTGCCGCGTTTGGTGGCTATGGACGGCGGCGCTTCCTCCGCGGATATCGAAGGGGATGCGACGGATGAGACATCTGCAGGATCCTGAGAGGTCTTCTGGGCCGCCCTGGTATGTCTTCTAGTGACGGGCGCCATTTTGTGACGTTTGTGGACGTTTCAAGAAACAGCTTTTGCAGCGCAGGAAATGATCATGAATTGAACCTGCGACTTCCCCTACTCCATTGAAGGCTGCTCAATTTTTATTATGGGGCAGATAAGATAATATCGTAGTGGGGCCTTCAAGCTTGCAACACTGTATCAGAGGTAGCGCATTATCCGATCCTGTCTTAGCAACCGCCTTTGTCTACGCAGAATTACTGATATCGGCGCAACTAGAAATGCACTTTCTGTGGAGTGATGATGTGTAGAAGCGAAAATGCTCCGAAGTCTCAGCCCCAATGTGTTTCACTCTTCTTGTAGCTCATGATGAACATGACCGGGTGCTTATTTGGTCTAATCGCATAATCGGACTAATCCCGGCCTCATCTCCAGATCAACCTCAGTATAGCTCTTCCTATTTCACTTGACCTTGATATTCGATCACGCGACCCTATGCGGAATCAAAATCGCAGCTGGTATTCCGGACAGCTATGAGCAACGGCTTTATTACCTTCGTTTTCATGACCCAATGGCAGCATTCGTTCCATATTTGAAGCAACCAATCTCATCTCAAGCTCGCCTCATATCACCAAATCTCACTGCCTCATGAGACTATACCCAAAAATGGCCCTCAGAAGTCCAATACCTTGGCAGCAACTCCAGCTTCTCCGCCGCTCTACGCCATCACAACATGGGCTCGCCATCCACCGTCCATTTTGTCCAACCTCAACTCTCCTTAGGTCCTTCCACTCATCCCCCAACCATCTCATGAAAGTGCGCAAACCAGGCTCCTTCTCCACCATCCGCTTCACAGCCTCAGACATCCCACCACTCTCGCACTGGGAATCCCTCGCGTCCCAAACCGGCAACCCCATCACTGCTCTCGGCCTCACCCCTGAAGCCTGCCTGTCCACAATGCAGCAATACGTATCCATCGCTCCCACCTTGCAGCAACGCCCTCTGCCTACCACTCTTGCTAAGGATAAGCTCCACTCCATTGCCGTCCTTATCATCACCGGCCCGCCAAACGCAGCCTGGCCCATCGCTCTACACATGCTTAATACCCTAGTCTCCCTGAGCTACACCCCGTCCATCCTGACCATGGCCCGTCTCGGCTTCCGCACCCACAAGCTGGGCGAGCCGCAGTTCTACCCGGCGCGGTGCGCCTTCGACGCTCTCGCGCGCAAGGAGACAGATCCCAATGCTTGCACACTACAGGGCCTGATTCTCGCCGCGCAGGACACCCCGGCGACGGACATGCAAGCGTTATACTGGTTCCGGACAGCGGCGCGGCTGGGGGGCGAAGTCAGGGGAAGTTGGGACTGGCAGGCAGGCTGCGCACTCCAGATGGGCAAGGTGTACCTGCGGCAGCAGGAAAAGGACAAGGCGCGGGATATCTTTCGGTATGTGGCACTGGAGCTGGATGTTGCCGAGGGGTGCTGGCTGTACGCCACGCTGTTGGAGCACGGGGAGGAGAGGAAAGGGATGGTGTTGAAGGCGGCCGTGAGCGGCATTCAGGAGGCGGCGAGGGAGGCTGCGCGGTTGGAGGGCCTGGAGATGGAGAAGGCGCGGCAGGAGGGGACGCTGAAGGGCTGGGAGGCCAACTTGAAGGGGTGTCTGCAGAAGGAGTGGGAGACTATTGCTGGAGATCGCACCATGTATGAAGATGGGGTCTCCATGTGAAAATATATTGTATATTATCTTGAGCGGTGATTTCTACGATACCCGAGGTTCGATGATGAGCCCCGATACAGAGGAAAACTTGGTCAAAGAGTTCACTTCGTACTGGGATGTGACTTCTGGCTGCAATGTTCATTTCAGTCTATATTCAGGGCCACGGAAATCGAATTTTTGTTGAATACATCATCTCTCTGGCATGGCCTCAAATTGCAATGAATCTCAAGAACCCACTGTTCCCCTTCCCAGTACTACGAAGTGAACTCTATGCAATAATGGAAATTATACCTCCGATGCAAACATGCTAGGACAACTACATTTCTAGGCGATGAAGGTATCCGTCTGCCTACTACTGTCGACTGAAATGCTCCTGTGATTTGAAAGTCTTTCGCCCTCAGCCCGGGGGTTTGTCACCGTAGTCATCAGAGAGAAAATGGTTTTCTGCTTTGGAAATCTGCGGAGGCCTTGAAGACTAGCTGGCATAATACGGTTTTAGCACCCATATTACATATTACAGACAGCGGTTAGGTTGGAATTATAGGGAAACCTTGAGACTTAAGCGCCGAAGCAGCTATGTTTGGCGATGTGAACATGCAGATCTAAACCCTCGGATGTTCAACGTTTCAGTAAAAGTAGAGACTGAAAATGTGTTTGGGACCAATCCCGGAACGCAACTGAAAGCTCCAAAGTTAGTTCCTGTTCACAGAGCCCCGTACAGCCCGGGATACCTTTATGAAAGTAAGGATAGGCCCGAGAGAGGTATTTGGTAGATAACTCTTGATGCAAGATATAATCTGGACGCAAAACTTTTATATGAGACTGCGCCATCACGAAGAACCCAGGATGTGCGACAACATAATCTTGAAGCAAAATCATGGATTATTCGACCCCGCCCAGTTGATAGTGACCAATGACCACCACTGGCCCTTCATAGTCTCTAGTGTGCTTCAGGCTGACAATTTTCATTGAATGAGGTAAAATGTAATCTCGAAATGATCCTCTTGGTATTTGGGTGGGCCGTCTATAAACTCTCAACGCCAACCACTTTCTCATACAGGGACATCAAAACGATTCTCAAGCTACATCATGCTTATTTCTTCCGACTCGCTCAGTCCTCGTCCCAGTTAGGGTTGGGACCCGGGGGCTTGGGCCCACCAGCTTGTCTTGCGACGATAATCTGATCAACGGACAGGACAGTACGTGCGGCTTCCGTGGCCAGCTTGATAGCCCACGACTTGCTGATCAATAAGTCGAGAATACCTTCCACCTTGGCATCGAGCGTGCCCGTGTCGTCGTCATTCTGAAATTAAGTTGTTAGTTTCTATCAGAGTCAAGCGTAACCGAGTAGAAGGGTCTCACCTCAATATCAACACCGGTCGTCCAGTCATCCTTTTTGTGATGTGCCGTGTACAGTCTGCTCAGAACCTCGGTTGCGTCCAGACCTGCGCTCTCGGCCAATGTTCTCGGGATAACCTCAAATGCCTCGCCGAACTTGCGAATCGAGTATTGTGGCAATCCCGATGTCTTGTCGCCGAAAGCCTGTATCCTCTCCACTAGCTGTGTTTCTGTTGCACCGGCACCAGGAATCAACCGGGGGTCACGAGTGATGGCCTTGACCACATTCACCCCATCATCCACTGCTCGCTCGACATCGTCCAGGTGATTTTGCGTTGCGCCTCTCAACACAAGTGTTGCGGTGCGCGTCACCTCGTTCTCTTGTCTGAAGACGGTAACGCGGTCACCACCGATTTCGAGTGTCTCAACCACGTCCACCGATCCCATCTCGTCGGGCATGGGGGCACCCAATCTTGCCAGAGGGGTAGCTCCAACAACTCGACATATTCTCCGCAGCTCGAACTTGCTGAGAATCTTAATGACGAGGATGCCGTACCGGTTGAGGTAGTGCATGGCCAGCTCACCCACCGTCGAACCCGCAATAACGACACGCAGACCGGCGTCATGAAGCTCCTTGATGGTGGCCTCTAGCTGTGACTCCTCTCCCGTGGTGAAATCCATCATCTCCTTGGCATTGTGTAGAAGCACCGTGCCCTTGGTCTCGGTCTGGCTGGTGTCGATTGGACACGAGAAGACACCGACCTTTGCCTTGGTGGCCTTCTTGACGGAACCATCAGGCGCCTTGGGGAACACCATACCCTTGACCACTCTGCTCTGCTCCAAAGCGCCACCCATGATCTTGACTACCCGAATGTTGTCGACGTTAAAGTTGGCGGGGTTCTTGGGGAGGACTGCGAGGACGGCCTCGGCAACCAAGTCAGCGAGGAAATCCTCGTTGCCGTTTTGCTTGCTGGCCACCACTGTCCGAATGGCTTTGCTCAATTCGTCTTGGTCCCGAATGTTCTCTACCTTGTCCACCACGAGCTCTTCAAGGGCCTCGAGGGCGAAGTTCTGTGCCCGCTCGTAGCCTGTGACGATGTCAGCAGTCTTGAGACCCATTCGCAGCAGATCCTCGGCCTTCTTCAGCAGCTCCCCGGCAAGAACAATGACCAAGTTGGTCGCATCGCCCATCTCGGCTTCCTGCTGTTGACTGGCCATAACCAGGAGTTTGGCTGCTGGGTGTACCACGTCGAGCTCCTTCAGGATAGTGGCGGCATCGGATGTGAGGATCATCTTCTGCAGATGGTTGATGACGATTTTGTTTCGGCCATAGGGACCCAGCGATGTCTGAACGGTCGAGGCGATGGCCCGGCAAGCATCGATGTTACGCAGGACAGCTCCATCTTCGGAGTCGTAGCTTTACCATTGTTAGGGACCGGGAGCATCTTGAGCTAGGTGGGGTTGTACATACTTGTTGTAGCCGCCCTTGAACAGGTTGGCGTTCGGCGCGTTGGGGATGTTGAGAGACATAGTGGAGGAAACCTCGAACCAGGCACTGCTGTCTTCCTTGAACCAGAGAGAGATCTCTTTGGTAACTTTTGGGTAGCCGTGGGTGGTATGGGTTGTTCGTCTGAGCTGCGATTCCCTGGAAAAATCGAAGGTGCCTGCCAGTCTAATCGATAAAAACTGGTCTGAGCTAGCCTTGCAGCGGGAGCTCGGTGAAGGCCCAATGGAACCACCCGACAGCTACACCTCAAACTCAGCCTTACCGTGAACTAATTGCGAACAAAGGGTCGTTGCAGCAGCGAACGTTAATCAACACCATCAATTTCTGCAGCTACCTTATTCCCCCGTTCGCCGCCTTCATCACGGAGCCTTTGCGAAGACGCAAGCTGACATTCATCATTTCGACATAAGCATGCCTCAATAATTTAGTAGAACCAGCGACTACTCCTTGTGGACAGGCACCCATTCTCTCCTGTTTGCACAATCTATCATTCTGCCACGATGGCTCCCCAATCTTGTAAGACTGTATTTTCTCACCAAGTCGACCAAAGCTCGCGCTAACAGTCCATCAAAGCAACCCCGCCTTCTCTCCCTCCTACTGTCGAAGACGCTTACCGACGAAAATGCATCGAACTCAAGGCGCGCTACAAGGAGATTGAAGACGAGAACGACGCGTATCGTCTACGCCTAACGCGCCTCAAGCGCCAAATCCAGAAATGCCGCCTCGAGCGCGCCATCCTCCTCGAGCAGATCTCCAAACGCACCAGCACTAACGTTGCCGACTCGGAAGGCAGTCCCAGCCCGCCCCCAACCCCTAAGGACAAGCCCCTGCGCATCAAGCGAGGCCATCGCAAGCTGCCCGGCGGCATTGATGACGGCAGCTTCATGAGCCATAGCATTCGCGGCCTCTCCCCTGGCTCCGAAACGTACTCACACAATGCGGAGTCGTTCCCGAGCGGGCGCGGTGGCGGCGGCGCAGCCGTGTCCAATGGGTTACCCAAGCCGCCCAAGCGACCGAGCAATGCATTTGAGATCTACTGCAACGACATGCGGCCCCAGTTCCAGGCCAAGCACAAGGACAAGATTGAGGCCGGGAAGTTCCGGCTTGAGGAGGAGCTGGCGCGCGGGTGGAAGGACCTGCCCAAGGAGGACAAGGACGCTTTCCAGACGCGGTACGAGCAGGAGCTTGGCCGGTGGAAGGAGGAGCGCGAGGCGTACCGGCGGGGCGCTAAGGAAGCTGCTGCTCGGGATCGCTCGCGCGGACGTGATAGCTACTATGGTGGTGGTGGTGGGGGTGCGGGGAGTGGAAGTGGACGAGGTCGTGGCTCGGCTGCGGCGCGCCATCGCATTGAGAGGATCCTGCAGGATGATGATGGAGATGACCAGGACCAGTACGAGGACCAAGATGTGGAGATGGGTGAGGCGGCAGATGCGATGGATGCCGAGGATCGGGACAATGACCCGGCCGAGACGGATCCGGAGACAGAGGTCGAGGACAACGAGGCGCAGGGCGAGGAGTAGTATCGAGACCTGCCGAGTGGTCACAGCCGATGGTTCTCTGTATTTGATGCTGGGAAAATGCAGTAGGATCATCCACGTGTGCTCTGGGCACAAGGGAGACACCAGCCCTCGTGATTGGGTTTCTTGGCAGACATTTTGTCATTTTTCACACATTGGCTTTTCTTCTCAGCTTGCGGGTCGGCGTTTACGGTGCGCTGGGATTATCTCATTCAAATGAGTTGAGGCCTTTTAAGGTTCAACGGGATTGTACGACTAGTGATAAAAGTAAGGAGCCTAGGGGCATCCAAGAAAGAAAGAACAATAGCCGCTGCCATGCTGTGGTAATAAGGTGATAACGAATTGATAGCGTTGCTTTCTTTGCAACAAGTAACAGTTCAGCACCTAACCTGCCGTGTACATGCTCTCCCTTTTCTGCGTCGCGAAGCCTCAAGTCTGCTGTCTAATTATGTACAACAGGTCAATCTGATCCTGGGATCGACAGCCCAACTGCGCTCGGTTTCCTTTCTGGCATTTTTTTCGTTGCCAGATATACTGATACACTAATTTCTGTGTACAAATCTCTGTGTACAGTGTATAAATTCACCCAGGCCATAAAAGTCCTGTAGTCACCTGGAGAATGTTGAAAAGAAAAAACTCCAAGCTATGCCCCTTTACCGTCCAAGAAAGATGGAAACCCCTTAGTCTACACCTGCGTACAAATCAACCACGATGTTGACGGCCGCAACGAGGATCTCGGCCGCGATAAGAACGATGACTAAATTCAATCATTGTTAGCCTTCACTAAAATATTGATTATTTCGACCTTGATGATTTCAGGGGATAACTCACCAATCCACTCCAACATCTCGCCGTGACCATGGGACAACTGGTCCTTCAGTACTGCCAGCAGGTCGGCAATGACGTCCAATCTCTCCGTCAACAGGCCCACGCGCTGGTCCATTTCAAGATAGCTGCGCACAGCCTGGTATACCGGCTCGAGGTGAGGCTCGACCCAAAAGAGCTCAGGGGTGTCGAGGACGGAGCCGTTAAGGTGGATGTTGATGCGCAGAATGAAGAGCTCACCGATCTGCATGTTGATTTGGCTGCGGCTCAGGGCGATTTTTCCCGTTAAGGCAATTTGCGTCGGGATGTCTTTGCAGGTCTCAATGGTGGAGGCTATGAGTTCCTCGAAGAGCGAAGTCTATGTGAGTGACGACGCGTTAGTTAGGATGAAAGGGAGTAGTATGGTCTAGAGTTGGTGAAGTTGCGTACCTTGACACTCTGCGCCAGAGCGTGCGATATGGCCAGCTTCGTCATGTAGTTCCCCTTGTCTCGCAGCGTGATGAAGTCGTTGTATATCCTCGCCTGGTAATCCCGCGTGTAGTAGAAGTTGAAGCACTCCGTCTCGACGTCGTCCGGGTCCAGCTTCTCGCTTTCAAACTTGGCAATCTCCTTGAGGAAGCGTTGCTCGTGCACTAGGGACATGCCCCAAATGACCACGACGCCGTAGTCGAAGAGGAACACCTCGGGCGTATGGACTTGCGTGTCGAAGTCTGCGTCGTGGGGTGGTTCATCGTGGATTGCGCTCTCGTTGTCGTTGCGGTGCGAAGAGTAGGCTAGGTCATTGTGCAGATCCCGCCCGTTGCTGTACGCCTCTGTTTCTCCCGTGCCCGTAGCCGGAAGCCCCTCTTGTAAAGCGTCGAATTGTCCTGTCGAGTTCCGTCGCACGTAGTTTTGTACCGGACTTCCCTCGTAGCCCATCTGTTGATGTTGCCTCTCCTGCTCCTCCTCCCGATCAATACGGGCCTCTACAGCTTCCCTCCTCTCTGCGCTCTTGCCAGTGCCATAGTTATACGGTGAATATAGGCATTCATCGATCAACTTAGGATTACTTCCCCTGGCTTTGGCCTTCCCCTTCAAAAACCGCATCAATCCCTCCATGATGTATTTATTGGCGGTGCAGTATGCCGTAACTCTCGGCAGTCTATCTCTGTCGGCTTTGCCCAGTCTCGCAGCATCTCTCCGCGCGTTGGGGTCCTTGATACGCGTATATTGACTGTACACGTCCCTTCCGCTCTCCTCGTCAGGCCCTTCGTCGTCGAACTCCGGGTTGGGCAGGAGCTTGAGCTTCTGCGCCGTCTTACTTGATCTTTGGGGTCCGATCTTGGGTATGGGGCCGGCGGGACCAGGAAGGGCGCTGAAGGTGCCGCCGTGGGAGTTGCGCCGCCGAAGCCGATTATTCAGCGCTGCTAACGTCGTTGTAGAGTGAGGTCCACTCGACGACCCTGATGCGGCGGCGCCGCTCATTGTTTGGCCATGGCTGAGAGGTACTCCTGAGGCGCCTGGCGACGAGCTAAGTGACGCGGGCTCGGGGAATATGGTCTTCGTGACGGGGTTGGGGTGGAAGGTTACGGTGCGCGCGGGCTTGGGGCGTTCTGGATCGTGCAGAAGAGGCGTGCGTTCTGACGAACTTTGCGGATCTGCAGAAGATGAGGTGCCCGAAGAAGCCATCGTGAAGGAAGGAAATTGGGACGCTGCTCGGATGGACAGAGGTGCTGAAGCTGCTGGGCAGCTGAGACAGCCGGCGAAGCTTCCGTTGTTGGCAAGCAACTCGCTGTTGTGACGTGACAGCAGTTGGTAACCTATGCTTATCGTGTCTACATGTGGTTTCTAGGATGTCGTCTGGGTATAATTGAACGCCTTGGTGTTTTGAGCCTGATGTTTTATCGACCTTGGTTGTTGACATCCGTAGCTTGTGATTAGCTCGGGTGCTTGGTTCAAATTCAATGACGTCTAGCCAAAGACTGCTTTAGCCCGGAAGAAAATGTTAGCACGTCTCAGCCCCTTGAGTGACGGCTTTTGTGGGGCTCTATGCAGTTTTACGAACGTTACGACTTTTATAAAGTGTCCATGTCATGCGTAAAAAGTCGGGGACCCATGCACAACAACATATTTATCTGTCTCTGGACAAGGTGAATGCTTTCGCAATCTCTACTGCAATTGTTCAGATTTTATTACCGAAGCCTTCCTGAGCTCTCTAGAGGTTTTCGTTGGTAGAACAGAAGCAGAGCTTCCGAATCCGGCGAGATTGTGTAAGGTTAGCCGTCCGCCAGGATGACTGGGCCGCAGTAACAAGATTCTGACTGCATCTTTGGCTAAAAGTCCACACCACATCGGTTTGCAGGCGGTTTGCGCATCAGTTGTATACATACCATACCATACAAGTGTCTTGGTCAATATCATAAGTCAATCGTCCTCGTTTCCATCTTGAAGCCAGTGGCATTGAGTCTGTCCACGTATCCCTGACCTAAACAGGCCGGTGTATAAATGCCCCCTTTCAACTTGAGGTCGTCCTGCAAAATGGTTGCTGCGCCTTGGGCGAGAAACGTGGCCGTCACTAAAAGATTGTCAACTGCCATTGCAGCAGCATCGGAGAGAGAATGTACTTGCAGTAGTACATGCTTCCAGCATACCACGCCTTCACAGTAGCCTGCTTCCCATTACTCGGCTCGACATCCGGAGTGGCAACCGCGCGAAACTCGATGTAGTCCTTAGCAGCTTCCTCTTTATCTGGACCTTGACCAGGCTGGAAGACGAATTGACGCATCAATCTCCGAAAGGGCGGCACAAACATGAGAAGTACACCGCCGATGATGAGACCATAGTGCATCGCCATGCCAATCAGAAAATTCCTTGCCTTCATAAACTCACGGTACGTAAATTTGGGGCCGTAGAACTGCTGCTGCCTTGAGGGCTCCTGCTTGAACAGCCCCCACGATCTCTGTACAACGGCAGCGTTCGTCCCGGCCGTGATGGAAGTGTGCAGCAATCCAAGGTTAGGAATGGTGTACAGCCCTGTCAGCTTCGACAGAAGGGACGAACTGGGCTCCGGTTGTGGGTTCGGGACAGGCGACAAGGCGTACGGCCTATGAGATTCCACAACTTCCTGAGGGCTGTACATCTCAAAAAGTCCAAAGACAGTTGCAAGTGTGCCGCCTGAGGGCGCAGAGCTGGATACGATAAGCAGGGATCCAATAGCAAATGTCGAACTTGTCGACTCACCGTAGCTCGTGGATTGCAACCACAACATCGCTGACTGGAGCAGAGAACTCCGATCGAATTAGCTGTGCCAGGGACCAGGTGAGTATGTCTGATGGGGCAGATTCAATTCCGCTCTGGGGGAACAGCATAGCCCCGGTCTCCTTGGCTTTGGCCTCGTATATCTTAATCATGGATAATGACCAGACCGCCTCGCCTGTACAGTCCAGGTAATGGGTGCCAGCCTCGGCGCATGCCTTGAATGCATGCTCGCCGTAACATGCGTAGGGTCCAACAGTAGTTATAAGCACGAAAGTCTTCTTGGCTAGCGCAAGCAAGTCTGCATCGTTTAGGTTGCAAATCTCGATTTCTGGGTACGACATTAACTTTCACGATACTTCGCCGATTTAAACAGCATAGAAATGTGTACCAGGCTGAACGCGGTCCGGATTCAGGGCTTTGCACTCTGATACAACTTTCTTCAACTTCTCTTCTGACCGACCAGCAACAGCCCACTTCGTGTCGGTTGGGAATTGAGAACTGATGTGCTCAGCTGTCATGAGGCCCGTATAACCTGAAATGTTTAGCTTCGTCCTTGCTCGAGATAGGAAGTCGAACTCACCGGTTGCTCCGAATACAACGACATCATATTGGCGGCCATGCTTCTTGAAAGACATTTTGTGCTTTGGTGAGCTCTGATCCGAAAACCCCAATGAGACTTTTAAGGGTCCTCGACAGCTTAAATGGTGAGGCGTAAGACCATCTGAGAAAAGATGATACGAAATGTAAAACCGAGGAAGAAGCTATGTTAGGGATATCGGGAGGTAACCGTCTTCAAATAGTCCTACCGAGCACATCTCCAGCTCTCGGGCCCGGAATGCTTGCAAGATCTCATCTTATTGAGTTTACCGCTCCAGTAATGTCAAGGAGGAATGGCTGGGACGAGACATTACTACGAGGCTAATAATCGACCACCTGTTTGAATACCACAAGACGAACTCATACCTCTGTAGGGAAGCCATCGCCGTGCCTGCCTCGGCGAATGGACCCCTCCAAAAGTTAAAGCTCCCGCGTTTCGTCAACGTCAGCCCGCTCGTTGGCGCCGGCAGCTTGCTCCAACAGGTTAGAGCGCAGCGATCATCTAGGGCTCCCTTCCGAGATTGTTTGGTTTGTGCGTTTTGAGAATTCTAGAAGTGGGGAGGGGAGAGCTGAATCGGATGCCAAGGTTCCCTAGGATCTCCAATGAAATGTTAGTGTATATAAATTTCCATAGGTACATATACATTGGCCCATACGCATCGCTAATGTAATCAAACACCTAATATAGTCTCTTTAGTATCGATGTTACTAAATCCTGTAAAAATTTCTCTAGCACGACTTATCAAAGCAGCTATTCTAAATTTCCTAAGCTTAAATTTGGAAAAAAAATAAAAAATTTCATATGTGAAAATCTAGACTTTAACCTAAAATTTTACGTTCTCGATAGGGATTAAGCTCGGCCTTTTACTAGCTAGTTTACTTCCATCCTACTAGAAATAGGGTCCTCCATAAAATATTGCACGGCACTCCCAAGGTGGCATCGTTAAGTACACACCATGGAGGCGACCGACTGTGAAATACGTCCAGATCAGCTTGTGTGTTCTATTGTATCTTTGTTGAAGAATTTGGTAAGCTGTCCTGGAGATAATTGCTATTTTGACTTTGCAGTGCGGGATACCCACACAACAGGTTCGTTGCAACCTGTCTAAGTAAGCTCATTCAGGAGCGCATTAAACCCAATGCCGAAACAAGTCCCAACAAGCTGTAGACTAAGAGCGCGGTGTTAAGCAGACCCATTGAATTATCATCCTGTATCTGAAACTGGGTTTGATGAAGCAATACCATTGGAATACATGTATGATTCTCCCAGACTAATAGTCTAGCTGATATCGCAGTCTCATAAGAGTTCTCTACCCAGGTACACAGGGATAAAACAAAGCCCCCACTGTGATAACCAGCCCCAGAATACTGGTCAAGGGCAGTCTTCGACATCGAGCCTTACTGATGAGAGCAGCGAGCTGCCACCAGCTATTCATGGTGGCGCACTGCGATACTATTAGTTTACTTCAAAGACAAACGTAGGCAATAGATAGTGCCGAAAGAGATCGGCATAAATAACATTGAATACCAAGGTCTTACTTATGCCATTTCCGTGGTTCATTCAACAACTGAACAGTTCAGCTACTTCAATCTTCATATCAATCTCTGTGAGTTGATCCACCTGTAAATCGTCATTACTGCAACTTGAATTTGGAAGGAGCGAGCTATTAATTTGCTGTGGCTCATTGTCAATGGTAAGCCACAATAACGGGTCAAGGAAACACGCACAGACCATATGCAGGCGGCACACCTTGCAAGATTGAGTCGCTAGGGCACGCCCACCAAAGTCGAACAAAAAAATCAACATCAATTTTCGACAGCCTTCTTGAAGCTCTAGCATCCATCTCCCGACTCGTCATCTACAACTTCACGAGCCAGTTTCCCCAGATACCTCAGACGAAATGGCCAAGCGCACGAAGAAGGTCGGTGTTACCGGCAAGTACGGTACCAGGTAGGCAACCCTTTCACATTTTGTTGCCCCGGAGAAGGCAGAGAAGGACGCAAACCCCCCCTCCTCCCCCGGCTTAGCGACGACCACAATTCCGGCATTTTATCAGAGATCCCAGAAACCGAGAAAGAAAATCAATTGCAGCATTTGGTTATTTTGACCTTGGGAATGAATGGCTTGCTGATATTGAATGCTCAACTGCAGATATGGTGCCTCTCTTCGCAAGCAGGTCAAGAAGATGGAAATTACCCAGCACGCCAAATACACATGCACGTTCTGTGGAAAGGTGACGGTTAAGAGACACTCGGTCGGCATCTGGGACTGCAAGGCCTGCAAGAAGACGGTGGCTGGCGGAGCTTACACAGTATCGTACGTCTACTATCCAACACCTGGGCAATCGCAAAAAGGAGCAAACTGCCCAGGCCAGTCCACAGGTGGGCACTTACTAATACCCGTAATTAGGACACCCGCTGCGGCTGCCATGCGATCGACGCTGCGACGTCTGAGAGAAATTGCGGAGGTCTAAACGAGCGGTAGTGGGCGGGTTGCTTTGGTTGGCTGGTGTACAGGGAAAATAGGTTTCACGTACTAAACAAGGTCACGACGACGTTCGGCTTGATTCTCGACCTTCGTCCATAGGAAGACCAATGGATCTCTATCAATGACAAAGGCAAGACAAAACTCAAAGGGACTATCGCGCAACCGTGTCACACAAGTCGGCCCGGTGCTTCGATATGCTTCTACGTGATACAGGCAGCTCCCAAGGCGGCCAGAAGATAGGAGGCCATTTAGGAACTGCAACCGCTTGATGACTATCATGAGTCATCTACGGAATCAATATATATCTGCCCAAGGTGCTGACAATGGCCATGACGTGCGCTTTCGGATGAACCATGGCAAGTCCGTCATTGCTTCGACCGGACGCCTCATGGATCTCACTCGTTGAAGAGAGACCCTGATTCGTGAAGAGGCTGCCGGTGCCTGCATTAAGAGTGATGCGACAGACCGCACCCTCCATCAAGGTGTCCCCGCAAGTATCGCCCTTGAGTATCATCGGGCTCATCCTTTTGAGACTGCGGGTGCGTTCATCGACGTGAAAATATACATGGTGAGTCATCTAGCTGCCTACCCAGCGAGACTGGGCTGGGCAAGGTCAAGGAAGCACGATGCTGTTGAGATATGCCATGCACAGAATGGTATACTGAATAGAGCAAGAGTCAAGATGGCCACGAGCGGCTTAGAGAATCCGAAAAAAAGCAACGGATTCTATGCGGGCAGCGACCTGTAAAAGGACTCGGTCTTTTCCGGGTTTCAGTTTGCCTTGTGTTGCCAACGGTCGAATCAGCAGGCCGGCCGCGCGGAAGTTCTCCAAGGTGCCTACAACTGCAACAACTTGTGGGCCAACCTTATGGCGGACAGCGGGCATCTTTGAAGGCCAAATCCAATATCGTTCATTTGATCCTTCTCGTGGTGTTTGGCTTTGGTTTTCAGGTCGGTTCTAAGCATCATAGCACTGACCTTCAAAGCATTCTTCCTCGCATCTACCTAACAGTTGCCCTGACTTTGATTCGAACCTTGTTCTCCATCTCACTCATCAAGCTCCACCACTTATCGTCGTGCATTTGCCAGTCTTCAATTCAGCCCCAAATCCGTACTCATTTTGGCCCCGTCGACTGCAACGCATCATCACTGATTTCCAGGGTGATTCGTAACTCTGACACCCGGCATACTCGACTCCACCTGTTCTACCAACCTCCTCTGGCGATAGACATTCCCGGCCTGCCGAAGTGGCGGCTTTGCAACAGTCATACGTAACAAGCTGGGGGAATACCTACCTGGTCAACGAAGTGCTTGGTGACCATTTCGGGTTGGTGGTGTGTGCCTGCCTGCCTCTTGGCCCTGCGCGCTCATTGGCGGTGCTCATCAGCAAGTGACTCGGTGTCAGCCACAGATTCGTCGGTACGTAGTCCTTGTTACCACCCGGATAGAATCCACTGCATGATCAACCGTTCGCGCTCTTGAGCTGCAGACCATACTGATTTTCATGAAAAAAGAACTATCCCATTCTCCAGCAGTCAGTTGAGCAGTCCAGGTGGCCAAATCCCGTTGTTATTAACTTAGTAAGTACCTAGTACCCAGCTCACTTGAGCGCCCTTGAGCACGCTATGGGTATCGCCCCTCTCAGGTCTGCCGTAGTGGCATCAGCTGATTGGGCCCGCTTAGCCAAAAGAGCTAGGTGCAGTACAGCGCTAACCTCACGTCCTGGCCAAGGTCCTCTCTCTCTCTCTCCGGCCCCTCCCACTCATTCTGTCTCGCAGAGGATGTCGACATTTGATTGTCTTTGGCCATCAGTTCCTGCTTCCGTTCGGCCCAGTTTCTTTTGCGCATCCCACCTCTCAAATCATCACTGCTTTTCCCACTCTGCAGATTCCCAACCTTAAAAACTTCCCCATTGCGAATTGCTAAGCTTGCTGCATTGCAGTTGACAATTCCCAAATCCCTCCCTCAAATCCCCCTGCTTTGGCGAGCAACATCTGGAAGCTTTGATCATTTCAAATGACCTTTCTATTACAATTACAAGCACTCTTTGGAGCACGTAACGTCAAGTCCTCCAACGTTTCTGAAAGCCAAGTCGGCCAAACGCACCATCTTTTCCATCCACTTGGTTTACAACCTTGTCGTCCATCCATTTGTGGTGTTTTACCCTCATGCAGTTAAACCACACTCTACGCTACAACACCTCTCCTCACTGGCACTTCATCACAAAACAACCACGCATTCAGCCCGCACTGCATCTACACCTCAACCTCGACCAACCCACCGTGGGGTCACTCATCCCACCTCGTTCGCCACTTCTACAACAACCAAAGGGACATCAGCTTGGTGCATCGGCTGCAACAAACTTGCTCACCTATCCAGCATATTAACAAGACGTCTCTTATATGTCCAATTACCAGCACAGGCAATTTATGAAATTCTGCCCCGATGGCTGATCAATGCATTGTCTGTCTAGAGAATCTAGACGTGCAGCAATTACCACTGCGATTGAAAGACAAGCTGCACTTGGACGGTTCCCCATCCACAAGTCATCCGAAACCTACAGGTGCGGTACCACTTGCACTCAAATCAACCTCTGATGACTTCTCATCTACTACAACTTCCGACGAGGACAGCAAAGTCGCTGAAATCCAAGTGTGCGGCCATATTTTGCATAATACTTGCCTGCGAGAATGGACCGGAAAGGCGAATAGTTGCCCAATTTGCCGCCAAACATTTCATTTGGTCCATGTATATGACAAAGTTGGAGGTAAGTTGCTCTGGCATCGCCATCGCCGTGACTCGGGCGCCGTATAAACGAAAGCTAATTGATTCACCCCCAGGTACCAAACTTTCTACCTACACAGTCGAGGACAAGAAGCAAGTCGCCGAATTTGATCCTCAAGCATGGCTCGACGAAAACCCCGAAGAGGAGGAGCCCGTGCGGTCCTGTCCAATCTGTGAAAGGAGCGACAACGAGGAGGTCCTCCTTTTGTGCGACAGCTGCGATGCACCATACCACACACATTGCGTCGGGCTAGACAGTGTTCCTCGGGGACATTGGTACTGCCTGGAGTGCGCCGACGATGCTGCAGAACTGCTGGCGGCTGAACTCGCAGATCCAGCAGCGGCTGCATATGGACTGGCAGGCGCATCGGATAGTCAGTCAGATTATCTACCGCGGACACAGGCGACCATGCGTCGAGCGCGTAATCGAGCACGATCAGATGAGTGGCAGGGCGCCTGGGGTCAGATCGCACGTCACATCTTCGATGTGTTGAACCTAGATTTGGACAATCACGACGATGACGAGTCTTTGCAGAACTATCGTCGGTCGCAGCAACGCCGAGAAAGAGAGCGACGTGAGTACGAGAGATGGCAACAGCGCCTGAGAATTGCTAGTCGTTTCGGCACTCAAGATGTCTTTGTCAACAACTTGCCCCGGGTTCTACCACAGCCACTGCAACAACAACCACTGCCCCCGCCGCAGGAAACCCCGGAGGAAAAGCTGGCATGGAGCGCTCTCGAGAAGGCGATGGAGGCCAACAACTCCAGTGGTGCGACACCTAATAGCCGAAAGCGTAAGTCGCGCTCGGTTACGACGTCTCCCAGAGAGCCCCCTCAGGAGCCGGAGAGAAAGCTCAAGCGACCTCGTACTCGACGGGTTCCCAACCAGAGCGAGTCTTCAACTTCAGGTACGAACCAGCCTCAACAAAATGGGTTGCCGTCACCGACTCATACTGGTCCGAATGGCTCAGGGCCATCATTTCTATCTTCGCTACTGAAGGAGGTTGAAACAAGTGCCCCATCCGATGACGAGAACGTGCGGGGTTTATTCCGTACCTCCAAACCTCCAGCAGAATCTTTGTCGCCGGTAACATCGCCATCCGCATCTGGCTACAGTAGTCCACGCGCGTTGTCTACGACGCCGCCGCCGCGCACTATGAATGAACGGCCTGGATCACCGCTCTCCCTCATGTCGCGTATCGAACCTATCTACCCCCCTGCCAACTTCTCACCGAACAGGAATGGCGTAGATCAGAGCGGCTCGGATTCTACCCCACGACACCACAATCACCACCACCGGAACGGCCCTCATTCCCCCGAGATTCGGCAACCTCGCCCCCAGCGACGACCAGTCAACATCAATACAGAACAGATGTCGAGTTCACCCGATACTTCACCGACGCGTGGGTCGCTCCCCTTCGAAACCAAGGAGAGTATTAGCAACATCATCAAGACTGCTCTTACGCCACACTATAAATCAGGTAACATCACCCCGGACCAATACACGGCGATTAACCGTGATCTATCCCGCAAGATGTACAGAGACATCTCAGAAGGCGTATTCAACGAAGATGCCCGCCGTCGTTGCGAGAAGATGGCGACGAAAGAAGTGGACAAAGCGGTGGCCAAAGTCAGGAATATTCAGGTCTAATCTTGGCTGCTATTTTGTGATGTTTGACATGAATGTTGGCGTTCTTCTTTTCTACGGCTACAGAGGGGACACCATCGGTTACGGTTTAGGCAAGCTTGGGATCATTTACCTGGTTTAGATACCCTGGCGAAGAGAGCCGCACTTGAATTTTCGCTCGGTCGGTTGATCTCGGCATGGCAGCCTTTGGGGCGTTGGTCAGCATATTTTGTGGCATAGTCGAACGGCGTTTTCAAGCTTGTGTTTTGCTACAGCGGGTGGCTAGGAGCTACCGGAATCCGCATCCAAGCGTTGCTTGACTTGGTGATGCGGCTGGATGGACCTGTACAGACACCAATTCAGGCACTGCTTCTTGTTTGTTTACAGCTGGATATGCCTTTCGGCCTTAAATACGAGAAGGTCGACGAGGGTTTGAAGTTGTCTGAATGTACCATTTATCTACAACAAATAGAGTTTGCGTGGCCGCAAACCGCGTGGAAACAGATATTTCACATCGCCATCACGTTTCTGCTCTCATAATTTTATGAAGGTGCTCGTGGGAATGGTGACTACTAACAAGTTGTCCTTGCGAAGTACGAACGGCGCAAGGTTGTCTTCAGGCTTAACGCCCAGGTCATACCACCGAGGCCTTTTACTTATATTGCAGTGACTTCAGTTTGGGGTGCCTTCACTGTTCGTGACTGGGCTCGTCATGACAGCTGGGTTATAAGGGTGGTGAGCGCTGAAGCCGGCCCAGTCTCGAAATAGTAATGGCACACACACATCAGCGCATAGGAACAAGGCATTGGAATGTCAGCAGTATCTATCTAACAGCAACCCAGTAAGTGTCTTGCAGGAGCCGCTAGCGAAAAAGACTGCGTTGATCGGTCTCGGCACATATAAATGGTCAGGACGTCTTAGAAGAGGAAAGTCTTGATGATAAGGAATGTGCCTTGGAGATTAAAAAGAAACTCAAGCTGTAGTGGGAAAGATTTTCGAATTCAGTTTTGTAGGCGTTGAAGTGGGGTGTGGCTGGGATTTGGGGCTAGGAGGACTTGCCTCAGCCAGCCACAAGCGGATCCGTTGTATTTGATTTGATTTGATTTCATGCGCAGTTGTTTGAGATGACAAGTGTAACTTCCGAGCCACGAGTAACAATTTGCAACGTTGGTTTCGATCTCAAGCATTGCGATGCATTGTCGTTTATGTCACTCAACTACTAGAATCGATTCAAACCAAACGAATGTTACCCCTATGATTGTACAACTTCATGTTACTTGACCATGACCGATATACCACAACTCGTCAAGTCCTTAGCTGGAAGTAACCTAAGACTCGTCCGGGACGACCCAATAGCATCGAACCTCCGAATCAATAGTAAACAGCCGAGCCATTCTGCGCAACATATCCGATGAGAATGAAGTTCTCCGTGATGGCTCTTCCACTGCCGAAGATCTGCGCCTGCTCTGGTGTGCACGTCTCCTGGATATCCCAGAAATAACACTCTGGCTTGTGGGGATCCGGCAGATCGTTCTTAATGCCGGAGATGTCCGCGGGCCCAATCGTTGAATACGTTTCCTCGCAATTAGTCGAAACGGAACCCGTCGCGACGTCCTTCTCCGACATGACGCGGCTGAAGATCTTGTATGCGGTCTCGGGCTGGTAGTAGGGGACTGAGATTCATGGGTCAGTATGATGAGTAAGTTGGGTACAAAGGGATTTAGGGCATATAATAAGTGTGTACTCACCCTCGTGTCCAGCACTGAAGACACGCGAGAATGACAGGTTGCCGTACTGGCGGACCAATCCTCCGATGTACGAGTCGTTTGTCTGGATATTGGCGTATCCAGCACTGCCGAAGTTGGCAGAGATGCTGGACTCAATGGCCAGACTGATCCTTTCACCGCCGAGCCCTTTTTCAAATTAGCCATGTTCTCGAGTCTGCCCTCGAAATTGTTGTTCAACCCACAATTGCATTGGTAATCTCGATCACCATACATGAGCGCGATCTTGACGCCTCGATCGAGGAGTTGCCCCAGGATGGCCAGGTTATCGCCTAGGATGAAGTCGCCTGTATCGGCGAACACTAGGGATTATTGTCAGTCAAAACAATCCGGACAGTCGCGCCAACGAGGTCCAAGACATACTCGTATTGACAACGACGGACTGGCCCGTGAAGTTCAACGGCACGCCCAGCTCCTCCTGGATCTCCTTGGTATTGAGATAGCCAGCCGCGTACTTGGGCGGAAACGGACTAGGAACCATGGAAGTGAGGTCGAAGGGGTTCCGGCCCGTGTCTGAGTATGGCTGCCACATCGCACGAAAACAATATTCGTAAGCGTCGGAGCAAGCATCGTTGGTCTCCGGGTCGGCGCCCGTCTTCAAGGGGTCGTTGCTTGCGGAAAGGGAGCGGCACGCCTTAACCAGATCGCTGCAGGTGGGGAAGCTGTCGACGGCGGCTTGGTAGACGGTCTCGTTGATGATTTGGATGTCATATGTGTTATTATACGCCGTGATGGGGTAGGTGGGCATTTGGGTGAGGATGTCGACGCAGCTGTTGACGAGGCCGAGGGTGTCGAGGTGTAGCGGTACGGCGGCGGGGTTGTGGAGATCGCCAGAGGCGACGAGCGAGTTCTGGCTCTCGAAGAAGTCGGCGAAGGTGGGGCCGTAGTGGCCGCCGTAGGACTCGGCCCAGATACTGAACTTGTTGTCGTTGGGCTTGTACTTGGGGAATCTGTCACTTGTTGTCAGATTTTGGGGATAAGTTGGGATGTGAAGATGAAACGAACTCCTGCATCCACGTCTGCATGAAATGCCAAGCGGCACGAGCGGCAGTCGTTGTGGTGTTCGCCGTAGAGTTCGGACTTTGGGATGGGAATGTTCCACCCAGCCATGTCGAGTTTAGGTCCAGAGAGTCCAGCGGCTCTTCTTGGGGCGTCACGAAGACCGGGCTGTACACCTCATCGATGGTCCCGTTGGTGAGCTTGTCATATGAGAAACCGACTTGCACTGGCTGGTCGATATAGAGCATGTTAACCTCGTTATTCCAAGACCACTCGTTAAGCACCGTGTCCTTGGAGTCAGATGTTATCCGGCATGGTCCGTTCTCTCCCACAGCTGCCGTGATGGACGGCACACCGGGACCGCCTTGAAGCCAGAGAGACAGCGGGGCATTAGAGGGATCATGGCGAGCTTCGAAGAACCAGAAGAAGGTATGGATATCGTAATTACGTCCTTCGGCTGGATCGGCGGGCAGGTTGACATAGCCGCTGTAGGACTTGACGCCTTGGGTCGTTTCACAGATCTTGGTCTGGCCTCTATTAGCTTGCTCAAGATATACTCAGAATCAACGGGTTCTGTTCACCTCCTTGTACGACAGAGACACCTTGGAGTCGAGAGGTGATTCAACTGTGCGACGGTCTCCGGCGGTAGGTATTGCAAGCACAGAAGTTGTTGTGGCAGCAAGAATGGACAGAGCCAGAACGAGTGGATGGCGTAAGAGGAACGCCATGCCGATTATAATTGGGTTATATGATTGAAATATTGGCGTGGGTAACAACGAGGAGTAAACAGTATGTTACACATCGTGGAAGCCTCTCCTATATATATGGTGCTCCCACTTCTGGTCTAAGTCACCCGTCAAAGTGTCAACCCAAAGTCCACTGCAGATTGACCTTGCCAAGGAGGCTATTTCAGTTTCATCACGCAATTCCATGGCGCAGTTTCCTTGCGATTGGTGTATGTTGTCGAAGCTTGGAGAACACACCATGAGATCGGAGGAGGCGCTGTCACATTGCGAGGTTTCTAGCTGTCTCGATCAGGCAGATGGCAGACTAGACGGCGCCACGAACAAGGAGAATAGCATGGAATAGCTCGGTATCACAGTGTAGTGGACTAGGTATGATCTGACTACCAAACTATATTGACCCATCAGGGAGTTGACGAAGCAAGCACCTGCGGCTTGTTGCTAGTCCATCCTCTGCTGGCGTGCGCTCTTCTGATTGGTTGCCTCGGAATCGTCCCGCTAGGGGGCTGACGCTTAGGGCTGAGGCGGGTGCTTTTGGAATGAACTAGTTATACGAAACATGCGACGAAGAAATTCCATGGTGCTGGATCTGGCGTGTAGCATAAGTCCTTTACTTGCAGTACTCGGTCTATTGCTCATTAAGGAAACCATTAAGAGGGGGGTGGTAATGGAACAAGGCATAGCGACCACATCGACACATACGGAGTACGGGACTTTTCTCTTGAAGTTCGATGCTCTCTCCCCGTAGAGGAGTTCATGTAGATTTGCTAATGCTGGATGCGTAGGAACGGGAATATGATATCCAACCGTGATGAGAACCTTCCCCCACCCCCTTTCTCTTTCGTTTTCGAGACCAGTTTTCTGACTACCATTTTCCCGACAGTAATTTTCTCGAGTAACTCCCTGGTTTCACTGTGTCCCTATAGGCTCGTCTCCCCTCGAAATTTCTACTTCTGAGACTGATTCTAATAAATTCCTAGGTTCTTTTTGGAGAGGATTATACATCCACAAATGATGGTCACGGTCAGCAGTCCAAATCGTCCCTCCAACCACGCGAAGACCGTACTGGTGAAATCCGCAGCCACGTCTTCGTCGGTCGGACGTCCGAATGTCATTGATTAGTGACACTTCTAGTAAAGAATATCTGAGGTCAACATTGGATATGCTTGCTTCATGGACAACATACACTCGTTCTAAGACACACAAGCCAGTGACTTGTTCTTCCCCTATCATTCAAATGAGCTATTGTATCTGTCAAACCCCGGTTGCTGCAGCACTCGACAATGGCCCAGCTTCCTTCGTGGACTCAACCCGAGTATGGCAGGGACAACGAAACCGCGAAAGAGAAGGAAGAAGGAAGGAAGAGGCGGGTGACTGTGCACTACGCCATCAACTCAGGGCCCGAAGGCCGCCGCCTATGTGTGAATGACAAAAGAGAAAAAAGGACGTAGCGGAACTTGCAGCGTCAAGCCGGAATCCATATGATATGCACAAAGCGTCCCTCCATCCCAGGGAGAAGACATTGTGACGAGTGTTCGGCCAGAGCCCTATCAAAACATCACGAGCATCGTCGTTTGGGACTATGTATTTGGTGCAAACGTCCCGCATAAGGCCGTCAACTTTGCGAATTGCACCGTGCCTGGTGCCATGTCCAGGACTAATGAATAGCAACCGAAGCAAACCAGATTACAGCCGGAGGACGGCATCCTGACCATGGCCATTTGAGGTCCGAGCCAAACACGAGACATCACAGGCCCCAGTCCGTTAACAGATCTGCTGCTGCATGGTCCTGAAGAGAAACCCTGAAGTTATTTAGCGAAGACTCTGATGTCTCTGGCTAACAGCGGAACAATGACAAGACCAGCCACAGCTCAAGCCGGCTTGCGATGAGCGAATTACGGAACTAAGATACCGAGTCTTGGTTTGAGGCTAACAACTAGGTAGATTGCATCAGGTACGCAGTGCACGAACGTATTGTAGCTTAGCTTATATACATATATAAATATAGCTCCACCACACAAATGATTAGCAAACCCCAACCGTTCACACTAATATGCTTTGAAGTATTAACTTAATGAACCGCAAGGTATTGTCTAATCTCCCTATATCATCGAGCGTTTACCAAAAGCCATCCAAGCCTTCCATTAGCGCTTAAATCGAGGCCTATTCCCAATCTTTCCCCATGCTCCGTAAGATCCGCTATCCCCTAATCTCACATGCCAGTCTCCCATACAACCTTACCTCTTCAAAGTCTTGTGCTTCTCCGCCGCCTTCCTCTCACCCCGTCCCTCAACAAGCAACCCCTTCTTGCGCCTCACGCCATCCATATACCGCTTAGCGACATTTTCGCGATCCGCCAGCTCTCCAAGGTCCTCGAGATCATCCTCTGTAAACGGCTGCCAGAAGGGGTCCTCCTCCAGCACTTCGTAGCCGGTGAAGATGAGCTGCGGCTGAGCTCCGCCAGAGGTGCGCTTGCGCATGTCGTCTGCGAATCCGAAGGATTCGGCTACTGGCAGGGTGGAAGAGATAGTGAAGAAGGGCGTGCCTTCGTTCATGGCCTCCGAAAGCACGTGGCCGCGGCGGCGGGTCAGGACGTCGTATACACGACCCAGGACCTCGGCTGTGATGCATTAGTCATGATACCATTATATACTGAATGATTGGGACAGTGGGAACTTACTGCTTGCTTGGATCTCGCATGAATACATGGCCAACATCAGTCGCGGTGACCAATCAAGGAATGCCGAACGGATGGATTGCTGGACTGACTTGATGACCTCACCAGTCAGTCTGCCCAAACTATCTCGTGCCGTGGTTTCTTCGTCGGTATTCGTGACAATAATTTCCTCAATGCTAACGGCAATCCCCTGCACTGGTTCATGACATAGCGGGCCCTGGTTTGTTGCAAGTTGGAAGGCATATGTGATCTTGTCGCAGAGATGCGCAGCAGAGAGTCTCTCGTCCACCGCTGGGACATAGCTATTACTGTTGGCGGCGAAGATCTTGGCAAAAAAGCCGTCATTGGTCTCGTCAAGGAGTAAGTTTGGACCGGTTCTGCGAGGCCCAAAGGCGGCGATCTTCTCAACGGAGCCCTTCCAAGCTTCACGGGTTTTGCCGGTTTCGAGCACTGCCACGAGTTGTTTCTTCAGATCCTCCTGAGACAGACATCTTCCTTCCAACACGTCATCGTCAAGTTCGACGTTTTCTTGTTCGACTTCGGTTCCATTCGTGGGCCCAGCCCCCCCCTCCGTCTTCCGCTCCGAGTAGATCTTCTTGATAGCACCCGAGTTCTTCAGGAGAAACTCTGTAGCCTTTTCTGGAAGAGGTCGAACCCGCAACTTTATGCTCACTTGCTTTGAGCTTGTCACTCCCACGACGACACCACGCCCCAGCTCCTTGTTGACTGGTGGTCGCATTTCTTCTGCTCGTATGATCGTCTCTCTGTACGGCACTATGGGCTCGCCGGCTTGGATGTCGCATCTCGCAAATCTCTCTTTGAGATCTGTCAAGCATCGTTCCAAGTGAAGTTCACCAGCAGTCAAAAGGACATGCTCGCCACTTCCGAATTGTTCGTATTCAGCGCAAGGGTCGCTCTGAACCAAGAGCTTCAGCCCAGTGATCATCTTGTCAAGGTCGGCTGGGTTGACAGGCTCGAGAGCAACTCGTACGATGGGCTTTCCAGCCATGTTGACACCTGCCAGGTTCACTGAACCTTCCAACTGACTACATAATGTGCCGGATTTCAAGATATGGCCTTCAAGGCCACCGATGCCAAATACTACCCCTGCCGGCACGGAGTCCAAAGACTCAAGATTCCTCCCCATCAGCATGTACAATGCGGTGACGGTAACCTTTTGCGGTTCAGGGGCAGCGTGTGGGTGCGCTGGAGAGAACTTTGGCGACAAGACGTATAGCGAGTCGCCAACAGACAGGGTGCCCGAGAACATTCGTGCGAATCCGATAAGGTGCTCCGGCTCGGCTTGCTTCTCTTCTTCTTTAGGCATGAAGCCGTCCAGGGAAGCACTTTCCAAGGCTGTGGCCAGGTTATCCACGCCATGTGTGTCCGCAGCTTGTGCCCGGGCGAGTTCGGCACGCTTTTTCCTTGCAAGTTCTCGAGCTTCCTCAGGGCTCAATTGACCTGCTCTGCGCTTATTCCCGGGAAGCTCGCTTTCTGGTACGGACACTATCTTGCTCACGTAGGCGACGACAGGGTCAGACTTGGATGTCTTGAATCCTACTATGGCATCTTTCACAACTGGGTCAATATGAGCCGACCCCGGGGAGTCTTTTAGCAGCTCTGGGAGACGTTCTGCCTGCGCTATGCTTGGGGAAGGTAGAGACTCGACGACAGAGACCAGTAAGGCTGTCGAAAGAGGAAGCCACGAAGAGAATACGGTGCTTTGCAGCAGCTTCGGGTCCTTTGATCGGGCGATATGAGGCGGTATCGTGATGTTCAACGACTTCGTAATTTTCTCCAGTAGAGCAGGATCACTGTTCACGTTATTGTAAGTGGATATCAAACCGAAGGAATTTGTAGCCTTGCTTACCACTTGCCTCTGTCGCCTCTGGTTGTTGCTGCATACACTGCCCAAACTTGTTCAAGCACAAGCTGAACAAACATAGGCTTCAAGTTCCGGCCCTTGAGATGTTTCCGGCCGAGGACCTTCTTGGTCTTAGGGTCTAAGTAAAAGTCTCCCCATAGCACCTTCTCCATAACGGTTCTTTTGAGGCCAAGCTTCTTTTCGTATAAACTGGCAAATTGCCTGACGGTAAAAGCCCAGCCATCGATGGCACTGCTGAAAATAACGTTGTTTTTCTCTGGGGCAAAGTAGATTTCCTCGTCATCGCGTTCTTGGAACTCGAGTTCTTCGGATTCGCTAGCCTGACCGGTAAGCTCTGCCTCCTTCGCGGCGGCGGCAGCGGAGACCCTCTCATCCATTCGCTCACGCCAGTTGAGATCCTCCTCCATGCGTTCACCTTGGAAGAAACCTCCAAGGACGGCATTGACTTGCTCGAGTAGTTTGCTCAGATGAAGATATGTCTCGCCAGGCGTCATCTTTAGCTCAGTTACCAGACGATCCATCTTGTTAATGACTAGGAGAGGTTTCAATTTCTCGATCCAGGTCTGACGTAGCACAGTGACTGTCTGACTGCAGACGCCCTCCACAGCATCAACTAGGACGACAGCACCGTCGCATAATCTGGATGCTGTCGATACCTCGCTGCTGAAGTCGATATGTCCGGGCGAATCAATCAGATTGATCAGATACTCCTTGTGTATCGGAGGAGCCTCCGGTACTGACCGGCGGAGCATAGAGAAGTATAGTGATATGGCTGAAGATTCCATGGTGATACCCCTTGTCTGCTCATCAGGCCGTGAGTCGAGGTACCTGACCTTGCCGGCCATCTTTGGGGAAATGATGCCATTTGTGGCGATGAGTGCGTCTGTTAGAGACGTCTTTCCGTGGTCTACGTGAGCCAATATGCAAATCTGTGGTTTTCTCGTTAGCAACACTGGTGGTATATTTTGCAGGGGTTGTTGGTATCCTGTACGTTTCTGACGTCTTCACAAGCGTACTGGAGCGAGCTGAGCTTTTCTGGGGCCACGACAGGCATCTTTTCTTTGACAATTTGGGGATATCCCCAGTCGTTTAGTAGAAGGAAAAGAGTTGGGTACGGAATAGAAACGCACAGCCCAAGGCATACAACCGAAATCTATCATGAAACAGGCAGAAGTATAATTCACGGCTGGTATTTGGAGCAATGCAGTTTGTCTTAAAAAAAAGTTGTAGCAATGCTGCCAAAGTTGGGTAGTAAGATGACCCCACATGCCTAGATGATTCAAAATGATGCACAATCTACTCTGTAAAAGCAGCCTAAAAACCACCGTTACAGAGCTTCTTCAGTCATATGCACTAACGTTCCTTGAGCACACAGTGTGCTTTTGTGTTCTGATTTGCACTGCTTTGCAACCAGTCACTGGTCCAATTGCATTCATTCTCGTCTACTTCATCGTTAGATCTGCTGCATCACCGGCCTCGTGGAGGGGTACTTGAGGTAACTACTCACTATCTGTTATCACCCCGCTCCAGCAAACCCCAGGGCGCCCCTTCCCAGTTGAAGCACAATTTGCAGTGATAAAAACTAATTCAGCCGATAAATAGCCGCTGTGGAGAGAATTAACCCCACGTTCTCACAGTCGGTGGAAGAAGAATTTTGATGCTCCCAGCGCAGCCGGCATCACCACGATAACCGATATCATCACACGCCGCAAGGCCCCCGACTCCAAGATGAGTGCCTACGATGAAGATTACGACGAGAGTTTGGTCCAAGACCTGAAGGAGCAAACAGCTTTTGAAGATGGTATGGGCGAGGATCTGGAGCGCGTCAGCTCCATGACAATGGCCCAGCAAACCGACGACATCCAGTCGAGACTTGCCGCCGCCGCACAGCCGTTGGACTTCTCTGCTCCTCTCGCGGTGAAGTTCGAGAGTTATGACTCTTACTGCAACCTGTTCCACTTCATCTTGAACTCCGACGGCCCGGTGGATCTGGAGCCCCCCTCTGTGCGTAGCCCTCGAGACTGAGTACAATTCCGAAAGCCATATCTAACCTGTGTTCGTAGTACTACTGGGCGTGGGATGTCATCGATGAATTCATCTATCAGTTCAACTCGTTCTCATCGTACCGCATGCGATTGGCGAGACAACCTAGAGACAATGAGGAGGACCGACAGATTCTGCGCGAGAACCCGAACACCTGGGGCTGCTACAGTGTGCTTAATGTGCTCTACTCCCTTATTCAACGATCTCAGATCAGCGAGCAGCTGGGAGCTATGAAGCGCAACGAGGACCCCATGACTGTTGCCGGTGAATACGGCAAGAAGAACCTATACCGTATGTTGGGGTACTTCTCCATCATTGGTCTCCTGCGTGTTCACTGCCTGCTCGGAGACTTCAGCCTGGCGCTGAAGACACTCGACGACATCGAGCTGAACAAGAAGGCCATGTTTGCGCGCGTCATGGCTGCGCACTTCACAACCTACTACTACGTGGGATTCTCCTACATGATGATGCACCGATATGCCGATGCCATCCGCATGTTCAGTCACATCCTCGTTTACGTCTCACGAACGAAGAACTTCCAAAAGAACGCACAGTACGATTCTATCACCAAGAAAAATGATCAGATGTACGCTCTCATCGCCATCTGCGTTGCGTTCCACCCCACGCGTCTGGATGACACCATCCACACAGCCCTGCGGGAGAAGTATGGTGATCAGCTTCTCAAGCTGCAGCGCGGTGGACCTGAGTCGCTTCCCATCTATGAGGAGCTATTCAAGGCTGCCTGCCCCAAGTTCATATCGCCCGTGCCCCCGGATTTCGACAACCCGGAGGCCAATGTCGACCCAATTGACCACCACTTGGCCATTTTCATGGACGAGGTCAAGACCAACATGTGGAGCCCGACCGTCAAGTCGTACCTGCGCCTATACACCACCATGGACCTGAAGAAGTTGGCTGGATTCCTCGAGGTGCAGCCCGAGGAGCTGCGGTCATACCTTTTGGTCAACAAGCAGCGGACCAAGCAACTCCGATGGACCGATCAAAGTCTCCTGGACGGCGAGTGGATCAATGTGAGCGACCTCGACTATGCCATGCAAGGTGTAAGTAACCCCTCTTTTTCCACTTTTTGCTTAAAAGTTCAAGCTTTCTGTGTGACAGACAAGCTTTCCCGTGTGATGGTTGCTAAAGGAAACATGCAGGACTTGATTCACATTTCCGAGGCCAAGGTAGGACGCAAGCTGGTTGACTGGTATCTGCGCAATCTGGCGCGGACGTACAACTGAAATTGAGATGCTCCCCCGATGAGTAATTCTCCCAGCTACAAGCTCTGGTTTTCCGGCAGTTCGAGGGGTGGGTTGCGCAGGTCTCTTTGTCAACTTGCATTGCACAGGCGTCATGGAATAGGATGTGGCAGGGATAGGCAAAAGTGGCGGTAGAGATCCGTCCGAGCCGCAACTGAAAAGGGTAGTGTTTCACTATAGTAATCATTTTGATTTGCAAAGGCTCGAAACGTATCGCAAGCGTACAAGATTTGCCGGACTGCTAGGCCATAGCTCCCTGCATGGAAGCCGAATCCGTCGAATGAGATAACGGTGATTTGCTTGGTCTGGCCAGTTGTTTAATGCTGCAAGCACGTGCAGCGGTGTGCAACCTTGCAGCGTGTGTATCTGCCATCCTATCTTCTTGCGGTGAAGCGACGGGCGGCACTTAGACGAGCTTCCTAGTGGTGAGTGGTGTTACACGAGAACCTCAGCATCCAACGAGTAGAGAATATTGCGTATTTAATTTTCGACAAGTCAGTTTCCAGGTTGTCTCTCTTCAGTCCGAACCGGAGCTTTTTCTGGGCCACGGAGGCCCTTCAATACGGCCAGATAAGTGTTCTAGCTATGTAGAAACAAATGAGTAACATGATGCAAGAGACCAGTGGCGGGATATGCTGCATCGGGCATGGCATGGAACCGACTTGTTTTCCTGCCGTGCTTCCCCAGATTAGACTTTGCAATTCGCATGTGCCAATGAACGGTTAGTTAAATAACACATGTGCTCATCGTGTCCCACGTTGCTCGAGGCTGACGTTGAGCTCAATTGTGATGGAGCAGTAAGTTGCGATGGCTCCCGTCATGGATACCCCTCGATGCATAGTCGAACTGAGTTCCGAGCTATGCGAGACTAGAGCTGGCGCGAGCCGAACAGATGGATATCATTGTTCTAATTCAAGTCTTGGCGAACTTTTCAGTTGAATCATGCAAGGTTTTTGAGACATCGGATCTAGTTGCCGTGTCATTTTGGGCAAAATTGAAATTTGTGATGGGAACGGCAATTCAGACACGTTTTACCGTTGGACATGGGACGGTGAAGCGCACCCCAAAATGCTTGGCTCCGACAACGTCATTTCAATTCTGAGATAAAGTAGACGGCCGAGTTACCGTAGACATATGAGCTGATGTGTGCCAAATATGTCGTATTCAGGTGGTTATTGAACAGCTGGACGGGTCGCTCCGTGTTGCCATCCCCGCCGTCGTCCAGTTACTTCACTTATATTGCACTCATACGTTAACCAGACCACGTCGACACCAATAACGAGGAGAGGGGATCGGGCTTGTAACTCAACGGGTGCCGAATGAGGCCAGATTCAGTGCAATGACTTGGCAATACGTGCCAACTTGGTCCTTGGGAAATACGTACGCGTGCCAAGGTCGCCAAGGGATCTGTCGACGTATCACTCCCGAATAACTTCCCCGGCCTTTGCGTCTCTGGGTGGCGGCGGCCTCCTCAGCATTCAGACCGTTGGCAATCGGAGGTGAGCAATGGTTTGTGAAGTCAACCCCCGGCTGTCTGGGCAGCGTCCAGTGGTGGGATACACAATGCGCAACGGGCGCGAAAAATGACTTGACATGATTATGCGAAATTGAGTTAGGGAAAGCTCATAGTAGCATCGACAAGCTAAAGTTCAGCGGCATGGCGGCCTGATATCAGATCTGATGGAGCCAAGTAGCAATCCAGACCAACTTGACTCGTTTGTATGGTTTTCTGAGGTCAGTCTCATGGGCTGTTATGTAAAACGAGCGGAAAATCACCGTCATCTACCGCCCGGGGGCCCTAGGGTAGCTTCTTGGCCCTCTTTTTACTTTCTCCCCTTGGCTCGACCAATATTGTCTGCTTTGCCCACATCTTCCTCAAGATGTAAGATCTACAACCCTCCACCATATTTTCGCCTCTGCTTTGAAGGCGCGCTGCGAAGTTCACCTTCTCAAATAGCAAACTACCTCTATATCTGCATCGCTGCCCACGCACCCATTTGCACCCACCATTATCAAGCTTGGGAGAACACTGTCACTCAGGCCGTCACAAGCTTGTTGCGCGCCTTCCCGTTTTCTACCGTGACTCAACAGCAGTTTCGTCCTTTGGATATCTTAGCAGTGCTACCAGTTTTTCGTCTGTCAGGCAGCCATACATTGTCACTGCTTTCCCCCATTGTTGCTGCCATTGCAAACGGGCGAGCCTTCCTTGTTGCTTATCAACCCGGCGCAAACGTGTTCAGCCTGTCAACTCTGACTGGTCCTTGAGCTTGAGCTTGCAGGTTACGTTGAGCAGATAACGGCCCATCGTCCCATTCAATCAGTTTATGAGCTTTACGCAGCCGCCCACGGTTCTTTGCAGCAGCTAGAAAGCAACAGGTTTTGCAGTCATCTACTACAAATTGTCACGCCCGTTGTCTAACTCTACGTGGCGCAACGACCCAATCCGCCTTCAAACCAAGAAAACCTTGACGGGCCCCATCGCCCCATCAGCCACCCGACCTAACGAAATCGCGAATCTCTTCTGCCTGTTTGGTATATCCTTCAGCCCAAGACCGAGCTTGGCTCAACAATCCCCCAAACCAGATGTTGGACGATACGAAGCTGCCTCCTCCGCCCTCACTCTGAGGCAACGTGAGCCAGGTATAGACAGTATTTGTATCGTTTGTATTCTACGACATTCTCTAAACAACGACCCAACGACCGAACGACCGACCGCTTTACCTACCATGTCTGAAGACAAGCTGAACTCACTGCAGAGCCCCGCGAGTAACGTTTCGCCGAGGTCGCAGCCCATGCCCAAGCAGAAGAATTACTTCGAGAGCAAGAAGGACGGTGGCTCCAATAACGCCGTTGCCGGGGCACCTTTGGAGCGAACTGCAGGTGGAGGGGTGATATACGAAGTTGGCCATGTCGATTTGAAGGGCAAAGGGAAAGATATTGACAACACAAGCGATGCGAGTGCTACGGACCCGGGCGACGCGGCCATGAGCCCCGGTAGCAGGGTGCCGCTGTCTAGGAAGGCATCCGTCTCATCAGTTACATTTCGTAAGCCGCAGGACCCGGCACTACCCCAAGGGGCAAAGAAGCCGCACGGCGGAAGAAGGATCAGAGATGCCTCACCCCCTCATCGCAGGTGAGTAACGAGCTTTCTCTTTGTCTGCAACTTGTGTGTTATTGCGAAGCCAATGACGTCGAAATGGCGGGCCGAGCCCGAGTGGGTGATCCGAATCGGTGCCCTGAGGCTCTGCGTCGAGCTGAACGTGTCGTCGTGCAAGCGATGTTCGTTTCCCGTGTCATCCCGCGGGATGACCCATGATCGGAGACTACTCCGCACTGCAGAGCGGGCCGCTGAGGTTCTCGATTCTAAAGATCGGAAGGCCCCTCTCTTCTCCTCGCAACATGGGCCGCCGGTACGTTACTAGCACGGCTCGAGCTAGAAACCTGTCTCATGAGGGGCTGCTATGCCATATGCTCTGCCCTATTCGGTGCGTCTCCGTCACGCCCTTACACGCCCCTCTCCAAACACGGACACGCAGGGTTCTCCGTGCTCGCCTTCAATTGCCCGGGACAGGCGTTTGTGGGTCGCTCGGAAAGCTTCGTCTCACCGCGGCCAACGATCAGCCAGTTTTTGGCAAGCCATTCCTTCAACAAGAACACCGCAAATTCGAAACGTGCGCTGCTTGGACGGCTGACAGATGTTGGAGTTTCTCCACCATTTTTCGCTGCAAGTCATTACCCTATATACCCCCAGTTGGGCCCCGCTGCCAAAGCCATTTCACCCCGCGCCCCTCCCTTGAGTCAGCCCCGGACATAACCAGGCAGTCCCTTCCAAACCAATGCAGCAGTAGCAGCAGCCTGTGAGTGGGCGAGGCCGGCGCGGAGGGCTAGGCGAACCAACGGTCAGAGATCATCGTCATGGGTCACGGGGCCTTGATCTCATTCGCTCGGCACTCAGACCCCCAATTTCGCGCATCGGTTTACTGCCCGCTATCTTTACGAACCACCATTTTCATTTAATTGTATCACCAGGCCATCTGCTTGTGATTTTGTGCATACTATGGCAACTAAGACGCTGACTCAATCTCCTCGTTCGCACAGATTCGAATCGCATGTCGGATTCGACAACGTGCCTCTGGGCGAATCCACTGAATGGAACCCGATATCCTTTACGCTCAATTACAGACACGCCGGCTTCCAGTTCACGCCTCGGACACGCACCTTTATGGTTGGTGTTGACGACAATGCGTATTCGGATCACGCCCTACAATGGTTATTGGATGAACTAGTCGACGATGGCGATGTCATCGTCTGTGTACGGGTGATTGAGACGCAGACACGGTTGACCAACAAGGCATATCAGGACGATGCCAAGGCTCTGATGGAATCCATTCAGTCCAAAAACTTGAAGAACCACGCCATCGGTCTCACCCTCGAATACGCCGTCGGCAAACTGCACAACACCTTCCAGCATCTGGTGAGTCCCCTGCCCGCACCCCTTCGTCCTCTTGGCCCATCTTGTGCTAATCCTGATGTCGCGCAGATCAAGATACATCAGCCGTCCATGCTCATCGTGGGAACCAAGGGACGGAGTCTTGACGGTGTCCAGGGATTCATCGTCAATCGCAATTCGTTCTCGAAATACTGTCTGCAGTATTCCCCTGTTCCTGTCGTCGTCGTGCGTCCTACTGAGAAGCGCGAGAAGAAGAAAGCTAAGAGGAAACAAGACCCTGCGCGACACAGCTATGTTACCATGCTGGCAGGGCAGAAACACGAGGCAGATAGCGACAACAGTAGTATGTATGAGATGGAGCCCAAGCTCACTCAAGAAGAGGAAGCGCACCAAGTTGCCGCAGCGATGGGGCTCCCCGCCGCTTACGATCCCACCATCAAGCCGATTGACCCGCAAGCACTGCTCGGACGTGGCGGTAATCGCCGGTCCCTCTTCGACGTGCCCTCGACAGCGGAAGCTGTGGCGCTGGCGGCAAGTGGTCGTGTGCCTGCCAACCGCATTTACAAGAAGGGCGTTGAGAGTGACGGCGAGGAATCCGAGTACGAGGAGGAATTCGAGATCACGCCCGCGGAGCAGGAACTTAAGAAGGAGCGACTTCACAAGATGGAGTCGAACGAGGGTGCCGCACTCCGCAAGGAAATGAGGAAGAGGAGGACAGACTCCATCGATGAGGAAGACGAGGACGAGGATGACATCAATGGTGGGGGAGCCAAGACGGGGAACGGCTAGGCTTGAACGAATGGGGAAGTGCACGAGCTGTTACAAACACACACTCGCTTTGCTTGTTCGCGGTATGGATGAAGCACGAAGATCGACGGTTTTCACTATGAACCGCACCTAGCACTTGTGAGCCATTCGCTGGGGTTGCGAAATTGTCGCGCGACCGGATATGGATATGCCGGGTTTGAAGGGGCATACCACGCCGAAAGCGATTGGTAGCGTAATGTTATTTTAAGGCCTGACTTGGGGGCATTCTGGAGCGGCTCAGCCGATCAAACAATCTGCTTATGCAGAGTGAGTCTACTCTGGATGTTATACATGTATCTGCACAGAGCACTGAAATGAAAAGAATATTCCTCCACTTGGATGCGTCCACTCTGAAAGACATGAGGTAACGGGGTTACTTGTGTGGTTCTGCTGTGGTTCTTTAGTGTAAATGCAAACCTAGCCGCTATTGGTAGGGTATGTATTACTTCGGATTTAACTACTTATCCTACCCTTATAGGGCATTTAGCACTTGCACACGTCGATATGGCCTTTCTCAACGTATGGCAGTTTCGGTTAGGAAGGGGGGCTGGTGTGGTGCCCAGGCGGAGCTAATTCTATATGCATTTCACTGATAAACCAAATATGTCAATTCTTTGGTGAGGAACAGTCGATAACAAGAAACGGTCTGGAAGATCTCATCATTAAGGCATCAACGGAATTTCTCCAATGGTATATATTGCAAATGAATGATTCATTTGTTTACGCGAGGCACATATCGAGCCTCCTACATTCATTGCATAAACCAGACTACAACCTTGAAATTCGAAGTCGCCAACCTTTCGGGCCAGCAGTCCTCCTTCGTCTTTACACCCAGATTTTCAACGGGCGTTCGCTACGGTTTCGTTAGGAACTCGCTCTATTTATCGAAGCATGATATGATCCTAATTTCTTCCCCTGATGACGAGTTGCCGCGTAGGGAGTTGTACGTAGCGAGCCAAGCCGATATGGGAGCAATTACAGCTGTTGACGTGACTAAAATGGCAGTTGACATTGGATATCCAAGTAGAGGAGGGATGAGATATACAAACTCTTGTTACGAGACGCTATCTTCCCAGCTGTGATTAATTTAGAATGGAACCAAGTCATGTAAGTAGATCAATGCTACAGCTATGAGATGATTGGTTTTCAAACTACTTGAGGTACATTACGTACATTGCATTATTGAATCGTTGAAGAAAACTCTCCCTATACACAGAAGTAGAGAGTAGCGTTACAAACCCAGGCATAGAAGGCTTCATCCCGCCCGAAATGGAAGCTTGAGAAAGGACGGATGGACTAGATAAAAATGTGACCATTTTTGGACAGATAATAACATACGTGTCGTTGCCCTATCCGAAAATCCCACTATAACTCGACCAGGTGGTCTTTGATGGTAACTTAGTCGACTTGTTTTACCAGGAAATTGATTGCCGAATGCTACCTGTTATCTCGTTTCGATACGACCCGTAAGTAGACTTGCCTTTACGATGGGTTTCATGAGGGCTAATTTTGCTGAGAAATGATCTGGGCATCAGAAATTGTTTGTGGACAATGTAATCTGCATAATCAAAAGGTAGGTCAAGCTTCGTTAATGATGATTGTGCAAGAACAGCCAATAAGTACACCCGGACTTAGTCCTGGGCCCAGTCACTCGCCCATCTCAATTCACTCACCCCGGGTCATCAGTCCACGGTGCTCTTCCCCGTTGTGGGAACATCTGCCCCATACCTTTCCTGGCTACCCCATCGAAACACATCCCTCAACCCATCCACGAGCCAGAGAAGTAACCATGTAACGAAATAATACGTCTCCGGCATCTCGTGGCCTATCTTATTCTTGAATATGGCCTTCGCCTCAGAAAAGCTACGCTTCTCTCGAGCCAACGAGATACATCCCGCGTATTCTATCGGGGGGAGGAAACACTGAGCGACAAAAGGTCCAACATCCTTTACGGAGACTAGCAGCATCGGCTTGTCCTTCAGGAGCATTATTTACACCGTATTCATCAGTCGATTTCAAAAACCAACACTATAGTTTTCCATAAGCTCGACTGTTCGGAAGATCCAAATGGCCATTCTCTCCCTGGCTTTTCAAATCAGGCGACGCTCAACATCACGTTTGAAGTCGAAGCGGAAATATGTGCGAATAGTTTCACCCTGTATTCTGTCAGATAGGGCACCTGGTTCCTAGGTTCAGAAATAATATGGCACTAGAGAAGACTATTGTCACTTAAAGTTCAGACGGCGAAAGGAACCCCTCTTCCCAAAAGTAACACCAAAGTTACTGTCCACTTAGGGGTCAGACACCTGAACAATGTACCTCCGACATGTTCTAAAGAATCTATAAAAGGCAGAGCAACGGGAGTTTGCGAGAACAGAGAACACAGAGAACAACAGAGCTCATTCATATACAATCTTACGCACTTCTGACTACTCGATTGGACACACGTGATATTCGACATATTCTAGGGCGGCATTCGCCAATTTCTTTCCCATAAAATTCCCGAACTTCCCGTAACAGTTTTCTATTAATGAGTACTACAAAGTGGTTAGAAAATGTTCCCTTGATCCCTATGTGGCAAAACTTGCTGGCTCTTACCACAGCCGGTAACAAAGAGAGCGAATTAGAAGAGAAAAGAAAGGAGAAAATGGGAGAAGTGTGGGATTGAGCGCCATATGTGTGCCTGAGGTGGTGCCTGAGGTGGTGCCTAAGGCAGTGAAATCGCTTGTGTAGATAAAAAGGTCGGCACCTGCCTACCTACCTTAGATGTAACTTCTTACAGAGGACCCCGAGCAGTCAATACACACATCACGCTGCGCATAGATCATCGTAAACAATACAGAATCTGTACAGAGTCATCATCTGAGGGTTGAATCCTTCAAGAAGAGCAAAACACGAGGATGGCGTGTTCAGGGGATGGAACTGGCATTATGAAGGATGCCACTGTTTTTGTTATTGGTCCTGTCAATGTCACATTTCTAAATGCTGAACAACTGAGTCTGAAATTTGGGTTAAAGAAACACAGAAAATGTGGGATTATGCTCTGGAAAAAGTATGGATTGTACATGGGATAACGGGGTAAAATACTGGACTTCTCCCCTTAAGAATGAAAGCCTAGTCGGAATTTTCGAAGTTAAGGCGAGCACACGCTGGTAAACACCCAATTTTCTACAAATATTATCTTTCAATCATTGCACTATTATTCAGAATTGAAAAATATAATCAATATGCTAATATCTGAAATTTTGGAGAGGTACGACCATGGACTCAACACCAAGATACTTAGATGCCACGAATAACGTTGCGTAAACTCTCATATATAGATAGACCGCAAATTGACTGTTTAAGCAGACTTAGTTGACAGGCATGGCATACATCACGAAGTATCCTCCCACTCATTCCCCTCCCCCTCTTCCCTCATTATCGGCAAGCACCTCCCAACTTATCCCTGAACAGCCCCAGTCAAGGTTCTATTCGCCTAAGAAAACCAACAGACCTAGACTGCAGACCCAGGACTGACACGAACACCACATGGAAAGATGACGACTATATTCAGATATGATTCATTTGTACCTGACTGCATTATTCCCGGATAAGTCTGCTGTGCTGCTCTCCCTCCTCCCTCCCGAAGCGGAAGGAAAGGAAACACTAGACGTCATTTCATCTTCCAGGTTGCTCTTTTAGCTCCTACAGAGAGGCCTGCAGTCCATCTAATTGAGGCACAGAGTAAGGTTTCCCATAAGGTTGCAACTTCTCATCGTCAATATCGACCCAGCCAAACGTGGACCCATCTGTGTCTTCAGCCTTCTCCTGCATCCACTTCTGCATTGCCTCCTGGAACACATTCAGGTACTTCTCTTGGGTGAAGTCCAGAGGTGCTTTGTCTTTCCCCACAATTCGAACCCTGATGGGAGAGAAGAATTAGCTTCATCCATATTGTTGCTACGATCAGAGAAGAATGTACAATTAGCAAGGAAGTTGGAAGGAGTAACTTACTGTGTTCCCGCGGCGACATCAGTCAGGAGGTAGTCTTGCTCGTCAAGCAGACAATCAAGGGCACCTTGGACCTGCCCCGAGAGGATCTTGTGGGGCAGATCGAACTCGTTGCATATCGGCCTGGCCAAGCCGATGCCGTGGACCGTATCCAGGGCCTTGACCATACCGCTGACGGTGCGAAGCCCGCCCGTCACGTACGCCTTGGTCCGCTTCAATTCGGGGACAATCATGTCGGCGAATTCGAGACTAAATTGCAGGACATAACAGTCAGGCATAGGGGGTCGCGTGGCGAGATGTGCAGCGAAAAGAATAGGGGTGGGGCCGGATTGGAACTTACAAATAAGCCTCTCGCTTTCTCGAAGACTCCCGCTTGTGCGAAAAAGCGATAGCTTCATACGTGCCACCGGACAATTCGACAAAGTCTAGCCCATGTCTTTCCAGCTCGACGCAAATCCATTTGCAGTCCTCTGGAGCGATACCACCAGACTGGAACTCTACGCTGTTGATCTTGATACCCAAGATGAAGGACTTCTTCGGAACACGGGCACGGATCGCATCAGCGATTTCGAAGATGATACGAGCCCGGTTTGATAGCGGGCCGCCATACTCATCGGTCCGTTTGTTTGTGGTCAAGGCTAGGAATTGCGCCAGAAGATAGCCGCTAGACAGACCGAAAAAAGTCAGCTTATATCCGCAGGCACTTGCAAATGACCTTCGAACCGGGAATAAAAAATGAGCAACGTACTGTGCCGCATGGATTTCAACGCCGTCAAAGCCGGCTTTGTAACAATACTCGGCAGCGTGAGCGAAGCCATCCACCACCTTCTCGATATCCTGCTTATTCATGGCTCTGGGCTTGCCGAACGTCATACCCATGACAGTGCCCTCTATCTGGACATCACTAGCGCTTAGGGGATATGGCTGGATCTCGGACGGAACCTTGAGCCCCATGGTCAGATCCCAGGTCCACTTAAGCAGCACGTGAAAATGGTGATGTTATGCGTTATGCTTACTTGACGGCCCGGATGGGATAGTTGGGCCACGATGAGGGCACCATTCTTCTTGCCTGCCTCGGCAACCTCCTGAAACGCTTCGAAGCGCTCGCCTGAGAAGGGCGCCTCCCGGGGAATGATGGGGTTGCCGGCGGCCTCGAGGTGGTCGTACTCGATCATGACGTTTCCCGTGGCCATGAGGCCGAAGCCGCCTTCGCCCCAGCGGCGATAGACATGAACGAGCTCTTTGGTGGGGATACCACGCTTGGGCAAGTCGGTCGGGTGCCATGTGGAGAGTCGCTCCGTGATGGGAGACTTGTGCAGTCGGTTCCTGGCTGTTCTGCCACTGAATTCGAAGTGCAGAGGCTGGGCCAGCGGAGCTGGATCAGTCAGCTCGCCTTGAAATCGCTTGCGCTCCATGACTTGGGCGGATGAAAAGTGGTGCTACGAATTTGTGTTTGTCCAAATTCTTTCGACCTTGCCCTGAGCTTCACCATGTATGTGAATCGACATGTTTTCCTGATTTTTTATGTTTCCCTTCCTTGTGTATCAAGCATGCTGCACGCTCCATGAACCGACTTTCACCCTGTCGCTGTGGCCGCTGGGACACCGGCTTCGTACTGTTTCAAGGAAGTCCGTGAGAATACCCATGACGGCCGGTCCTGTGCCGCTAAGTGGATCTGTTCAGTCGTGCCGGACCCGAGCGGCCGATTGAGCGCCGGTCAATCTGCGGGTCGACACTACCTCTATAACCACGCCCCTCCGTGCAGACCGGCAAAAGGCGGACCGAGCCGCGTACGCCCCTGCTTCGGTGGCTTACTAGGGTCCAGCCTGACTATACCGTCTTGGGCCAATGGTCCCCTGGATCTTTAGTGTCAGATTCGTGCAACCTTCAATGTCGTAGCTTCTTCCTATTCGTCGCAGTCCGACGTCGACATATCAAAGCATCGCGTCTTTTTCACCACCGAACCAACACTCGTTGTCACACAGACTTGTGAGGCAGGGAATGCTGGGTTTTAACACTTAAGTCCGCGATTTAATGCCGCGGGGAATGAAGAGGACGCCAATAAAACATGCAAGATAAAGCCTGGCGCAGGTAAACAGTATAAGACGATGGATGCTGACGAAGGAAGCGTGGGGACAAACGAGAACCTGTAGTCGTTATTTTTACAAGTATCAAGCGCAACCTTTGCATACTTTGAATCCACAGTACCCCAAACTGTTTTCGCCGACTTGAACTGCATCCCCTAGCCCCCTACCCGAATCGACAGTATGACACCACCCCTACCAGAAACCTACCTGCAGGCTGCGTTCAAATCGCAAGGGGCCAATCTGACCTTGGAGCATGTGCCCTTGAAGCAGCCCACAAAGGGCGAAATACTGGTCAAAGTCGAAGCCTGCGGCGTTTGCCACTCGGAAGTGTTCGCCCAGCAGAACACCTTCGGCGCTGGATTCCCTATGGTTCCAGGCCACGAGATCATTGGTAAAGTGGTAGCCGTTGGTAGCGATGTGGCAGAGTGGAAGGTCGGTGATCGCATTGGCTCTGGCTATCACGGCGGCTTTGATGGCACCTGCGCTCAGTGCAAGAGCGGCTGGACCCAGATGTGCAACAATGCTTCCTACAACGGCATAACCAGGAACGGCGGATGTAAGTCAGACTTTCCGAGGCCGTGTGGATTTTGAGGTCTGGGATGATGCAGGCTAATGCGCAGCTCCGTAGTTGCCGAGTATGTCAATATTCGCGCTGAAGCCGCCGTGCGCGTGCCCGACGAGGCCGATGCCGCAAAACTGGCGCCTTTACTCTGCGCAGGCTCAACCGTGTTCTCTGCGCTGAAATCGGCCAACATCACGACTGGCCAAACTGTGGCTGTCCAGGGTCTCGGTGGCCTAGGCCACCTCGCCATTCAGTTCGCCAGACGTATGGGCTACCGCGTCATTGCCATTTCGCGCGGACCCGAGAAGGAAAAGGCTGCTCGAGAGCTGGGAGCACATGAGTACATTGATGCGACCAAGGGAGACGCAGGCGAGGCTCTCTGGGCCTTGGGTGGGGCTCAGTTGGCTCTGACAACTGCCCTGTCCAACGATGCCTTCACCCCTTTGATCAAGGGACTTGGCATCACGGGGAAGCTGCTGATTATCACGGGTGTGCCGGGCGATATCACGGTTGATGCCACAGCCATGATCATGCGCGGCATTTCGGTGCAAGCCTGGCCTGTGGCGAACGCACTCGACAATGAGAAGACAATCGCCTTCGCTCATTTGCACCAGGTGGACTGTGCCATAGAAACGTTCCCCCTGTCACGGGCCCAGGATGCTTTCGATGCCATGATGAATGGTACAGTACGATTCCGCGCCGTTATCACAATGAACTAGGGTGATTGGATGTTGTTGACTTGGGAAAAGCCACTTGTTGGGTAACACTAGGGTGGGGGGCTTTGAAATATCATATAGCTTCCATACTCTAAACACAAATAGACCAAGTAACCAGATTGTCCCCAGTAATCAAAATTGCTGCCTGCTTGGCTGGATTCATCTTGACTGGGCGGCTTATCTTTGTCTTAATATTTCTATTCATAGAGCAGCGTTCGATGAGACAGTCCAGAGATTAGAAACAATATTCTGCACGTGGTGTCTTCAGCCCATCGAGCTCGTTATCTATTCGCCCTGTTCTGACCACACCATCATCTGTACAGCCATGTGGCACGGAGCCTACCAGAACACGCCAGGCAACCTTGTTTTATGCAAGATACTGCGGAATACATTCAGCTGAGATGAGCCCTGGAATTCGAAATCCTGAACATCACACCACCCCATCTAAACATGGCGCTCTCGCCCCCCTCCCCAGCAATAAAGTCAGCGCCTCATCCCGTAGGATCAAACCATTTGTGAGAACTATTGCAATGCGGACCGAATGTGACCGAAGAGCTGAATGTCTTGGGGGAAGGAAGAGGTCTAGACAGATATTTCCCTTGCTGTTCGAAGCGTATAATTTGGTCGTGTGCCTGATCTGCACGACAATTCAGAACCCGCGTTCATTGCAAGTCTATGTGTGCTGCAGTCATACTTGCCTATATTGTATCTGCTTTAGCTACAGACAGTATGCCAATGGGAAGCAGATTCAAGCTCGGGTGCGTCACAGCTGTCTTGGCTGCAGCTGTCGTGCAAGGCACACCAGTCAAGAGAACCATCGGCTCATCGTTCGGTATCCCTGGTGCGAATGCAACGTACGACTACGTGGTCGTGGGTGGTGGAACTGCAGGTCTCACTATAGCGAGTCGGCTGGTCGAGCAGAAGGCTGGTAGTGTTGCTGTTATTGAAGCCGGGACTTTCTATGAGATGAGCAATGGAAACCTCAGCGAAGTGCCCGGTTTCGCAGCTTCTTACGTGGGGAAAAGTTCGACCGACTGGCAGCCTCTGGTAGATTGGGGTTATATGACGACACCTCAAGCTGTAAGTTATGAAACGCTCACATTGGTTGCGTCTCGCTAAAGCTGTACTAAAGGGAGCCAATAACATCACAATGCACTATCCTCGAGGTAAAATTCTGGGCGGTTCTTCGGGGCGAAATTACATGATCTACCATCGCGGTACTGTCGGTAGCTACCAAATGTGGGCTGATGCCGTGGGCGACGACAGCTACACCTTTGACAGTTTTCTTCCATATTTAGAGAAGAGTGTCAATTTTACTCCACCGAACAACAACCTTCGACTCGCCAACGCCACTCCAGAGTACGATGTGTCTACCCTTGGACAAAAGGGACCGCTTTCTCTTACGTTTCCAAACTTTGCCTTTACATTCGCAACTTGGGCCACCAAGGCCCTCGAGCAGATTGGCATTCCCGTCCGTTCAGGCTTCCAAAGCGGCGCTCTTTTGGGCCAGTCATACACGATGTTTACCATTAACGCCGAAACCATGATCAGAGACTCGTCGGAGACGGCATTTCTTCGCAGCAGTCTGGATGACCCGAATTACACGATTTATCACCTCTCACTGGCAAAGAAAATTATCTTTGACGGGGACAACACTGCTACCGGAGTTCTTGTCGACACGCAGGGTGCACAGTACTCACTGTCAGCCCGAAAAGAAGTCATTTTGTCAGCAGGGGTCATCGGGTCTCCGCAGCTACTCCAGGCCTCTGGTGTAGGACCTGCAGATGTGCTCAACCGATTCTCCATTCCCATCGTGGCCGATCGACCGGGAGTTGGTCAGAACATGCAAGACCACATCGTCTACGGAATAACACGACGTGTCAACACACAGACTGCGTCTTCATTCCAGGACTCCGCCGTCCTAGCTGAGCAGACGGATCTTTTTCTCAATGAAGCGGCCGGCATGCTGACAAATCCCCTTACCGATGTTCTGGCATGGGAGAAGATTCCTCCAAACTTGCGCCGAGAAATGAGCAACCGCACACAAGGCATTCTTGCCAGCGAGTGGCCGGCCGACTGGCCCGAGGTCGAGTACGTCGCACTCTCATCGTACCTCGGGGACGGTAATTCCCCATCCACGGCCGACCCGCACGACGGGACCAACTACGCCACCTTGACCATAGTGCCTGTGGCGCCGCGCTCTCGGGGCTCCGTCACAATCCTATCAGCAGACGTCACCGACCCGCCCGCCATCGACCCGGCCTTCCTGACCGACCGTGTCGACGTCGAAGTAGCCATCGCAGCCTTCAAGCGCGCACGCGAGTTCTGGTCATCCGACGTCCTGGAAGACGTCGTAGTGCAAGATGCAGAAGAAGCCTATCCGGGCCCGCAGGTGGCTACCGATGCCCAGATTGAGGAGAGCATTAGACGCAGCTTCCAGACCATCTTCCACGGTTCCTGCACCTGCGCCATGGGCAACTCCAGCGACTCCAATGCTGTTGTCGACGCCCAGGCCAGGGTCTATGGTGTGCAGAACCTGAGAGTTGTGGACGCTGCTGCGTTTCCACTGTTGCCACCGGGACATCCTCAGTCCCACGTATGTAAGTGCTTTCCCCGCCGCCCCTTTCGTTCCCCCTCTCCCCACTCCCCCCATCGCTTCTGTTATCTATGAATACGAACTGACAGAAAACCTTGTCCCAGATGCCCTGGCTGAAAAGATTGCTTGCGACATCTCTGGAAACTGTGCCAAGAGTTAGAAGAGATTTTACCATCTTTCGTTCTTCATTTCATGTTCGCTATATACGCATATTCTGATGCAACATCCGTGGCCCCATTTTATAGATTTTCTGGAGGAATTATTGTGTCATACAACCAGAGAAAGATTTCCCACTTGTCTCCTATGTCACTATTCGGAAACGATAAGATGTATTTTTAGTTAGAACTTGATTTGACTCGACTATTTCTGAACCTTTTTGGTCCTCTCCTTTTTTGAATGTGAGGGGAATCGCAACAAGAATAGAGGAGTTTTGTTGCGGTACTAGTAGCAAGTACCTCTTTGATCGCATAGTCCGCTCATAACGGTATTCGCCTAACCAGGTCGAAGGCACAGTCGTCATAAAGGGATCAAACATTCCTGATTAGGTAATTCTTATATAATGATATTGGCTCAACCTGATATAATGCAATTTTGTGTCCTTTAATCACTCCCGGTGACTTGTTCTCTCTCGTCTTCTTCTTTCTCTATTGAAGTATTTGCCTGTATTAATTAAAATTCAGAAAAATCTTCAGCTAGCGGACCGCTTCATCCGATACAAATATTTTATTGCCCGCAGAGTCACTGTTCAACCCGCAACGACGGGTGCTGCTTCTTTGCCCCCAAACGCTCTCTTTTTCTGTGACAGTCAGTCAGCCACATCGGCATAGGAACAGTGATGGGATCTAGGATACTTACGCTTAAGAAACCCGATATGACCAAACAAACTGCACTGCCAAAGAACGCAGGAATGAAGACTTTCCGCAAACTTTCCACAATGGCGGTAATGACAGCCCCACGTAGCTCCTCAGGTACTGCGTTGATGGCCGAATTGGAGGTACCTGTAGTAAATAAACGTCAGATGAACTGTAGGACTGTGATCGGTTTTGAGACGGGACTGCCCACCGCTTATGAGTGCCGTAAGCTCGGTATCAGGAAACGTAGGCAGAATCGACCGTAGACCGTTCATGGCATCGTTAATGAAAACAGCGCCAGCAACGGAAAGACCCATGGTGACGCCGCTGTATTGAGCAACCATCATGAATCTGAAAACATGCAGTCAGCACCCCAAATTCGCCTATGGGCCATATTGGCTACCACGAAAACTTACGGAAGTGCGTTGCCTGCCTCAGAACTTGGGACAGCTTTATATATGGCCGTATATCCCGCCTAAAAGAAAATTTTGTGTCAGCCAGACTGCGTGGACGACAATGGGTAGGCGAGAAAGGCCCACCTGATTGAAGATACCCAATCCCAACCCAACCAGGACCTCGGCTCCGTAAATGTAGCCTTCTGAGGTATCGAAGTCGCCAAGATCTATCATTGCGTCAATGACAGTTTCGCGATCATGTCTAGGTGAATACTCACAAAGAAGGACATTACCAACCAGGCCTAGGGCCGCACCGACTGTGTACCAAGGCCAGTAATAGCCGAGGCGGACCATGAAATAACCTTGTGCAACCAGAGCCACGCTGACCACCACAATGAGCGGAAGGAGGCGCACAGCTGCCTCGATCGCGCTGTCGTTCCTCGTAAATTGGAAATAGACTGGGATGTAGAAGATGGGCACGAATATCGCCGTGTTGGAACAGATAGCGGATAGAGCAAGAAGGTCAGCCTCCCTGATTCGCAAAATCTGAGCCGGGTAGAGGCGTTCCGAACGGGTAGTGAGCCACGAATATCTCTGCTGGACAACAAAGACGATGAAGAGCAAACCCCCGACTACAAACAAGGCGATGATACTCCCGCTACGCCAGGGATAAAGGACGCCGCCGAAATTGATGGCCATGACGAGGCATATAGAGAATGCCACAAATAGTATCGTGCCTAGAAAATCGAATTTCTCCGCCCTTTTCTTCCACAATGCCAAAGGAAGGGGGTCGAAGGGGGGAAGGAGAAATAGACAAACGGGCAAGAAGACGATGCCGATGATGATGTTGATGTAGAAGGCCCACCTCCAACTGACCTTCTCGAAAGCTCCGCCTACGACGGGCCCCAGAACGGTCCCCACGCCCCAGACGAGGCCAGCCAGACTAACGTAGAGGCCTCGTTCACGTTCCTCACACAGGACCGTAATGAGGTACAGTATACCACAGTATATAGCGCTGCCAGAGACACCGAGAAAAACGCGGCCGATAATCATGGCAGTCATGTTAGGGGCGGCTCCGCAGAGGGCAGAGGCGGCCAGGAAGAACACCACGTTGATGATGTACACCCACTTAGCATTAAATTTGGCGTACAATTTTCCCACGGGGAGCAGGGCTACGTATGCGCCGACCTGGAAGCCTACGGACAACCATGGGAGTAGCGAGACGGAGCCGAAGTCGATGGCGATGGCGGGCACAAGATCGGCGGTGATGGTGTTATCGAGCGCGTAGATGAACATGCTTGAAAAGATGGAGCCGATGACCAGGAACCACTGTCATTCTCCATCATCAGCATCAGACACCTCAAGGAGAAAATGTGGACATGTGCGGATTGGGAAATAGTTACAGCGAAACCACGGATTTGGCGCCGGGGAGTCTGGACCACGACTTCTTCTGGTCCATCCGACTTTTCTTCGTTTGAAGCAGAGTGTGGAGACATTTTTATTTCCCGAGGGATCTCAGTATCCATTGCAGGTGCAATTTTCACGCCGTTGGAACAATGAAATTCCTCTGCAAACCACGACAATAAGTTGAGTGTGCTTCAACATTAGCCTTGGGTGAAGGTAAACTGCACAAGTTTTCCCAAATGTTTATAACCATGATACGACAGAGGGCCAGCCACTGACTATATTGCCCAGTAATACCTTAGGCAGATGCATCAGGGCACGGGGATGGAGGTAGAAAGCAATATCTCCTTAAGTCCGGTTGTTTCATAGCATATTGTGTGGAACAATACAGGGGGGGTGGATCGGTAACGCAGAGATCCAGCCACATCTATCTCACTTTTCAAGGATGCAAGACAGCTCCCTGTACGAAAATATGCATGTCAGACAGTCTACCATGCAGCCCCCAACCAGACAGCCGAAAAGTGACACCCCGGCCGTGTCCGTAGGAAATAGTCTTGGACTCTTCGAAAGAATGATCGCATCCAGTTGATCTGAGTCACAATCAAAATGGCGGTCCGCGCACACCGACGCGGCGGTAAGCTGATTTTACCTGTTCCGCATATCGTCAGAAACCCCGCCAGGTCTGGAACTCAGCGTAGCGGCATACTGAGGTGGCCGAGAACAGTGGTTTTGGAGCCCCGTCAGAACCTACGAAAACACCCCTTTACGGCCTAGTTTTGAGTGCGGGTGATGGCGCCGAAATCAATATAGTTTATAGACCGGGTTCTTTGCACTCGATTCCTTAAAAGTAAGTAAATTGTCGTCCTGCCAGCTTATACATGCAAAATTAGGCATGCTATACTGAATCATCAGATGAGATCTTAGGCCAGATATTTCCTTCTCGCTTCCATGGATCGTCCCTTTCGGATTATTGTCGTCGGCGGCGGTGTCGCGGGTCTCGCGGCATCACATTGCCTCCAGAAGGCAGGTATCGACCATGTCGTCCTGGAGAAACATGCTGAAGTGGCGCCAGCTGAGGGCGCCAGCATCACCATCTATCCACACGTAGTGCGCATTCTGCACCAGCTAGGCTGTCTCGAGGCTATCGCCCAGTGCGGCGTACCTCACGACAGGGCGTGGACTCGACGATCAGATGGGAGCATCGCAGGAAACAGTGGCCTCTTCAACTACCTGAAAGAAAAGTACATATCCTACCTACATGATAAAAAAGAGAGAGAGATGAATAACACAAACAAGTCACGGCTACGATGTTCTCCCTCTGGAAAGGCGCGAGTTCCTGCGGGTTCTGTACGAGACCCTGCCGAACAAGAACCTAGTCCGGACGGGCTCGGCTATACAACAAATCAAGCATCTCGACGACAAGGTTGAAGTTACCCTGCGAGATGGCTCGGTTGAGACGGGTGACATGGTGCTTGGCTGTGATGGCGTCCACAGTACAGTGCGGTCCCTGATGTGGCAGTATGCCGAGCAGACCGCACCTGGACTCATCACGGAAGCGGAGAAGAATGGTGAGCAGATCCTAGAGCAACCTGAGGGGAGATGCTAACGAGCAACACAGCCTTCGTGACATACTGGAAATGTCTCATTGGCATTGGACCTCCTCCAGATAAGTCGGTGGGGGGTAAGAACATGAGTGATTTCACCCTCGTCCACGACACGCGGTACTCGTTTCTCGTCCTGGCCCAACCTCACTGCACCTTCTTCTTCGTGCTTTTCTTTCTCAACAAGCCCTTTCCTGCACACCAGCGCGTGCGCTACACGGAGCAGGATGCCGAGGCTTTGGCCGCTACCGTTGCGGATCACCCCCTATCCGAATCTTGGGTCTTTGGCGACCTTTGGAACAACCGTTCCCGCGGCGCGCTAATCTCACTCGAGGAGGGTGTCCTTGAACACTGGCATCATGAGCGCATCGTGCTGGCCGGAGACGCGGTGCACAAGGTGCGACGAATTGCCCCCAAAGTTAAGCAGGAACTGGCTGACAAGTTGCTCAGATGACGCCCAACATTGCTCTCGGCGGCAATACAGCCATTGAAGACGTGGTGGTCTTGTGCAACCACGTGCATCGCATGCTACAGCGGCAAGGGGGCACAAGGCCAGATTTGTCGACACTGAACCATATGTTTGCCGCATACCAAACAGAGCGACTGGATCGCACCAAGTTCATCACCAACATTTCAGGCATGGCGAGCCGCGCACAGGCCCAGACCTCGCCTCTCTACAAGCTTGCGGCGTGGTTGATGCCGCGCTTGCCAGACCGTGGAGCCTCAGACCAGTTGGCTGGCTTGATCAAGGCCGCCCCAAAGGTCGAATTCGTTCCCGTTCAAGACTTTGCTCCCGCACGCGTGCCATGGGAAGATCGGAAGGAAACGGGTCAACAGCAGAAAGGGAGGCAGGATGGCTCCAGCAGCCTTTGGCAAAGCCCATGGCAGCTGTTGACATTGGGAGCGACTCTGGGTGTTGCAACGATTGTTCTCACGACACGATGGGCCCAGGTTCTTCCAGTGCTACCTGGGGCATTGAGCAACGATTCTATTTCATAGTTTAGTCTTCGATTTCCCCCCCTCCCCTCCCCCCAATGAAAAACTGCTTCTACCATGATTTGCAACACGGTGTGAAATACTTGTCCACGACCTCTTCACGTGGAGATGCAAGCAGAAAACATAATTCGAGACGCACCGAAGATAGAGTGTTGTGGGCGTAGCACGGTACTCCAGTGGAGTAGACGGGAATTCCTTAGTTATTTCACCGAGTTCGTCGTTCATTCTGTCCTCCGCTTGGGCGTGGCATTCGCTTGTGGCATTCGCTCGTATGCAATTAAAGCGCTTGCCAGGTTGCAACTCATCGGTACGACTTAAACGAAAGCCATTAGATCTGGAACACATACATACAAATACACACACCAGGTGAATGTTATAGAGGTTTTATGGTATTCGTCCTATGGTTCTCCCTCATTTCAAGATTAAACTGCAAACGCCCTCTTCGAGAATTTGATACCGGGGCGCATTTTACCACTCGTTCGCTTTTCCAAGATATCTCACACATGTATTTTTGATATGATATATGCATGCGCAATATACACCAACAAGGAGCTAATCCTCCTTCCCAATCGCGTATGGATGTTCGTGTCATGCAGTAGCTATTCCTTAGATGGCAAAGTTGTCAGATAGGAGTAGACCGAGCCCTTGGCCATTGTCAACTTTCGTAACTTCTTTTTTTTCTTTTCTTTTTGCGGCAACATGCGGTTTTACGGATCTAAATCCTTCGGACCCCCACGCGTGGCGCTTTGCAGCGATCCAAGATGACTGCATGGCCGGAAAATCCATAGCCGCCCGTGTTTCCATTAATATGATGACATGCAGCACTAAACCCGGTCCGCACTACCGATATTTAAACCAGTACGCATGTGTTCCTGGCGGTGTACAAGTTATGTGAGCACGGAATCCTACGGGCCGACTACCTTGCGAGCCTACGCAGGCACAGGAGTTGGAACTGTCTTTGGTATAGACCAAAAACAGTCATCAATAAGCCTTTCGGGTCTCAAATAATGGATATAGACACCTTACTTTGGTTATGAAATTCTGTAGGACCCTAGCTCTGTCAGTAATTTGTTCAAGATATGTCTGCCACCAACAACGTCGAGACGGCCGCGGCCAAATCAGTGGAGAAGGATTTCGTCCCTGCCCTCCAGAGTTTCCCGACTCTCAAGCCTGCTTTGCGAATTAAGGTACTTCGACATGATTCTGGAGAGATATATTTCACTTGCTGACCCAGTACAGACCTACTTCAACCAGAAGTTCAATTGTGGGGATGTCTACAGCGGTTCCACCCTCGTCGCGGTAGTATGTGAACATGGAAAATCAAGTTACAAAATGATCCCCTTGCTAATATAGATCTCAGCCCTTCTCCGGCGGTGTTCTCGAATCTGTTGGCGACTTCGAACCCAAGCTGAAGCTCGCCGTCAACAGCGGCACCGACTGGTTCCGCATCGATGCCGACAAGACCCGCGGCCGCATCAGCGTCAAGGCCATTGCGATCGACGACGAGGGTCGGTCTATTAGTCTCGGCCTTGAAGGTATCACGGTGATCAACGAGGCGACCATGCCACTGATTCTGGGTGCGCCAGATGCCCAGACTCCGCCGTTCGGCTATGGCAGTAAGTGAGACCAGAGACTACTTCCCCCGTTCGCCCGGTCATGACCCCAAGACTTACACAGATAAACAACTAGTTCAACATCTGAAGATCGAGGCTGGCCATGAGCAGTACAAGCCCCTCGAAGGTATGCTGTTTGCCACCAGCCTGAGATTCACCAAGGAGGAGGGCGACTTGACCGGTGTCGAGATTCGCGCATCCAGGATCCTCCCGGGATCTGGAATGAAGTAAGGTCTTCCATAATAGCAGGATGAACATGACATTAGAGTTTTCTGCTTCGGTCGACAAAGGCATCAAGTTAAAACTCAATTTATTACTGCACTGGTTTGAATATCAATAATGCAATGATAAATATTTCTGAGCAAGACTATTACAGACATGTGATTCTATGGATGTGGTGAGAGCCTACAGACTTGGACGTAATGCCTATACATAGTCGACGCGAATAGATGCTTAGTGTGAGCAGATCCTACAGCATTTTCACTGTAGGGTTCATGATCACCAGACAAAATTTACAGTGGCAACTGTCCGTTGTTTCAATCGAGCTTCAGGAGTAAACCTCAATCGGGGGACAACATGGGTCTTGACCTCCAATATTTGGCTCAACTGCCAGTTTGATCACAGCGCTGAATCTACTCATTATAGGTGCCAGAAACAGAAGCGTGATGATGTTGCCAAAGCTTTTATATACTTTTGTCTGAGCTACGTCAATATAGATATAGGTCGGGGTTTCGAGCCCAATGCCCTATCTTTCCCAATATTCTTGCTTCTGACGCTGAACCGTCACCCACCACATACACCACGTCGCCAACATTCCACTCCAAGTGCCTTACTTTGTGAGATTTCCCCTGCTATTTGAGTTTCTTAGACAGGAGCCGGACCCGTAACCTCAGCCATTTTCTTCTCCACTTCATCTTGTCTGAGTTTGTTACCCATACGACCCCACATGCCATTAATAACGACAGGATCGCGCTCAATGTAAGGACCTCGGAAGTTCTTGCCTCCAGCCATGGACCACTTAAGGTCCGCTACGAAGAAACGAATGTCAGCCGTTGTCTTGTAAAGCAGGAAGGAATTATATCAAACAGGCAGGGCTGATAATCACGTACCGAAGCCTTGGGGTTTCATGTTGGTATAGATTGCCTCCCAGTGGCCAGGTGGACAATAGAGAACCTCGTGCTTTGAGAAGTTTCGAATGTCAGTTTATCCCTCGTCAAGTGAGTGCGTACTTTACGTGAACTATCGCAAAGAATCGAAGATAAAATAGGGCTATGCAGATGCCACTCACCAAAACACCAAGGTCGTGAGGTCTGTCGCCCATGACAGAAGAGACGAGGAACTTAAATCCCTTGATATGGATAGGACGTCGAGAAAAGGCTTCGAGGTGATCGATGGTTTTCCAGTAGCTCATGGAGTGAAGCGTGTTGTTCTCGGAGAAGTTGGTGGAAATCAAGTGGGGGGTCCGCCCAAGATCTGGAGATTCACATGTGTAAGTGATTGATGTAGGCAAGTGGGGGCAACCACTTTACAAATACTCACAACCGTTGGTCGCCCGGTTGGCTTCAGCGTCGGCATACATCTCATCCAAGTAGTCATTGATCTTCTGGTAGCCTGGGTGGAGACGGCCAAGGGGGCTATTCGTCAATTCATGTTAGACGCTTTCAAGGCTGGGAAACCAGGACAGCTAGAGACAAGAATAAAACAACTGCTGGTTATATGTGACATTTTTATCTAACATATGCTAAAATAACCTACTGGTTTGACCGAATGCCGAGCATGAACACAGCTACGGGCTTGGTGCCCATCTTCTCAGGCCGTGAGCCATCGTCTTCAGGGAAGGTGACCGAGATCCTGTCCAGAGTGGCTCCCTTGAGATAGCTGTATCGTAAGATACCCAGTGCCTGTGCCGCGAAGTTGAGGATTAGAACACTAGAAGCCACGGCAACGGGGACGAGGGCATATCCCGGCGGGGCGATCCAACCCGCAAACGTCTGTGCCGCGGCACCAATGAGAAGCCAGGCCGGAAGACTAAGCTCGTCCTTGAGCAAACTGAAATTGTATGCACCCATGACGGGTGACGGGGGCAAATCTCAGAAATGCGCTGCTCGGCACAAGAATAAGCGAGACGAGAGTGGGAAAAAGAACGGATAAGCAGCTGTTTAAAGAAGATCAGGCAGGGACGCCAAGTTATGTAGGGAGCTATTAAACAAGTTGGGATGGTAAGATAGAATGGAGCAATATAAGTAAGCCAAAGGTTGTTTTCAAGTTTCAGCTAGCACGGCGTCTATAGTGTCCTAGAGTAGCATATGTACCTGTATATGGCCTTGACCTGTAAGATACCCTCAGGCTGATCTCGAGTGATACAGAGCATGAAGGCGGGCTTGCAGGGACATCCGCGCCGTTGCCGACAAAACCAGCCATGGCCACGATAGGACGAGAATGGGCCGATGGCGTCGACTAGGCGGTCCTTTCCGCGGCCGAGTTGCGGGAAAGAAAGCCGAATATGAAGTAAGATGTCAGCAAATATAGCTAAATCTCGGTTGGGGGCCGTGAGGAGTATTTTGGACTCTGAAGGGAGTGGATGTATCCTAGATTTACCCCACCAGCTTCCCCCGGAGAAGAAAAGAACGTTTTTTCTATATTGCTTACCGTGACCCTTACCTATCGGCACATCGGTTGGTTGGGACGTCTATCTCACAGATAGCGCATTTGTCTTCTGTAGACCTGTCGGCTGTTTGGCAGATGCTTACATAGTGACCAATCACAACCCTGACCACGCATTTGGCAGCCAATCTTAGAAGGAGCTTCTCAAGTTTTACAGCACTTTCTTTACATATAGAACCCAGCTTGCTGCAATACAACGCTGCGTAAGCATAATGATTACTGATTGCTGCCGATACTGTGTTTCAGGGTTGAGACCCTAAGGGTTACACACGACCCACATGCGAAGATAAAGCAGGAAGTTCTGGACCATGTTCCCTCGTACAGTGGCCCATCCCCGTGCAAGAGCAAGATCGTGTCCACCAATTCTACTGGTTGTGTGGTTATGGCGTAAGCAGTAGACAGTTTCGGCGGAATCCTTCATTGAGGGGGAACGGGAGGGTAATCATGGATCATGTTATGGTAGCCAGCCAGGCAGCGCTCATAGATCCATCGTCACTCGACTACAAAGGGCACAGCACATCAGCATCAGCGTGAGCATGTAAGTGTTGGAAGGTATCAGCGAAATTTCATAGCATACCTTTGCGGAATATCGGACACATTCCATCTACGTGCAGCTGGCCATCTACCAAGTACCATGTCTCAATGGCACACAATCAACAGCGGCTCCAATATGTTTCCCGCGGAGAATCAGACGCCAAATATCAAGTCGGCCTCGAGCTCGACCTCGAACTCAAACTCAGCCGCTCAGGCCGGGCCCGACCCGGCCCATGGTGATGTTCCTGCCGAGACGTCGACGAGTGCCAAACGACTGGCAAGTAACCACTCGCAGCGAGCACGTTATCGAACGTGAAACTAAGTGTATAGCAAGGCCTGTAATCAATGCCGTGAAAGAAAAGTCCGCTGTGACAGACAGCAACCGCAATGTAGCCGTTGTGCCAAAGTCGGCAGCAGCTGCCACTACTCGAGTCCTTCCAAGCAGACCATTTCCAAGTCGGACCTCTCTCGGCTGTTGTTCACCATGCATAGCCGTCTCGGTAAGCTTAGCTTTTAGGTTGCCCGAGTATTTTTCAGACATTGCCTTTAGTGTCTAAATGCAAGGCTTTTCAATCTAGGCAAAGCTCAAGGTGTAGTAGGCTGACCTTGAAGGATACAGAACACGCCGAGGCCAAGCTTGCCTTGGCACCCCCTCCACTCAGCAGCCCTCAATACACCCTTCCGTGGAACGATATGAGCTACATGGCGGCGGCAGCACAAGGGCAAGCGTCCGTGGTGTCAGCTTCCGAGTTGAATTCATCGAATCTTGCTCAGATCGGGCCGAGCAGCGCGGCTGCACCGGCGGCCAACGAATGGTGGGTAGGATGGTCCGACATTTTGACACATGAGCTTCTGTCTGACCCGTTTTACCCCCCATCAGGTCCTACCGCGAGTTCCGCGGGGACTTCCACGAAGTCCACGAAGTCCCCTTCAGCGCCATCGCACCCACAGCGTCGACTGACTTTTCCATGGTGGGGTCGGGGAATGTGACCCCTGCCATCGACAGCATGCTTGAAGTCCTTTCGAACTCATCATACGGCGAGGAGGAGATGCAAACTACGTCCAAGCTACCCAACTCCTTTCTTCAGAAATTGTAGGTGGCCCCCCTGTACTACCCCTTTTCGGCTCCTTGTCGAGTCATCGCTCTTGCACGAGCATTTGGCTGACTGAAGTAGATATGCCTCCTTCTTTGATGTATACCATGCTTCCATGCCCATAGTCAATCGGTCCAGGGTCCATAGGGAGCTAGAGCAACGGCCAGAGTCGATAGAGGTGCAGGCTCTAGCCCATGCCATCGGAGCCCTGGGCGCTCTTGCGGTGCCCGAACCTTCCTTTGCCGTGGAGACTTGCTACAACCAAGCCCGCAGCCTCGTTGATATATGCGAAAGGCAGGAGGATGGTGCCGTCTTGAGCAAGACCAATCCACTGCAGACGTGCGTCTTGCTTTGCCTGTACGAATTCCGCAGGCCCAACTTTGCCCGGGCCTGGATCACACTCGGTCGGGCCATTCGACTCGCAAAGATATCGCGCCTAGACAGTCTGGATGAGTATACGGATCCCCCCGGGACGATGCACTCGAGTTGCTTCGGACCCCCCTCTCCCGTGCTCAATCCGGCCGACATGGAAGAAAGACGACGCACGTTTTGGCAGCTTTACATATTGGACGGTTTCGCCGCCATGAAGACCAACTTGGACCCGAGCTTTAACGAAGAACAGGTGAGTGCCCGCTCGTACCCTGCAGCAACTCACCAAGCTTTCTAATCATTGGTGTCATTCATCAAGATCCCCATCCCGCTTCCCTGCCGCGACGAGCTCCACGAGGTGGCCGCAACCCCGGACATGCCCACGTTACAGCAGGTATTCCAACGATCGGGAAACGCAGACTTGTCGTCGTTCGCGGGGATTATTATCGTCATCTCGCTGTACCGACGCTGCTTCCAACACATCCAAGCCTGGCTTTCGGAGCCGTCGTATGCGTTTTGGGATAACTACTATCAGATCAACAAGCTGTTCTCTCATTGCCAGAACGACATACTAGCATCCCATTTGAGCGCGGGCGGACAGGAATCCAGCGATACTCTGAATCTCGTCCTACGTATGAACCTCGCCGCCGTCGAGATCTACCTGCACGAGACGGCCATCAGCAAGGTGGAGAGGGAGAAGCTCCCCCCGGCGCTCTCGGCCGACGCAGTGACTAGGCTCGAGTCGGCGGCCAAGAAGATCACGGAAACGGTCCGGAAGGCGCGGGGGCTGACGGCGAAGGAATTGGGCATATTTCAACAGTCGAGCCCTTTTCTCACTTGGGCTATCACCAAGGCCATCGAGGCGTATCTGTGGTTGATGCACCAGCCGCGAAACGACAGCATGGCAAGGTGCGTTGAGCCCCTGCAGATACTCTCGAGTTCCATGAGGCTTATGCTCCTCCCGGAGCATATTAGACCGGGGCTGCTTGAGCAGGTCGATGCCAAGCTGGCTGAAACAGAACAACGGTCCACTAAGCGGAGGCACACCACCACATACGGGTTTAACTTTTAGAGAGAAGGCGGCATATACAAAGAAAATACAATGATACAGGCCTTGTAGAAAGATAGACTACAAAAGACATCAATAGATGGGCCCGCTACCTTGGACGGGCTTTCTTCCTTTGCCAAGTTCTAGCTCTATCTATTTTTTACCGTCCTTCGTCTGTTCCCATCACCATGCGCACTGGGAATTCTCTTCACGCCATTCCCTTCATTCGTCTCCTGATATGGACACGATGAAAATCATCAATCAGCCCTCGGTAATCCCGCGGGTACACCGGGAGAAACAATTCCTCAACCAAATTTCCCTTGCGCGGCGGGTCGACGCCCAGGTCGCCGAGAAGCGTGTCAATGTACTAAGTTATTATCCAGAGTCAACCAAAATGTGACTGAGATAAATACCCCAAATTTGGGGCTACCGCCGTCCAGTGTGGAGAGGTGAAAACGGCATATGAATGAGTTGGTTTACTCACCGAGAGGAAATCATATATAGCATATGCATGCTTCCTTCCCTGTACCAGATACCGCTTGCGCGACCATACATTCCACTCCGCCACCTCCTGCTCCATATCAGCCTGGTTGGGAATATCATTGAGACCGAGCAAAAAGGTAACCCCCCACAGCGCCTGCACCTCGGAGACGAGCGGCGTGTAGATAGAGTGGATGAAACCGGGAAAGAAGATGGACCTATCTCCCTGAGCAGCAAGGCCAGGGGCGATGAGGCGTCGATAATGTCGACTCGGACCGTGGGCCAGGTGTTTCTCGCGCTCGGGGTCGCCTCCAGCTTTTGTCAGGGGAGGATTCTTAATTGCTGGCAGCAGCTCGTCGACCCTAGTTTCGGCCCTGGCTTCGAGGCTGGCCCATTTCGCTTGGTCGGACGGTTCGGCCTGCAGACCGCACTCGCGTTGCAGTTCGGGGCTGAAGGGCTGGTAGGATTTATCGAAGCCGGTGCAGAGGATCATGTAGTCGGTGTCGAACTGAGCGCCGTCGTGGAGTGTCACGACGTTGCCGTCGGTCAGCGACGCCACTTCGGTCCTGTGGACGGTGCAGTCGCCGGCGTGGAAGACCTTCCAGAAGTCAGGAACACTGGCAGCTCCCAAGCCAGCGTTGGCCCAGAATATTCTTGATCGGGTGTTAGCATGGGACTGTGGCTGCAAATGGGCATGGTTGCGACGAAAGGGTAACTCACCCAATGCCATGCGGAAGCGGTCGTAGCTTCTGTGCATTGGGAGATCTGGCGTACCCAGCATGCATTTCCGCAATCGACGTCAGTGTCCTCCAAAACCCCCTGGCGAGCGTCCGCCCAAGAAGTGTCTTTTGAAAGAACTGATACATGACACCCTCTGTGTGCATTATGCTGGACCCCAACACGGCAACCATGCGGGTCGCAACGGCATCCATCGTGTTGACAACGCCGAGAATGGTGGGCGGCATGATGGCTAGGGGTCCAGACCCATCTTTCCGTATCACCCAGTTGACTCGTTTTCCAGCCTTCAAGAGGAGAAAGACGGTGTCGTATGCAGACTTGGCGGCCCCAACCACGGTCGCAGTCTGTATCTTGTCTAATGCCGCAAGATGCGTGCCCGTCTCCGAGGAGTGGATGATGGGTGAGTTGAAACCCGTCTTGGGCCACGAGGGGATCACTGGGTGTGAAGTTGCCCCCGAAGCATAGATGAGCTTTGTACACTCGATAGCCGGGCGGCCTTCAAACTCCAGCCTCCAGCCCTCTCCCGACATACGATCCACCTTGACGACCTTGGTCCGCAACCGACATCTTCTGACCAAGTCGTAGTCCTTGGCAAAGTCGTTCAAGTATTTGTTGATTGTATCGCCTGAGATATACCCATCCGAAGTGATGCCTTCTCTCTGCATTGGATAGAAGGAATATTCGAACAGGCCATACTTGATCTGGGCAAAGAGACTGGGGTAAATCTTTTCGGCGCACCAGACACCTCCAATAGATGCTTGATCGTCCAGAAGAACCAAGTTGGCCTTGGGCGCAAAGTCGAGATATGTCTTGGCGGAAATTAGGCCGTTCCATCCTGCAGTGGTAGCATCATTAGCACCGAGAAACAGCTGTGACGGAGTAGATACTACCCACCCGTACCCACAACAACCACGTCAAATTTCTCTGTTGCCATGTTACCTCGTGGTGTACTTTTATTATGGCTGCGTCCAACATAATGACAAGACTTGCTTGGAGAAAATGAGTGCCAGCGAGTTTTATTGCTATCTTATTCTATGAACATGTCACCTCAGTCTCCAATATCATTCTATAACGTGTGTTTTCGATTGCCGATATTCCCACCCAATGCGGTGGTCCGATGCTGTGAACTTATCGGGCCGCGCATGTTATACAAGGTGCTTGGCGACACCTGACTATATTCTGTGTTGGCAAACTGCGGCCCGCCATGGCCGAGATGGTATACCCCTAGTTTCTATCCTTATCTCCGACAGTCAAACCCCCAGACCATGCATCAGCTTACGTGCTACCATTAACCCCTTCATAGCTTAGCTTAGGATATCCCTCACAAATCCAAGCCTATCGAAAAATTGAAGCTACGGCAGCTTCACATTTGCAGACAAATCCTCCTTCAAAATCGTCCATACATGACCCATATTCTTTGGTTGCTCAAGTCTGAGTTGCTTTTCAATTCACTGAATCCAAAATGGCCTTGCTGAATCACCCAACCATCTTCAGATCTCTGGCCGCCCTTGGCTTCTGCCTGGTATGGGGTGTTATGGCAGTCAACGGCTCCCTGGGCACCTTACTTGAAACCATAACGACCGGTGTCTTTCCAGACGGCCGTGTCCTCAAGGCGGAGTACACCGGAGTCTGGTTCATCGACTATCTGCTCTGCATCCTCGTGGTCTTCTTCGATAGTCTCCTAAGCGCCGCCGATCCGGCACCATACCTGATGCTTCTCGAGCTAGTCGCGACTCTATTTGTCGTGAACATGATGACCCTGGTTGAGGGTCGCCGGCCCGGAGGATCAACATGGCTTCAACAGTAAGAAAAACTTCGCGCGTGTTATTATTACTAGCTGTACCCAAGCTAAAGAAGCTTCTTAGTCCTGCCATTTGGCAGTATGCGTGGAACTGTGGAGGCGTCGCCGTCTTCCTCCCCATCTGGGTGCTGTTGTACGTCAAGCAGGGATCGGCAGTTGCTTCGCGTCTGTCGGCAGCCCACGTACAGGCGTTGCCATTCACCGCAATCTGGAGCTTGCTACTCGTGCTTCCACTTACGCTGCCGCCTCTGGTTGGTGCATCTCCCTCCCAGGTCCAGATTGGAATCGTGATTTTCTTCCTTACGCCTCCGCTATTCGTCGGCTGTCAAAGCTTCTTGCGGTCTATCTTTTCTCGAACATTATCACCATCTTTATCACAGAGAAACACGAAACCTATTGGGACCTCATACTTGATCGCCGGAATAGCCAGCGCCTTGGTCCATGTAGGCATTGTGTACCGTGCCAACTTTTCATCCAGCACCGACACCTCACTCGACAGGATCTTCTTCCCGCATTATAACGCTGTGCAGCTTCATCGACCTGATACCTTAAGCAACGGCGCGCTGCTTTTCATTCAGTACGATTATGTTCTTATGAGCCTTACCATACTTCTCCTGGGAATCCACATTCATTGTCTTGATCCGGCGACTAAGGATATGAGAGCTACTCAATTTGTACTGGCTTTTGTAAGCATCATCTCTATCTTTGGACCGGGAGCCGGTCTGGCCTACACTCTTTACCGCAAGGAGGCCCGGCTAGATTCTGCTAGCAACTCGAGTAAACGAGTCCAGGTGAGATCCCCACTTGATCATCGCCATGATTTATCAATGTATAACATGATTATACAGAAACGAAAGTAAGGAATTTCCGCTGTCACGACGTGGGTAGAGACAACTCGAAAATCGATCTCACATAGGCGACGGATTGGAAGCATCTAGGAGAGGGCCCACTCTCACATCTCATATAGCAAGTCCAAAAGACTTGTTCTTATTCTATGCGGGAACAATACAATAGAGCCTAGTTGGAAAAGAATCCATGGGCTGATTATGAACCACTTGAGGTTTGAAGTGGATGAGATATTCTACTCCAATCCGTGTACCTGTAGTGAGTTGAGCAAGAATTATATCAGCAGGGAGAAAAGAGGGAGAGAATAACAAGGGGAATAGTCCTCTAAAGAACTTCAAGTTTCTACTCGCAACAATTCACATTCAACTATGCGTCTTCCACAGCTTTCGTGCCTTCACATCCAATTCTCCAAGCGCTCCTCCCCCCCAGTTTCTCAAGATGACGAAGGACCGCTTCCCTTCTCATCAACTACCCAAACCAGCGGCTTCTTCTGAGCATAATTGGTCAAATCATCCACAATCCACTGCGCGACAGGCTTAAATTCCTCCGCGGCATACGCCGCCCAGATATCTTCGACCTTATCGAACTCAGCCAGCGTCATGACTTCGAACGGGTGTTCCATACCCGGCGCTGGCGCCGCCTGTACCACCTTCCACCGTTTGCAGTAGGGCTGGAAGCCCGCGAAGGCGCGGGGCATGTGTGTGTTGATGTAATAGTCTAGGTTGACGTTGGAGCCCGGTTCGTAGGCGGTGATGAGAGTGGCTGGCATGGTGAGAAATTCAAGTATGCCGATGTTTATGATGGGAGGTTCGAAAGGGATAAAAGTTTGGTTGATGTTGATGTTTGGGGGTTCTGGGCGGTGGTTTGTAGTATAAACCGTAGCAGGAACTCACTGGAACTTGGAGTCTGTATGATAATTTGAAGCTTGCTCACAAGGCATTCATGTATCGAATACAAAATGATAAGCATGGAGGATTTTGGGAGACTACATGTCTTAAACCCGCAAGGCCGACGTGAAGGAATGGGCCAAGGGGTACGCTGCGAGCGCGCCGACGCGATGTTACACCGGGCTTTCGGACCGCCTGGATGAATCTGGATTCAGGTCAGAGCTGAATCGATCCTCGCTGCCGAGTGGGGCTCAAATCCTTCCAGAATAGGTGAGATTATCTAGCGTACAGTCAGATGGATCGTCCGGCCGTTGGATGCAGGAATGGAGTGCAGCGTCTGCTATTCGGGGTGGTCGCTCCGAGCCTATAGAAGGGAGTACAAGGAAGACCGAGAGGGGTAGACCTATCGGCCTCATATCCATTAGGCAACAAGTATAGTCACAGGAGAGGCGGCACCGGAGCGCTTCAGCCTACCATGTCATGACTGGATGGGCATATGCAGGGACTCACAAGTTTGTGCCACGGATTCCACGGACCGGCGTCATACAAAGACCCTGATTCTAGACTCAGAACCTGACATGGTTGGAAACGAGCACAAATACTTGATTAATGGAGAGGATCCGGATTCAAGATGGAACGGACTAACCAGATCTACCAGACAAACTCAAACAGTTGTCCAAATAGTTACCCAGGATAACGAAGAAGATTTTCAAGATGCCGGGTTTGGTGACATCGAGGTCGGCCTCGCCGTCCTCACAAGACGACACCCCAGACCTCAGCCGCGGCTCCAGTGTAAACGGCGACTACCCACCTGTCTCCTCCTTCCCCGGCTATGCAGAGAAGCCGCTTCATGATCAGTTGGAACCAATTGCCGTGGTTGGTATGGGTGAGTGACACAGCTCCCCCTTCGCTCTCCCTTCGCTCTCCCCCAAAGAAAAAAATGAAAAAATGGGACGAGACGAAAAGAAGAGAGGAAGAGAGAACCCAGAACATAGGCGAACCAAGGCTAATCGAAGTCAGGATGCCGCCTCCCCGGAGACGTCGGATCCCCCGCCGACTTCTGGGACATGATGATGAACAAGAAAACCGGCAACACACCCAAAGTGCCCGCCTCGCGCTTCAACATCGACGCCCATTACCACAAGAATAACGACCGCCCGGGCAGCTTCGGCGTACTGGGGGGCTATTTCCTCAACGACGACTTGGCCAACTTCGATCCGGGGTTCTTCGGCATCACCCCCATCGAAGCCATGTGGATGGACCCGCAACAACGCAAACTGCTTGAGGTCGTGTACGAAGCTTTGGAATCCGGAGGCATCACGCTCGATGCCATTTCCGGTTCACGCACCGCCGTGTTTGCTGCCAGTTTCACAGCCGATTGGCAGCAAATGTCCTTCAAGGAACATTCGTTCCGCCACAGTCTGGCAGCTACGGGTGTCGATCCGGGGATTATCAGCAACCGCATCAGTCACATCTTCAACTTGAACGGGCCTAGCATCGTTTGCAATACGGCCTGTTCGTCGTCTGTGTATGCTCTGCACAATGCATGCAACGCCCTGAGAAACAAGGAGGCCGAAGCTGCCATCGTGGGTGGCGTCAACCTCATCATTACAGTCGACCAACATATGAACACGGCGAAGCTGGGTGTCCTATCACCAACCTCAACCTGCCACACCTTTGACGAGGGTGCCGACGGGTATGGACGTGCAGACGCAGTAGGCGCCGTCTACCTGAAGCGACTCTCGGATGCTGTTCGTGACGGCGATCCAATCCGGGGCGTGATCCGATCGAGTGCCGTTAATTCCAACGGCAAAGTCCCAGCCGTGGGAATCACACACCCGAACCGCGAAGGTCAAGCCGACGTCATTGCGCACGCGTACAAGAGAGGAGGCGACCTCGATCCGCGATTGACTGGCTACTTCGAATGCCACGGCACTGGCACTGCCATTGGCGATCCGCTCGAGGTCCACGCCGTCTCTATGGCCATGAACAAGGACCGCAAGCCCGAGAATGGCGACGATGCGCTGTGGATCGGTGCCGTCAAGACAAACATTGGCCACAGCGAAGCCGCTAGCGGTCTGTCTGCCCTCATCAAGGGAATTCTTATTGTCGAGCGTGGCATTATCCCCCCAACACGAGGTGTCGTTACGCCGAATCCCAAAATTAAGTGGAACGACTGGGCCGTCAAAGTAGTCACGGAACCGACTCCTTTTCCCGAGCACCTGCCTGTCCGGCGCGTCTCCATCAACAGTTTCGGATACGGAGGCACCAACGCCCACGTCATCGTCGAAGGGGCTGGATCGATGCTTCGAGAACGGCAGACGTACAAATACTGCGACGGCGCCGCCAGGTCATCGGCCAAGTCGCAGGCACCACGCAGGGCCCTGCACCGCCGACGCCCCTTCCTCCTGCCCTTCGCAGCGCACGACAAGGCGACTCTCAAGCGCAACATCGACGCCCATGGCCGCGTGGCCGATATGTACAGCCTGCTCGACTTGTCATACACACTGGCCAATCGCCGTAGTGTGCTCTCGAGCAAGGCCTTTACTGTCGCTAATCACAACACCCTCCATGAAGCCTTCGCCAACGTGGCCTCGTCCTTTACTTTTGCTGAGAAAAAGACGGCCCGGACCGTGGGTTTTGTCTTCACGGGCCAGGGCGCCCAGTGGGCACGCAGTACGTAATTTTGGAAAATTGTCTCTTCCCCATTCCGGTATGTCTCAGGCGTAAGAACAGCCTAGCGGAGTGGCTTGGGGAATGGTTGTTGCTCCTGAGACATGACTTGGAACTCCTAAGTTATCGCTTTCATCCCCGTAAGTAGTAATCACCTCGCTGACTCAGTCTTTCTTTAGTGGGTGCCGAGTTGATTGAGTACTGCCCCCGCTTCCTCCAGTCCATCCGTGTACTGGACATGGCCCTCGAAGAGCTGAACGACGGTCCGGAGTGGTCCATGGAGGACGTGCTTCTGGAGCCAGCCGAAAGCTCGCGAGTGAATGATGCCGAGTTTTCCCAGCCGCTCTGCACTGCCATCCAAATTGCCCTCGTGCAGCTTCTGGAATTCTGGGGCATTCGTCCCGTCGTAACAGTCGGCCACTCCTCAGGCGAAATTGCTGCAGCATATGCTGCTGGTCTGATCTCGGCTCGGGAGGCAATCACCGTTGCCTACTATCGTGGAAAGGTAACCCGAGACGTGGACACCGACGGTGCCATGATGGCTGTCGGCCTTGGCGCGGAAGCTGTCGAGTCATATCTTGCCCATTCCCACGGCAAGGTAGTGGTAGCCTGCCACAATTCTCCAGCGAGTGTGACCCTCAGTGGTGACGCCGATGCACTACGGACGGTCCAGGCTAAGCTAGATGCGAAAGGGATCTTCGCACGCATGGTCAAGACCAATGGCAAAGCCTACCACTCGCATCACATGGCTCCCGTCTCGCACAAGTATGAGAAGCTTGTCCGTGCGGCCAAGTCGCACTTGGCCTTTGACCTGCCGACCCCGACGACAGCCAAGATGGTGTCCACCGTCACCAATGCTGTCGTTCCCGAGATGACGGTGCTGGACCATGCTTACTGGAGCCGCAACCTGAGGAGCCCCGTTCTCTTCAACCAAGCCGTGCAAACCATCCTGACGAGCAAGGAATTCGCCAATCTTGATTTGCTTATCGAGATCGGCCCGCACTCGGCCATGGATGGGCCCATCAAGCAGATCAAGTCTGAGCTGAAGGCCGAGAAGCCCGAGTACCTGTCAACCTTGTTGCGGGGAACCGACTCCGCTGCCCAGCTGCTGAAGCTTGCGGGCAACATGTTCCTTCGCAGCTACCCAATGGACATGGAGCGCGTCACAGCTGCTTACATCGAGGAAAACTCGTCTACGGGCAAGCCGTCTTCAACCAAGGGCTCCGTCATCGTCGATCTGCCTCCCTACCAGTGGAACTACACTAGACCGTTCTGGGCGGAAGCCCGTAGCAGTCGTGAGCAGCGCTTGCCTAAATTCCCTCGCCACGATGTCCTGGGTCAAGTCGTGATTGGGTCCTCTTTGGCCGAACCCACGTGGAGGAACGTCCTCCGAGCTCGCGATTTGCCATGGCTGAAAGACCACTCTCTCGGTGGCGAAGCCGTGTTCCCAGCAGCTGGCTACTTCTCCATGGCCATCGAAGCCATTACTCAACTCAACGAACTGAGTGAAAAGCCGGTGGGAAAGATCGACAGCTACGTTTTGCGAGACGTGTCCATCAAGAAGGCTCTCGTGACGCCCGACGACGACGACGGAATCGAAGTCTTATTCAACATCCGCCCCTCTGTATATGGCGAGGCGGACACCAAGGTAACATGGTATGACTTTAGCGTCTCCTCCATTGATGCCAACAATGTGGAGAAGGAGCACATGGCTGGAAGTATTAGCATTAACACCCGCCCTCGGGGAAAGGCAGCCAAAAGAAAGGTGCCTCAGTTCCCACAACGCGCTAGCGGCAAGGCCTGGAACGACGCTTTGCGAGCAGTCGGTTTCGATTATGGCCCCACGTTCCAGGATATGGACGACATCCGCTTCGATGGCAAGCACTACGAAGCCAGTTGTAAGACCAACATCAAGCAGCACGTCGACGAATCACTAGGAGAGTCGCGGTACGTCTTGCATCCGGCCTCGGTCGACTCGACCTTACAGCTCAGCATTGCAGCCATCTATAGCGGTCGCACAAGTGCCATGGACTGTGGTGTTGTGCCCATCCAGGTCGACGAGGTGACGATCTGGCCCCCAACGGAGTCACAGCTCCAAGACGGCAGGGCAAGCGCCTATGCGTGGGTCGACCGACGCGGCATCCGAGCGTTTGAGAACAGCGTACAAATGACGGCAGAGGACGGTGAGATGGTCATGGAAGTCATTAACGTACGCACCACAAGCTACGAGGCTGCTGTGCCCCAAAAAGCAGAAGTCGCGCTCCAGGAAGCTCCTTATGGCGAGATGTCTTGGGAGCGCGATTTCGACACCCTCAAGACGGATTCCGACGTTGAAGGCCTCACGGCGACCGACATGGCCAACTTGTTTCTATTCAAATATCCCGACAGAAATATTCTTGAGCTCGGGTTTAGACATGCACTGGACATCCTCCAGAAGAATCCTCGGGCTTCTTACACTATTGTCGCTACTTCCGACGAGGAGAAGGATGCAGCCACGGCAGCCGTTGCTGAGTATCGCAACGCCCAAGTCGTGAAGCTTGACACGGATCAGGATGTGGACGCTCAATCCATTGAGCAGGGATCCACCGACATGTTCATCACGACTAACAAGACGCCCTCTGCAGTTGAAATCCTCCCCCAGTTACGTGACATCCTCAAGCAAGGGGGACAGGCCATCTGGGATTCCCCTGCGATCGGCACGGCGCTTCACAAAGCTGGCTTCCGCAGTTTCGATTCGGTCCTCAACAACAGCTCCGGCACCACCATGGGTCGAAACACAGCTCCCAGTGAACACGGGAACGAGTTTGTGCCCGGCGAACTCAACTCGATTAGTCTGGTTTTCCGCAAGGAAGCATGCCAAGTTGCCGCGCAGATCCAGAAACATTTAGAAGCTTCTTCTTGGGAAGTTGGCGTGTGCAGCTTGAGCGACTGTGCCGACTCACTCACCTCGGAGCACTTCATCATACTCGACGACGTCTTCGAACCCCTGTTGCTGACAGTGACGGAGCACGAAATAATGGCTATCAAAAACATTGCCAATTCGGCTTCCTCAATTCTTTGGATTACGCCCGGTGGTTTCCTCGATGGCAAGCAACCCGAGTACGCCATGGTCTCTGGCCTGGTAAGAGCCATCACGTCGGAACAGGCGTCTCTGGATTTCAGGACGCTGGACTTCGACTTGGACACAGTCGAGCCAACACTTCTTGCCGCTACCATCGGGAGGATTACCCGAGAGCAGCTTATCAAAGAGGAGTCGCCTGAGCGCGAGGTCGTGCTCTCCGGCGTGCATACCTACATCAGCCGTCTTATTCGTGCTCAAGCTCTGAACGGTCTTTTTGGTCCATTACAGACAACTAAGCCGATGGCCGTCTCCCCAGAAGACCGCATTGCGGGTGTGATCCAGAAGGGCAAAGTGGTTTTCCAAGAACAAATAGTAAGCAAAGACTATCCGGTCAAGCCTGGCTACGTCGAGGTCCAGGTCCAGTGCAGCGGCTTGACGAGTGAGGGATTTCGCGTCATCACTGGGGCCGACTACCCGACGACATTCAGCCACGAAATTGGCGGCATTGTGAAGGAGGTAGGGCCCGGCGTGACAAACTTGAAAGTGGGTGATCGGGTGGTCGGATTCCATGCGGATCGTTTCGCCAGTCACCAGAGGGTTCCAATCATGTTGCTTCACAAACTGGAAGCCAAGGAGGATATGACCACGGCCGTCAGCACGTTGATGGCTTACGCCGCTGCAGTACATGGGCTTCAGAACCTGGCGAGGGTCAGGGAGACAGATACCGTGCTTGTACTGAACGGCACAGGTACCAGTGGTGCGGCCGCGGTCAAGATAGCGCAGTCCAGTGGGGCCGTTCCTTATGTCGTGGCCAGAACGCAGGAAGAGGTCCAGTTCCTTCAGAGTCACCTGGGCTTGAACGCCGAACACATCATCAGACCAGAGGACGATTTGGTCTCGGAGTACATCAAAACGCTCACAGATGGCCATGGAGCTGATGTCGTCTTCAGTACTGGAAATGTGAGCCCGAGTGATGCTCGCGAGGCCTGGAGAAGCATCGCTCGGTTTGGTCGCTTTATTGATGGTGGTCGCAAGGACGTGCTGAGTCGAAAGGCACTCGACACTCTTCCCGTGCAGCGAAGTGCAAGCTACATGCCTTTCGACCTGCTGGACGTTTACGAGACCCATCCTGACATCTTGTCCGCCTTACTCCAGAAAGTTGTAAGCATGTTTAGAGAGGGACTAATCGTGGCTCCCGGTGCGATGCAGCCAACCAACCTCGCCGATCTCGACCAGGCTGTTTCAGGCTTTTCAACTGCCTTCGGAGCAGCCAAGCCTGTGATTCTGCACGATTCACTTGAGACACCAATCATACAGACGCTACCTGCCAGAATGCCACTGAGATTCAATCCTGAAGCCACATACCTTCTGGTTGGCTGCCTGGGTGGTCTCGGCCGCAGTCTGACATCTTGGATGATGGAATCTGGCGCACGGCGATTTACGTTCCTTTCTCGCTCTGGTGCTGACTCCGCATCAGCATCCAAGCTTGTCAGCGATATCGAGGCTGCTGGTGCGGTTGTGGACGTAGTGAGGGGTGACGCAACCTCCGAGGCTGACGTTGTTCGTGCGGTCCAAGGAGTGGCTCCTGATCATCCGATCAAGGGTGTCGTCCATGCTGCCATGGTGCTCAGAGTAAGTCTCATGAACTCATCATCCCAAGAAAAATGGCAGACGTACAAGAAAAGGAAAAGAAAATCATCTAGATACTAACTCGTGCGTGATTTCAGGATGGCATGTTCCACTCCATGACTTTCGGGAACTGGAAGACGTCGATTGAACCAAAAGTGTTGGGCGCCGGAAACCTCCATAAGGTTCTCGCGAGCACTCCGCTGGACTTCTTCATCATGACCAGCTCCATCTCAGGAACGCTCGGCACACCGGGCCAAAGCAACTACGCTGCGGCGAACAGTTACCTCGACATGCTCGCACGCCACAGACGGTCTGCACAACTGCCCGCCACATCGCTTGTTCTGCCCATGGTTCTTGGTGTTGGTGTCGTAGCCGAGAACAACGAGCTAGAAGAGTCCCTCAAGCGCAAAGGCATGTACGGAATTGATGAGGAGAAGCTACTCGAAGCATTTGAAGCCGCCGTAATTTCGCAAGCAGAGGAGCGTGTCCCTGATCATATTGTAATCGGCTTCGATCCTTCCAAGCTTCGAAGGGCCATCAGTGACGCGGCTGCATCCGACAGCTTCTGGCTCGAGGACGCACGCTTCAGCCACGTCGTCCACGACATGAAGTCGTGCGAGGAGGACAATCTCGGCGGTACAGCAGCAGGGGGGCAAAGCATCTTGGCAACCGCAAAAGCGGCGTCAACACCAACTGAGGCAGTGGCTCTACTGACGGAGCACTTCATCAGCAAGCTATCTCGGATGCTGCTGCTGAGTCCGGATGAGTTCGAGCCGGACGCTAGGTCCATCGCGGACTATGGCATCGACAGCATGATCGGCGCTGAGCTCCGCAACTGGATCTTCAAAGAGTACATGATGGATATCCCCTTCCAGCAGCTGCTGGCTGCGACCTTAACCATCACCAAGTTTGCGACGCAGGTGTGCAAAAACGCAGGCATCTCGGAATAGGCCGGGCTTAAACGGAGATAGTAGGGTACAACAGATATTCTAGGAGATGAGATTTTAGTCCTAGGACTTTCAAAACGTCTATCCCGCCTAGTATTCGCTTCCTTTTACTTCAAATATCTAAGCTTAATAGGGCCTTTCGTAATCGAGGTATAACTACGCATAGCCTTAGTAACGTTACGAACGCATGGCTTTTTAATCTACAACAGAAGTGAATTAAGTCGGGAAAACTCTTGATTTCGTGTGAGTTCCGTGAAGAATGGGGAGCTGGGGACGGGGTATTATGTGTCGAGATTGTAGACGAAATCGACGCATTCGAGAGCGGGGTGTTGTTAACGATCTCATCCCCGCTATCACTATGCAAGCGGCGGACGCGTTTTCGTCCCTGCCGTCGTCGAAGACCTTGTCGTACCATTCGTCCGAGTCGGCGACGTTGCTGCAATCCTCCACATGCTGCCGGCTTCGCTTTTTGGGGCTGACACTCCGCAATCCCCCGCCCCCGTAGAGGCTCGACAGCGTAGGACCCGACAAGTCTTCGACTTTCCATTCGACGCCGGCTCCCTGGTTGCTCTGACACCGTATAATAGACCGCTGTATGTCCATGAGTACGAACGGCTTCATAAGCATTAAGACAGTCCAGGCGAGACGGGAAGAGATGAACTCGCGGTTAGTGTTATCGAGGCACTGAAAATGCGTGTTATGGTACAGGCCGGAGAACTCTCCCATATTGGTCCCGAAGACGCGCGGGACATACGCCGGGTTCGTAGTGGAAGACGAGGCGTCCGAGCCAACCGGAACAAACTTAGGCTTCGGGATGATAGAGAACAACCGGTTGAAGCAACGATGGGTGTCGGCCCTCCGGCGGATAATGTTCTAGGAATCGTTTACGTCGCGCATATCCACACCGTACCGCGACATGCTATTCTGCGTAAACCATTCGCCTTCTTCCTCCGGCACAATATGGGCGTTGGTGAGGCCACAACCGTAGTTCGTCAGCGCGCGCAGCGTCGCGTCGTGGCGGCCGAGGGATCCGTCTTTAGGGAAGGCCAGGCGTCAGGTATACGGCCGTGGGGGGATTGCCAGTCGCGGAAGCTCGGCACAACGGGGTATCAGTACGCAGCTGGCATTTAGCAGACATATCAGCGCGCGCGTTGGATTCGAGCGTTGAAGGAAGAAGTGAGGATGGGCAGAGGGAGAGCGAGGAGGGCAGACTTACGGTCGGAGTTCACGACGAAGAAATACTCCCCCGGCCACAAGACCGCACGTGCTGGGATACGCTCCAACACGGCATGCGCACCTTGGCGGTCAAAGTAGAGTTGTCCCGATTCGAAAGCATTGTTAGCGATGATCTGGCAAGCGAGGAGCGCGGTGTGGTGGAGACCCGTGGGTTGCGCGCTCGCGCCGGCCGGATCAACACACGGTAAGGTGAAGAGAAGGTCGTGTGGCAGAGGGTAGGCCGGGTGGAAGAAGTAAGCGATTTGGTCGTTGTTTTTGTGCGTTAGAGGAATCGCGAGCGGAGGGCGAACTGCGTCCTAATTATCTCCTCAAAGATCTGGCGGCCCTTCTCCAGTTTCTGAGCACGGTTTGCCAGGAAGACTTCCGCCATTTGGTGGCCAGCCGCTCCGAAGCGATTGTCTCTACCTCGTTGTCCACGACCAGCGGCGAGAACATCTTTTCGAGCCCCCGGGCTATCTGCTGCTTAATCACTTGCGTCGTCACGATGGCAACGAAGGTCTTGTACTGCACCTTATAGATGGCCTGCAAGCAGTCTAGGACCTCCTCGCCGCTGAACCTATCCATATCGATGATGCTGACGGCGTTGCTCTTCGCATAGGCTGAGATGATCTTACTGACCTTGGTCTCTGGATCGTGGTTCTCATAGTGTTGGCCACGACGGCATTTCTCGTACGACATGTGTGTGATATCTCCAGGGATCAGGGTTTCCAGTTGTGATTTCAACCTCTCTTAGTGCCGCTGCTCAATAATATCGGTGTAGTAGTGATGATAATTGATAGCAAACTCTTTTATGTCGTATATCAGCTTCGCTAGCTCGTCGTACGCTGCAGAAGGACATCTTGGCTATTTAAAAGTGGTTCTGAGAATGCCATACTGGACAAATAAGTTGGTGAACGGTAGCATGCAAATAGATGGTGTACAATTAAGTATCAACAAAATAGAGTTTAACATAAAGCCGCTGTCAAGTACATCACGGCCCAAGGTATTACAGTGATGTCGTTGTTATGTGGCCTGTGCACCGTAGCCAATCCAGCTTCCAAAGCTGTATTGACTCAGTATGGAAGTTCGGTATGATATGTATCGATAGCGACGTCCCTTGTGCACAAGGCAAGTCCAGTGTTTAATATCTTGCGGCAACTACCAGTTGTGTTTGATAACTGTGCGAGTTTTCACAAGGTAACGAAGTGTCAGGTGTTCTTGCCTGCGGGCCTTACACGGCGAGCTGGTGGCATTAAGTTGTTGGCAGGAGGGCTGAAGCGCTACTTGATAATGGTGCTTCGTCTTTGTGATTAACATCTCACGCCTCAGAAAACGAAACTGCAGTCGGCTGACATTTCGATCCTGTGGATTATAATCACAAACATCTAGCGCTAACAATGACAAGCTTGCGCAATGTTGGGCAGGAGTTGACCGATTCATAAGCAGCTTGATGACGGTCTCCTGGGAGTTAACCGTTCCTCATTCGTTATTATTATAGTGACCAAAATACACCAAATCTGTGTCAGTCGTCGGTCCCGAGCACGCGACCTCTCATGGCTGAGTCTAACTCGAAATCTTGTCCGTCTCATCCAACATCGTCGTTGCTCGCGCCTGTCAGCCAAACCCCGCCTCTAACTGTTTGTCTGTAGAGGCGCAAGCGCGCTGTTCTAGCCAATCCCCACACATCTTTTCCACAGCCCGCCCATCGAATTTAGCGCTCACTATCGACCTAGCAAGCCAGCCGCTTACAGGGCAGTAATGGGGCCATCTGTTTCCGGGCTGTGCTGCAGCTTTAATAGAAACCGCACCCTCCAAAAGGGCGAGATGTTTACAAACCATCAGGTTATTTCGAGAGCGGATGCAGCACGGGAAGAGAACGAACTTCAGTTTTGATGTTAGTTGGCACCGGGCCAACATTGATGATGGGGCTGACGCTAGCAGCCAACACTGACATGAGGGCATCCTTCGATGATGGTAATTTGCCTCCACGAGGCAAGACGACGGAAAATGGTGTATAAAAGATGATGAACTCCCAGATGAAGTCTGATATTTCCATCTAGCATCAATCTACACATCAACAAACAATACACTGTCCTCCATTTCCTTATTTCCTTATTTCCTCACTCTCTATTCAAGCATTTTCGGATTCTTCGCATTCCATCAAGTGAGCCAGATTTTCTTCAATAAAAAAACCATATCAAAAATGTTTACCACCAAGACCTTCACCACCCTCCTCTTCGCCGCCGGCGTCATCTCCGCCGCACCCACCTCCACCTCCACCTCGCACCCCTCGCGCACCGTCTCCCTGACAGGCGTGACCCACTCCGTCGTTGCCGGTCTAGCAGGCCTGCGCTTCGACCCCGAGAATGTGGTAGCCTCCGCGGGCGACATAATTGAATGGCACTTCCTTCCCAAAAACCACAGCATCGCTCAATCCTCCTTCGCCGAGCCCTGCCAGCCCCTCGCCAACTCTCCCTCCACCTCCTTTTTCTCCGGCTTCAACTTCGCCACCTCCGAGGGCCAAGCTCCGGATGTGTTCCAGATCGTGGTGGAGGACGCCTCGAAGCCCATCTGGTACTACTGCGCCCAGCAGACGGGGGCCCATTGCCAGAATGGCATGGTGGGTGTGATTAACCAGAACTTCGAAAGTGCGGAAGCTACACTGGCGAAGCACAAGGAGTTGGCGGCTAAGACGGGGACGTCGGTCATTCCTCCAGCTGTGCAGGGTGGTGAGGTTATTGAGAACCCTAACCCTCTTGGTGGATTTAAGCTATGAGTGTTTTTGGTGGTTGTGTTTTCTAGATCTAGATTTGTTTGACCTTCATTTGGATTGCATAGGGACGGTTTGGTTTGCAATGGACGGAGTTTTCATGCTTTTGATTGGTTGCATTTGCATTTGGATGGTGCATGGTTAGGTGTTTATTATATAACATTCGCCTAGAGAGACGACGGCTCTTCAGCTATTCCCTTAGACCAGCTTATAGAGTATGCGCGCTTTGGTTTTAAGACTAATTAGCCTGTGCACTATGGTATCTGCCTTAGGGCACTATCGTTGCTGTTGCTCCTGCCGCTGATATTGGCTTCAGCTCTGGTCAAGTACCGTGACAAGTTGAAATGAATACTCATGGAGAACTTGTATGAGTTCCAAGAGAAGGACTGGCTCTGTTCCTCATTGCGGTTGATCAAGACCAGTCACCACACTCCAATGCAGTCAAAGCAAAGCGTAACACCTACACGTCGGCTGGTGTAGTTGGTCACTTCGCTGGTAGATAAGTCCCAATTTAAGCCTCACCCACTTGGGTCGATGATGAGTCGCGGGTTCGAATCCCGCAGCTGACACACAAGGGGGTTTAGTCAACCCTTACGGCGCGCTGCCCACCTTGTTGACCTCGCCTACCTAGCGATAATAGGGAGATTGGTGCAGTTTAGGATTATAAGCATCCTAGCCAGTCGACCGTCAAGCACTACGTCGGCGGAATATAACTCGACAGCCGGTCCAGAATTCGAATCGTTAATCCGACCCCTTATCGGACCCCCTCTCGCAGCGATTCTTGCGAGCGTCTAGACCACGTTACGGTCTATCCACTTGAGCGTATGGTTGAGATGTATACGCTCGACGAGAACCCCAAATAGCAGATACTACGACTTGTCGCGACAAAAAATAGTCGAGCATCTTCTGCACATCAGCAGCATCCCACCCCTGAGGACGAATTTAAGTGCCACATTACCACACTTATCAGTAGTTCAGGCAGGGGTTGTAGCACAGACTTAGGGAGGGACAGGAGGTTTAGTAGTCGTTTGGCTACAAGTTTACCTGTATAACCGCCCGACGCGGCTTAAGGGCCCGCTATATCATCTATAGCCCCTTAAGGGAGTACTTGTAGAGGTACCGAGGGTTAACACCTACGGCGTATTTATAAAAAAAATAAAAAAAAAAAGTCTTCGGACACTTAAATTAAGTATGTTCTGTATATAAATAATATGGACGAAGTATTTAGGTTGATTCAGTTAGACCCTGCAAAATGGGGGTGCATGCAAAAAGGTGGTCAATGCGGTTAGACCCCTTCACAAGACTTGAACGCTGTGAAATGCTCTCCAATCCCAATGCCGACCAACCAGCTTTGATACTACTGGCTCTGGCTCCTGCCCCAATGCACCGATAATGAATTCCCATGTGACTCCCCTATGCATGTGCATGCCTTGGCAGGGCGGTGAGAGCAATAAACAGAGAAGAAGGTTGGTATCATGCGAAGCCAAAAAAAAACACCAAAAAAAACCTTTCCCTAGCAAAAATTGAACAACGCAGAAGGGTATTGCAGGGGAATATACGTGGGGCAATGAAAACTGAAGGACGGGGTGGATCCTATCGGGTAATGGGAACAGTTGGTGTGACTACGTGATTGAATGCATTCAGGCCCAACTGAAAAGACAATAGCGCCATGGGTTGCTGTTGTCGAATGATAAGAGGCCAAACGGTAAGGCAAGTCCGTTTCGGCATTGTGACAAATGCTCAGCTTCTTCGTTTCTGGGATAGCGTATTGCAATGATGAGTTGTAGGGAATTTCTCCTCGCCAAACTGGCAAGTCAGGGGGGTTGTCATCGTCATCCCACTTGTGTGTGCCCTGACGACATGAGGCACCGAGGGTACCGTGCTTAATCCACCCCTCTTATGACGCATCGCCCGAAGTCTGCTTCGAACCACGCTCTTGGGTGCGACTCGGATGGTTGTCGTACGTGCTCATTCGTCCGTGGTCATTGGTCCGTGGGTAAGGGGTTCGTAATCCCTGGTTCTGGAAACTGGCTAGAAAATTCTGCTGTGCCCAAATTCTGCATCGATGGTTCGTTTTGATGCTTGGAATCCACTGCAATCATGCGATTGTTGGATGGCGAATGGTTGGGGAAAGTACCCTGGCTTTGAATGCGGAGCCGCGGCATCATAAATGCCTTAACGATGTGGCTCATAATAATTGTGTTAGAGCGACGCCAATCGAAGTGAACGCACTCTACGTGTGCTGCCGGCCACATATGCCTGTAGGGCTACGATGTGGATCCTTTGTCGGGCGCAGGTTGTATTGTGCGATTTCGGCTTTGGGCGAATAATGAACACATGCAGATTCATTGGTGTCTGCGACCCAACAGATTGGGCTAGCATGGGGCGGTCCTGATCGCACTCGGATTTGATTCACAACATTTGCGTGCGTATGTGACGAAAACGCCAATTCAGGCTCGCCAATATGCTCCGCAGTCCACCATAGGAGACTTGGCGTGGCAGCATCATTCCGGCCACGGTCCGGCCACGGTCCGGCCACGGTTTCGTCGAGTAATTTTCTCGCAAGCGCGCAGTTCTAGTGGGTGCGGCCAAGAGTGAAATGTAAGCAACGAGATAGCCCCATATATGTCGGACCAACATAATCTAGGCGGACGCGAGTCCGTCGCCGCGGTCGTATCGATTGCGGATTCCGCAACACACTGCTGCCGGAGAGCTCAGACGACTTCCAGAGTGAGGGAGACCCATCGTGTGGGTACGCCGTCGGCTCCAATTTCGTAAGGCTTCGTGCTCGATTTTCGAGGGGGGAGCAGCCACCGTGCATGGCCTTCACGTGCATCGTCCAGTTTGCCGCTTTTGCGCATAAGATGTTCCATAACGGCAATGCGAATGAAATCCGAGTTTTCGCGAATTTCTCGCTGTCTCGGCCCAGGTGGGAAGGTGGGGGGCGCAGGTGCTCTCGGGATCGGTTGCGGTGCTGCTGCTGCTGCTGCAGCAGCAGCTGGGCGGTTGGCCGTGGCGGTAACGCTTTTGGATTTCTGGATCTTGTACGTTTGCATTTGAATCGATGCGGTGTAGATGCGTGGCTGCGGCGGTCCTCCTGTCCGTAAATCAAGCCTTGCGCTGCTGGTCGGGTTGAGGTAGCGACGCATAGCCTCATTAGGCTCTTCTTCCAACACAGGCGGGCGCCTCTCGTCGGTAAATGGCACGCCAGGATCGCTGGTCAGGATGGACCGCGTAAGGAGATCTTCGGCCGGTATAGATGAGGCAGTAAATGCCGAAAGCGACCGGGCAGCCGAACGCAATGCCCGAAGTGATGAGGTCAAATTTGACTTGAAAGCCGTCTTCAGTGGCATCAACACAGTGCCCTGTTGCTCTTCCGCCGAAGCTGCTGACGGGTCAAACACCTTGAACTCGACCTGGTCGACGTCCGCCTTCCAGTCGACAGAAAGCGGGTGGTCTGGCAGTTCGCCGGGTGGAGAAGATACAGGCTCCAGAGATCTCCTTGGTTGTCTGAACCTTCTGATTCGTGGTGTCCAGGGGCTATCAACTGATGGCGCCGTGCTTGTTGCGAAAGAGTTGCCTAGTGACGGTAAGCTGTCGAAGGAGCCCTCGCGCGTGGACAAGGTGGACGTGAGAGCGCTGTCGCTAGTAACCGACGCATCCTCATCCTCATCCAGGAGATCCTCCGGGGGGGTTAATAACATGTCCATTGGGCTGCGACTCAGAGATGTGAGTCTCAATTCCTGGCTCAGTTCCTTCTCCGACACCTGAGACCGAGGGATGATGCAGTCGACCGTCATGCGCGAATCGTTTGGCGGTTGTCGATGCATGTTTGCACGTCTGTTTGGACGAGGAATGCTGGTGACGGCCAGAAGAGCCGCTACAGACGGTGCAACGGCGTCAGGGTCATGAGATTGGCGCCGCCACTGACTTGCCGCAGAGTGCCGCCGGTGGGCCTCCACATGGTGGTGTCGCGCCTTGTGAGTGTAGGCGGTATCTGGCTTGGTTTTGACTGGTATTCGCACTGCGCTCGTAGGCGCATCGTGTCGTACACCGGCCGTCATTGTTGCTCTTGTGGAGTTGTTCGGTGGCTCGTCACGCTTTCCCACCAGGGCATCTGTGTGACTTGTAACTGCAGGAGCGTTCGCAGGCTTGGATGATGGGCTGCTAGTCTTCGTTTTTCGATCATCCTTCCGTTTCGGAGATGAGGCCGACTGTGGTTGCTTCAATGTAGAAGTCGGAGGGGTGGAAGAGGGAGGGCGCGGGTTTATTTGTTGTTGCTGGCGCGAGTAGAGAAAAGACCTGGGGGTGATCATGGTCTTAAACGGAAACGGAGGCCGGCCTGGCACTCCCCTGTTATTGATAATTGAGATGCAGTCAGGTCCGCAGGGTATTGCGGGGCATGCCGTAAGGAACCGTACGAATTCTACCTAAACCCAAATGCGAGGATAGGCAGAATGCGGACGCGGAAGGACCTTGGGCCTGCGTGTTTGGGCGTCGAGTTATTGGTGACTTGGGTGTGTTTCTGCCAGGGGTTAAATGGATTTTCTGGATTCTCGTACGTAAGAACAGCCCCGATTTCCGTCGTTTCGGCCACGTAAATGCAGGCGGGTTCCGGCGATGTGGAAACTGGGCTCTGACGAGTCGCATATGATGTCGCGCCTAGATCAGATATCCAAGAAAACCAAGAGACGTAAGTAATAATAGATGACTCTTGGTTGGATGATGAGTTGGCGTTTTTTTACGGCCTGTTCACCTCGGTGGCTCCGCTTGTTTGTCGGAGGCGCATCAGCTCTTTCGGTAGCCGGGTCTGATTGAAGTCGCAAAGCATCCCAAGCACGCGATAGTTTGTTATTTAGAGAGCGAAATAGAGCTTGATTCAATCAAAGATTCTGGCACAGGAGGCACAATTATTGTCTCTTCTGGCGAGGCATCCGCGGTGAGAGAGGATGCGGTGGTTGGGACTAGTCATACGACGACCCAAAGATAACCCAGATGTACTAAGGGCCAGGTTATATCGGCGTCGGCACGATGACTTGTTATACAATCAGATGCCTAGGTAGGATTGGGCGACCGGGCGTGCTAATACAGCTACCCCTGGTTCCAGTCATCATTTTGACAAGCTGCCCAAGCCAAGACGTGCATCGACCTTCTGGAGGCTGGAATGGCCTGCCCCAATAGGTGATAGGCTCTGCTGAAATGATAAAGGCAGTGGAGACTCATCGACTTATTGACGGAGGCGCTGTAACCGTAACCACAATCAGTGGCCTCAGACAATTGGCCTGAATCTCGTTGTCTCGCTCGTTAACGCGGACAAACAGGGTCCTGGATAAAACAGGAATCTGTCGGCATGTGCGATTGACCGTGACAAAGTCATACCTGGGAGACGGGGCTGGCATTGAGATGCTACTGGATATTATATTGTCTGCTTCATATTATGGTAATCAATCCTTTTCGCCGGGTGATCCGAAGCTCGTCAGCTGTGGCATGTCTCGATGACCTGGCGTGTGTGGGATTTGGGGCTTGGGCCAACGATCAACAGTCAAATCAGCGTTCGTCTGTTTTCACAGCCTCGGAAGCCACTCTGGCCAAGCGTCATCGTTTCATTCTTGGAAGGGACCTGACGGCCCGCTGGCTTGTCGATTTTTCCTGTATTCTTAATATGCCGTTACTTCCTTCGTGGGACAAATGAACAATATTCTTACCGACTATTTCGCTCCAGCTCCGATTTCTCTCCGACAACCATGTTGCCTATTTCATCGAAAGACCTCGTCTGAGTGGACGCGAAGAAAGCTTCTATTGAATCTTCGAAAAGTACCAGGGTGGAGATGACATGCCATCCCTGCCCATGTTGCATTGCCGTGGGGTCTTCAGCTGGTCGACCAGCCAGCAACCAGCCAGCCGTTACAACTGTAGTAAAGGGCTCAACTGTACGAATAGACGCCAGGCGATATCCCACGAGAGATTCACTGTTAATTTGACATGTGTTGGGAATGGGTCGGTTGGATCTTTGATCCCCTACCGACTACGCAGCATTTAGGCTTTCGTTGCCGACTGGTCACATGGCAATACTCTCACCGTCGAAGCCCAAAAAATGAAGCCATTTTCAGTTTCATAAGCTTGGCAGGTCGAGCGAAACTGCACAGAGGACGAAAGACACTCCGGACGAGTACCGTGTCGCCAAACATCTGGCAGGTCCAGGTTCGCAGACCTTGCTGGCTACTTAGGCAGGAATTCGAGTCAGCCCAAGTAAACTTGTTTAGTACGGCTTGATTCACGTTCGCGGCGTCCGTTCTCCCATTTCCTAGCACAGGTCTTGATGGACAGCGTTTCGAGTCCTTCACTCCTGACTTACACGCCGAGAAACAACCTAACTCTTACGAGCCTATGCCATGTTGGGGAAACCTGGTACAAAGACACATTGGCATGTCTACCCTTGGTGTTTCTGAATTTTCGCTCACGCGTTCACAGCCGCCCTGCGTATACGTGATGCCACCCATCGAGCCCACGCGAGCAGGTGCGCCCACACACCTTCATGCAGGTGCTCGCATCTGGGCATTCCTTATCATGGCGGTCCTATCCGTTTCCCCACAGCTCGCAAGCCTCCGAGAAATACTATGTAGTCATTGTGATGCCCACATGTGTGATGATTAGCCCCCCCAAAGACCGCTAGATACTCGCTCTGATGGGCTTAACGCTAGTCAACTTGCAGCTCATGGCTGTCTACGCAGCAGGCTAAAAGTTGCGGGGTAGATAAGACCAAGTGCCCAGCGCGGGGGAGAGAGCGCCCAGTCCAACCCAAAACGCAAAACGCAGGGTCTGAAGCTGCGGAGCGCGATCGAACTTAATTATGAGAATCTCAAGCTTCAATAAGGCCACCCTTCTACTTATCATTTTCGTGTTGGACGATATGGACAGCTCTCGAGCCTCCTCTTATGCCTTGCATGGTATTGCTCGCTCATAACGGCAACAGTTTTGAAAGGGTGCCATTGAGTTCGCAGACCTTGTAACAATGGCAATATCGCATCGGATGCACCATGACGTGGGTTGACTCCTCCGACTGACTCGCACAACACCTACGCCGGTGGATAGATATCATGAAAGCCTGACATTTCATGGTTTGTCTCCGCCGCCACGGCTCCGATAGTGACAACATGGAGCGGCACACCATCCGACTGACCAATGGCAACGGCATAGGCCGAGTAAAACATGCCAATATACTTACTCAATCTACGGGCACCGATTTCGTTCTCTCTGATACAGAAACATGATCGACATCGCTGCCGAAACGCAGGAGATCACAAGTCTAGAGCCATAGTATCTCGCAGAATTTTCTCTACTTTCACATCTCACTCGGCGCGACATCGGAATTGCCATCTCAACAACATGGACCTCGGCTAAGCACATGAGCGGCGTTCAACCGCACTTGAGCGGACGATAAAGTCTCGAAAGGCGCGACTTGACTGGTTCGCTTTGCAAGCGAAGTGGTCTGGCCAAACACTAGATGCATATCTTCTCTGGCGCCATGGTTGACTCCCAAGGCACGAGATATCACAGATATGCAAATCTTAGCAGATCGGGTGAATCACACACACCAATATGTCGCGCATTCAAACTTCAAAGCGCCGTATAATTCCTAATGTCAATTCTGCAGGCCGTTTGTGATTCAGACACGCCCTTCCCAATGTTTCTTATTTCCCTCTACTACATCTCTTACTCGCTCTGTTTCGGCGCGGTGATCTAGGTATCGGTACGTCTCAAGTTCTGATCCCGTATCATCGGCTGGCTTTTCATATGCATAAATGTGGTCGCGGCCGTTGTGCCGAAGATTTGTTTCTCCGTAATGGCCCCTCCTCCCACACGGCTCGATCCGCACCATTTCGGGCACCAGGCACGCAAAAGGGGCCGTAAAGCTGGTGCTGACGCCGTGATGAGAACCAGATTCGTCTCCATGGCCGATGTTATGAAGCTGATATTGGACGTTGGGTCTCGCAGTTCGATGAGCATGAAAAGCCCCTGAATCAAGAGGGCCATGCGGACTATGGCAACGATAGTGACACTGGTTTGTCATATTAACTCAATTTCCACTATGCTATACGACCCAGTGGCCAGACTCACAGAAACCCTAGCAAAAACACAAACATGAGTGCGAATTGTGTGCGTGTCGGGATTTTGAGACCACTCAATATCCTCAAAGGTATGCCCAACACCAGCAAATCCGTCAAGATGTTGAAGCTGGCCATGGTGACGAACAGGATCCGCCGGTCGATACACGTGCCTTCGCGCAGCGGCTCCCAGGTCTTCTCGATGGGGTAGCATTGGAGCACGACGGCGACTAGGATGCCAACCATGGCCGCGAGGTTTGCCGTGTTGACCCATAGGATAAAGCGGCGCACCCCCGGCGTTTGTCCGAAAAGGCGGAGCAGGGAAAGCAGAACCGATGTCTTGACTAGGGCCAGGATCGGGTTGTACAGGATCTGAACGGCGTAGTTCCATATGGCTCCCGGTGTTGGGTCGTGGGGTGGTATGTCATGGATGCTTATGCCGATGAAGTTGGTCTTGATGACTAGTGACAGAGGTGAATAGGTGACTCTTGAGAGCGCTGACGTGCCCTGCTTCTTCAGACTTACACATATAGCTCGCTATTGTCTCAAGTATTGACAGGACCTGTTCATCGTGAGCAATTCGGACTCAAGCAGTCTGTTGCCAAAGGCAGTTCACACCATTGCTATACAAACCAAGCCATCGTCTATATCGACGTGTCAGCAAGCTGTGCCGCCGCAGATGTTCCATGCAGGGGCGGCCACTTACCACATCCAAACCGCCGGGATGAAAGCGTGCCAGCAACTCTTGTACCTACTGTTAGAAACGCCAGAGCCGGAAAGGCTATCAGGATCCCTATCGCCACATTCTGTGTTCTGCTAGTGGGATACGAGAATGGCAAGGTCGCCTCGGTGAGGTTCCTACTTGGTTCCTTTGGGGGTTCACAGAATGACATCTTAGGAAGGCCGTTCTTGTCTGCGGGGACTGCCTGTGCTCTTATGTTATAGATGCTAAGTGCAATAGAAATAGAACAGTACAAGAAGTATCACGCGGAGGGATATGTAAAACCATGTGAATATGGAGAGTCAGCTACTTATGGCACCTGTCCATTACCGTCTTTTGCCTTGTGATGCCTATAGTTAAAGGAACCTGTACCGCCCTGGTCCAGCCTCATGCCATCGTGGCGGGACCACGGCGACGGTGGACCTGAATTTGAAGCCGAATCGCAAGTCTGGAACCGTGTCAAGCGCTTGGGGAACGACGCAGGGGGCGCTTTCTTTTGATTCCGGCTGAAGTTGAGGGTTACGCAACAATGCTTCATGAGTTCCGCTTTTGGTTGCAGGTGCGAACAGAACGAGACACCAGGAGCCATATCGAGATGCGATATTCCGTTTTCGAAATCCCATGACGAGCCGAGTTCTTAAAAGTGTTTGAGGATGGGAACAAATCCGCGAGCGGGTACATCGTTGCTCTACGAAAAGACTGAATAACAAAAGAGCAGAAATAGTGAACAAATAAAAGAAACCCCTAGAAGCACAATATGATGATTGAAAAACCATGCGAAAGATCCCATAGGAATACCACTTTAGCTCGGCCAGATCGGATCATCATAAGCGCATCGCACTTGGGATGAACATCATGACAGACCGAGTTTGGGATTTGCCGCGAGGAAAGCAAGGGAAGGCAAGATGGTTGGCTGGCTGACACTGATTAGCACAATTGTGCCTAATGAATAGAGCAAGCCGTCGCGGCCTGGCACAGATCATCATGCGCGGATTTTCCAGTGTTGTACCACGCTATGGCACATGTATGAGAACTGCATGATTATGCGGCTCAACTCGCCGACTGCGCATCCAGGAGTCTTAACCGACACCGTATACTGAGAACCTGTGAATAAACTCTACTCTCGTCGATCCTCTCGCGTTTGAGGCTGCGGGATCTGCCAGGAGTGCTGAAATTTTCGAATGCAGTGTCGTCAATATGCTGGAGCAATATAATGTGAATGGACAAAATGCTCGCATAGTTGTGGCGCGGGTGAATGTATCGACGAACAGGACGAATGAACAGTTTCCAGATTGGACCAGCTATCGGATCCGTTCGGTGGTGAGTCGGTGTTGCCATCTGAGTTATGCGAAGGTAATAAGATTGCCGGAACTTGCTCCTCGGTGGCATACGCGGCGTTTAAGCTTCCCATCTACCGTCGTGCCCGTCGTTTTTATACTCCGTTCGGATATGTGGATCGAGGTGAGGCAAAGCCTAAGATGCAATGCATTTGCGCCGGTCGATCCACTTCGGTGCCGTAGATCTCTTGTGCGAATGGTTATTTTCTAGTACACCAGGTAATAGTGGCGAAGGAATCTGCTCTTGAGTAGAGAGAGACAGAAAGAAGAACCGACGGACCTGTCCAGTGGATTCCAGATGTTTGAGGAGTCTTGTAGATTTTTTAAGCCTGAGATTTCCCCCATGGCGCAGCGTCTAAGCGAGTGAGAAGGAGGAGGGTGAAAGAGAGTTGGAGGCGAGGAAGGACCAACTGATAAACATAGCAGTATGATTGCACCGTCGTCTAGACAGCACAATCGCAATAGACGCCATTATTGCTTGGATGTCATCAATATTCTGGAAGACTTCATGTTTGGTTTGCGCGTACGTATTCCTTGAATGTGAAGTATCTTTCGTTTACGTACACGAGGTTACGATCTGACGGTTTTCGATAAGAAGGCGTTCTTCCGGATTCTTCCGGATGGGCAGAGTAGAATGAATATCAGCCTCATTGTTTCTTAATAGTGATGGTTAACCAGGGAGTTTATAAGAGTGATTTTGCTAGAGATACCAGGGTTGAGGCCGGACAATACTGCTTGCGTACGTCGCGAGAAACACGGTGTGTACCTAGGTGTTTTTCAACCATTAACGTACAACCCCACCTTTCTGGCCACCTAATCTCCAACTACAGCAACCTTCGGCACAACAGATTATCGTCGGTATTGGCTGTTATTATACAATGCCTCGATATTTAGAAAATTCGATTCAAGGCGCTCTCAACGATATCAATCGAGGGATATCCCAGCGCCAGGCTTCCCTCCGATAGGGCGTTCCACGCTCTACCCTCCAATTACAACTCGGCGATGGCCTCAGCCATTCTGACGCGTCAATCGCGTCGATGAAGCTATCTAGGGATCAGGAAGACGCGCTGATTGGATGGATCCTCGAAATGGATCGCGAGGGTCGTAGCCCGTCGGCGCTATTCATCGCTAAGATGGCGTTGATTCTGTTACCCCAGGATCGTCGATCAGAGGGCCTCGGTCGCCATTGGGTTCATCGCTTTATTCAACGCCATCCAGAGTTCGGAAGTATCCAATCTCAACGCCTCGACCGTCAGCGATTTGATGGCCTATCGACGCAGAATATCGACGATTTCTTCGAGACGTACGAAGCCTTGATGTCAGCTCACGACTACTTTCCACATAACGTCTGGAATATAGACGAAACAGGCATCGCGATTGGCGAAGGGATCGAGGGTATAGTGTACGGATCGTCAGAGAAACATTGAGGCATATACGAAGTCGTTCACGATCAGTAATATACAATCAGGCTTCTCTGCAACTGGAATATACCCATTAGATCCATCGCGACCTCAGCCGACGATAGCCCCCCTATCAGAACGACCAACTACACCACCGACAGCTGGTAATTGGCTTAATCCGACAATAATAGCGACGCCAGTGACTAGCTTAGTAGCTAGGGAGAGTCTGGCAGCGATTACGCCATTGCGATCGTCGCAACGGCTATTGTTTCGAAAGCTGACTCGTCGGCTAGATGTACAGAGCGTCTAGCTCGCTACTTTGACCTAACGTGCACACGCATTAGAAGCCGAGATAACTTTGTTACGCCCCAAACCACATAAGAAGGTACGATTAGGGCCTAATGAACGATTTGGTAACATTGTACAGATTAAGGAAGCGATGGATCGAGCCCTTGAAGTAGAACGGCAATGAGACCAGGTACAACGTCGGAATCAGGTAATACTGGACCCAGCTAAGGCGTCAGAATCTATCAGATCTATATCTCAGGAAGCTCTAGAGCACAGCTTTCTATTAGAGCTGGTTGTACCTGAATAACTATAATAGTACGTTGAATACACTGTTTCGAATACCTTCAATTGGATTGCAATATGTGGTCAGAAACGTGGGTGGCCGGAAAGGTGGGGTTGTACGTTATTTGGCCCTCATCAGCAGTACGTTTAACTATGGCCTAGCGCAGCGTAGAAAGAACATCGAACGATAAACTTCGAAATAAAACTCGGCATCAACCACTGCAAGCCTACTGATGAACATCATATGAAACCCACTGGAAAACCTCTGTCCATTGAAATTCAATCCAAAATTGAAAAGTGGGCGTAGTTGGCGAATATCAAGAAGAATATCAAAGACTTGGAAGGAGCAAATGTCACTAGTCACGATGGACTGCGCTAAGAGTTGGAGTTAACTCTATCGGGATTCCACTTCTCGTGGCTTTGCAGACCTCCAACTGCGTGCGCTCTTAATCGTCCCGGAGTCTGCCCGTTCCATCTGGCTTTGCAATGGACTCTCGGAAGGCAAACCTATGTGACTGTTCCAGACATTCCTCTCACACGTCCGGCGTACCTTCAGATTGAGGGATTTATTGTTCAGCATTGCTGTTATACTTCATCGCGTCTCGTTCTTTCTTTAGTGGCGGCCCCCTCACCACCGCAACTATGACTGCCGACCCGAAACCCGCACCGGCAGAGTTGTGGAGGCATCCGGACCCCCATTCAACGCACATGTACAAGTTTCTGGAGCACGTCAAGTCGAAATACAGCGTGGAAATTGACGATTACCCGGGATTGTACAAGTGGTCAGTCGAGAACATCGCCGAATTCTGGGAGGAGATGTGGCATTTCTGCGACATCAAGGCGTCGAGGCAGTACGATCAGGTAGGATTACGTTGACTTGCTTACGCGTTCTTTGGCCCAACGGGGATTGTGATTTTTGATTCGAGATCTCGGATGAAGCGTGTTTTGCGTCGTCAAATCGTTCAATTATCGTAGCAGGTCCATTTCCGGGCGAAGACCAGTGGCTAAGCAATTTTCAGGTGCTTCCTAAGGATGCACCAATGTTTCCCCGTCCGGACTTCTTCCCCGGTTCCACCCTCAACTTCGCAGAGAACCTGCTGTTTCCTCAAGGTTGTACCGAGTCCAGCACGGCTGTGATCACAGTCACTGAGGTCGAAGGCCAGGTCACTTACACCACCTGGTGGGAGCTGCGGGATGCAGTACGCCGATGCTCAAGTTCTCTGCGGGCTGCAGGACTCAAGCGCAATGACATCGTTGCTGGGTTCGTATCCAATCATGTTCAGGCGCTTGTAGCCATGCTAGCTGCCGCATCCATCGGGGCCATCTGGACGGGTATAAGTCCGGATAATGGAGTCAGTGCGGTGCTGGATCGACTGGCTCAGATTGGACCCAAGGTTTTGTTTGCAGACAACACAACCGTGTACAACGGAAAATTCTGGTCAAGCACAGATAAGACATCCCAGATAGTTGATGAATTAAGAACCAAGGGTCTGGAGCTGGTCGTCGTGATTAACAATATCGAGGGTGACTTGGGGTTGGAAGATCTGCTAGCTAAGGGGGTTGCGGCAAAGGAGTATGAAAGTTTCTTGGAGAGGTATTTTCATGAGACATGCACTGTCAAGATTGAATTTGATTACTGACTACGGCAACAGTTCCAAGGATGCGCCCCTGAAATTTGAACAGCTGCCCCCTTCTCACCCGCTTTACATCCTCTACTCTAGCGGCACCACCGGTCTACCCAAAGCAATCGTTCATACTGCTCTGGGCACCTTGATACAACACAAGAAGGAGCACTACCTCCACTGCAATATGAACCCGCAATCGAGGATGCTCTACTACACAACTACATCGTGGATGATGTGGCACTGGAGCATCTCGGCGCTTGCATGTGGCGTCAGTCTCGTGCTGTATACGGGATCTCCCTTCAAGCCCCACGGCTATCTCTCCATCCCGAAACTCCTAGCCGAGCTGGATGTCACTCACTTCGGAACTTCAGCAGCATACCTGACGACGCTCGAGACCCATGGCGTCTACCCTAACCAGACCATCGATCTTCCTCACCTGGAAGCAATCTACTCAACCGCATCGCCTTTGCCACCGTCGACGTTCTCGTTCTTGTACAAAGCCTTCCCCTCGCGCATCAACCTCGGTTCAATCACTGGGGGAACAGATATCATCTCATTGTTTGGAACCCCATGTCCACTCCTCCCAGTCTATGTGGGTGAGATTCAGTGCGCTGGTCTGGGAATGGCTATTTCGGTTGCCGACTCCATCACGGGCGAGCCAACACCTGGTGAAGATGGCGAGCTGGTCTGTACAAAGCCGTTCCCCTGTCAGCCTTTGACATTCTGGGGACAGGGTGGCGATGCCAAGTACAAGTCCAGCTACTTCGAGCGATTTGATGGTATCTGGCACCATGGCGACTTTGTTAGGATAGACACCCAAACTGGCGGGATGGCCATGCTGGGGCGATCAGATGGTGTTCTAAAGCCGGCAGGTGTTCGATTCGGGTCTGCTGAGATCTATAACGTGCTGATCAAGTTCTTTGGAAGCGAGGTTGAGGACGCCGTTTGCGTTGGCAGGAGGAGGGAGACGGATCGCGACGAGACGGTCTGTTTGTTCGTGGTCATGTGCGAGGGCAAGACTTTTACACATGAACTACAAGAAAGGATTAAGACTGTAATCAGAAAAGAGTTGAGCCCGCGGCATGTGCCTGGTGTTGTTGAGGAGTGTGGTGCAGGAATTCCAAAGACAGGCAACGGCAAAAAGTAAGTATTCTGGCGAGACTTTCGGACGCGGTAGTACGAGTGCTGATTCATTGGACAGGATTGAGGTCGCGGTAAAGCAGATTCTCTCTGGTATGAAGATTAAGACGAATGCAAGTGTGGCGAACCCAGAGACTTTGGCTTGGTTCACTGAATGGGCGGCAACACACGAATAGATACGTGCTGCGGTAACCTAGAACATGGCGGAAACCCACAATGAAGAGACTGGATGCCTCGCATGTGGATACACCACAATATATATTTAGATGATGTGCCAAGGGGCAAAATATAAAAAAGAGAATTGCAACTGCATTATGGTCCGCGCACTGGTGTGGACGGCTGGCCCCTCTAATCCAACCCAACCCAACAACAACATCGCTCCCTCTAGTCAGGAAAGGGTTCTATGCACACTTGATATTGCTCCAAGGTGCCCTCGGCAGTCGGTCACTTCGTGAATGTTCAACAGGTAAACGATCAGTACGCCTGCTGCTACTTGAGAACTGCCCCAGCATGCTTCTCAAAGTAAGTCTCCCTTTCTCCTCACCTCGTCTGCCTTGAGTGTCAAAATCCGCGAAAACAGACTCCTCCAGGAATCGAATTCCAGACCGCCGGCTGGGCCAGAGGAATAAATCAAGCCGACGTGACGATGAATCAATCCATTGAACAATATCTGCTTGTCCGTATTGTTCACACCAAACTACCACATCACTTCCCTCAATCTCCTCTTTTCCTCATCGCCACCAAATATGACATCGATCCCCTTCCTTGCCAACCCTAGCAATGCCTCCCGTTTCAGCTTGAAATGTTCCTCAATCAACCTCCACTCATTTGACACAGGGCTGCCAAAAACACCCACATCATCCGTCTGTATTGATGAATTAGCTGACATACCATTCGTCGTATATAAAACCAAGAATGCAACAACCCCGGCGAATAGGGAACAGTGATCAACTTACGCAAGGCACAACCACCACCCCCTCCACCCTCCACCACTCCCCAAAATGATGTGCCTCGAAACTCCCCACAATCATCTTAGCATGCACATTACAGCTCAAACACAACTCCAGCCCCAACCCCCTGCCCCTCTCCCTCCCTGTCTCAACAATCCGCCGCTTAACCTCGTCCGGTACATGTATCACGTGCCCTAATCGATCAGGTCCCCATACCAGAATCGTATCCAACTCCTCCTCGCTGGCGCTACACTTCGCCTCCGCGAAGTGAATCGTCAACCCCAACCCTGCATGCTTAGCCTCCCGAAAAGCCGGCGTGAAGAGCGAGACGTCGCCCTTGGCCGGATCGCCGCACAGATCGACGGCCACGACGCCGCGGGCCCGAAACTGCTTCGCCAGGGAGACGACCTCGAAGGCTTCGTCCCGGTTGTTGCGCCGGTCGACCGAGAGGATCAGCCGTGTGTGGATGCTAGGGTTTTCCCGCTCGGCGGAAGTGATAGCTTCCAGCACGACATTAACGTAACCTGCCTTGTCCAGGCCTGCGCTGGGCATAGCGCGGGGGGTTGTTCGTAGCTCGACGTAGACCACCCCATCGTCTGCGAAGTCCTTGATGACGGACTTGGTTGTGTACTCTAGCGCTTCTGCATCGTTGACGAGGTGGTAGATGTAGGATGAGAAGAGGGGGAAGAAGCTGTAGGTCGTCTAAGTGACTAGGTCTGTACTAGTGCGGTTCGTCGAGCACTCACGTGTTGAGATCGTAGTCGTGCTTATCCACAGGCATGACTACCAATGGATCTTCCAGATCGGTCATTCCGACTGCCTTCTTCCTAACCCAGATTTCATGGAGACATTGCCGGCTGATACTGCCACTCAAGTGAGCATGAAGCTGTGTGGGAAAGAACGGTTAGTTGGAGAAGGAGACGATAAATTAAGTCAGCATAGAAAGTTGAGGCAACATCTTCCATATTCTCAAACATTTTTCTCACTTGGGGAAGAACTCTCTCTCCTCTCTCGCGCATAACCACGAGCAACGCAAACAAATCGTCATCTTATCAGTTGCACCTGTTACAGAACACGGCTCAAGCAACCAGCGAAGATAGAAGACATGAAAGGACAATGAAGTCCGGAAAGCTTGTGGTTACCTCTATCTTCGGCATGGCCTTGAAATCTAGATCGGCCATGATGTTTGGCGTTGATGGGTTGGGTCCGGGCAATTTGGCTCACCTCCGTCCATCCGGGTATGTAAAGTTGATAAAGCACAGCTCGGAATGGCCAACGCAGCGTGGCGTCGTGCTAGAAACGAACAAGCGACGCCGGCCCGGGGTGAATCTGACTCCGCTGTGGACCGACCGCCGGCATACGTAAAGCGTGAGCATAACGAGCTATTATTACGACGAGCTGCTGTGAACTCCAAAACTTTTAGTGGACGCGAGATCTGGTCTTCAGGGTGGCCGATGAGACATTTCCGGGTGGAGCTAGGATCCCCGACTGTTGAATTGATATTCGAGACAGTAGATTGACAGTCAAGAGTTTCTCGATTGCAATTGAACGAACCCGGTTGAATGGCCGTATGAGTTGAACCATTCCCTGAATCATCACCAGTCCAGTGCCAACACATGTTCGCTTGGACATGCGTTGACTCGCTGCATCTGGTAGACGGGCGACAGCACCTGACTCGGATACTTCGTCATCCCGTTCAATTACCATGGAATTAAGTAAAGCAGGCGCTCCTGATACCGTCGACCGGATACTTGGATTAGCCATGTTCCAGAAAGGGGCTAGCGTCGGCGGACAACAAGCCGCATTGAGTCGTAAATTCGTCAACGACCGTGCCAGAGAATTTCCGTCGAAGGTATCATCGCGTACCGTTGTCGAGATAGCTATCGCCAACGAGGGCCCAGTCCGCGTAGGCCTGGTACTAGGTTCAAAATGAGCCCACCAAGAGCAAGGAAAGAGAGTGAGCTTCACAATTTATCTCCCGCAGGTACAAACGGTCCGATATGTGGGACACTGTAACAAGTTGGTGAGAATACCCCTGCTAGTTCTCTCATTCGAAATGAACCGCCAAACCCTCCTTATGAAAAAGCATTCTCGAAGAATCTTGGATCATAAAAAGAACATTCCCAAACACCCCAGGCTTCTGTTTCACGGTTGCTGACCGTGTATCATATGCAATCCTGGGCGCGTCGAAGGAAGATCTCGCTGGCAGATGCCAGACGCAATGCAGGTCATCCAGGTCCATAATTCCCAAGCTGAACTAGGCAACTTTGGGACCGACAGCTTCTCGTATTGCCCCAGTCCCAGACAAGCTAGAGGCGCCAGGAGGATTTGATGACGAAATTCGTAAGATGTCCCTTTGAAGGTGACTACTGGTCCAATGCCACCGAGTCTACTACGTATCTTGACTTCATGTCCGCAACTTCACCGGTACGGATTGGGCTGCGGGAACTGGCCGAGATTCTCTGGGTTGGACGGGACGAAAGACGTGGAAGGATGGATCCGACACGGGCGCGCGGGAGAAGGTGGAGTACATGCTCGAGTACCTTGCATATGCGAGACGATACTAGAGAGTACCGAATGGGATAACACCTAAGTATGAGCTAAATGACAATATTAGAGCAGCTCGTGCTGTTAAAGCAAGAGGTACCTTGTCTAGCTCCCAGGCTGCGGGGAATGTCGCTCCCCAAAGGTCTGCAAGGGCAACATCCTGGATGCAGGGTATGGAGAAAGTTGGCCGCTGAGATTGCGAAAATATCTTGATGTTGATTACGAAGGGCATGAGGCCTTTGCGAGCTCGAAAATGAGCATCGTTGGTGGGATTAACCCAGCTTGAAATTGTCGCTTCAGCAGCTGGAGAAAATAAACGCTGTCTCGTCAACTCGATTTCACCGCAAGACAGTCCGTAGACGATACCTGAAGTGGCTAGTCATGTACGTGCCGTTGTGAATGTCGACCTACAGGAAGCCCGCAGTTTCTTTTGTCTGTAAGAGAGCTGTCAAGCGGACAAGTTGTCAAGCTGGCGATCTTGGAACAGGTCGACATATTGCGGCTCGGTTCGGGTCACTCGCGAGAATAAAGCCAACGCGAACGTTTGTGTGATGCGAGCGAGGGCGCCATAACCTGTAAAAGTTTGATGTACAGCTTGAGTTGGCGGGTGAGTCCCCTTCCAGGAACAGCTCCAACCTTAAATGACGCAATGCGTCGAAGGATGTAGACCAAGGTCATTGTGAGTGTTGAAGCCGACTCCTCAGAGAAGGGCTTCAAGGTCTTGTGTACGTCAGGATGAAGGTGTCAGGATGACGAAGGTGGGATGAGATAAAGCCACAGTTTTGGGGAGGACTACCGCTTGTAACTAGAACGAAGTAGTAGTGAAGTTAATATTGACAGTGTTGTCAAAGGTTTGCATGACAGATCGAGCCGTTTCCAGTAGGTTTTGACAGCATTGGTACGAGCTTTCTTCTCGTCGCAGTCGATGCTGCAACATTCGACCAAGTCAGCTGGCATAGCAGGGCTGCTCATGACTTTGGTCCATTCATGCGTAAATGAAATCGTCAAGTTATGATGAGGAACAAGACCTTCAGCCGCTGTGTTATATGAACCTTATTCCGACGAGCTCTGGTGATAACCTCGAGAGGAGAAGCCGCAGATTGCAGACTGTATTGCGACATTATCAAGCACTGTGTAGCACCAAATTCCTTTTGGCTGTCTCTGGAAGCGGCCAATCTCAAATCATTGGAGAGCTCTCTTCAATGTCAGGCCAGGTCCTTAGGGTGAGCGCCGGGAATGGTGTAAGTTGGGGAATGGGAATCGGGATGGGAATTTGAGACAACGTCCCGGCAAGTAATGGCATAAATTCCGAGGCAGAGCAGGCATGAACACGACACGAGCGAAGCAGAAGCAGGGCACACGATCTAGCATCCCAGGCTGCATCTGCCTTTGTATTAGTGAGGTTTCCCAGAGACAGATGTTCATTCCCCTCTTGCACGCACACAACCTGGAACAAAAATTAAAATCCAACCGGAGGTCATCGCAAGTGGTCAGAATCACTACGTCCAGACGAACTCACAGCTGGGCATCGAGATTCCTTTGCCCGCTGACATGACACTCAAGCCCCGACGACCTAACGAGCATCACGCCTTCCAAAGGAAAGCACACACCACCTACACCATTACCTACAAGTGAACTAGGCACCATCAGCTGAAGTACGGAGTACACTGCACGCACTAATAAAGGCGGCTCTCGGAAAGAGCTTGTCGTCAACTCGCAGGTGTCCCCAACTACCAGCAACCAGCTTCATCCCTAGAGCCATCCACCGTCACTTAGCACCTGGGCACATCCCGACAAGCGCGACTTGTCGACCGCCACATCAGATCTAGACGTCGACCTGGATTGATCTGTTCGACGGGAACTTGACTTTCATCAGCAAAGTTCTTCTTTTTTTTCTTCTTTAGTAAGTTGGTCGTGGTTACCGCTGGTCTGGCGGCTGTCTCATTGAATCTAAATCGCTCGCTACCTTTGTTAGGGGATTCGTACGCGAAGTCGAATCATCATTGGATTTCGATTTCTCCGCTGGAGCACTTTCCACGTTGTATTTGTTTATTTCCTCGTCCCCTGCAACAACCGACCGACTGACTGCCTCCAACCTGGCTAGCCTCTGGTGCATTCATAAGCACATTTGGATCCCAATTCCGCTTCGCACCGTCAGACCCGTCTCCTGAAATCAATCCCATTGCCAGCTCCACACCTGTTCTCCCAGGCAATCTGGGCCCCCGGCGACAATCGATTGCTACTGTGTCCCAAGCGGCTTTTAACTGGCCCAACGCAAACCCCCCTGAAGCTTGCACGGCTTGCGTCTCCTCACTGACCCCGACCTAATCCAACCTCACCTTTTCCCTTTTTCCTTTCGGTATCCTCTCCACACATCCGCTCAATCCACGGTTTGACGTCCAGCAATAGTCGAACACCGCACCCTATCCTCCTCGGCCCTCCTCCCTCTAGACACACGCTGCCATGGAATCGCAACGGCCGAATGATGTGTCGCCCGAGGCGATGCAGGCGCGCATCCAGCAAGCGCGACGCGAGGCTGAGACGCTGAAGGACAGGATCAAGCGGAAGAAGGACGAACTGGCAGACACGACCCGTGAGTGAACAATACCTTGCCCATCAATTCCCCTCCCCCGTTTCCACATCCTCCCATCTACGGTACCGCGCGATTCGTATCTGGCATGTCCAAAATATTGGGAGCATGGTGCTGACCCAAATGCTTCTCCGACAACAGTGCGCGCGGTATCGCAGCAATCACACGACTCCATCCCCAAGAACCAATTGATGAAGACGAAAAGAACGCTCAAGGGCCATTTGGCAAAGATATACGCCATGCACTGGTCGACAGACCGAAGACATCTGGTATCTGCCTCGCAGGACGGGAAGCTGATTATCTGGGATGCCTACACCACAAACAAGGTCCACGCCATCCCTCTGAGATCGTCATGGGTCATGACCTGCGCATACGCTCCGAGCGGAAACTACGTAGCATGCGGTGGTCTCGACAACATCTGCTCCATTTACAACTTAAATCAGAACCGAGATGGTCCGACGCGTGTGGCGCGGGAGCTATCCGGACACGCGGGATATTTGTCCTGCTGCCGGTTCATCAACGACCGGAGTATTCTGACTTCATCTGGGGACATGACGTGCATGAAGTGGGATATCGAGACGGGAACCAAGGTCATTGAGTTTGCGGATCATCTAGGCGACGTCATGAGCATCAGCTTGAACCCGACAAACCAAAACACCTTCATCTCGGGTGCTTGCGATGCATTTGCCAAGCTGTGGGATATCCGCGCCGGCAAGGCCGTCCAGACATTTGCTGGTCATGAGTCCGATATCAACGCCATCCAGTTCTTCCCCGACGGCCACTCTTTTGTGACGGGTTCCGACGACGCCACTTGCAGATTATTTGATATCCGCGCAGACAGGGAGCTCAACCTCTATGGGGTCAGTCACATTTTCTTACGTGTCACTCAACATTATTGGGAGCTGTGTAGCTAATACGGGATGCTAGTCGGAGTCAATTCTTTGCGGCATCACGTCTGTTGCCACCTCAGTATCCGGTCGCCTTTTGTTCGCCGGTTACGACGATTTCGAGTGCAAGGTGAGCCTCCCCGCCACTATGAACGGCAGTAAGCTGGGAATTAACCTAAATAGGTCTGGGACATCACTCGGGGGGAGAAGGTCGGCTCTCTTGTGGGCCACGAGAACCGTGTTAGCTGCTTGGGAGTTAGCAACGACGGCATCAGCCTTTGCACGGGTTCTTGGGATTCAGTGGTCAGTATCTGCTGCTCGCAAACGGGGAAGAAGGTGGCTAACATAGGTGCAGTTGAAAATCTGGGCCTACTAAACATCGGAATCCCGCTATGACGACAGCGATATGCATAATACTGGGCCATTACACCGCTGGAGCGCCTCATCCGGCACACCTTTCTTCGAGTGGTTATTTTGAATTAATTCAACCTTGATACGCCTTTTAATCTCCAAGACGTGGCGTATCCAGGACGAAGTGACGACTACTACAGCCTTTTTCCCAATACCTATTTCCTTCGACGAGACACCACACTCGACTCTTACCGCCACCGATTCGACAGACGATAGAGCAATGAGCTGGTTGAGTCGAGCTCCGGTCAGCAACCTCGATACTATACTCCCTCTTAATCTCTCCTTCCTGCCTCCAACTCCCTTTTTCAGAGGCAGCTGTATTACAAGGGCCTGCTTTCCGACCCCGTCCTCGAATGTGTACACGCCGAAGAAGCCCTTTCCCGAACCGAGCTCTTTGCCGATACGGGCAAGGATGTGATGGTTACACACGCATCCCGCCTGCTCTGCCCCAGGGATGCTTAATCACATTTGCGCTGGGAGCACTCTAGATGCAGTACGGGTCACGCAAACAGAGCCGCATCATTTCTGGGGAATTTGTCTATACCAAAAAGGCTTCTGCACCGAAAACGTCCTCGCGCGCCAAGTTGATTTTCTTTTTGTTCTTGCGATTACTTGAGACCCCCGATCTTGTTATGGTAGATGGAGCAAGAGGCATGCGTTACTCTTTTGTTGATACGATGAAAACTTAGGGACTGGGACGCACCAGTCACTCTGATCTTGATGGGAAGAGAGCACGAGCAATACCGGACATGGGTGATGGCTTGATACACTTTTCCGTCTTTCCATAATAGTTCCGAACCGTCTAGCTTCTCTCTCCTTGCGTCCGTGTATGTATGTGTGAAGAAATGGGAGGCAGGCCATGGGTTTGGCCGGGAGTGTAAGGAGCAAGGAGAGGAGGATACTCGATGAGGCGTCGACACTATGGTCTCTCCTAGTGCTGTTTGTACCATAGTCACCGCTGAATACTCAAACCACCCAAATATTCCCGTCCAACACGTTTTTCTCCCTCGATTCCTTCCTTAGGTTGACCCCTACCTGTATGTGTATGCGATGATTGCCGAATTGCCGCATCATCGTGCAGCCTATTCCTGTCACATGCTGTAGCCTTCAGATAAGAATAGTACGGGGGAGCCTCCCTTACGCGCTACGTGCAGCATCTAGCCCGTGGCGTCGATTTCAGTTCATCATACAGCGCGCCCGGTGAGGAGAAGGTGCGAGGGGAAAGAACAGTGATGGCCACTTGAAGCGCGTCATATGAAATCTCAATGATGTTTTGATACTGATATCGAGGGAGCTCAAGCTGACTAAGCGGCATCAGAATGGCAAGCCAGCAATATACACTACTAAAGTACAAAGCTTTATTTCCTGGTAGGGCTGCAACCTGTTCAGCTCGCAGAAACCTAGTTCAAAGGCAGCTCAGAAAGCTAGATGTGGGCGGTGGGGGGAGGGCGGTGGGGGTTGGAAGGGCGGCGAGCCGGAGAGGCAAAAGGGAACGCCAGATGCGGGAAACACCAGACACGGGAAACGCCAGACACAACGCCCAGCTGCCGCTTCGAACGTTGTACAGGTTCGGGCTGCCGATATCTGTCTCTGCCCAGGCACGAAAGATGTGCCAAGATACCATTTTGGAAATTGTTTCGTGAAGTTCAGAGTTCGGTGGAGAGTTGGCGCTTGGAGACGAGGTATCTAGGACTTGCTGGGCATGGGGCCGTCCATTTCACCACAACAAACTGTGCACCTTAAGACGAAGTGCGCAAAGACACGTTCGGTAGGTTTAGTCCCGGCGGTATATTTTATCGCTATATCGCTTCCATAAACGTGAGCTTCCAGGCCTTTGCGGGCAGGCTGTTGCTCGACGTGACGTTAATAATGGCTGGGTATTTCGAGTGTCATTCGCATCGATAAACAGGATTCGCGATCGAGCTAAACAACAGTTACAAGTCCCTATCAGAAACTGACAGACTGCAATGGCGTGTCTCTGGCTGTACTCCCGACTTGTATGCAGGTCTGAGAGGACCCGTCTTCCCTTTATGCACCTGCAGGCGGCCATGACATCCGAGCTACCGCTAGCTAAATTAGCTGCGGACGTATTCACCTGGTTGGACTCTGGTGCGTCGGGAAAGAGTAGACGCGTCGTCTGAAATCTGGCCTAGCGCCGCCAGGGCTACACCGATGAACAAGCTCAAAAAGGTCGGCTTCAGACAAAAGAGGGGTCGACTTGATATGGCCGTAGCGGTCAACGTTCGGACGAGCCTCAGGTATCGCGGGTGCTGGTACGATCAAATTAGGGCGCATCGGAGTGCAATTCGGCCGATGCTTGATAGTAGCTTTATCCGCCTGAGCAAACAAACGCACTGCTGCTATCATGGTGTGGATGAGAGGAGTTGACCTTTATCAAGGAGCATACAACTCGAATCAGTACCCATGATCGACAACCAGGATGCCCCTCTGGAGACTGCGGAAAGGCCTATTAGACGGGGAGATCTGGAATCCAGAGCGATAGCGAGGCTCAAACCGAGACGTAGACAACGGCACTGAAACCACAATCAACGTCCCTGAAACATGCCGACTGGTTCGGGCCAGAGATGCTTGGTGCTCAAGCTAAAAATCGATTCGAGCCTCATGCAACTGTGCTTGACGTCAGACAAGCGGTTTAATCATACGGACTTCGGGACCAGTATCGTCTGGCCAGCCAATGACGAAGGGCACCGACGGGAAACAATATGAGATAGCGCGTTATGGACGGACTGACTCGATTGATTCTATCCTCAGTGCGCCGTTTGTTTTGCTAACCACTTGTCTGTGGAAGGCCCAGTCGGTTGCAACAGAGCGCGGTGGCTGCTCATACTGGGACTTAGGTCCTGATCGGCAGCGTGTCCAGCGGACCTTGTAGGGTCGACTCGGCACATCGTTTTTTTATTTATCGACAGCTAATGTGCCACTTAACCTATTTTGGCACTGATTTTGGCCACAACTGCATCCACTGTGTCCAGACGAGAAACTTGGCATGTACCGCGCTAGACAGGGGCTCCTCCGGGGTATGAAATAGGTAAGGCGCCCTAATTCTGCCAAATCTGTGCCCAAACGCAGTGTGCCCAAGTAACAGTCCAAGCGGTCGGATTCAGCAGTATTTTGACTGCTGGGCACCAACTTGCTGAGTCAGCAAGCGCTAAGATGGCGAGCGAAGTTACTGATATCCGACGGACTGCCTTTATTATAGCAGTCAACTCTGCGTTACAAGTGCTACGCAATAGCTACAGTCTCGATCGGGAAGGGGACCGTAGGTTCCTAGGCGCCGAGGATCGTGAAGTAGTCCACGAGGGGGGGTTCGTGGCGGCGAGGTGTCAGATAGGGCACCTGGTTCCTAGGTTCAGAAATAATATGGCACTAGAGAAGACTATTGTCACTTAAAGTTCAGAAGGCGAAAGGAACCCCTCTTCTCAAAAGTAACACCAAAGTTACCGACATGTTCTAAAGCATCTATAAAAGGCAGAGCAACGGGAGTTCGCGAGAACAGAAGTGTCAGAGCCACAAGTGTCATCCGAGGCGGGCCGGCTTCCACCAGGAAGGAAGTCGTTTGTGGCGGCTAGAGAGCCGCTTGTGGCGAATGAGAGCTGTTGAAGCCGTTTGCAGCGGATAGGGAATCGCTTGGTTGCAGATAAAGAGCCGCTATCCAAGATGTTGGCCGAAGTCGGAGGAACACAGACATGCGGAAGCAAACATCCAGAATCCAACAGAGAACCTCGGCTGGCTATAAGTAAGGAGTCAAGACGGAGGAAGATAGAGAGGGGAGAGATCAATGAACTACTGTGGACACCCTTACCTGTCATCACCAAGTGACCACCAGTGACCACCAGGGGGACACGCCTATTTCTCCCCTTCACTCTGTACTATCGCCTTCGGTCCAGGCCGTACCCTGACAAGAAGACAGACAGACAAGAACACACCTCATTTATATACAATCTTACGCACTGCTGACTACTCGATTGGACACACGTGATATTCGACACGAGGCGGCTAGCGATTCGACTACTTGAAGGCTCGCCAACGCACTTCTTTCAGCTATTTCGGATGAATAAGGACACTTTCTGGAAGCTATTAGAATGGCCTGAAACGTACACAGCGTTCAAGGGGACCTACTATCAATCGGCGGCGCAGAAGTTGATGATCTTCCTCTGGATCTTGGCATATAACAAGCCACAGCGGAACGTAGCCCATCGATTCCACTGCGCGCAGAGCACTGTATCAGATGTATTCCATTCGTTATTACCGGTGAAGTTGCCAAGCAGCAGTTATCTGAGCCGTGAGATCGAATTCAGCCCGAAGTTGAACGCCTTCAGTGGATGTATTGGAGCAGTTGATGGGACTCTGATCCACGCCTTTATCCCAGTCAATCGACAGAGACGCTGGCGTAGCCGCAAGGGCTGGGTTTCTCAGAGTGTATTCGCAGCAGTCCGGCCCGATGGCACCTTCTCGTACGTGCTGGCAGGAGGGGAGGGATCGATCCACGATTCGAGTCTCGCTTCTAGGGCCTTCGCGGGCTCCTTTACGATACCAGAGGATCGATTCTACCTAGGCGACGGCGGATTTGGTCAGCGACGAGGGCTTCTAATCCCATACTTCGATACACGTTACCATCTTCAAGAGTGGCGCTATGGGGGGCGGAAGCCAGAAACAGCGAAAGAGCTCTACAATCTACGCCATTCGGGGGTCCGCGTAATCGTTGAGCAGATTTTTGGTGTACTGAAGAGGAAGTGAAAGATAATTCGTGCTTCAGCACCCGAATATGGGCTCAGAACGCAGATTCGAATCGTATACGCCGTTTGCGCGCTCCATAACTTCATCCGACGCGGCGGGAAGGTTGAAGAGGATGATAATGATGGCTTGAGCGATAGACAGTTGCAATTCCTTGAGCAACGGCGAGGTTGGCTACGGCAGAAGAGATGGAGGAAGACGTCCTATAAGGTCCGCCATAGAATCGCAGTAAAGATGTGGAAGGATTACTACGCTTATTTAAGGGCCAGTACAACGGATGATGATGAAGAAATCGAAAATCAATAGAACTATTCAATCAAATCGTTCCTACTAGCCCTAGCCCTACCCCTGTTGACGCCTTCTGCTCCAACGCCGTCGCCTTCAACTTCCTCTTCATCAATCTTCGCACCGATTCTCGTCAATAGCCATAGCCTACGTTCGTGGGGATCGCTAAGCTGGCAATAGAGGACGCTATTCGTAGTGTTGCTCCCGATCTCGTCGTACGCCTTCATCCGTAGCCGCCAGTTAAGATCCTTCACGAAGCCGTCACTCTGAAGTAGCTTCATCGCGGCAGCTATATCAGTAGCACCAATAGGGCGACTAATCGCACGCGAGGCTCGTTCAATACTACTACCGAGGTCAGTTAACTGCTTCTTACGATCCCGCTTCCTACTAAACTCTCGCTGTAGGTCCTTCACATGCTTATGGCGCTGTCGCGCCTCATTATCGTCATCCGATTCGTCAGATATCGTGGTGTTGATGTCCGGATCCAGCCTCTGCCTCTTCCGCCGCCCCGTTATGATAGAAGTACTTGAAGTACTTAGTGTTGGTGTTAATAGGCTGTCAGCGTCGGATTGGTCGCTTAGGATAGCCTCGGGGACATCCTCTTCATCACCGGGCTCAGCTATGTATTCCCCAGCTGATTCGGCCCAGAAGATCTCTTGCTGAATAGAAATAGGACCAACTGGTTCGGTAACCAGCCACCTCGATTTGGCGCCATGTTTATTGATAAAGCTGTTGATACGATCCGGGGAGTCGGTACACTTCAGAGTGTCTGGGTCGATAGATAGCCCCGACTTGGCGGCGGCTAGGTAAACACCCCATCTGATCCTCTCATCCGCGTACTTCTTGCTAACTTTATCAATAGACCAAACGTACTGTGTATCTTGATTCAATAGCTCTACGAGCTTCTGCCAAGCCGGTTTACGCGCGCTAGGCCTGTCTATATTCAGCATCCCAGCCCGGAACACTTCAAGCACCTTCTGTAAGAAGATCACTGATGCGAGTGCATATGTGTCAGGGTACGGCTAGGCCGAAGGCAATAGTACAGAGTGATGGGGAGTAACGGGCGTCCCTCCTACGTAGCACCGGGTGGTCACTGGCGGTCTCAGGTAGGGGTGCCCACGGTGATGCATTGATCTCTGCCCTCTCTATCTTCCTCCGTCTCGACTCCTTACTTATAGCCAGCCGAGTTTCTCTCTTGGATTCTGGATGTTTGCTTCCGTATGTCTGTGTTCCTCCGACTTCGGCCAATATCTTGGACAGCGGCTCCTTATCTGCAACCAAGCGATTCCCTATCCGCTGCAAACGGCTTCAACGGCTCTCATTCGCCACAAGCGGCTCTCTAGCCGCCACAAACGGCTTCCTACCTGGTGGAAGCCGGCCCGCCTCGGATGACACTTGTGGCTCTGACAACTCCTTCCCTATCCTACTTCGAGATGGTCCTTATATAGATAGCTAGGCCGCCGCTTGGACCCGGCATAACAGCAGGGTCGGCGATGCCAAGGATCTTGACTCTCGTCATCCCAAAGCTTCACATAGATTGTAATCATGATTCGGGAGTCTTTTGTCCGAAACACCCCTCCGGCGGCCCGCCGGTGTCCTGCGTTCAGTGTCCTGACACCCACTGGTGCCTATGGCATTCTGTTCTCTGACAATATGGATGTGGGTGTGAATTGTTGTATTGGGAAAGGATGCCAGGTCAGCTATTCTGGCCTGGCAGAGCTCTTTTATAGCTCTTATCTATCTTATCTATAGCTATAGGGTAACCCCCATGGGGTCACGTATCAATCACCCTCAACGATGGTGTCATTCGAGTAGTAGTCTTTATCGCATGATGCCGAGCCTCCCGCGTTGTTGGCTTCCTATTCCTCTTCCTCTGCCCCGCTGGCAGAGGCGTTTGGGGGGCGGAGGACCGCGAAGCGGCTCGATCGGTTGGGGTACGAGAGAGAATATCTTCGATATTAGGGAAGTTGGGAATAGCATCATCATCGCCCTCTACGACAGTAGACTGCGTAAAGCCACTATCAGGGGGGACGAACTGGGCGTCCTCTCCACTAGGACCAGCTACAGCGGCGCTGTTAGCGAAGGGGCCTTGGAATTCGTCTTCAAGCCACTGTGATGAAGCCATAATTGATGAAGTTATCGCCAAAGGTATTTTTCTACACAGTTTTCTAAACACTAATGTTAAGTGGCAAGTTTCATTGACACCGCCTGCTTAATTCGGTAGGGTTCCACTGCTAATTTTGATTTAGGTACGTCCTGGGCCCTCTACTAGCTACATCTAACGCTAGTAGGGATTAGGAAGTCACTTTGTGCCGAGCGAAGGTGTGCCCAAACGAGCTGCCGATCAGGACCAAAGTCACATGGCGACAAGTCGTGTGATCCCGAACTCGTCAGATGGAACTAAATGAGTGAAGAGCGGTGTAGTGTATGCTTCGGGGTCGATTTTCAGGATGCAACTGCTAGAACATTCCAATAAACCTTAACGTGTGGCATGTCGACGGGCGGTTCTTACAGATCTTGTCCTGGACGAAAGGATTTGCCCGTATGCGTTTGGCCAGGTAGTGTGGGATTGAGCGCCACGGTTATGCCCTAGGCCGAAGGCGGTGTAGCGGCAATTGCACTAGTGGGGTCAAACCCTTCCTCGTAGATAAAATGGCTACACACTAACAGAGCAGATAGACAGATCAATCAAGACAGGATCTACGCAGAGTCATCAATAGAGGATTGAATCCCTCAGGTAGTCAGTAAACTGGGCGTTACTAATGGCGACTGTCTGGGCCATGTTGAGAGCAAACAGGTAGAACCTGAGTCCAGTTGAGCCGCATATTACCGAATGACATCAAATTGGACATGCCAGACATAAAGATCGAGGTATAGCGGCGGAAAGCGACATGGGAAAACCCTGACGTTCGCACTTGGGGAAGAGTTCTCCACATTTGTTTTACACCTTCGTCTATAAAACGTCGTGTCATTGTAAACAGTCTCGCTCGTTCTAATGGACATGATCTAAAGTTTCAGTCCGCGGCAACTTGAGTTCGCTTCGAATTGTGTGCACGAGTCGTCAGAAAACCGATACCCGTGCCACGCCCCCCTTATTTCGAATTCGCTTGGGCTCACCAACTTGGCCAGTTTTTCGACACTTTCAACTTCAACCTATCTTATCTCCATCAATTCATCAGCTTTTTCTAATCGCAACGGACTCACAGCTACAGGAAGCCGTCCTCTATATGCAAGAGCATCCTCAAGCCAAAATTGCCAAAATTGCGCGAGAAAGCGGCGTAAAACGCGAGACCCTCCGATACCGCGTTAAGCAAGCTAGGAAGACTAAAAACCACGGAGGACTTAACAAACTACTATCTAAAGCCGAAGAATAGGCACGTGAGCTAGGACAAACAAGGGAATATATAAGGGTGAATATATAGATCGCTATATATCTAATATATCTAGCGGGGATTAGCAGAGGAGAGACGGATATATAAGGGATAGGATTCCTTGGTATTTTATAGATACAGTCTCTACTTTAATAATTAATCTAAGTATTGAAACGGGGTCAGGCGGTCAGTAGGATATACCTACCACCTAACACACTGAACAGACGGCTCCAGTACCAACAGATCCCATCTGTTGGTCTGATCAGACGAAGATCGTGGTACTGGTTGTAAGAGCGAAGCTCTTACACGTCTGGTGCGCGAGTTGGTCGGATGTGCCTCTGAGACTCTCGTCGGAATGATTCTCAGAACAAGACGTCTGGCTCTGGAAGTCGAATTGAAGCTCTCACTAGCACTAGATTGCTCTGATCAGAGCAAGACACAATCCTCTGTCATTGTCAAGGCTAGGATGAGGGCAGAATAATAGGATTTCGAAAGTAGTGTCTAAGTGCACGTAGGAATGAACCGCATAATTGAAGGGCTAGCTAACTAGAATAGAAAACAAAAGTCAAGTTGATTGAATAAGATGATGAAAAAGATGACAAGTTGTTGAAAGTCGTCTGTCATCTCCGTGTCCCTTAAGAAGTATGGAAGACAGGGGAGTCCTCCCTGGCCCCTGTCACCTACTTTCCTGACGTCCGGCCTGGCCCCACTACAATATATTAGTATATCCATCACGTACTAACTGATCGAGCGCTTTCGCATACCAGTGTTTGTATACTTGAAAAACAACCACATCCAGAGGTTGTAAGAGATGAGTGAGATGAGGGGGCATGCCGAAGGATATAATATTGTGATCCTCGCAGTACTGGATGAACTGCTTCGTATGGTGACTACCATGGCCGTCTAAGATAAGTAGTCGCTTGTAGCCCTTCTGCGTCTTCTTAGAGTGTTGTTCGAAGTGCGCAAGCCATTCGAGAGGGATCTCGTCATTCGAATAGCCCGTATCGACCGGTCGTAACTTAGTATCAGGGTGAAAACTTTGTGCGTACCACTGAGCCGAGTGGACAGTCCCCGTGAGGATAAGGAAGGCTGGTATGACGTTACCAGCAGCAGAGATAGCCTCAATAGCTGTAGCCGTCTCTCTATTTTCTGGTAGGCCGAAGTAGTGGGCCCTCTTGCGCTTAGTGACGATAAGCTGGTCTTTGCCAATGCCGATTCTGAAGCCAGTCTCGTCCATATTCCAGATATCGGAGGGGTCTATTCCTTCCTCCTGGAGGAGTCTCTCGAGCCGTGCGAAGTACTCTCGTATTATATCCATATTTTCAGCTGACTGACGGTCGGAATGGAGCTTCTTCTGGCAGGCGTGGAAGTACCCATGGCGCTTGAGGAAGCGTGTGGTCCATTTGGTACCTACTTTAGGTAGTGGTGAATTTGGTTGGATCTTGACTCTCTCACGTAGGATAGTATTTGCAGCGTTAGTGACGAACTCTGCGCGGACCGCAAGATTGATCCTATCGAGCCGGTCAACGTAGTTGCAGAGGGCCTTTTCTTCGGCTTCGGTAAGTAGCTTATTAAGCCCTCCTCGTGTCTTGATGGTGACGGCTTGCTAGACGCGGTATCGTAAGGTCTCGCGTGGGATACCGAATGTACGCGCAACTTGAGCGAGGCTTTCCTCAGGGTTCGTCTGCGTATAGCGTACAGCGTCCTGTAGCTTTGAATCCATCGCGATCGAAGAAATACCTTGATTTGGTAGAGATGTGGTGGTTTGAAGATGAGCTCGTCGAGAAATTGGCCAAATCGCTGTCCAGCACCAACTTAGGTTGGTGAGCTCAAGCGAATCCGAAATAAGTGGGGCGTGGCATGATTGTTGCTCAAAGACGTCAATTTTGAGGGGATATATAGCGTATCTGGCCTTGGCCTCTCACCGGTGGTTATGCACGATCATGCAGCTGACATAGTCGCCTTGTCGGAATACGATGCGAATCTCGTTCCTGAAGATCAAACTGGGGCACTCACAGGGGTTCATCGCTGAGATGAACGGATAGCTCTGTGGGGATAGTCCTGCTCTTGGCTCTTTATAATTTGCTTGGCGTTTTCCAGAAGCCTGCCTAGTCAGGAGAAGACTGCTCTCGACGGCAGGGTCCGGAGGCAGCGGGCCGTGAATGCCGGGTACCTGGGGTGATTCGGTGGCTGGTCGCTGTTGGCTGCAGCGTTCTCCTCGAAAAGAGCACGCACACAATGGAATGGAATGAGTTAGCTCGATGTATGTTTCAGTGTAGTAAACTGACATAAGACTGACATAAGGTCAAGATGGTATCCTGCTACTTAGACCCGATATTCTACTGTGCGATGTTGATCTTATCCTCAACTTACAGCGTGTCTAAATTGGAGATGCCTGGGCGTTGGTGGCTCATCCTCGCTTAGGATGAAAGCAAAATCTTGAACCTAGCTTAAAACAAGTTGCGAGCTTTGGTAAACCCATGAAGTGGAAAATGGGGGTGCTGCCCGTCCACCACTAGTCATCAGTGACGAACTGTTTCGGCCATCAAGCTTGCGAGCCGCCCGCGAGTTTGCTTCGGGTGGGTGCACCGACTCTGTTTCGAGAGATTCCCCGACTCGCCAGACTTTCGGGACCTGGGATCAGTGAAATCTTCAGATGTGTACCGAGCTTGTGGGACGGGCTTGCGCAATGTTTAAAGGCAATTGCGTGGTGAGTGTTAAGTTACACTTCTATCATGCCTCTCAACTTTAGTGGAGTACTCGCCCGACTCATATGATGTGACTTATCGTGGTGGAAGTAGCACTAGCATTCAGAGGGCTGGTAGAGGTATCTCAAGTTTGCCGACTTGCCCGGTGGACCACGACGAACAAACCTCGCATTGGTCCAGTAATAAACAAAGGCCTGGCCCCAAGAGACTTTGAAGTGTGATAGGTGTGTTCTGGGGGCAGCTTGGGAAGTCCGTACATACCCCCCGCTGGAGCCTCCGGACCCGAATGACGCCAATTATGATTATTGCCCACGGATTTAATTGAGCTTTATCACTAATAGAATGCCACCGTTGGGGTAGTAACGTACAACCCCACCTTTCCGGCCACCCACGTTTCTGGCCACATATTGCAATCCAATTGAAGGTATTCGAAACAGTGTATTCAACGTACTATTATAGCTATTCAGGTACAACTAGCTCTAATAGAAAGCTGTGCTCTAGGGCTTCCTGAGGTATAGATCTGATAGATTCTGACGCCTTAGCTGGGTCCAGTATTACCTGATTCCGACGTTGTACCTGGTCTTGTTCCCGTTCTACTTCAAGGGCTCGATCCATCGCTTCCTTAATCTGTACAATGTTACCAAATCGTTCATTAGGCCCTAATCGTACCTTCTTATGTGGTTTGGGGCGTAACAAAGTTATCTCGGCTTCTAATGCGTGTGCACGTTAGGTCAAAGTAGCGAGCTAGACGCTCTGTACATCTAGCCGACGAGTCAGCTTTCGAAACAATAGCCGTTGCGACGATCGCAATGGCGTAATCGCTGCCAGACTCTCCCTAGCTACTAAGCTAGTCACTGGCGTCGCTATTATTGTCGGATTAAGCCAATTACCAGCTGTCGGTGGTGTAGTTGGTCGTTCTGATAGGGGGGCTATCGTCGGCTGAGGTCGCGATGGATCTAATGGGTATATTCCAGTTGCATAGAAGCCTGATTGTATATTACTGATCGTGAACGACTTCGTATATGCCTCGATGTTTCTCTGACGATCCGTACACTATACCCTCGATCCCTTCGCCAATCGCGATGCCTGTTTCGTCTATATTCCAGACGTTATGTGGAAAGTAGTCGTGAGCTGACATCAAGGCTTCGTACGTCTCGAAGAAATCGTCGATATTCTGCGTCGATAGGCCATCAAATCGCTGACGGTCGAGGCGTCGAGATTGGATACTTCCGAACTCTGGATGGCGTTGAATAAAGCGATGAACCCAATGGCGACCGAGGCCCTCTGATCGACGATCCTGAGGTAACAGAATCAACGCCATCTTAGCGATGAATAGCGCCGACAGGCTACGATCCTCGCGATCCATTTCGAGGATCCATCCAATCAGCGCGTCTTCCTGATCCCTAGATAGCTTCATCGACGCGATTGACGCGTCAGAATGGCTGAGGCCATCGCCGAGTTGTAATTGGAGGGTAGAGCGTGGAACGCCCCATCGGAGGGAAGCCTGGCGCTGGGATATCCCTTGATTGATATCGTTGAGAGCGCCTTGAATCGAATTTTCTGAATATCGAGGCATTGTATAATAATAGCCAATACCGACGATAATCTGTTGTGCCGAAGGTTGTTGTAGTTGGCAGATTAGGTGGCCAGAAAGGTGGGTGGCCAGAAAGGTGGGTGGCCAGAAAGATGGGGTTGTACGTTAGTCAGCTGAACCAAGTATTGGGCGATTGCGACTTTGGATTGAATGTCGCTTCTCAAGGTAGCTTTTTGCAGGTGATGGGAGTCCGGTGGAATCCATCTCGAAAGGAGGCTTGGCTCGAAGGACCACGTTGTTATCCCCTGCAGCCCTCCACGGCGTCCAATGGACGTTGGGCAATATGTTCCCCTGTCCTTGTCCATCGCCCCCAGCCTGCGCATGCCTGCGAGGCTCGACAAGCATCCAACGCATTTCTTCAGCAATCCTCGAGTTTGTCTGTTTCAGATCCGTCACTCCTGCATTAAGCATGTCAAATGATGCAGGCGTCTGCTATTCCACTATTCGCCAGGATCTCCACGTGCAAAGGGTACATATGTGAATTCCTTGGACCCACGATGAACTGAAATCTCCGTCTTCTGTTTCTTGACGACGCACACAATTCTTTACAATATTTGGTGTTGGTGTACTCGAGGCGCATCGTTCTTTTATCAGCCACAGCCGTTTCGTGTCCAACTCATAACGTCAGCAGCCAAATTTATTCCGCGCCGCGCTCGCATTCCACACTCAAATCTGAAACTTGCAACCTGACGCACACAGGGGGCCACCCAACAAGCAACACGGCACTTCACTCCTTGGTGGCATCATTGTCGCCCCTTCTGTTTTCACGTCTGCCATTGTTCTTCTGCTGTCCGGGAAGCTGTAACTCTCGCTGTCACTTTCCACACCCCGGTGCGCAGCCCAGACCCGAGTCAATATTCCCTACAGTTCAGCCCCCCTGTGAGCCACGTGTCGACGGCCCATACTCGATAGAGGTGACGTGCCGACCCTCGCTTTCATCGGCTTACCTTTCCCTTTGAAACACTTAGAGCTACATTTATTGCCCCCGGGTCCCCTTCCCATCCTACGCCATGTCTTTTGCAACCGCCCATGCCAACCCAACTCCGGCGCAGGAGGAGTACCAAGATCTCTTGAATAAGAATACAGGCGGAGACAGCCCACGTGTACACCCTGAGGACAGAGACGATGCACGCCGGGAATTAAGCCACAGCGACGAGGACGAGGAGGACCGATTCCGCAACGATCAAATTGACGCCGCCATGTGCACCCCAGCAGGGAGGGACTTGGTTGACCGTCCTGACATCAAGCTGCCCCCGGCTACCTTCGACTCGGGTCGTAGCACAGGTGTCAAAGGTGTAATTGCCGACGCGCGATCATACGAACAAGCTCGACAGGGCAAGTGGCGGAATAGGGTCCGCGCTGCCAGGAAGTCGGTGTTCGGATTGGGCGATGGCCCCAAGAACCAGGCTGCGCAAAGTGGGAGCGAGGAAGAATCTGACGCGGACGAAGAGACATTCCTCCAGAAGTGGCGCGAAGCGAGGCGGCTAGAGCTTGAGAACGAGGCACGGAACGGTGTTCGCAATCGAAGAACAAGTCCGAGTCTGCGCATGTTCGGTCGCTTCGATACCGTGGATGCTCTCGGCTATTTAGATGCCATTGAGAAAGTTGGGAGGGAGACAGTCGTTGTAGTCTTCGTCTACGACCATGAGGTAAGCTCTCTCTTCCTGTATTAGTCATGTCAGGCCACTGCTAACAGCGGCGACAGTGTCAGGTCTCGGGTCTCATCGAATCGGCACTACGGCCTCTTGTTTCTATCTACCCGGCGGTTCACTTCATTAAAGTACACTACGAGGATATCGAGTTCGACAATGCTGCCGTGCCCACAATCCTCGCGTACAAGAACCAAGGGGACCTCTTTGCCAATATGACAGGCATCATCGACATGATCCCCGAGGACGAAGACTTCGACAGCGACGCATTGAAGAGACTATTCCAAAGAAATGGTGTCATCTAGACACTCGGCGGGATGTCGCGCAGGCCACACATGTTGCCCCACCCCCACCCGAATACGTATACCACGTGGTTACTACCACGCTGTCTATGACTCACTCCCTTGATGTTTACTTTACTGAAGCGATGTTGTTGCTCGCACACTCTGATACCCATGGGCTCATTGACTGGTTTGCTTCTAGCCTGTGGTCCCTAGGCGACGGCGCCGTTTTTGCAGTCATGTCCCATATATATAAACCTTCGTCCGGCGCTATTTTCATTGCCATGTCGACACTTTCCCATGCCGAAGGTCGCAAGCGCGATGACTGCTCTACCTAACCAGGGGCAAGCCCTCGTATAGAGAGGGTAAGGAGTTCGCAGGATTATGCCTTTGGGATAATGATTGCTGGATGTGGTTGGATACGAGCGACACTGATTGAACGAGAGCAGTCGGGGCGGTTGTTTTGCTTCTTTTGATTTCGACCGTTTGATTTATCTCTTTTTCCCCCCTCGAATACTGAGCTCTGTCCGCATGACTGGCAGGTGGATGTCATGCGGATAGAACATGTACATACGACACGACACGTACGGGCCGAAATGCCTGATAATGAACGATGAAGTACATTGAGATGTCTGCAATCCAACACGCAATCGAAGTGACACGATGCGATTGTGTTCGACACACCAAAAGCTTGACCCTTGCGGACAAATAGCTCCAAGACCTGCAGGAAGGGTGCAAAAGTTACAAGAAGGCTGGATATATAATTCCACCAAGCTTTGTCAGTGACGCAGACTAAAATCGCCTCCACCAGCAAATTGAGCTGGCCACTTCTAATTAAGCAATGGGAATTCTTGTGATATTGGGTCCGCACGAGTTTTTCCAATCGATTGCACTGGAGTTATGCCTCACTGCCGAGTTTTAATATGATGTCGATATAGTATGCATAGACGAGCTCGAATGCACACATCAGTCATCAGTCCTAACGTAACTACTTGAGTTGGGCGTGATTCCCGCTGGGTTAACTTGATGATATTGCCAGGAACCCCGCACCCTTTTCCTGAGGTTCAAAGTTGCTGGAGCGCTAAAGTGTCATAATGGCAGGGGTGAGCACCCCTCAATCCTGATAACCGATAAGATTGCCCCCCGCCCATCGCTGCCACACTTCGCCAGCGTCATAGCAAGCGATCATACACCCCTAGCTGCCTTCAAGCTTGCCTTTTCTTGGGATCCGCAACATACCGACTGCTTCATGTGTGTAACCGCAGTGAACCTCCTCAGTCTGACCTGCTTTTTCACTACCGCATCACTTGCTATCGCCTTGGGGTGATAGGCCACGTACAACCACTAAAGGAAGTAACCCGCGACCGGCCGCTTCACTCGTCCGTCAGTGTGGCCCGAGGTGTCTTATCTGCTACCTGAACGTTTAAGATATATATCGTAAGAAGCCTAAGGTAACTAATAGATCCCCTCCTACCAATACGGACAAATTGCCTAGGGCCATTACTGCAACCTGTTCTCCACCCCCTCCAAATAATTCGCTTTGGATGGTTTAAGGGCAGGCGCAGGCAGCACCACGGATGAGCACCAACCTTGGTACGTGCAATTGAACCTAACTTGAGCACTTGCACTTCTCTCATCTTTAACTGAACCTTGGGAACTCCCTCAACTGTGACGACAATCCAAGAAAGAAATTCCAGAAAATAGCAACCAACAGACGACAACACAATCACCTTTCTGATTCATTTCCAGTCCAACCCTTTAATCCACCTCTATGCACCCACTTGGGCAGCCGTCTCTTGAATCACGTCTGCCTCTTATAGCCCCGCACCACAGCAGCCTGTCTTCAGCCTTCCTGCATCCTGTCATCTTCAACGCTTTACCCACCGACTACGGTAAATTCGAGGCATGACGTGATACAGCGTGGTGTTCTTCCTTTTACCGCGTTATGGAACAGTCGGAAACGTCTGCGACTACAACCACTGCCGATAGACCAGCTGCTGTTCCACGAAACACTACTGAGCCGCCAGTCAACCGAAACAAGTCTACCATATCGAACTCGGTTCCCTCTCTCCGCTTCCCTCGGCCACTTGGTAATAGACAACTCACCAACTGGGTCTCGTCCAGTTCACCCGACATTATGCGTCCAGGCAACTTCCAAGACGAGGCTCCGCTGGATGACAGCATCGCCGACCTCGGGTACGAGTTCATCGGCACTGACGGCGAGAGCCAGCCCGAGTCTACTACCAGTTCGTACGATCACCAAATACCCGAGCTCTCGGACGATGTCCATAGTTTGGCCGATACTGACACGGGAACTGATGCGGATATCAACGATGTCGATACGGAATCGTCCGACGATGAAGAGCAGTTGCCATCGAATCCCCCCTCTGGCAGAAGAGCTACCATCGGGCCATACCATACCGACGAGGGCGACGAGGCGGATGTTGAGACCATGGCTGACCGCAGTCTCGAGCATCCTACAGAGCTGTTCACCCCAGATCCTGCCTCTGTTTCCCGACGTACACTATCTTCGGCGCAGGGTATTGAGGAACAGCGGTCGTGGCTGGCCCAGTACAACTCCTGTGACAGCGAGCAGCCACGACGAGATCATGTTTCGGATAACTCAGACGAGAAGATGAGGGACAAGGCAAATAAGACCTCCTCGCGGCTCGCACCGTGGTTGTCCACGCTAAGAGACTCTACAAAGAGGTCTTCACTCCGGGATCTCTGCTTCAATCAAGACGGCTCCTTGCGCCCGAGTGTGGTGCAGCTCCTCCTAATGATATTGACGTTTGGTGTGGCATATCCACTCACTCGCTACATGACGGCTTCACCACCGGGTCATGATGGCGTAATTTCTACGGTCCCTGTGGCTTCGGTCTCTATCGCCGCACCACCCACAACGGCAGAAGCCTTCATACCAACAACTGCTGTGAGCTCTACTCTAACATCTGCGACAACCCCCAAAGCCTTGCAGACCACCAGCTCCACGAATAGCGTTGCTTATCTGCTATTCACCAAAGACAAAACAGCCGCCGGACCTAACCTGGACTTGAGACAAAACCTCTGCTCAGCTGAGCTTCACGGGCGTAACGAAATCTTGCTCAAAATTCCCGAACAGCTCAAGTCTACCTGGCTTGCGAAGCAATCTCTTCTCGTTTCCGTCAGCAGGGGCGCCAATGACATCTCACCCAAGTCCACAAAGATTTCTACGGTCGACGAGGGATTCCTCATAAAGATATCCCAGAAGGAGGCTCACGGCATACTTGATGTGTCCATCGCCACCACCCGCAAGCCCAAGATCAACGAGACGTTCCAAGTCAATTTTGGCAGATACATGATTGTTGAGGCTTACGATGTTGGCAAGCAGCTCGTGAAGGGTCTTGCACAGTCGGTTGTGGACACGGTCAACGGTACAACAGCATGGGTTGAGGAGACTTGCATGCCGGCCTTTGACACAGTTTCGAAACAAGTTTCTGGCCAGACGGCATCGGTCTCGGACTCTGTCCTGCAAAGCTTCCGAGATGCCTTGGACAGGCCGACGCAGTTAGCAGGCCAAATCAAGAGGTCACTTTCCAAAGATATGGTCAAGGATCGTGTCTATCAGGTGGAAGTCGAGTTGCTGCGTGACGTCGAAGATGCTCGCGGCGAAATGGGCTTGGGTCTACTCGCTGCGCAGATCAATGCTAAGCTTTGGTGGTTGAAGTTGCAAGGGAAGACCGATGAGCACCAGCGCTACTTGGAAGCTGCCGAGCTCTACTATAAGCGACACGAAGCAGATGTTTTGGTTGCCCGAGAGCAGCGAGCTGAGCGTGCCAAGAAGGAAATTCAAGCCCGAAGAAAGCAACAACCGCAAGAGGTAAAACGTTCGTTCTGGGGAGCTAGCAAGCGTGATTTCTAGAGTCGATCGCGGCTTGTCAAGCACTTATACCCTATGGTCGGCCAGGATCGGAATCCGGAACGGCGTTAGGCTTCATGATGCACTGGCGTTTTGCTAGGGTTTTACTCCCTAGCCCCTTCGCCAACACCGCAGGGCACATCTTCCTCAATATCACCCCTCTTCTCCATGACCCCTGCGGAAATGATAGTGGATGGACGGAAGTGATGGACATGAGAACGGTTTTTTTTTTTGAAATGTTTTGTTTCGGAGTTTTTACAGAGCACAAGGATCGATTGTCGGAATACACTCGCATATTTTTCCCCAAGGCTATTGCATCGGTAGCCAGTTGAGACTGATGGAAGTACAGGAAAGGTTGCTAAAGGAGATTTGGTCTATCTGGCCTACGGCAGGGGCGCGAGCTACCTGAGGAACTAGGAAGCATCTAGCTAGCTTTCTCGACAATATGCATTGCTTTGATCGTGAGCATTGCATTTTGGCTACTTGACTTGTGATTTTGTTGGTTCTTGAGGGATTCAGTCCTCTATTGATGACTCTGTAGATCCTGTATTGATTTTGCCTGTTCTGTCTTTCTATTATGTTGGCTGTATGCGTTGCCTTTACGTATTATGAAGGGTCCAGCCTTACCAGGCTACCGCTACACCATCTTTGTCCTGGGACACAAAGCGCCTTTCATCCTGGGCGTAACTGTGGCGCTCAATCCCACAGTTATGCCGAGTTTAGAGGCACCCAGTAGATGCGTTGTAACACATTCGACAGCCACTGGGCCAGGCGCCCATTGAGAAGAATCCACGATGAGTTTTATCATTATCTTCAAGTTAGCTGCTTAGAAGTTGCAGTGGCGAATCTGGGAGTAGTGCTCATTGGATAGGGGTCTTACACGCTTACGGATTACCCCCACATTAGGCGCGCGAGCACGGCCCAGAACGATATCAATGTACCGTTGCTGCACAATTAGGCAGGAGAGTGACTTGTGGGTTTTTTTGCACCTGAAGCCTGACGGGGACCTCACGGGCCATTTGAAGCTTTCCATTGTTGACTTGAAGGAGGGGCTGCTTTCCCGCACTTCAATTTCTCGTTCGTAACCCCCCACCGCCAAATCAACGACGAACACTGCATATTTCTCGCCCAGCTCCATCAAAACCCAAAGTTTGGGACCACGAGACAATACAAAGCCTTTGCTGTGCTTCGTATTTTGACAAGGTACGTCGTACTATCCCCCCGGCATCGATCTCGATTGCCGACCTTCCCCGCGTCTCCTTTCACGGCGCACTTTCCACGCACGAAGTGGGGTGTGTTCGCAGATGCGCTCCGGAGCTGGAATGCTGGCTAACGCAGGATGACCTGGCTTAGTCCATACGCAAGACAGATACCTCCATAAACATTATCATCGTTGACGATCAACACCGCCATCATGAGCTCCACCGAAAATACCGAGCCCAAGGTCGCGGAGACCAAGCCTGAGGGCACCGAGGTACGCGCTGTGCCCGTAATCAGCGGCCAATATCCACCAGCAACTATCCAGAAGCTAGCCACCACGCTTAGGATATTGGCCTGGATGGAAGCTAACCCAGATCCACAGGAGACCAAGCCTGTCACTTCGTCTTCCGTCTTCTCCATGTTCGGCGGCGGCGCAAAAAAGGAGAAGAAAGAAGGAGAAGAAGACCGCGGCGACAACTCAGGCAGCGCCAAGGCTCAACGCGAGGCTGCTGCCGCCGCCAAGGGTGATGACGACGTACGCAGTCTTCGTATTCCAAACCTCTAACCTATCTGCTAACGAGACTTATTTTTCCAGGAGGCCCCAGAGTCCGAGGACGTCCATTTCGAACCCGTCGTCAAGTTGACCGAGAAGGTCGAGACCAAGACAAACGAGGAGTCGGAGGAGCAGTTGTTCAAGATGCGCGCCAAGCTATTCAAGTTCATTAGAGATACTAGCGAATGGAAGGAGCGTGGCACCGGTGATGTCCGACTGCTCAAGCACAAGGAGAACGGCAAGACTCGATTGGTCATGCGTCGCGACAAGACCCTCAAGGTCTGCGCCAACCACTACAGTATGCTGCCCCCCCAACCTTACTACTACCAATACACTATGCTAAAAACCAACAGTTATCCCCGAGATGAAACTTTCTCCCAATGTTGGCAGTGACCGAAGCTGGGTGTGGAACGCGGCTGCCGATGTCAGCGAGGGTGAGCCCGAGGCTGTGACGCTCGCCATCCGCTTCGGCAACTCGGAGAACGCCAACCTGTTCAAGGACGCCTTCCTCAAGGCTCAGAAAGAGAACGAGGCTCTCTTCACCAAGGAGGAGGCCGAGGAAGAGGCCGCCGCGGCGAAGGAAGGGGCTGCTGCTGAGGCAGCCCCCGAGGCATGAAGAATCATTTCAGCATCGAGTAGGCAGTAGGAATACGGAGGGACACGAAGCAGAGCATCAGCTCGAGGATTTGAAGCCCTTTTATCAGAGGAATTGTGGCTGGCGCGAAAACGCATTGCACAGTCTCCGGCCTGTAGTCAGTCACTTCATGCGAATGATGAGATTTAGATAGTCTCCGGGCGGATTGAGAACCCCCCTAGCTTTGACTTCACTGCGCGAACCCACCCCCCAACCACATATCACGAATAAAGAAAGAACCAATGCCCCACACCTCGACCGAGGCTCGCAGAGAGAGTCGCAGACCTGTATTTGTATATAGACTCGTTCATCATCTCGGCTGGTGTTAGATGTCGAAGGATTAGTCACAAGCCTAGACCGAACTGATCTAGGCATATGTCGCGGCTATAACTGCTAAACCCCCATTGCCAAAACTAATCATGTGAATTATTGATGTGAGACTTTATGTAAGGTTGGTTCTTACCCGTAAGTACACATAAAACTCAGATATTCAGTCTATGGTGGATTTGACGAACCTATATCACTTACGGAGTACAATGCATCAGTTGCATGTGACACATGACGAACTTCCATACGTGATTGTGGGCCAAATAATCAAGGCATCCCTGAATGATCCAATCCTACCAGTTTATCATCTTCAGATTAGGTTTTTACCACTTCGCGAATCTGACATCACATTCACACCCACTCATACACACATACACACAAATGAAGTGTCAGGGTTCGACGAGCTTGCAACTAACAGGTATTATCAATATATCGGTGCCTCGCCTTCATGTCGTTATGCGACCGCGTTTCTTTAAGCAACCACTACTTTGATGTCATTCCCCGTTTTTGGCCTGCATCAGGAACCAGAGCACGGTCGCAGGCTTCCCCCCCAAAACATCTTCCTAGTACATTCGACAGAAATGCCTGCGAAGAGAAAGCGCCAGACTCGCCTCGCTTTTGAGCCAACGGGTTCTAGCCCCCCGAACCAGTCGCTCTCGCGGGCTAAGGTCAGGTACACTGAATCCAGAGTGACAGCAACACGGAAGAAGACACGGCCTGCGTCTCGATTAGTTGGCAGCAGCAAGAAGGGCCAGCAAACGCTGGATTCGCTCGGTAGGTCAATTTTTCCGTCAAAGCCTCGATACCGATACATTTAATATCCCTGCATTTTGGAAGCCCATATCCTCTAACCACAATTTTCTTATTTGGTCTTCTGTAGCCCGTCACTTGCTCCTTGCTTTACCGGTCGTCACATTACATGGAACAAACGGTGGCGCATCTATATTTCTTCCTGTAAAGGATTGGCAGCATTTCTTTGTTATGCCACCCTATCGTTGTTCCTCCTGTCGCCTTCAAATATCCAGGCCAGTAATGGCTCGTTACTATGGCTCGATTTACTTACTCTCAACTAGGCAAAGCAGGTGGCAAGCAGAAAAAGGCGACAACTATGTCGAGCCCGCCTTCTTCAACTAACTTCATGCCTAAGCTACAAACTAATAGGCAAACTGTAACGACGGTAGGTTCTTCCGACGAGTCTGCGGTAGAGGATGGGGCGGTTGAAATGGAGGATAGTGAGGACGATGATACCACGCTGCCGCTCATCGCCAACGAGGCCAAGCTGCCTGCATCTGCCCCACCGCACTCCTCTCAGTCTGTTTCGACACGGCTGAAACGGACCGTCCTCGAAGACGATGAGGAAGAGGAGGATGAAGATGACGTCCCTTTGGCTCCGAACTCCCTTCGACGTCGTCGCCCTGCCGCCGTCGAACTCGGCGACTCAAGCGATGAAGATGTGTCGCCGGCGAAGAGGAGGAGGCTGGTTTATCATGCAGCAAAAAAGTCGTCTTCAGTCTGTTCTAGCCAGTCGAGTGTTAGCAGTAACAGCCAGTCCAGTGGCCGTTCGGGAATAGCTAGCTCCGGCAAGCCTTCTGGCGGCAAGCTCAGCCGCCGTGAGCCACCTTCATCGCCAATAAAACGATCGCAAAGGGTCCATCGCACAGAGAAACAGAAGAAGATAGAGCTCCTTCGCCGCCGTCGAGCGGGAGAGAAGAACCCCAAATTAACCTCGTCAGAATCATCCTCCGACGATGATGCACCGCGCGGAATCTATGACACTGATAGCGAGGATGAACTTGAAGTTTTGAAGGAGTTCGACGACGAAGAACGTGACGAGCCCTCCGCCAACGAACCAAAGCAGACTCCGAAGAAGGCGCCCATCAAGAAAACTCAGAATGCCGTGTTCGGCAATGAGGATGAGAGTGACATTGACGACTTCGTCGTTGAGGATGAGGATGGACCCATTGGAGCTCCCGCTCTTCTTGACATTCCCCTTGAATTCACAGCCCAAGCCCACAAGCCATTGAAAGAGCAGTTTCCTTATATCATTGAGTGGCTTGTCCATAACAAGATCAACCCGGCCTTCGATCGCAATGATCCCATCTACAGCAACGCCTGGCGGAAGTTGGACTTTGAGGTCCACGGGCTTGCCAGCTCGAAATTCGCGTCTTCTGCCTGGAAACCCGAATTCTACCGCACGTTGAATGGCAGACCCAAGCTTGAGGCCTACGAGATGGGTGCTGGAGACGGAGAAAAGTACGATACCTGCCAGGCTTGTGGCCGAAGTGGTCATCCAGCAACCTATAAAATCATTTTTGAGGGTAACCCGTACCACAAAAGCACCCTCGTAGAGGTCGAACAGGACACCGACGACGAGGATTCGGGTCATGAATCTGTTGATACCCAGGACAACCCATTGCCACCAACGGGGAAAGAATGGGTCGTCGGATCTGTGTGTTGCAGCAATGCGGAAACGGCCCACAGCCTTATTCATTGGAAACACGCACTGAAGGAGTGGGTGGAGGAGCGTCTGGAGTCTGACGGGTGGATGACAGCGCAGAAGCTCAAGGAGCGGGAGAAGATGAAGGCAAAGAAGCGCCGCGCCTTGGCAAATGAGATTGTCGATACCTGGTCAGAGAAAGGCATCGTCAAGGCGTTATATGCCGATTTCAAGAAGACGCTCGAGGATGCAAGGCAAAAGTCGACTACGGGGACCAGGGGAAGGCGGTACAGATAAAAGGTCACTGTCCTAACTGCTCACTCGACCTCGGGGCGTTTGAAACTTCGATTATCCTACGGCTTAGCGTTGCTTAAAGAAATAACCACGGAACCGGCGGCGGTCATACGCTCGTTTCGTTTATGGATGTTCTTTCGAACCAACGAAACGAGCAGTGGCAACAGGACTCAGCTTAGGTCAGCCGCACCCCATGAGGTTGGCAATGATCACCTGGATCACAACATGCGCATTGTGAATGGAATTGGGTTAGAGGCTTGGCAGATACGGCAACTGTGAATCGTAAATACGAATAGGGTTACAGGGAGGGTTCTTCACGAGCGTCTCTGACTAAACTCATGTGCTTCAAAGTGCAATTCACCAGATTTCATGATGCGTCATGAGATGCGCTGCTGAGCCAAACGGAAGTAATGGTTGCGGGAGCTCATGCTACGAGACATTTGTGCCATCATTCCTGATAGAAGAAGCTGAATACTCGTGACCAAGTTCCTCTTGGGACAGGTTCTACTAATGAAGGACCATCCAACCAATATCTCGAGTGTCCTGATATCGATCTCGTTGAAAAACACCTGCATTGCTCGAAACATCTTCCATATGGCTTGCCTCGGCCATATAGGAGTACAGCTGGTCTGGAAAATCGATGGTTCTGGGTCGTGTGGGCAAGAGGCACACTGTCTCCTTGCCCCGAATCTCGAAACCCATCCTCCATCTTGCCACAAATGTGCGCAGTGCACGGTTCTGTTGTCGAACACGAGGCCATTACATGATTCTTCTCTCCACCAACGCGATTTCGTCCTTCATTCGCCAGTAGTGACTTCTGAGGCGAATGCCTCGACTGGCCCAACGCTTTCCCGCCCCATCCCTCCAGAAATCTAAGTTCATACCCGTGCTTCCTTTCATCATCCGTCAAGTAGAACGTGCCAAGGTGGTTGTTCTTGCGAGCTTCAAGACTAGGACCAGGACCAGTATCTGCATCGTCGCTCATCTTAATGACGTAGGCAGATAGCGAACGAGAGGCATGATATCCTCACCCAACTAGACTGTCTCAGCAACCAGGAAGTCTAGCTCGTGCGTCGCCGTGTCTCAGCACGTCGGGGCATATGTGTCGACCGAGGCGCTTGCGTTGATTGCCACGGCATTGGCGGGTATCGTATGGCCCATTTTGGGAAATCCAGGGGCTGCCAGGTACCCCATGTACAGCAAGTCTCGCGTAGGTTTGAAGTCAGCCGTCCCGGCTGCACGGTATTGGCATCCGTGCTTGGTTCCCTTGTGGACGATGTACAGCCCTGTTTGAGATCCCGTGAAATCGTAGAAACCTCACTTGGATTGCAGGGGAGAGGGTTCGTGAGACAGGTGAGTGTACGGCGCGGGAAGAACGAGGTAGAATAGTTCTGGCGAGGTTAAAGAGCTTGCTCCCAGATCTAGACGGAGGCCGGTAAATCTGTGAAAAGTCAACAGCTGGTGATGGGTGCACTGAGGTTCGTGGTTCTTTGAAGGAGTTTTCTCGATCGTTGAGGGTTTTCGGGTCTTGTACCTAGGTCGGCTTTGCAAAATGCGAAAACAAGTGATGCGGCCAAGGTATTTTACGGTATATTGACTCCAGAAAGATCATGCCAACTATTGATGCTCCTGTGTAATGCAAACGTTAAGGAGACACGGCTACTAGCAGAACCTTTGGTCTAAGGTCTAACGAGAGTAAAACGAGAGTCCCATTTGCCCCCTACAGCATGTGGACTAGACAAAAAACGATATGAGAGTCGTACCTGTTCACCAGGTGCAGTGATGATTCATATAAAATTCTCATAAAGCCATTGGGTCCTATGCAAGTTCCAAGCTCATAACGGATGCGTATGCCTGGCTAAAGCATTTATGCTACACGTGGCTGTCTTAAAATGAGGACTATTTCCAGAGCAGAAAAGCTAGCAAATTTTCTCAGGACGGTGGTCAAGTGGTCGACTCAAAGTTACTAAATCCGATAACATCGATGAGTGAACTCTGCTGAAACTGCGCCTTGAGAGGTTACAAGAGACAGGATGGGCGAAACCGAAGAATTAATTACTTTCACTCATGTCACCAGCCTTCCCTCCTTTTTCGCTTTACTAGTCTGGGTCTATACAACCTTTTGTTTCTAGCAGGATGTTGTAAGAGCATAAATACTAATCATGCAGTGGTTAATCCGGTATAGCATGTCTAAGCCGCTCTGTTCAGGTCCTGCTGCATCTTACACAATTGAAGAGGAAAGGGCTAAAGTATTGAATTAGTTGGCCCTCGTATTATTCATGCTATGGTCTATCTTTATCCATTTACACCTACTAGCTAGCTTCTTCTCACAGCATTGAATGTGCAGAAATACGTACCAGGTCCATTTGCCATTCTATATATGAGTGAGCCCTGGCACTGTCTCCGCTACTCGTGCGATCGTATGTCATATGCGAGTATGTCAGCTTAGTTTCCAGAGATTCGGCTACGGACAGCGTAGTTATTTTGTTGCGCATATGCCCATGCGCTGAGGTTGCATATGAGAGCATAGTTGCGTACCTGTATCAAATATCAGACCCGAGCACTGTGTCGGCCCTGGAGGTTGGATCTATAGAATCAATGAATATATTGTCTTACAGCATCATGCAAGGTTGCAAGGTGCCAAGATGCCACAGCCCCTGTTGACAAGAGCTGGAAGAGATTAGGCAAGCTAAAAACTACATGATATGCATAAACCCGATGACGGTTCTTGGCAGCCTGTATCACTGTGGTCGAATTGGGGATTGGTTGAGGCGACTGGCAAATGTTTGCTAGCCAGATCGGGACCAGGTCGACGCTTGCGGGCTTGCCCACCCTCCACTTACGGCAGTAGATCCCGAAATTTGGCAAATACGACGCTGTCCAAGAATAGCAGAGGAGTCCAATCGTCGGATGGGTAGCATCTAGTGGCTGGTGGTGAGCCCAGATGTGCTTCTGGCCCTCTAATGTGGCTGCTACCAGCGCTGACGGAGATTCGGTGCCGTACTACGGGTCAGAGAAGTGCCAGGGCAACCTGTGCCCTTTAGGAAGCTTTGAACGACCGAATCGCTCCCTTAGGTATATAAATAAGCACTAACATGACCTAGATGACCCTGCGGCATCAAGCACGTAGATCGATATTTCCAGTGGGCAGTTCAATGCAACATACACCACTTCGAACGCAAAAACTGGTGACTACTTCAATGACACTTGGGTCATCGGAACTCAATCCATCCCCAACATCCGTTTGGTTTCTGGGATCTTGGAGGTTGCCGAAACTGAGCCAAGTATGAGTACCATAACCTTCCCGAGCCTTCCCGAGCTGGTTTACGCCAGTGGATGTATCAAATCGAGGGTGCATAGCGCCTGGTATAGTCCGTTGAACCAAGGTAGGGGTCACATCCTCTTTGGGGACAGCGGCACGACCAAACTCCAAGGCACGCTTTCGCGGCTCCCGCTTCAAGGCCTTGGAGCCCACTCATATCACGGCTGTCAGTCCCTTGGGACCAGATGCTCTCATGTCCACGCCTGCCATGGTCGAGATTATCATTGGCAATAACGGCATTGGGCTGCCCTCGGATATCGCAACCGCCACCGTAAATGTCACTGGAGCCTTCAACCCAGAAGTCAGAAGTGGTGATAGATAATTAAGGACCCCAGTGGTTCTTGATCCCGTGCTGTCCGGCCAGAAGCAAGGACCATACTTCTTTGCAGCGAGGCAGTCGGAAGACCCCTCAATAGACGTCCCGATGATGGAGCTGATCATGCCTCTGAACAGGAATACGTCGCACTGGGACGCGCGAAATCAACTCGTCCGAAGATGAAGAGCTTTAACCTGTTCGACAACAATCCTTCGAGAGCTATGGTGCCCTATTCAAGGGTCAAACTGCATGCTGAAACACTACGATGTAACTTGATGCACTTTGCGTCCCCCCTGTTTTACTAACTACCCAACTACAAGCTAACTCCATCTGATGCCCTTTTATCACGATGCTGATCAGGTAATCCCGGATCAGATGGGAGATACTCGGCTCCATTTCACAGTCGCCAAATCTTGGGAACGACTGCACACGCGTCTACTGGGCTTGCCGTCTGATGGCGAATGGCTAACCAACGTACCATGGGCCTCTTTGACCAAAGACCTCGCCCTTTGGCGTTGATTCTTGTTCTGACCGATCAACCACCGCGAGGTGAATGAGGATTGCTCCTTCCCAGCCCACATCCGACAACCGAGTCCTGACAGAGGTGCCTTTCTGGGGGTCACCATACCTACGGCTGCTTCCCAGTCGTTCTTTCTACATGTCTCCTTTTCAGGCACTATTTCCATGCCGTCTTGTCAAACACGATGCCTAAACTTCACAAGGATAAGAAAGGAAAACCTACATGTTGATGTATCTCGAAATATGCTTTGACCATGTTCTTATTGAATCTAACGGGCTTCCAGGTGGTGCATTATTACTCTCTGGACATATCGGCTTGACAGGGATTTGGTGGCATTAACACATCTCGATGTCACATTGAAGAAGTGCTTTGTAGTCATGAATGCCACCTTACAAGTCGGCAACCATCTCGTGTAGTGTAGCTCGGCAGCTACGGAGACGATTAATCCGGAAATGAGCTCTTTGACCAACCGTTCCCCTCTGTACGAGCTTTACTTATTTCAATATGTATATAAGCTGGCATATATATCGCCTGTTTGAAGCAAGCAGGCTTCGTTGCTATATCTTGCACTGATTTCAAATGCCGCGGTTAAAATTACATAACGAGTCCTTGGAAGGTGACAAAGAAGTTGAAACAAATCTCAAATGATATCTATACAACACTACGTATGTAGCTAGTTGAGATAGAATAAAATACAGGTATCTGTCTATAAGTTGAATTGCAACTGTACTAGCTAGCTCCAGGATCTGGTCTTCGGACTGTATTGTATAAGGTGGGTCCACATCAAGCGACATGCAATATCGAGCGACCCACCTTTCAACTTTCCCACCATCTAACTTCGATACGCTTTTTCTATATCGCCACAGCATGTATCTAAGAAGCTGGAATCATCCTCGGCATCGAAGCTATACGGTATACCTAAATCCTTACTCCGATGTAGAATAACTAGTCGCGCCGCGCGTAGCGAAGCTCGCCGTAATCACACGATCAACCGAAGTAGAGGAAGGGGCTATTGTTTTATTAGTTTGGTTTATCATAGCTACGTAGTGAAACTGATACTATACGTGGCTCGATATATATTTACGTCAAGTAAATTAGTCATTACGTTCTTCTATGTTGAACTTGTAATCTTGTATGGCTAGAATACGTAATATAGGTAGGTAACGACGTGAACCATCGAAATTACTGTGCCTGTAAAGCGTGAAGATCTTATTATTCATCTGACTAATAACCGGTGGTTAATCCCAGTATGCTGTCCGGTTCTCGCTCAAAGTAAGACAGATTTATTCTTCTAAAATTGATCTAGAAGCGAGGTTTAGGGTGGGTTACATCCAATACTTGATCGGCAAGTTGGGGGCCACTGGGACAAAAACAAGGCCTGCCCCAAATGATCAGCGGATCGCGGGGGATTCCGAATACAGCAACCGACCCGATGGGAGATGAATCTTTTTAGGCAACGGGCTCAAGTGTAACGAGGCAGTTCTTGAGACTTTCTAGAACAACTTCACACAAGCTACTAATAGACTTTGGAGCCAGTGTCCGACATGGGTGTTATATGTTAAAAATGGCTACATCTGCTACAGCTGTTGGCCGATCATCGAACCCCATGGCCACATCCCGCTCCGCTCAGCTTTGCTCATCCGGTGGGTTATCTACCGGGAGAGGATACTATGTTCTGTGACGATTCCATGGATACAAAGTGCTTTGATACACCGCCATCTTTTTCTCTGTGCAGCCCGCCTCAACCAACATACCTTGCACTACGGCGTTGCTACCACAGGCGACAAGAATTGCACATCTGGCTGGCATCAACACGAAGTGGCTGCGGCGCAGAGCCGATCAAGTTGAAACAGTTCCGGCGCTCGCTTTGGCCAGGGTCGAGAACGTCAACTCGAGCGCTGCGCTCCGCACCTGCGGCGCTCCAAACCCGTGGTTCCTCTTTTTCTGAGACAAGGACGAACGGCCCCACTCAGAAGAGTCCCTTCGTCCTAGGTCAACCGTGATCCACCCTGATTTTCTATCCAAGTCGCCGAACTTGATGGTTTACCTGATGTGGTGCCGTTGGTCTTCTGGCGGTAGATGAGTCGAAGTGCGGAGAAAGCGATGTGCGAAGTTGGCGTTTGGTGCAGCGATTGAAGCCACTTTGGGTCATCGTGAATGAGGCAATGCGAACTCGTTGTTCTTGCAAGCTTTGGTTTGTCAGCGCCCATTTCGTATCCCCACGCCATTGGCCGGCCCGAGGGCATCGTCACTAGTCAATCCACTTAGATCTACTCTCTGTAGAGCGGAGAGGGGGGACAAAGGTCATGACGATGTGTCACCCCAAATTCGTGGAGTCGCCTAAGTGGACGACAAGGGGGAGAAGGCGGAGCTAGACAGGGTAGAGAGGGTTTTTCGTCAGAGTAGCAAGGAGTTGTGAGAGCTCCGTAATGTCAAAAAAGCTGCCGTGGTAGTCTGTGCCAAGAAACCTTCCGTAGATGCTCCTTCAACACTGTCCGTGCGAGCGACCGCAAAAGAGCGCGCGCCTAGACTTTGCTAAGATTTGGCTCCGGGGCGTGTGCCTTGTCCCGGATAAGCCAGCTCGGAAGACGTAAGCTTGGGTTTGCAAGGTCGCGGGATTTTGATGCAAGTTCTCTGGTTTGGACGATAGCTCAGCAGAATTGTTGCCCTCATGCTATGCAACAGTGTACTGATGATCCTTATCAAGCCCTCACGCAAACGTAGCCCGAGGTTTCCCAGGGTCAGACATGACTCTTCTCTCCGTTATCAACTTGATTGAACTCGTGAGTTTCGTTATAATAGCATGTTACCTCGTCATATGATACCACCCGGGGGGTCGTACGGGACGCCTCGAGATGTCGCCGAGCTTAAGCCTGCGCTTCCTGGGGTCTCGGCGTCGACTTGTGCGGTGTTTGTCTTCCGCAACATGAACATGGGCTTCTTGCCCTCCTTATCCAACTGTTTAAAGAGTATGAGCGGCTTTTCTTCCAACCCCAAACATCGCTCCTGATCGCCGTATACAATGTAAAGTGCATATTGATCCCACGGTGCGTTGATCTGGTACTTTCTAAGCGCGGCGGGAAGGACCTTGTAGCATGGGTCGTCCATGCTGACGCGGAAGGATTTGAATATCTCGACCGACGCAGAACTTGAGCCAGGGGTGTCGGGTGCCGGGGTTTGCATGCGGCGGGGAGCAACAGGCTGCTTTGAATTGTAATGATCGTTTTCGGCAAAGGTTGAGCGGGTAGATGGGGTTGGTTGGTCGGAGCGGTAGGATCGGGACGCGAGTGTGGCACTCCCCAGCGTTGGGGGCGACGTGGGCGAGGGCATGTTGGGCGAGTAACCCGGGGACGTGGCTTGGCCGGAGCCATTCATGGCTGCCAGATGTGATGACGAAAGAACGGCCCTCTCGGCAGCGTTTGCGGGGTCAAGGGTTTGTTCTACCAACGGACGCTCGTGAGTAGTCTGTAGATGATTAGGAGACATGGTCTTGGGCGTACCCAGTACAATCTTCTTGGTAGAGTATTGCCGTTTCAGGCCTCCTTGTGATGATTGAACTGACGACGACGTGGGCGCGGGTGGAGATATTGTGGAGGACTCATAGCTGTAGCCTTGATTGTCCCGGCTGGATACGTTGGGCAGAGGCTGTTGCGCGTTCTTAGCCAGGCGCAAGGCTGGCAGCATGTCCTCGCGTAACCGCCGATAGTCCTCAGTAAGGCGTCGCAAATCCTGCTCCATGAGACTCATCCGTTCGTCCCGTAGTCGCAGTTGCTCAACGATATTCTTGATATCTTTGAGGGTGGCGGTAGTGTACTGAGATTCGGCTTCGGCGGCTGTACCGGGGAGCCATTAGTATGATGCCGCGGTCTGTGAGGAGCCAGAGAGCCACTTACACAAGGGCACATAGTGGTCGCTTTCCATGGGAATGTCCTGGGCCTTCTTGACATCGTAGACGCTCTTCAGGATGGTCAGTCGGTGGCCGACACTTGTCACGCCCATAGCTTTCAAGTCATCATGCAAAAGAGCCACAAGAGCTTCGCCGACAATCTCGTTCTCTGCCTAGGGAGTTAGACAGCGGCATATATGCTTGGACGGGGGGGGCGATAGCCTACCTATGAATTGATCCGAGTACTGCTCGAGGCCTATGGTGGCGATGAAGTCGGCGCATTCGTCGGCAGTCCACTCCGAGATGATGGTCTCGGGCAGGCGGTCAGCACTGCTGCGGTGGCCGTAGGTTGTGGGTGTGTGTTCCGTCGACGAGCGGCCCTCCGAATCGGTGGGTGATATTTCGGAGTCCTCTGCCAGGATGGGGGAGCTGGCGTGCAGGCTTCTCTCGTACTCGTCGTCGGCATCCGACTCGGCGTACGCCGTACCAGTGTCGAAATTCATGATGAGTTGGGTTGGGTTGGGAGAAGGATTCGTGGAACAGCGGCTGAGTAATTGGCCCGGCCGGCGTCGTGTCTCTGCCTTGGTGAGCAGCTCCCTCAGGTATGATATATCCAAGGTTGGTTGGAGCCTGACAAGTTGGCAAGCTAGGCTCTCTCTCCGGGTTCCCGGGTGAGCAGTGTCTGTAGTAAGATGAAGCAAAGAGATCAGAATTGGTCGTTGGGCCAGTCGCGAGGAGACAACGACTTCAGTGAGCGAGAGACAGGAAGCTGAAGATCCAAGGGTGGGATCGGAGTGGTGCAGACAGGTGCAGATGGTGAGGCCGGCGGACCTGGCTGGCGACAGAATGGCGGCAGAAGAGGGTCGAAGGCGCTGCAATCAGGATCCTTCCTGCCACGCTTGTCGCCTTCGGGCTGCGGACTGGTCGATGCACGCACCACTTTTATCGAGAGAACCCCTGTCCTGTACCTTTTGACTAGTCCCCCATGCGCCCGGTGTCCCCCCAAGTGCGTCCAGCCTGTTGCTCGTCCAGAAGCCAGCGGCTGGCACCTTGTAAGAAGCTTCTTTTTTAATTTATTTCTGCCATTCTATGTGGGCAATCTATCTTGCCTGTGCCTGAGGTGCGCCCAATTGGGTTCTGTGTCGCCCCACGTACATGTCAAGCAGAGGTGCTCTGAGCCTGACCAAGACGGTTATTAGCGCTTAACTTGGGAAGTTGTAGCTCCAGCAGCCGGGTCAGAGGCAGGTCTCGGTGGAATCAGAATCGCCTATTGTTGCTTCGCTCTCTGGCCCTGGACCGAGTTCAACATGTTTCTTTTCCACCAGGCCAATCTTCATGTTGCCAATGCTGCTTGTCGACACGTACGCGGAGCCACCGGCCGATTCCAGGAGCCGACCGTTGCGGATCGTCAGTAGAAATTGGGCAATAGTTCGATTTCATTTCAGGAACCGCCAGACTCGGTCAATAACGTGAGCATTGGTTACATTCGCCTGTTGCTCATTCCACCCCTGGTGATACCTTCGCATCCAAACACCAAAACGCTTGCAGGGTCTCACAGGGAGGCGCATAAGCATTGCTGGCACTGTTTCTTTTGCTTCGACGTGGTGGTCTTCAGCCACAGTCTGTCCGCCTTCTATTCGACGGGCCTGAGTACGTTTGGCCTCCGCAGTTTCCGAGCTTGCATCTCACAGTATCTCATCTCAACTTAGCTTTTTTTTCGCCCTTTCAGCCCAAACTGGCACAACCGCCGCGAATCAGGATCCAACCATCTTTCCGCGCATAGTCATCATGACCTACTATACGTAATTGTAGATCATTCCAGAGCTCGGTTGAAACAAACTCGCACCCGCATCTTACATGCTCTCGCGCCTGCTTCCAACGGGAAGTTTCAGAAATTCGCCCTTGTTCTGTTTCTCCTGCAACGCCCTGGACGCCAGACACCAGATTTGTCGACACATCACATGACCCATCAACATGGAAATCTGGGCTTTTGCCGTGTGCTGAGCTCCATCACTTCGGCTCTTGCCGATGGCAGACGCAAGTGAGATGCAGGTTTCCTGCCGGGGCTTCAGGTTAAGGTCCGGTTGGCGTTGCAAATCCCACGATCGGCCCTATCTCCATCAATCTGCAGATGCAACCAAGCTACAAGGATTCTGGGTCGGTTGGCAGCTTATCGTCAGTAGCAAAGGCTCAAATTGCCATTGGTTCTGCCAAGCAACTGCCTTCTGGAGCTGCTCAGCCTTTCACCACGGTAATCCTGATGAAAACGCGATAGCTAGCCCGATGGCATTGATCTGCACTACTGGGACATCCTGGTTCACTCTGGGCTGCAAGCTACCAAGTATCTATCATGCATCCCGGTTTGTCGTCTGGTGCCTGCCGAAAGGTATCTACTTGTACACTGCTGTACAGGTTGTAAGTCAAAGTCCGAGAGCCTTTCCGTTCGTTTTACCATTCCATATCTTGCCTCACATCCTCGAGCTGGGCACGACATACCCAGTTCTTGGGGAGATTGAGGGCGATGACAAATATGCAGATGCTATGTCCAAGGTCTTGCAGGGATACCCTCTTTGCTATCTCTTCCAATCTAGTGGGAAGACCTCACTCAAGCTTTGAGCCCTCATGCTTTACAAGGTTGGCATCTTGTTAGTATGCAAGCAGAAGGCAAAAGGCTAGCAAATGACAGGCTGCTCCCATGCTTGCGGCACCACATTTGAGACGCCGATCTCCCGCTAATCGTAAGTGACCAACCTCGGTTACCGGGTTCTCATATCGGTCTTGACGCTAGATACATATATCAGAGCTCTTTATCGCTGTGTGTAAAGATACTCGGTCGAAACACTTCATAGCACTGCATTATACCATGCGCGGCGCTCTCCTACTTCCGTTCGCAGCTTGAAAGCTAGTCTCGAGTGCAAGCCCAGCGCAACATGACTTTTGCAGAAAACCCCGTTTGCCACTGTGATCTCGAGAAGACTGACGCATCTATAATCTCATCGAACTTACTTTCGCTGCTCTCGGTGTCTTAAAATAACTATGAATCATTCACCGGCGAGTACCTTGTCCGGTGTGTTGCAGGTGTCAAATGTTTGTATAGATGCCGCTATTACCCCGAACCAACCTGGTCCATCCTTGACGAAATGCATGAATAAAGCTTCAAACAAAGTTTCAAGTACAAGGTAGGGTGCAGCGGATCATTGATTCTACGTTGGTGATTGGTGACTATCCGCGTTTGTATACCAGGACATCTTCGATCATTGCACCCATTGTGTTTCGTCCGCTCCGACCCGCTTTCTATTAGGCTCAACAATTCTACATATCAGACCAGTATTGTGTCAGGGTCCAACCGCTTCGGTTACTCCTTTTTCTTTGAGTTTTCCGATACCAACGTCACGATGTGGGGGACCTGTGAGAGAGTCCATAGAAGGTCTGTTTCCACCTCATTTATTTTACGATATCTCCGTTTCCTATTACGTAGGTTCTCATGGCTGAAAGACGAGATCGCATTCAGGTTCTCGAGACATACTGAGACCAGCTGGAACCGAGAAGCCCTACTCCAAAAGGAAATGGTAAGAGGTGACATCTTGTGACGAAGTTCATAGTGAGGCCATTACCTTTTCGTTCAAGGTACATGAGGAAGCAATGATACCTGCGAAACAATGCAGCGCTATGCCTATGTCGATCACAGAGAAATTCCACTACCCGAGGTGTGCTTGCTAGTTTGATTATGCGCTTATCGGATGAACCTCTTGAAAGATCGCTACACCTGTATCCCTTGCGACACGTCAGCTAGATATATTGGCTTGCGAGTATCGTTCTGTTGCTGTCAAGGTTGGGATTGTGGGGCCAAACCTTGGCAAGCTGGAGGCCTCAACAAGTCATCAGGTTCGTTCAATAGCCTGTTAGACGGCGTATATGCTGACGCCATAATAATTTGGCCTTCGTGGTCACGTTTGCAGTCTTCTTAACCACAATTAGTTTCCACCGTAAAATCAAACATGCGGTCCTTCATTCCATCATTTTCGACAGTAGTCTTACGTACAATACAAACTGTTATTCTACATTGAACTTCGAATATTTCGTCTGAAACCTTCATACTTATACGGAGAACTATGCCAATTAGGCTGAAACAATACACCTCCTGATTACCCTTGTACTAGTCAACTATGTGTGATACTGTAGGATAGTACTGATTCTTGTCTGGCATGATATCTGCCTCCAATAGTGAACCCAGTTACTTGACCAGATTGAACACTACTCTTCTATACCTCGTAACTGGGTACTTTGCTACACAGCTCGTAACAGCAAGTACGAGATGCAGTAGGCTTTGGAATTCGCTTGGTGGGCTGGTCACAGTAACACGCACCACAGTAGCTCCCGCAGTGACGTTTTGGAAACCAGAATCGTTGAACGGCATCGTCGTCGCACTGCCGTTCACTCCCGAAAGACCCTCGATCAGCAGTCCCCCACTGCCATACACCGGTATGTCGCTGGTAGAAGTGGCACTTGGATCCCAGTATTGATACCACTCGAAGTCCAAGTACGATGTATCACCCGGGTGGTCGGGATCGAACGTCTCGGAGGCATCAAGCACAAACGTCGAGTTTGGCGTTACCTCGTCAAAGATCCTGGTGTCTGGGCCGGATGAGCCGTTGATGTAGACCACAGGCGGATGACTAGCGGCACTAAAGTCATCATGCAGCGTCCATTGCATCCGACTCGCAAAGTCGTTTTGGAATGCCGTCCTCCAGCGCCATATCGACGCAGAAGGTGTGTTGTACAACTTTCCATCGGCGCCAATGACACGGTCGATGGTGTCGACATAGTGCTGGTTATCCACGTCCAGGTTCACGAGTCCGTATCGACCGCCCCAGCTGCCCCAGTCCATATGTTCCCTATCTCCGAGACCGTTCTGGAGCAGATACAAGAAACTTGGAGTGTCTCCTTCCATTAGAAAGGCAAGTTCAGGATACATGGCGCCAAGCTCGCCCAGCTGGATGTTCTCCGCTAGCCAGGGGTTGCTGACTATACTGAAGTCGACAGCCGTGCCATAATCGAAGGAAATACCGGTCCAGGTCCCCGTTGTGTACATGTTCATTGCGTGGATCGAGGCCGTGTAGCGGATATCTGGGTACGTGCCGCGGATCCAGTCGGCTGTGTTGTCCTGGTCGGAGATGGTGTAGACCCGGAGACGTTTTCGTAATGCGGCCGATTCCTCCGGTGACAGAGTGTTAGACATATGCTGTAGTGCTTGTGCGAGAGTATTGACACCGCCCCAGGCGGAAAGATAGAGTGGTGATGTAGATTCGTTCAAGCGCTGGATGAGCAACTCGGCTCCGGGACTCAGGGGTTCGGAGAGTGCTGGCCAACCATATACCTGTGGGCCTGGTGAGCTTCTAGATTCTGTGTGTCATATTTGGAATTGTGGATCCTCACTGCTGGGCCACTGCTAATCTTGTCTAGGAGGTCTTCGACAGGTGGGAAAGGGTAGTCTGGGTGGACATGCTTGTTCAACTTGGCCTGGACTTTGCCATATGCCGAGACAATCTTGTGCATCTCTTCGGGGTGTGTCGCGTTACGCAACCAAGTTGACGTTGTGGCCACAAGGCCGCGGATGTCAAGTTGGTCCGTATAGAGTAAAAGGCGGACGAGTGACTCCGAGTCATCTGGCTCATTGAGGATGTCGGACAGGATGAAGACGCGAGGTTTGGACGGGTAGGTATGTAACTTGGTAAGATCTGGTCTAGCGGGCAAGCTAATCGCTGCTGCTTGCGCCTTTCCGAACCCAGTAGCGAAGAGGCATAGTGTGAGCAACATCATCAAGGTCCATATGGGCCATCGTGATAGTCACGTTGATGGAATCAACAAAACACGAGCTCTGGAAAGGGACGACCGATTCCCCTAGCATCTACCAAAGCTCGGGTTGCTCTGGGATACTTATATCCACGCCGAGTACAGCTCGGGAAAGCCTGTACCACTTCAACTGCCCCACATGGTGCTATAGTGCGTATAAGTCTCGCGTGCTATAATACAAATCAAGTCTCACACAAGATGAGTTGGACGCTCATCAAGACATAGACTGGGCCCAACGGGTAATCTGTCCCACTACTTTCTCTGCGTGACGGACAAAATTTTCCAGGCCACGGTGATTAATAAGAGCGCAACGTTGAATCAGGAAATCCTAAGCACCAATCTATTCACTTAGTTCCCAGTGTTTTAGCCCGGCTTCCCCACAATCTAACCCCCTCATCGTGAACCCCTCACTGTACCATCTCGACCTGACTTCTCCATATTTGCCGAAATGATGAATCGATCCTGACTTTACCAGGAAATCTTCTTAGCGGCGAAGGTATGCAGGCTTGAGTTTTCGTCTGGTCAAGAAGCAGATGGCCTCTTTTACTCGACATGAGGAAGAGTGCTGAGACCCTTAGGGCTAGCTGCCTTGTATATACGGGGTATATCGTACTACTCTTATCGGATAAATTATTCCTTAAGAGTCCCTTTACTCGCATTTAATAACAGTTGTTCTGGTGCTTCCCCTGGATAAGCACTAAACATGTGGTCGAGTATATTGGATCGGTCCGTGCACCTTTGGAAGCTCGGCTATAACCACCCGACTATACGATGGTGTTCAAGCTGGCCAACGCGTTTAAGTGCTCACACATGGGACGAAATAAATTTACATGGTATATGAGAGATTCAGTCCTCCATTAATGACTCGGTGTAGATCCTGTATTGATTGATCTATCCATCTACACACCTGTTGTGCTGTGTTAGGTATTTTATGCTATGGGGAAGGGTTTGACTCCACTAGACTACAATTGCCGCTACACCACCTTTGGAGGTCCCAGCTGACAGGGGTTAGGAATAAGTGGATCGGTTCATTTCAGACAGGGGTTAGAATTTTCTACCCCGCACGTGCAGACGCCTTTGGCCTAGGGCATAACCGTGGCGCTCAATCCCACAGTATCAAAGAAAATCTTACTGATAATATCTTAACATCATTTCTTATTTCTCAGCTTTCACAATATGGATATGGTGTTGAAGAAAATACGAAAAGTTTTCGCTGATAAATTAACTACAATTTGGGAGAGATGCCATTTCGTGACACGATTGAACATGTCGAAAGATCTCACGTAAAAAACACACCATTCGATATTTATCTATGAGTGAATCTATTTGATTATGTGACTATCCCGCACAAATCTTATTAGAGTAGTTCACAAGATTACACATTTGCCCTCCTTCTCCTTCTTGTCTCGTCGCTTCTGAGCCTTCTTCATCACCTATCCATCTTACTTGATAGTTAACACTCTAAAAGCCTCTGCATGTGCAGTTAGTCTCGGTGTTCTCGATTTCACAGGCATGTAACAGTTGTCAAAAACGACGGGTCACATGGTATTGGAGCATAGAAGCACCATATCGTTAGTTTTAGCTTTGTCTAGACTGTTGTTTGATATTAAATGTGGGATTGAGCACCACAGTGATTCTTAAGGTTGAAAGGCGCTTTATGCTTAGAATAAAAGCGCTTTGTGCTTCAGGATAAAGGCGGGATAGAGGTAGCCTAGTAAGGCTGGACCCTTCAGATTACTTAAAGGCAATGCACACAGACAACAGAACAGATAGAGGGGATCGAGCATGGAAAAAACGGTGACCTAAACATTATTATTATTATTAAATACGCCGTAGGCTCGAAGCCCCCGGTACCTCTGCTAGTACTCCCGTATGTCAAACCGTGCCCTAATGGCTGGACTAAATACATACGCTGCGTCGTCGGTTCGCCCTATTGGCGACTGCGTTGCGTCCACTACCATACTACGTTGGTTCTCAACCTACCAACAAAGTCCCCCCTGAGAAGATCGATGCTATCTGGGCCTTGAAGCTGTCCGACCCGTCCCTAGCAGCCACCTTACAATAGTCCCACTAACTACTGGTTCTCCTGTTGCCGTTGCGAGGTCTCTGCGAGAGTATAGTGGCCGTGGTGCGATGGCGGCCCGTAATCGTTCCCTCGGTCCTTCCAACAGCCCGCAAAAGAGGATTACGTGCTCTGCCGTCTCAGGGGCGTCGCCACAGCGGCATAGCGGCGAGTACACGCCAAAAGCCCCTGTCTTGAATAAGAAGGCTGCTAGTCCTATTTTTTCCGTCCTGATCTGGCACAGCGTAGACGCCTCCAGTCGGTTCAGGCCGAAATACCTGCCCCCTTTCGGTATCTGCATCGAAGGGCCCTCCGGTTCCTCAGCGATAGCGCGTCGCTGGCGATCGTGATGCTCTGCTCCGGTGAGCCATCTCTTCCTCCAGTGGCCGAGGAGGGCAGCCGGGACCTCCTTTTCCTCACTCATCCACTCGGAGCCCCGGGCCTCCTTCTCCATAGTGTACCTGTCACGACCTGGGTTGCATCGCATTGGTAGAGACCTCGATTAGGTGCTATCGACCAAGATTCTACTCTAAGGAGCGAAGGAAAGAAGATGACAACTTAGGTTTGAGGGAGCGCGACTAAGTCATCCACGCTTGGCGGGGCTCCTACAAGGGTTATGATTGGCTTCCCATCTGACACTGCCACGGCAGGTGTTCCAGCTGTAAGTCACCTGGTTGTAGTGAGTCTGCGAGGGTTGACCTTCACAGTACCCTGCCGGTCGGAGTAGCTGCGACGCCTGCTTCCTCTTCGCCGGCCTATCCTGCCGGAGTATATGTGACGCTTTAGCGCTCGCGCTGCGAAGCAGATTTCTCTTCCCGCTAAGCCGTAGCCGTTCTTCAAACTTAGCAGCCCGGGCACTAAGATAGAGGTCTAGTGGCGGGATTGCTGCTTCTGCTTCCAGGTGGCGAACCGGCGTCGCTTTGTGGGCGCCACAGACTACCCGGAGGCACTCGTTCTGTATCCCCATCAGGCTCTTAGCTGGCCCTGCCGGTTCCTCACTTATAGTATGCCACGCAGTCGCCCCGAAGGCGATCGCGCTACGGATAACCACCGTATATAACAGCCTCGCCCGTATAAGATCGCAGCCCCACGATATATTGACTAGCTTTGTCAGGGCTAGCTTTTGAGTTGCCATTTTTGTTTTAACACGCTCAACATGGGCGTGCCACGTCAGTTTGCGGTCGAACCAGACTCCTAGGAACCTCGCTGAGACTACCGGCGACACTGTGGCGTCCCCAAGGCGAATACTTTGCGGCAAGGGCTCTCGGGCCCTAGTAAAGTGCATTAGCTCACTCTTGTCAGGAGCGAACTCCATCCCGTGCCTCACTGCCCACCGCTGACACGTAGCCCATGCGCTCTCCAACCGGCGGCAGGTCGTGTCTGGATCGGTGCCGACGCTTAGCAGGTTCGTGTCGTCCGCGAACCCGACTACTAAAAGTAGTGGGTGCTGCTCCGCTAGCTCCTCGTACAGCGTTGAAATGTATAATATAAACAGTATCGGGGATAGCGGTGACCCCTGGGGGACGCCAGCTCGTAGGGGGATTGGCTCTGACTCCTTGCCATCGAACCGGAGGCGTACCGTCCTATCCTCCACGAAGCTGCGTACCCACTCCTGAACCCACTCCGGGTAGCCTTTCCGGGCTAATATGGAAATCAGCCGTCTGTAATTGACCGTATCGAATGCCCCCTTGATGTCTAGCTGTAGCAGCGAGGCGATGCCCCCGCGTCTCCACGCCGTATAGACCACGTCCTCAACTATACGTATTGCCAGTTCGGTGGACCTCCCAGCGCGGTTACCCATTTGGCCGTTTGGTAGTAGGCCGGCCGCCTCAGCTACTTTGGTGATACGCTGGCTCATCGCCGTCTCTATTACCTTCCCTACCGTGCTAAGCAGGGCAATGGGGCGCCAGCCGCCAGGGGTCTGCTTCTGAGCTGTCGTTTTATTAGGCTTAGGGATAACAACCACCCTCGCTGAGCGGAAGCGCTCCGGGTAGTACCCCAGCCTAAAGCTAGCTGTTGCCAGATCCGCTAGGATCTCCCATAGGGGTTCACCGCAGGCCTTTAGCAGGCCAGTGGGGATCAGGTCGTCGCCGGGAGCCTTCCGAGCAGCCGTTCCTTTGATGATAGACTCGATATCCATTGTGGTCACCTCCCTAGGGACGTTCAGCTCTGGTCTCGTCTGTAATAGGCCGCGATCGAGGTCCGATAGATCTATACACGGGTCTGGGAAGAACCTCTCAGCTAGTAATTTTGCCTTCTCATCATGTGTACGTGCCGTAAGCGTGTCGCCGGCGTCCCTCCGGAGATCTGGCAAGCCATGGGCCTCAGGGGGGGCCCAGCTCCGTAGCCTAGCCCACCTCTGCAGTGCCCACAGGCTTTTGTGATCCTTCGCTGTCCCCTCGAGCTTCTCGTGCCAGCTACGCGTCTGCGCTTCGCTGATTTCGAGCCGTTGTTTTTGGCCGGCTCTTGTATATTCGTCCCAGTTGGTCTGCGACCTTGCCTGGAGGTAGTCCCGCCGTCGTCTCTTCGTCTCAGCGCAAGCCTTGCTAACCTGCGGGCACCACCACGGGACCCCAGCGCCTCGGCCAACGGTGCGTCTCGGGACCGCCACGTCGGCGATCTCTTGGAGGTTCCGGATAACCCAGTCAACAGCCTGGTCCAACTCCGTTATCGTCTCAACCGGCAAATAATTCATAAATCTCTGGCTTGATTCGGCTACGATGAGCCACTTATCCGCCATCGCCCAGTTCCACCCTTCGACACTGCGGCGGCCCTCCTTGACTGCTTCCCCGTTGGATATTACCCTAATCACTTGCGCTCTGTGGTCTGAGCCCTCCAGGCCCGGGTCCCCATCGTAATCAATCCTAGCCCCTTTCGTCACCCAGGCTAGGTCGATAGTTGAGTCTCGTTGTTTGTGCCTTTGC